GTAGCAATAGTAGCAATAGTAGCAATAGTAGCAATAGTAGCAATAGTAGCAATAGTAGCAATAGTAGCAATAGTAGCAATAGTAGCAATAGTAGCCTGTTGCTGCTAAATACCAGGTACATGTGCAGTGTACGTGTCTATTCTTCTGCCTCACCGTCATAAACCTGTTTCAATGTTCTGCATCATCACTCCCTCCATGGCAAACCATGATCCTCACCACTTTGGGGGATCTCCTCGATCGATAAAACTACACCAAAAACGTACCACTGTTCGAATGCACCACGATCCCCGTCGCATTAGCGTCCTTCAAACAATAAAGGTACGCCTCGGCGAGATCCTCAGGCTGACCGACTTTGCCTGTAGGAATATTACTCTCATGAGCCTGGAAGAACGCCCTCTTCCCTTCCTCTCCCATGCCCTGCCACAGATCCGTCTCGATCACACCGGGAGCCACGGTGTTCACTCGAATCGGCGCCAGGTCGAACGCAAGCTGTCTCGCGAGCCCATTCAATCCGGCCCCGATCAGCGCCAACATGGACCAACCCCCGGCGATAGGTTTCTCAGAAATACTTCCACCCGTCAGGACGATGGACGAGTGCCTGTCCTTCTTCATATACCTCGTGCCGACCTTGGCGACCAAGATTGCAGCGATGGTGCGTACCTGGTTGCACTTCTGCCACTTTTCGAGAGTGACTTCCTCGAGGGGGATCGTCGGTAGGCGATCACCGGCCATGTACACGATGTGGTCGACCACGCCGCCGATCTTCTTGAAGAGCGCTTCCACGTTGGCTTCGACGTCGGCACTGGCGAGGTCACAGGCGTGTCCCGAGATGCGGTCTTTGGCCTCAGGGTAGTCGTTGGCCAATGCGGCACAGACCTCTCTGACTTTTTGCTCGCGTGAGGACGAGAGGATGACGACGGCGCCGGAATCGACAAGGGCCTGCGCGACGCTGATGCCGACGCCGCCCGTTCCGCCGACGAGGAGCACTCGCTTCCCGGCGAGTTTTTTGCTGAAGCGTGCTGGTGACATGGTGGACAGGACAACCTATGAGTTCTGCAGGTGATTGTGTAGAGAGTCAATGTGTGAAGTTGTGTCGTTTGAGAAGCTTTTCTGATGATTTGATGTCAGGTTTGCAACGACGAAGGTTGTCAAGAGTTGAATCATCATCATATGAGCCATGCGTGCCTTCTACTTATACACAAAACGGCGGTCCTCATTGCTCCTTTTCTCAACTACCTAGGTACATATCCAGGAGACATCCATCCTCACACTTAACTCCGTACCGCACTTACCTTGACGGCCTAGGTACCTAGGTGCTCATGCACGGTTAGGTCCAGAGACGACGTGCATCGCTCTCAAAGTACGCTTACGAGTACCTGGGCGCAAGGAGAATCATCGTAACCTCCAGACCGAGGGAGACCGTACGTGGCCAGATGAGATGTGATTGATTGATTGCTCGTGTGCAGGAAAAGAAAAGTTTCCATGATGCGAGGCTGACGGTGCGCATCTTCCCAAAACGGACATTGCGACCACCTTCGAACGACGTCACCGCAAGGCAAAGTGTGAAGTTTAGTTATAGTTCAGTCTCCATCTGCATTCAGACTGTTACTGTCAATACAAGACCGGTTACTGTACTCGTACATCTTTGCCGCGTTTCTCTGCAGTACAGAGACATCTTTCTCTTCCCCGTGTTAAACCTCTAAACTCCGCGATGGACTCGGTGGGCTCTCACAACGACATCAGATGATTTTGACTCGAATACCTCACAAGTGCAAAACCTTCATGGACCATTTGGTAAAGACACACACACACACACACACACACACACACACACACACACACGCAAAAAGACTACTAGGCAGAGTAGACAGTGAAATCGTCAATGTCTTTTTCCGTTTTCTCCGTTCCCTGCCTTTTCATGCTATGTCCGCTCTAAACACCAACGCAACACCATCATCACCCGCCGTAACAATTCTATTGCCTCCACCACCCTGCACAAACCCAAGCACTCCTCCGCCCTCTCCTTCTCCGCGGTGACCTCTCCATTCTTGAATGAATCCCTGTCCAGCGGCAGTGGTACCTCCTCTTGCATCCCATCTTCTCACCACTCCGTCCATACCGCAACTCGTCAGGATCCAGCCGCCACGTGTCGGGTTCCTTACAAAGTCAACCTTGACGACCGCATACTCTTCGTGCGCTTCCTTGATATGCCGCCGCACGGCGAACCGGTGCACCGTGTCGAAGAGCGCGATACTGCCATCGACACTGCCCGCAGCCAGTAGATTCAGGGGAGGGCTTGAGAATGACAACGTCTCGACACCATCGCTCTGTGCCTGTAATGACGCGAGAATCTGGCCTGCTGATGCCGCGGTCGCTGATGCCGCTGCGCCTGTAGCTCTGCCGCCTTTCGCCTTGCCGGCTGTTTTCTTCGCTTGGTCTGCCACCTGCGGCAGTCCAACAACTTTGATATTACCCCCCGCACCGCCAACGGCGCATAGGGACGCTGTACAAGCGACACTGTACAGACCTCCTTCAACCTCGAACCGTTGGTCTGCAGCCGTGAGACTGACAACCGCCGACCCGGTGCCAAATACGTCCCAGACATAGAGACTGCCGTCTTCCGACACCGTAGCCAGAAGATTCCCGTCCGGCGTCCACGCGCCAGCCGTGCACGACCCGGTATGTAGATAGAAAGCCTGCACGATCGTGAGAGGAGACGCCTTGTCCGCCGAATTGATGTGGTAGACCCACACGGACCCATCGTTGGCACCGAGCGCGACCACGTTCTCGTGCTGCGGGTTCGGCGACGGCGACACCCAGTTGATCTCTTCGACTTCTGACGTCTCGGACAAAAACGACCAGTGCTTGTGGCTTGAGTCCGTCGATGCATATGCGCGCAGTTTTCCGTCCAAGCCGGCCGTCACGACATAGTCGCCGCGCGGGTATGTGAATGTGACTGCGTTGACCGAGTCTGTGTGGCCGTCCAGTTTCGCAAGTGTGGCTAAGGACGCACGTTCAACCGGTTGTTGTTGTTGTCCCTCTTGTGTGGGGACGACAGGGGAAGAAGAGGTAGAGGCGTCGAAAATATATGCCACATCGTCGCCGCCTCCTGTCACTATTATGCTCGGCCGCGACGGGTGTTGGGCGATGCAAAAGATGCTGTCGGAGTGGGCGTCAAAGTGTGCGGCCGAGTCGTTCTGTAGTTGGATTTCTTCTTGTGGTTCCCCGAGGTCCTCCTCGTCCATATCTTCGTCCATAGGGTGGTCCTCATCTTCGGGGATCTCTTCAGCGGCGTCATCGGCAGCCAGGAGGTCGTCTTCTTCCATTTCCTCGTGAGGGTTCTGGTGCGGGTCGGCAGAGGACATGATGTTCGAGAGAGGAGGTGGAAGGTCGGCGGAAAGGTGAAGGGGGGACAGGAAAGTAAGAAGAGAGATTTTGAAGTGCCGCTTGTCGTGGCAGTTAAAAACTACTCGTCGGCCAGGACCAATTTGTAAGATGGCGAGGGCAGGTCTATGGGAATCGATCGCATACCCGTGGCTTAGAAATCTTTTTTATTTACAGGGGGCTCGAGGCTGGTGGAGGGGCGTCTGGGTCTTTTTGCCTGCGATACGGCGGGATGACATAATGAACGCCTCGTCCATTCAGCCTTGCATGACTCGCGCTCAGCCTCGTGGCTGTACCGAGTACCTCAAGTACTGCACTCTCCATACCACGAGACTCACAGCTTCAATACAGACGAGAACCCCCAGAACACCTTCGAAAGCACATCCAAGTTGCGAGATCTGATGTCGGAATTAGCCCATCAAAGTGGCTTCCGTCAAGCTAAAACGCATTTTGTTCATCTTTCGTTATCCAGCTAGTCTTCACTTTCGTCTCTCATGGCTTGAATGTGCAAGTCCCCATCTATCAAAGGCAAAATAGCACAAGAAGCTGTCCACTCTCTCCGTCCGTGAAAGCCTGCTCCTCCAGATCCTTCGTTTGATCTGGTCGTGTAGACACTTGACTAACTCTCGCCGCAAATTACGGCCAATCGGTGCCGAGACGCAAAAATTAAACATGGCGACCATATCAACAGGGTCAGCATTCCTCCCTCCCCTGTCGATACCCGCCGTTCCCACCGGTAGAAAACCCAACTCAATCACATATCCAAGTTGGCAACTGGAATGGTTTCGAGTATGCACAAGTCTCCGTAACAATATCCTCATCGTTCGTCATTATTTTGAGATCATTGTGCCGCCGGACAGGAAAACATCCTCCTGCTCCTTGCAATTATTGCCGTCCCTTTTCTCTCCATTTCAATAGTTCGCTCAGGCTTGCTAGACTGCAACCCATGCGCATAAAGTCGTTCCGTAGTAGCTCGTCTGCACTGGCGCGGCTTCTAACATCGACACAGAGGCAGACGCTCAGGAAAGCTTTGAGTTCTCGAGACAGCTTGTTAGGATTCTTGAGTCTCGGCGTTCCATTGGTCGCGATTAGGAACAGGGCCTTCAGCGGCTCTTCATTAAGATAAGGGGGTTCCGATTCGATCATTTCGATGGCCATGATCCCAAGGGACCAGATGTCCACCTTGGGACCATACTCCTTTTGCTTGACAACTTCAGGTGCCATCCAGTATGGTGTGCCCACCATTGTTGCACGCTTGCTCTTGGACTCTGTAAGCTTGGCACAAAATCCGAAATCAGCTGCAAGGCTTGTTAGCATGTGTAGTGTTGACGAGGGGAGAAGAGTTCTTACTGATCTTGACATTACCGACACGGTCGAGCAACACATTGTCACTCTTGATGTCTCGGTGGATAATGTCCTGAGAATGCAGATGAGCGAGGCCTTTGCAGGTTTCGAAGCAGATCGTGGAAATCTGATCTTCTGTGATGACCGGGTTATTGTCAATGATGTCGGTGAGAGCGCCTCCCTCCATAAACTCCATCACCACCCACAGCTCATTGTTCTGTTCTTGCAAAAATGAATCTAGGAAATTGACAATGTTGGGGTGTTTCGAGTCCTTCATGACGATAATCTCATTGACGATTAGTTCTTTTCGAGGTTGATTTCTCAGATCCATCTGTTTAATGGCGACCTGACCCTTCGGTCCATGCGTACGGTATACCTCTCTTGCGACAGCTGACGTCGCACTTTCTCGTACTCTTGCGACATAGACTGAGCCAGAAGCGCCCTGTCCGATTTTCTTTTGTTTGCTGTAAGAATCATTAGGGTTGTCTTTGGAGACTACCTGCTTAAGCTTCGCCATAACTTCGTTCTCGCTCATGCTTGACATGCGAACCTCCTTTGCCCGTTCTTCGACGGGCTTCTTGGCAGTCAATGCGATCTCCGCCTCTTTACGCGGGTCAGCGGCGGGTTTGGCTTGTGGTTGTTTTGCCACATTCAGGGGCTTAGGTTGCTGTACCGATCCTGGCGATCGGCTGGGCGATTGACCATTGACCCCATTGGCTTGTGGTTTAGGCAAAACATCCTTTCGCGGAGCATCGCGCTCGGCTTGATAACGTGCGTTGGGGGACGGTTGTCGCTCTGGTTCCCGGCTGCCCGGAGCGCGAAGAGATGCCTGACCGGCAGAGGTCGACTGTGGAATTGAATTCTGAGAGGCGCTGGTTGTAGGAGCAGATGGGGCAGGTCGGTGAGCTACCGGCTGCTGCCTCAAGGAAGATGATTGCTGTGGAGCACTTGGAGCTGCCCTAGCTGGGTTGAACCTGGGATCTTGTCGGTTGGGTTGAGCGCTTCCGCCAAAACCTCCAATCTCTTGTTGGGCAATGGGTGGACGAGTCTTCGGGAGAGACGCGTTATACGCCTCCAGCTCCCTCCGCTCACGTTCGGCCGTCTCTCGTTCTTGTTCCCGTACTCGCTTGGCCTCAGCCTCCATTTGACGGCGCTTTTGTTCTTGGTTGGCGATTTCTTTGATCCTGGCGGCATCAGCTTCCATATCATACGCTGCTTTATCGGTCTGCGATCGCTGCAGTTGTGGCTTTACGGGAGGAGTGCCAGACCGGGACTGGCTATCCTGGTATTTATGCATAAACTGATTGGCATTGTACCGCTGTGCGTCAGTCGGCGGTGCCGGTCTCGGAGGAGCAACTGAATTGCCGCCCGTAGGATAACCAACTTGTTTGTTAGGTTGCGTCGCCGGGGGGGTTACCATGCCGGGAGTGTAAATCTCTGGATGCTGGTCACGCATCTTTTGGTCGGAGACGAATTGGAGCACCTCGATGACCGCCTGAGGGTTCTTCTTGTAGTCATCTCGGGTAATGGCAGAACTATTCAACAGCTTCTCCCATTCTTGTGGCAGACCTACAAATCCTCCGGTTTGAGGGTCAAAGCCAACGTGAATGCGGTGGCTGAAGTTAGTCGGGTTACTGACGCCTCCCATGCCAGGGCATCGCTCATATATTTTGTCGATCCACTCGTAGATTTCATCATCATTCCGCACTTCGCAGGTGATTGTTCGAGTGGGCAAATCTCGAGTCATGACGACTTTCCCGCCAGCATCCTTGGGATTGGCAATCCGAGTGATTTCGAAGGCCATTCGAGTCTCTTCGGAACGTGTCACTCCAGTCACTGTGTTCAGCTGAATCGACTGCATACATTTTCCAGTCTCGCTCTTCATGAAGTCGAGTCGGTATTCGCGCAGGATAAGGTATCTTTGGTTCCATTGCGCCAGGAACTTGTCTTCTTTACATCGGACATGTCCTTCCTTGATGATGTTGGCCGCTGAGGACTTCCCACTCCCCGCCAGAGATATTGAACTGCCATTCGAGAAGAACGGAGCGCTTGGGGTGCTGATGGCGGGTGAACTTGGGCCAAGATTCATGGCATCAAAGGAGGAAATGGGAAGGGCGGAGTTGGAACGCTGTAGTTGAAGTTCTCGAGGACGGTCGGTAGGAGGGCGCGGAGCAGGGCCAGGGTTCATGAACTGGCCTGCGCTGTAAAAACTTGTCATTGTCAGTAAGCATGCCAGCACATTTGAGGTCGGCAGTTGGCTGGGGTAGCGGTGCGAGTAGAGAAAGGCTGGAGCGGTGGCTTACGCATGTTCCTGGCCGGAAGCCATTATCTAAAACCGGGTGCCGAAGGACTCGGTTACACTTGTTGTCGTGAATTTTGAATCGTGAGACAGGAGGTGGAGGGGTAGTGGCTGAACTTGTGCTCAACGAAGAGGTGTTCCGGCCGGGGTCAAGTGTGGCAGTGGCAGCATGCGTGCGATGTTGTCTTCCGAGTTGACAATGAAGGACAAGTGAGGTCGAAAAGTAGAGGCCGGCAAACGATGTGCACACGGAGATGACTTGGTGTCTGTTCGGCGTCACTCCGTTCGATGGCGGCGGTGAACGTCAGGTGCGGGCCACGTGAAACTCGCAGTCTTGAGCCGAAATATTGAAGACAGGCGACTTGGGCAGTATGGGGTTCGGGTGCGGTCGAGAAGGGTGAAGTTTCGTGAGGTGCGCGGTTGGGAGTTGGTGATGAGAAGCCCAAGTCAACAGAGGACCAGGGTTGTAGGTGCTAAGACCAGGGATATGCACAAATGAACCTGATCAGGCTGAAACGACAGCGGGAGGAGGAAGCATTGAGGGTGGGTGGTTGGTGAGTGGTTGGCTGAGAGTGAGCGGCTACTGAGATGGAGCTGGCGAGGACGAGGACGAAAGAGTTTCGCTGGTGGTGCTGATGCTGTGGTGGACAAATCGGAGAAATCAGGGCCTGTATCTCTCTCTGCCGTAGAGACCTCTAAACTACTCCTGCGCTCTCTCACTTGACCTCCCGCGAGTCCAATTACCTCCTCCTTCAATGGCAAACGAGTCAACGAGTCAACGAGTCCTGACAACTGCACGCTGACTGTAACAGGGGGAGACCAACATGGGACAGGGGCAACGACAGGGACCGTCCCTCTAGCACACCCGCTACCTCGTATCTGACCTATATCAAACTGCTCCTGACCTATCGGAGTACTTTTCCCTCCAACAATAGATGCAAGTATGGAGCGCCTCAGGGATTGTCCTCGTTGACGTTGTATCCCTAACCCTTGAGTGATTCTAGGTATGTGAGTACTCTCCCCTGCCGTGTCATACTATAGGAGTATCTTCCCACACACTCACCACGACTAAAGGACGACCTGGTTCCCTACTGGCTCTTGTCGACAGGCATCTCGAAGCCGATGCTCTCCATCAAGCACAATCTGAAATCTGAAATCTGAGATATGAAATCTGAGATATGAAATCTGAAATCTGTTCTCTCGTTCTGTCGCGTCAACCCTGCCCGGTCCTCCGTCGCCTTGTTCTATCAAACAACCAAAGTGGCGAACCAAGGAAAATCTCAGACATCCCTGGTGTCAGGACCCAGAATCCCTTCTAGACGCTGAAGAAAATAATCAGTTGTTGCCACGAGTGAAGCTACTTGCATGGAGAATGCTCTCCTTTCCAAATTTGGCCAACGTCCACTGGTCTGTTTCAGAAATACGGCTCAGTAAGCCCTTGAGGAAGAGTCTAGGTTTGAGTATCAATTACAAATTAGGCAAATCTAGGATGACCATGAGTATCTGTCGCCTTTGATCTGTCTACACCCCGTGCTCCCACCATGGCATCTGACATAACGAAAAGACAGACGTCGTGATGGGCGGGCACCAGGCGCACGGGACAGCTGGACACGTACAATATCATACATCTGCACCCTCTCGATGCTGATCATGAGACAGGAGTGGCGATCCAACGGACCGTGCCTAGCCATTATAGCTATGACCAACAAGAACTGGGGTTTGTTGTCTTTGCAAGGACCACATGGTGACACGAATGCCGTTCTCACACGATGGCTTTGTTCAGGATCTCTGCACACGTATAATACTCTTCACACTCACTAATTTGCCACCATGTTACCAACCACCCCAGCAAGCTCTGAGAAGAGAATTCCTTTCAGCACGCCCTCACCCTGCTTTTCAGCCCAATGACCCGTGTCGATGAGTTTGCGCTTCCAACTCCTCTTCTGATGCTCGCTCAGCTCTTCCCACTTCTTCAGCGTTTCATCTCTGACCAGATTTGCATCGTGTTCAAGGACTTCCGTCGAAAGTTCACCAGCCTCGGCTCCGTCTCGAACGACGATAGCCTTGGGCGTGTCAAGGCGAGAATTCTCTCGGACAAAGTCCTCCAGCGTCTTTTCCAAATCTGACACGACATGGGAGATCTCGGACTGCACTCCCTCTGCAGCAGTCTTGACTCTCTCTGTAGCGCTATGTGCGGCGACCGGAATATCTGACGGCTTTATAGATGGGAGACCATCGGCAAACAAATAAGGGCGAGCAATTACCTCCCGCATTCGAGGTGATAACCAGTCGGATGCACCAAGAACGGGAGGCACAGCTCCTCGAATCTCGCAAAAAGCCTGCATGAGAACCGCAACAACACCGACCACGACGAGTGCGAAAAATACGCTGAATGTAGTTTGCATCGTCTCGGAGCGGCCCGGAGGGATGAGAACGTAGCGAGGAGTCTTCGTGTACAGCGTCGGGAATGGCCGTAGTGGTAGATACTGCACCTTCACCATCATATCGACGCCCACAGAAGCCAGGCGAATGGACTGGGGCGGTGTGTCTTTGGTCACAGGGAGTGACGGGCCCTGGAACCTCGAGAAGACAAGCCGGGTCAATGGGCCGCTATGAATATTGCGCAAGAGTGTATATGATCGAAATGTGCCTAGCAACCCAGACTGACCAGAGTAATCGATCGTAAGCAGTTCGATAGAGCTAGCATCCCCACTCTGGCCTGCAACGGCAATGACTGTTTGCTGATCGCCCTGCTCTGACGGGCTCAACGTGCAGACGTCGAGTCCAACGGCAGCTTTGGTAGATTTGTCCAACCGTTTGCGTAGAGTCACACGAGACTGGGAGAAATCCTGGGAGACTCTTAGGACCAGCAGGTCCGCACCGCTCCTTCCAGGCCTGTTCTGTAGGAGTAAGAGATGATGGGGTGTGAGGAAGCGGATGGCCCGAAACCTGGGCCTCTTAGAAGGTGGAAGTGAAGTCGTCGATTCTGTCGTGCGGTATAATGATGCAGGGCTGTTCTTCTGGGAGGAAGAGACAGGTAACTTTTGCACAAAGACCTCGTCGTCTGTGCAGTATGCTAGAATATATCCTCCCTCCTCATCATTGTCCGAACAAAGATCCAGATCGCCAGCTTCACTATTCCCCAGACTGATGCGTGAAACCTCGTCCTTTGGCGTCGGCTTTGGCGCAGGCTTGAAAACAATAATCTCATTCTCTGGGGCAAGTCCTGATGCAATGGCTGCTATTCGAGATTTTCCTGGCTGCTGTGCTGGTGAAAAGCGCAGGACTCTTTGATATGTTTCATTCTTGGAGCCTGTCGCCGATTTGAACAACGCTGTCCTTCCCAGCGCTTGTGAACCCTGGGTCGGCTTCTCCGTCTTTTCCACAGCAGTCCCATCAGCCCTCCTCTTCTTTGCTGGCAGTCCTATGCGGAAAGACCTCAAATGTTCGTTCTTGCCCGCATTTTGATCCGCGACTGAACTGTTGATGCCGGCAAAAGCAACCAGGGAAGAACTCGAGGAATCTGAGACCGCGAGACTCGTCACCGAGTCTTCGTCCTTTGCTAGCTCAATGTCAACCACCTCCGCCAGCTGCTCTCGTTGTGTTGTATCGATCAATGATATTTTGTTAGGAACACCTGTCGAGGAAGAGCCGCCGCCGCCGCCAACGAGCAAGAAATCAGGGTTGTAGGGATCGAAATCGGCTGCATAGAGTGGATAGGAGAGCTTGACCTGCGAAGAGACTACGTTGGGCGCCATATCGAAGGGGAGTGTCAGTGGTGGAGCGATACCATGAGATCATTAATCGGCTGCGCACACACATAGACGCACAGGGAGGTATAAGAAAGAATGCGAGAATCAGCAAGTCATCTGGATGGCGGTTTCTAAGAGAAAACAAAGAGGCTACGTCAGTCACTTCGAACGATGTGGACACATTCTTTGTTTATCGATAGTCGCCAGTGCTTCGGCATCCAATACGACTTCGACTGGGAAGCACGGCACCTCGTAACTTCAACTTAGGAGTATCCCATAGCAAACACTTCCTGACCTCAGTTTTGTTTCCGATCTAATTAACTTAAATATGCGCAGACGCTCAACTTTCATTACACACCCAAGTCGAGCAGTGAACCCAGCAGACATCCAAGTCTACGAGAACCAACTGCTCCTGGGCGCGCTAAAGGCAGCTCGAGAAGAACGACTGACACTTGGTCTGAAGGAGCTTCCAGAGGAGGTAGTAGAGGTTCTCCAAGAAGCTCACGAACTTCATATACGATGGACGCGCGAAGAGACCTACCACAGTTCGCCGCCATTCTTATCCAGAACATCTCCCGGTCTACACGTCCAATACACCCCCTTGAAAGAAGACCAGCCCGACCACCTATGCAAGCTCCTTCAAAAGGTCTTCGGTGACCAGGTCCACTGCAAGTCCCCAAAAGCAACCTTCATTAGCCCGCCCTTGATCTCAGAACGTTTCGCGCAGACAGCTTCGTCACATTACTACACCCTCCTTCCGACTGTCAGACACCTGGCAAGCTACCTCCAACGGACCATCTGCAAACCCTCGGACCTCTCTTGTATCCATACAGCTACCCTCCTGAACCTAGCGGACGTGATCGACTTCGACTATGACAGCATCTCACATGCTCTCATACTGACGGTGCAGTGGTCGAAACAACCAGAAGTCATCTGGGACCCCATTGGGGACTTTACGACCTTTGACGCCTGGAACCTTGACATCCAGTCCTCTCCAAACGACAAAGTCGAAGTTGGCATACTAAGTCCATCACCCGCAACTGAGCCCTCGGATCTCCAGCTCTCTGGATTCCTCACGACGGTCGGAAGCGACGACCACCCCAAAGCCACGCTCTTCAGTTTTCCCTCGCGCCACCACACTCTTGGCCCAGCACAGCGGCGCGACCAACGATACACAGTGTCTTTCGAACAGCCGACCGGCCTACACCCGATCCTGAAGATATCTTTCCCTAATGGCGAGTCTCTCGTCGAACCGCAGACCAAACCACCGGGAAGCGTCTGCGCCCTCCAGACGTACGTGACCCTCCCGTCGCATCTCTTCGCCGACAAATATGCCTTTCTGAGCAACGACCCGCTGTTTCAAAAGTCCCATAATCTAGGACAACTGCACTCTATCGCAGGCGAGACTGACCTCGAAGCCCCCGACTATGTCGTTGACCGATGGGGATCCACGATGCTACTCGACATCCGCACTCCAGATACGGATGAAGGCGGGGAGGAGAACAAGAAGAAGCACGACGAAAGAACCGCTTCATCCACGCAGTGGAATGTGACGATCCCTCTTCATCTACGCTACCTTGAGCCAAGCTCAGGAGGACACTCCGAAGTTGAAATGCCATGGCCGATTGTCTTCTGGGCCTGCACTGCCGAAGAAGGTACAAAGTTCCCCGTCAACCCTTTTGACAGAATCCATCTGGGCTACGATGGGCTGTTTGGGCCACGGACGATGTTCTACCATCTCGATCCTGCACCTGAAGTCGGATCCAGCGGGAGACTCGTCGAACGTATCTCCGTGCCTGTCTTGGACACGGAGACTGCAAGCCCACGGACTATTGAGTTGGTGACGCTGGCCACGATAGCTTTGGGATTTGTATGGGTTTTGCTCAAGCTGAGAATTCCGAGCCTATTGTCTTCGAGCTCTCGTGCGGAAAAGCCGGTCATCAAGAAGAAACAGTGAACCAAAAAGCCCCGGGCGTTGTGCACTAGACATGTAGTATACCTGGGCAATAGCAATAGCACTATAGCCCTTTGGATGCAGCTACCGTGAAATGTGAACGGACACTTGACATTGTCTACCCACCATGCCTATGCAAACTCTTTCTTGAACAGTACGGCAACATCAGACGGGCATAACGTTTCGTCTACTCGCCTCAAGCACTGACTGCTACGTCTCTTCATGGTTGATTGAGCGCACGGGATCACACCATCTCCTTGCACAGGGCCCATCTCTCGTGTGTCTCGTCCTCCTCCTGGTCGTCGTCTTCACCGCGGCCACTTCTCTCTCTTCAGCCTGCCGTCCCAGTCAATCAGTGTCACGAGCCGTCGCTCGCTACTGTGCACCCTTCGACGGGCCATTGTGGCATCTCACGGCGCAAAGTCGACCGTGATCCTCTCCTCTCGTGATTCGTCATCCAGCTGACTTCTTTGCTTTTCTTTTCTCGCCCTCCTCGTCGCCTTTTTTTTGTGCCCCTGTGATACACCGCCAGGTAGCCACAGTCGTCATACACTCGGGACGAAGCAAATCAAACTAAAAAAAAAAGTGATTGAGTGATTCATTCTTTCCCAACCGACCAACCAACCAGCCGACCGACCATCGTGACCATCGAAACTGTGTCCTTGCGTCTATAAGGCTGGGATGGGGGCTGGGCTCGCCTGAATGCATTCCCAAGTTCGGACCGACATTTTTGGATGTGACAAGTCCTCTCTTTTCTCGTGGAACGTCAACCATTCAACTTACCTGCCCCATTTGACAACTTGCAACCCCCCTGCCACACTTCACACACACAGACACACACACACACACACGAGCGGGCGCGCCCGACTGGACAGGTCACTAGTTACACTGACTAGTAATCACATTGCAGTGACATACTCACTGACTGATGGACGCCTTGATAGATTGAGATTGTGATTGTGGCCTAGGGGTGTAGGGTGTAGGGGGTGGTACCAACAACCGCTAAGTGTCCCGTGTGTTGCGAGGAGGCCTCATGTCCAGTCCATTGTCAAGTGCTCGCAAGACCAGGTTGGTTCTTTTTCGATAGATCAAACTTCATGATGGCGTGGGGGTCGAAAGACACCCCCCTTTCCCCAAAACCTTCCGTTGCCTATTTTATCTGTGTGACAAGGGTAGCCACACGCCTAAGTTAGATGCATATCGCACAGAGAGAGTATACACGTCGAGTCGAGTCGAGTCGGCAGATCAACCCATCAACCGTGACTTGTGACACATGATGCATCTCGCAGTAGCCTTATGCATCGCGGACCTCTGTCTCCTGTCCAACGATTCGCTGTCGCTGTAGTTCAGGCAGGGCAATTTGCAACTTTTGAAGTTTGATATTGAGGCTGAACGAGAAACTCGGCCTTGGTCGTTCCGGTGGTCGGGCGACCGTACTGGGATATCCTTCTCGTCAAGGGGGGAAGAAAAAGACAAAAGGCGTCTCCTTTTGAAACTATCCGCACATAATTGGAAAAAAAGGCAATCATCCGGCGGATGCAAACACGCGAAGTTGGCGGCTGTTCACCTAACCAGGGTACGTTTGAAGTGTACCGATTCGTCCAAAATTCCGTTGATGTCAACTGCTTGCTTCACCATTTGGGAGCAATCTGCACGGATTTGCCTTGGTTTACATCATCATGCTTGGGGGCTGTTCTCAAGATGGTCGGAGGCAGATACGGGTGGCGTCGCTAGTTCTTGTGAATGGCAGGTGTATGACGACTCCGGGAGCCCTGTTTACGAAGATGATGTCTCGGATGCCTACTCGTACTCGTACCGCCAATTTCAATTCAAACTGCAAAACAGACGATCGATCAGTGTACGCGGAGCTCGCACGGTGTCCACCCACTAGCCAGTGGCAGTAATGCTCTCTCTGGTAGCCTTAATGAGGTGGACACACCTTCGCTTCATCAGGCTCTGCCTTGAGCTCTAACTGGGTTCACGTGCAGCTTGATCCATGCGCCCCAGCATGGCAACGGGAGGAAGGATCCATCATGGAACATTCCGGATACTTACTCCAGAAGTACACTGTGGGTTCTCTCCGGGAAGCTCCAGAAGAGGTATCCGGTTCTCAATCCTCTTTGTAGATTGTACACTAGTTGGATGCTTCTGTATTGGCCCCAGGTGAGGTCGGCGGGGCTGAAAGCGTCGCGGTATTGAGAGCTGACCGGTGTAGCCAAGTCTCGATTCCTGATATGAACTTTAGGGGTCTCGACTCGATCAGAAGTGAGGAGGCGTTCGCTTAAAGGAGGATAATGTAACACGCCAAACTTAGAATTCGCTCTTGATTGGCGTATACTGGCCAAATCGATGTTCACTCTCGCCAAAGCAAGTACGTACATATGTTCTCCGGACGCAAGGGACTCACCGGTGATATTAAACATATCGGCGTTGCGGACACATTCCTTCCAGGATCGACTCGATTGCCTTTTTGGGTTTCGGTTGCTGGGCGGCTCCGAGAGGGGGCGTAATGGTCGTTAACAGGGAGAAGCTGATCCAATGATGAAGACGCGAGGTCACCTCACCTGGCTATTCGCCGGCCACTGCTCAACTGCATCGTGCTATTGAATTGCTCCGCGCTTGTCTCATGGGATCGGAGTTATCACATGCAAATCCTGCGAAGCTTCTTACTACAAGGCAACCGGTGTCAATACACTTGAGCGAATATGATCACCAGACGGTAAACCCTTGTGCCTTCGTACGCTCTTCCTGTGGAAGGACAGTGCCCGGCTCGCGAAGACAACCTCAAACACGGGAAAGTCGACATGTGGTTGTAGTGCTTCTGCTGCCGAGGGCGTTTCAAGGATGAGGTGAGCATCGAGAGAACAAGACTAAAGGAAGAAGAAAGATGCCTTTTCTGACAGTGCTCAAACGAAGCTGTGACGGAGCCCAGGTTCAGAAGTTGCAGGAGCCTCGCTTCGTCATACATGTATAGTCTCGCAAGAGGAAGGTTCAGCCATAGGTAGGTCCTCGAAAGGTATGAAGGGAAGCACTGCCTGTTCACCACGATATCGTTCCGGTACGGCCCGAAGATGCTCGCGTGGGAGGTCAGATGCAGGAACGGAGTCACGCAATCTCGCAAATAAAAATGCGCATTATGACCAGACCATGTCGGCTCACGCAAGCAGTTTACCTATGCCGATAACCATGTCCACATGCGCAAGATTGCTGGAACCGGGACAACGAAATCACTCTGATGTAACCACCTGGTCCTCTTGTTCCTCCTACACGGACGCCTTTCAGTGTTCCCGGGATGAGTTAGCCAGCGTTCTCGAAGAACGAAACCCGCCTGGCCATGTAAGACTGTGATGTCATTGTAGAACGTGTCAGCCGGTCCTAGGAGTTAAAGTTGAAGGGCGGTGTTCAACGGGAAGATGGAGGGTGTCCGCGTCGTTGGCCTTACAGAAGATAGACTGGTTGGCAGTTTGCGACCAGACCAGTGCGCACATGGCGTTAGTGACGGAGACCATCATCAAAATACCGGCTAGAATCGGCAGGATCAGGTCGGCGTGATATATTGCGCAGTCTCCTATGATGGGAATACGCGGCGTGTGGTGTACAAGTTTCAAACGTGAGAAACTTGACCACGTTGTGAACCGAACCAACAGCGAATGCTCAATAGGCCCGTACAACCCCATTTTGAGAACACTGTACCCTGGGATGACAGGACCCCTTCTGGCGGCGAAATGAGATTTCCTAGGGTCTGTTGGAGCTGCCTGGTACGAGTATGGAGTGATGCAACGACTTGATATGGCCTGAAGCCTGCTAGGCTACCCCTCTATCGTATACTCGTCGGCATGAGTCCTGAGGAGGGGTTGGCCTGACAAGGGCTGAACGGTAGCATCGTTTGTCGGGTAGCTGTGCAGTGCATGAAGGGAATTAGCATATCACGTTGGAGATAGGCAAATTGTCAGCGGCCAGTGAGATAAGCTCGTTCTCTTGGGGCGTACAATAAGGAATGTGAACGAAGAAGAGAGCCCTAGTAAGAATAGGCAGGTCGGCCAGCCCGGCGGAACGTGCCATCTGAAGACAATAGGCAATGGATAACGCCGGTGGAAGGCCTCCGGTGTGCACTCCATAGTTGGATGCAAGGCGGCACCAGACCAGATCCCTACCCATTGTATGATGTATACCATGGACACCTTTAGTGTGATACTTGAAACGCCAAAACATAGCGCCAGCGCCAGAGCCAGATCCAAGAATGATTCAAGGTGAAGTATCCTGGCGGTGGTGTTTTCCGCAGTAGCTGTGAGAGGCAGTGCTGGGTTAGCGGTAGAGGTTGCAGTTCCCGTACAAAGAGCAAGTACCTACTAGGTATAAGAGGGCTGCATGCCCTCAAGCAAAGAGACAGAAGCTTGTTTTTCCTTCCCACCAGCGCTCGTGTGGCACGTCTGGCTTGTACGGAGTACTACAGGTACAGTATGAATCTGTCAGACTATTACTCCGTACGAGACCAGAAACCGGTGAACCACGCCGTGCCGCAGAGCCGCAGAGCTGCACTAACCCAAAGAGGCATAGTGGTTGCCTGGTGGTTCGCGCACCTCGTTTACCTCACGAAGCCTCCATCCGGTCTCACAGCAACTCCTGCCGAGACCACGCGCCCCCCCCCCCCCCCCCCTTTGCGCCTGGCTGCGAGGCAAGAATGGGTTGTACAGTATGCCACCTGGTTCGCGAGACTGGAGCTGATCTTACGGTTTGACGCTATGACTTGGCGGACTCAGTGCAGTCAACAAATCTAGAGAATATAGAGCGTTGCCGGTGACCAGCGAGCAGAGGTCTCTGACTCTTCACCAGAACACACATGTGTCTGCTAGTGAGGTCTCTAGTTGACCATTCGAGGCGAGGTCCAATCTCACAAACCATCGCTGTTTGCATGACATCAGCTCGACGCCATAATTCTTGCTAAACTCTCATTTCCCTGACTTGCGGTTCTTCTGGCCCTTTGGACCACCTCGCCTCGAAAAAAGAGTCCCCGGAGGACAATCTCTTACTGCACAGTCGTATGTACCGGATTTCCACACTGTGATTCTGGCCCGGTCTCCAAAAATGCCTCACGGCGCCGGTGAAGTGGCGAAAGCGTGTTAACGGGTGATATTCCCAGCAGAGCCTTGGCAATCTGATGATTCATCCGTCCGAGTCTTCGACATCCAGGACCTCCAGATCTCCCCCTGCAACCGATGCCATGTCATGGTTCAGACGGAAATCAGGCCTGCCAGAAACCACTCAGCCTCCGGACCCGAGTGAGAAAGAACCGAGTGAGAAGTTTTCGCCGTCGCCAAATCAATCACCCAACAGCAAGAATCCCAGGTACGCCTTCATGGCTCCCGGTCCGCGCGTCTTCATCCCTTCCTAATTGATTTTCCGGTGCCTATGTAGGTTTGAGAGCAATGTCCCAGGAAGGCAGCAGCAACGGCGGCCTTGGAGTGACTCGTTGGCCCATGACTCTTCACTGCGAATACCGCTGCAGCCACTCCCTTCAAAGTCGAAGGAGGAACCCAGTAGCACTGAGTTCAATCAATTGACCTTGGCCGACCAAAATCGATCCAACAACCACCTTTCGGATCCCATGAGACGCTCCAAACGCCCGGCGCTTGACCAGGACGCTTGCTATCCGAACAAGAAGGACGATCGAGGATCAGGATCGCACTTTTCCGGACGGCACGAAAACGCCCTGTCTTCACCCACACCTGCTTCCACGAGAACACCGACCCCATCGCAAGGCTATCGATCGACCCAGAGGACGCCGGTGTCTTCTCCCAAGTTACCCCACCCGGCGCCTGCGTCGGGTCCTAAGCCACATTCCCGCCAGCCGTCCCACCTCCACTCTGTGTCCCAGGATGGTCCATCGGACAAAGAGTCCAAAATGCTCCTCCAACCAGAAACACGCCCTATCTCCCACGAACAGCTCGTTAATGAGGTGAAAGGAATATACGCAGGCCTCGTGATGGTTGAGAAGAAGTGCGTCGAGATCTGTCAGCAACAGTCCCAGACTACAAACAAGCTTTCCAATGAGCAGTGGCAGGCCCTGATTGCCTTACATCGAACTCTGTTGCATGAACACCATGATTTCTTCTTAGCCAGTCAACATCCCACTGCTTCACCTGCACTTCGGCGACTACCGACCAAATATGCCATGCCTGCGCGGATGTGGAGACACGGTATTCACTCTTTTCTTGAGTTGCTCCGTCATCGATTACCTTTCTCGCTCGAACACATGCTCAGCTTTGTCTATCTTGCCTATCAAATGATGGGCTTGTTGATGGAATCGGTACCTGCCTTTCATGAGACTTGGATAGAATGCTTAGGAGACCTTGCACGATACCGGATGGCCATTGAAGAATCTGACATGCGAGATCGAGAGCACTGGTCTAATGTCGCCAGAATGTGGTATAATCGCGCTGCCGATTACTCACCAACAACTGGTCGTATACAGCACCACTTGGCTGTATTGGCGAGACCGAATATTGTTCGACAGCTCTTTTACTATTCAAAGGCCCTTATTAGCGGTATCCCATTTGTGAATGCCCGGGATTCGATTATGCTTTTATTCTCTCCGTTTCTTGACAAATATGAGACAACAAGTCAAAAGTATCTCAAGGTAGAAACTAGTCTGGTTACCGCGGCAGGAATACTCTTCACTCATGGCTTCATTCATGACTATTGCTCGCACATCACTCGTTTTGTATCCGAGTTAGACGGCACTATCAACCGAACCGGATCGAATTTTAAGATGCAAGGAGCAGAGATGGCATCGTCTTTGATCGCCATGATTCTCGACTTCGGATCCGATGAAAATTACCTTTGGAAGGCCCTTTGTGCGAATTTCGAGAAGAGTAAACAGACCCAAACCGAAGGACAATCGGATCCCAATTCTGCCAAAATTCAATCTGAGAATCCTATGATCAAGGCTCAACTACACCGCAAATTCTGGGAGCAAGAACGCCCTATCAATGCGCGAGACTTTATTCAGGTTGCTGCGCCACTTGGTGACCGACTAGGGGTCAAATTCTCTTCATCTGACGAAGTCACATCATACGTTCTGCCTATCTGGCATCAGTGCACTTCCATTGTTGCGTCCAAGGTTGGAGATAGGAACATCCTACCCTATCTACACTTTACTTTAGCGTTTCTATGGAGCCTGTCATATTTTCCAGAAGGTTTCATCTATCTTGAGAACTATGTTCCGTGGGACAAATTGGTTTTGTCATTGAATTCAATCAGCAGATCTGGTGTGGTGGACAATAAAGTTGAGTTCCCTATCTTCCCTCCACAACAGTCAGGCACAGGCCGTCAGTTACCAGAGGATTTCTTAATGCGTGGATTTCAATGGTCTCAACACTATTATCCCGCCGACTTTTTTGAAGGCCAAGTGACAGACGAGGATGACCGCACGTTGGAGCTTCCAAGTCATGCAGCGCCACGTGCAGAGAGGTGTCTCTGGCTTGGCGTAAGACTTGCATCTGTAAGTGGAATTCCTCGTTATATTGCTGGGAGAACTCACCAATTCTTTCCTTAGTTACAACGCTACATCGTCTATGACAGCATCTCGAAATTGTTTTCCTGCACGGAATTCACACAAGCTTTGCCACCTGTTTCTTTTCCCAATACGTTTCAGTTCCCCGCCGGCCTTGAGCATGGAGAAGACAGCTCGATGATAGACGTGGCCTGAGGGCCTTGTCCGATTATGGTCGCTATCCACGTTAATTGATTACTCACAAGATCGTGATCTTGACTATCCATGGCCTCGACCACGGAGGATATCCACGTCGTCCGAGGGCCGACAGGAGCTTAGTATTGCCGTACAGGACGCCGCACCACAAAGTCAAGGCTTCATTGGCAAGCCCTGCATGGTCATGTATTTTCCTCGACTGAACCCGTCAAATAGTGCTTCATTCGCACGATGATATATTTATGACGGCGAGTGCCTAAGCATAAGGCCAGCACCTCAACTTTACAACATAAGATGCGGCAGTGATGGTTGTCAGGGTGGTTTTACCGCGAAGGCCATCGGATTTCCCACCTGGAACAAGGTGCCTGATCGTGCCGAGACCATTCGAACGGGCGTTGATCACTGAGAGGATGACCGATGCTGTGGATGTTTATTTCGGGGAAGCAGAAATTGCTATAAACGATGTGTAGGTACGTCTATTGTCGTGGTTGGCAGTCATAATTTGGAAAGCAAACAAAACCTGCCAGGGAGATGATGGCTTTGAGGAATCATAGGCTAATGAAGGCGAAGCATTCAGACATTCCCTTCGCATGCGTTATATCCTTGTTTCCAAACGCAACGGCGCGCGACACCGAGGAGCGACACCGAGCACTTGGGAACGCTTTAGTACTTCCATCGGGCTCAAAGGTGCTTGCTTGCACTTGGGCTTTTGCACGCTCGTCTACAAGAATAATACCTAATCAATGTACCTAGACAATTGATGTTGAGAGCGCGACTGTCCAACGTAGCCAGCATGCGTATGTATCATTGAACACCATGAGAATGAATGTGTGAGCCGAGTCTTCTGAAGCTGCGTGTTGTGCGAGGTGCCTGCCGCCGCCGGGTCGATTTAGAGACAGGAGGGAATCTATTTTTATCGCGATGAGTTATGCAGGCCCGACTTCAAGGGCAGACTACCTCCTTGGACACGAATGGCCATGATCATGATCAAAGCTGCAATGACAAGTTGACTCGAGATGTATCCTGGGCGGCCCGCAATAACAAAATCGCAAGGCTATTGTAGGAGAGGACTACCTCATCCGACTACTAGTACTCCGTAGACAACGCAAGAGATGGGGATTGGGGAGGGGGTTGTTTGAAGTTGTACAGTCCGTGGTCACGTGCAACCCGACCACCTGGCACCACCTGCAACCTGGGCATGTGTCCTTTCTGATACCCCGGCCTCATCGTCGTCGTCGTCGTCGTCGTCGTCGTCAGCATCATCACTCTCCGCGAATACTCTGCAGTTAACATGACGGATCGTGAATGAGAGGTGCACCACCATAAAAAACTCCCCTGGACATTACAACCCCTTTGCACATATACGGACCGGCCACCATTACCCTGGTCCTGTTGCAATTGAGAAACGGGCAGAAAGAGACTCCATTACCCTTGTCCTGTTGCACTTGAGGAAAATACAGAAAGAGACTCTATTACCCTCGTCCTGCCTGTTGCAGTTGGGGAAAGGACAGAAAGAGAGAGACAAGAGTCCAGAATTTTCCGACGGTGGGTTTCCCGATTTGTCACAACTTCCAGGAATATCCGGCCTCTAGTACAGTTGCCTAGAGAAACACATTTGCTTGCTCCCACACGCAATAGTGCGTTGGCTGAAGGGTTCGCGAGGATCAAGTGCAGGAACAAAGCATCGAAGACTTTGACCTTGCGATGGTCCTGATGACGGCGTCCGGAGAATCTGAAGCAGTGAGTGAGCCCATGAACTTGTCGAGTTCGAGTTCGAGTTTGAGCTGTGCAGCGGCCTTGTCTGAGCAAGGGGGCTGCCCGTCATGGGACGATGAGGATTGGCTGGCTGGCGGGGACGGTAGTGAATCCTCAGCAGAACGGACTGGCAAAAGCTTGCCTTCAGACCGAAGAGCCCTCTCCATCATGCTGACGTCGATGGTCTCGACTTTCTTGAGATACTGAGACAGCATGGGCTCCTCGGGCACGGTCAAGAGGGTGAAGGACGTCAACGGGATCTGCCTCCGCCTTTGGGTCAAAGTCCGTTCGTTAGCACGGCAAGCAAACGACCTCTCTCACATGACTGGGGAAAACGCACTGTTCTCTGCACACTCTGGCCATGGTTGTTGTATGAGAACCCAGAGACATGATAATGTATGGCTTGCCCCCTGGAATGATTGGACTGATAATCTGATACCAGGTAGATAGAAACAGGCAATCGGAGAAAATATCTTGCAAAAGGTTTTGGAAAGTGGGACTGTTGTAGGACTTGGAGGAGGGTGAGGGTGTAAAGAAGCAGCAATACACAGGCGATATCAAAAGATATATCTGCTTGGTGAGTTGAGGGAGGAGGAGAAGGGGGGAGGAGGAGGTGGGCGAGGTGGGCGATGCGAATACCCTGAAATCACCACGGCCAGGCAAGACTCAGGCCCGACTGACCAATGACATGCAACTGCCGAGGACGCTAGAAGACGCGGAGCCAATCGCACACCGGTCTAAACACCAGTCACGTGGAATGCTGCGCTCTGATTGAAGAGGAGATCACCACACGTGACGGAGCTAGTCTCGTTTCGGGGCAGTTTGCAGGCTGGTGTTCCGGTTTCCGATCCCTGTGCCTCCATTTGCTCGTAAGATACGGCCATGTGCCATCACCTGAGGCATTTTGGGACAAAGCAGCTGTGCAGGTATCGCAGGAGGTTGGCCGGGGAGTCTGTAGATGTTCCCCGCGCGAGTTTATGCCCTTCGTCATCCAAAGATGGTCACAGTTGCTGTTTGATACCACGACGACGGACATACCGCGAGATATGTAACAAGGCCGAGAAACTCAGATATTCTGCTGGGCCTTCCAGGTTGCCGAAAGCGCTGGTCGAGTCGGTATGATTGAGGCAAAAGTTTCTGTTCGGCGAGGTCGTCCCAATCCTGATGGGAGCATGAAGTTGTTGAAGAGACCGGTCGTTTCCGGCTGTTGCTGTCATGTGGCCCCTCCGAACTTCCATCTCGGAGGCAGGACACTCACCTAGATTGACAGCCGAAGGTTTCGGAGGTCGCATCTCTCAGTGGCTTGAAGCCAACGAGAAACAAAAGAACAGTCTGTTCGCAAGGAGATTCGTTGAGGTGGTAAAAATACTTCCCAATAGTATTGTGGTTGCATTGGGACCATTTGCAGTGAATGACTTATCGTGTTCTGTTTCAAGGGCACTTACCGGGCTTTTTCCTTTCCTCCGTGACTTCGCCTTCGCGTGTTTGGAGAACGGAGACGAAGCGTAGGTTCGCGGCGTCTGGAAACCTGAGCAAACTCTACGAATCTCCGGTCTGTGCGTAGCGCCCGTCACTTGTGAGGCCAATTTTTGAGAGGCGTCTTGGATACATGCACTGCGGTGAGAGAGGAGACTGATCTCCAACTCGACAACTTGAGGCGGCAACGACGCTGTGACCGCTGAGTCACCACACAGAATGTGTTCTCAACGGTACGTCTTGATGAATCTTGACTTGCAGGGTTCAACACATAGTGCAGCCGCGCTATATCATGTCGACCTCCCACTGATAGAGTTCGAGCCCCCCTAGGGAGGAAGAGAAAAATTTCCCGCCCAGATGATTTCGTGCTTTTCCACTGGGATGAGCGTGTCTTGGTGAGTCTCGAGAAGACAAAAAGCACACACAGTGTACAAAGGTGTCGGGTGTTGAGGCTGTTGGGAGACATTGTCGGTTCGCCGAAAGCATTCTTTGGGCCATAGCTCGACGCGACAGGGAATGGCCAGGTTGAGTTTGACCGCGCCGTCGTTGTAGACTCAAGGGCCCAGAGCCACTTTGGAGCACGCACCCAATTATTATCCGTGGTTATAGAGTGCAAAATCACGAGGGAGACAGAATAGACCGGGTGTGGCGATGTGGTCTAGTTTTGTTGAAGTCATAGAAGGGCTGAAGTTGGGTTGAGGTTGAAATTGAGAGGTGGTAGATCGCCACAAATAGTCGTGGCGGCAAAACTGTGGCTCGTGCCGCCTGCCGCTTCCGTGTTGATCGTGGGTGTGGCGGATTATCAGTTTATCCTTTGCCGACTATAAGAAGGCGGCAATTGCCATATTAGACCTGGGGCATTCCTTTCAGGTTGTGCGAAGATGTCTATATCAACGACAAATCACTGCTGCAGTTCCCTTGAAAGTTGTCTATCACATTTCAGAGGTGGCCCATAGCCATTCATTCTACAAAGTCTCAGATATTCAATGACTAAATCGAAGAAAATGTCTACGGCGAAGCCGAATCTTCAGCCTTGCCACCACCTCTTCAGCTGTGTCGTGTTGTTCAGCTGTCTCTCGATGGACGAGTACGACGCATACAATAAAGCTTATTGGTCCTTCGAAACTTTACACCTGTACGTTACAAATTCTAGAAGAATTGTCCTTGGCTGCTGGTGATCGGTTGAGCGAGTGATGTCATTTGCGAGTATTAAGAAAAAGTCAGAAATCAAAGATCAGAACTGCATATACGGGCAACAGCACACTCAGCGCCATACCCTCCATGTCAAATCCGCACGGTCGACGGTGAGTGAACAACACTAAGTTTTCTCTGCCGTCCACTGGTTCTGACGGACTCCTGGGCGCCTGGGCTGGAATGTTTCCTTGCCCAGCAATAAGCTTACAGGCTTACCTTTCGCAACAAGTCTCCCTGACCAACGCTCTCATACGGGTATCAGCTTGATTTCGCATCGAATCCTTTCCCTGGAAGCCACTTTACCTGTCAGACGTGGCAATACTCGCGTGAGAACCGATGTCGGCTTGATTGTGAATGAGTGGCGAGAAGCGAAACCATTCGACAGGCCTGGTCCCTTGTCAACCCAGACTGCGCCTTATTCACGGTCATCCCACGCCACCAGCAATCTTTGGCCAAGGAATAATGTCGCCACCATTTTACGTCGCAGCCCGAAGCTATCGAGTTTGCCTGAAGCTGAGTTGTCTCAAAAGACCGAACATTTGACGGCTCAGGCACTCCACCTGAGGCCCAAAGGCATCCAGTACTCAGTTGAACCCAAGCATCCTGCTCTCATCGACAACTTTACCCGAAGGCGACGACGCTAGCCTTTGGAAAACACAGGTGGCGATGTTTGTGAAAGGGCAATGCACACAGCCACGTCACAACTGCGGTATCACAAAAGGTTTCTCCATCGAACCATGTAAGGCGGTGAGCCTCGTATACAGTCTCAAAACAAGGACCGGGTGATGCTGCAAGGTTGCCTTTCAACACGATGGCAGAGAACTAAGACAAACACGTTTCACCGCTACCCGAAGCTTCTCAACTGGAACTGACATCATGATTCATCCCGCGGAGTGGTCCGCACTGGACTGTCACAGCTAGGCTAAGTTCGGTGACCGTGATAGGTACGATTTTCTTGCTTCAGGAACACGGTGTCTGCCTCACTTCATCTTCCAAACGTCGTTGGCTTGGGGTATGTTTCACTCAGGCGGGCAGTGGAGGTCTCAGTGGGCCAAGTCATTCAAGTAAGCAAGTAAGGTTTATTAGTTGTCGCTAGTGAACTCACTCCCTAACTTCCCCGGCCGAGGCAGTCTTACCGTGAACGACTCCTGACTGCTCGTAAGACGAGCTGTTACCTAGGTACTCTATTTACGCATGACTAGGTATTAAGCAACATTAGGCACCATTTTCGGAGTCCTCCGTCGACGACAACATCCCTATAGCAGTGCTTAGCAGGGCTCCTTCACTTGGCTTCAGGCGCACAAAAGATGTTGATGTGCACTTAACCCCTTTTCATTTCTCCGAGGTGTGTGATGCAGTGTTATTAGTTCAGGAAAACACCCAGTGGGGTGGCCTTTTTCTTGGTATTTCCGATCCGCGTTGCAATATTGTCCGCAATCTCATCGTATAACTTGTTATTCTGGCTCCCTGTGATTGAGGCGCTGATTCCCGTACAGACATGTCACTTGGATCGACTCTGCTCCAACGACCCCGTCGAATTCGGGGGGGGGGGGGGGGGGGGGGGGGGGGGGGGGGGGGGGGGGGGGGGGGGTGACCTGGATTCTGCTTTTGCAGTGCCACACAAGTTCCTTCCATGCTGGGGCAAACCACACTTCTGCCTTGTGAAGGCCCTGAGAGAGGTAGCTGGCATTTGAATGCCAACCAACCGTGTCTCTGATAATGGGTGCCTTTGAAGGGCCCTGAGCGGGTACTCCTCTTCCACTTGTCTACGATGCCCTACTGATGAAAGGACTTGTGATGATGGAAACCACCGCCCGGATGGGACATTCTGACCACTATGTCTCTGCTGCCCTCCTCGCGATGCGCGTACCCATGTGGTCTATCCTGGGCCGTCTCCTGAACCGACTTTCCATCGTAGAACTAACACGGTGTGATTGTTTGGTAGGAGTTCAGGAGTCTTTTCAGCGACAGGCGAGACGCGGGTTTGAAGGCGGGCTGTTGGACTTGAGAACGTCAAGAAGACGATCGGTACAGTATGTCAGCAGCCGCCACTTCTTCTTCCGCGTCTGCTTCGTGTTGGTTCGATACCGCACCATGAGGGGAAGCCCCTTGCAGACTGACTCTCCTTGCTTTCTTTCGGCCACACCACCGCACAGCAACATGAGCCTCGAGACGATCTTGCCGACACAGCAAAAATGTTGCGTCCCATCTTCGACGTGCTTCTCAACCACAAGGGCACATCATCGAGCCCGAGGATGTCGGCAAACTCAGGGGTCGAGCACAGCGTTCCGCATCTCATCTGCGATGGCCCCGGTACAGTCACAGCCCTGTGTTGGTGATTCAGGGGAGCTCATTTCTCATGTTCCGAGTGCGTTCACCCTGCGCTGTAGCATAGTGAAGAAGAGTGTTCTGGACCGCGTTCAGGGATTTATTGGTCTGGTGGTAAATCGACCACAAGGATTCCCGACGACGCGGTCGATTTCTCAAAGCCCATAAACTCGAGAGTCGAGAGCCTCCAACCGATCCTGGGTGGGTGGGGAGATTGAAAGGTCTCGAAAGACTCGAAGCAAAGACGGACAGTCTCTCTGCGCTTGTGAAATGGCGCCGTTAGCTCGTGATACATTGTGACTGTGTGACCAAAAAAAGTTAGAGACCCAATACCTCCGGTAGTCTCGGTGACTGATTTGAGATGCTTCAATCGCATCACAGTTCTTATCTTTGCAAGTCACTATCACCGCCGTCGAGTGCGAGTTGGATGTAGTGCTCAGGATGGTTCCCCGACACGGTACGTAGAAGACTTGAGAAGAGATTCAACGGTGCATATTGGGCCTTTTCGTTTACTCGCAGTATTCGTCTCCCGGTTTGAAGACCTGGTCTCGTTCAGAGTTCGAGGATCTCGACTTCATCCCGAGTGAGGATGCCGTCTGACGTTTTGGCGATGAGACCTGTGCCATTTATGTAGGGCCCTTCAAGGAGGATTTATTCTTTGTCGCGACTCGCTCGTTTGATCCCAACCCCCTAACTTCCCAGGCGATAGGAGACGTGACGGGCTCTCGAGTCTTGGCCTCTCACCTGGGCAAGAGCCTTTCTTGAGGATGGCGGAAACCTGTCTTCATATCGTTGTTGTAAGAATGTTTACTCAATGCCCACCTTGTTACTCTAGCCACGGGCCTACATGTTGAAAAGGATAGCCATCTAGTGAACGAATGGGATGGGAAGATCTTCCGTATGCCAATCTGATAAATCGCCATAGCGCCATATGTTCATTTCTTCGATCCCATATGTCTAACGCTCTAAGCATAACAAAACTCCACAAAGACCTTGACCGGCACGAAAGCTAACATCAGTTAGAATAGTCGAAGACCAGGGTTAAACACGCCACGTGTTCTCGGTCATAAAACCATTGCTGCATCGTCTTTCTGTTTTGATCCCTCGTCCCCTCTGGACTCTGACGGATCGTCGGGCCCATCCTGCCTATGTTTCTCACTTGTAACTAGGAACACCTTTCTACACCCACGAATCTTGCCTCTACAGATAGGACAACGCCAGGTGCGATCGGCTCTTTGGGCCGTTATACGGGTGAGCTCAGAGCACCAATGGCAGATAGCCAGATGCATACATGGCTCCAGGAGAGTATCCATCTTGTGCTCTTTGCAGATTTGACATGCAATGCTAACATCCATCTCTTTAAGATCAAGGATGTCACCACGCTTTTGCTCGTCAATCGGGTTTGGCGCCCAGTCGTCCTCGTCCTCTGTATCATCCAGATACATCGAAGTCGGGCCGTGTGCAACAGAACTCCGGCTAGCTGTGCTGTTGAGAAGCAAATCATGGATTTGGTCAGAAATCCAAAAACGCCGAGACCTTAGTCCATTGTCCTGAGACACAGGTGGCGGCTCTGTTGTGCGCTGGGGGTACGAGGGAACACCAGCCGGTGGAAGATTAGACCTGAGTGGACTGGATGCGTCTTCAGAGCGACTAACCTGTCTTCGTGAATGCATAGCCCGCTGAGCTTCACGAGCCTCTCGTATCCGCTCAAACCGGCCAAACATGGCTGTCAACGGACTTTGGTAGTCCTCGGACTCAAGCTCCTCCCTCGTACCAAACGGATTTGTGATTGGCCGTCGAGCCTGTCGATGAGCTGGGGCTGATTGATTATACCCAGGATAGGCCGGTTGATGTTGAGGATTGATTTCATTGTTTCCGTGAGGATGATTGATATTGGCATCAGCAGGCCAGTGAGGAGCTACTTGCATCGGCAGGGAAGGGTGAGTGCTTTGTATTGTTGCTGCAGTCAAGCCGAAATGATCGAGGGAATTCTGAACAATCTGCGGTATATTTACTTGTACGTTCCCTTGACTGTTTGGACCAATCTCAGCTGCGGCATTTTGATCTTGGAAGGTCATGTTCGAAAGCCTCGGAAGATTGCCGTCAGGAGGCTGACGATGGTTGGCGTTCCAACCATACAGTTGGTTTGCTTCCATGTGCCGATCATGCTGTGAAGCCACTGTGGGCAGCGCAACACTGTGATTATGTGGGTTGTTGGTCCCTGCGTATTGGTTGGGGATTGCTCTGTCTGGATGTCCGTGGAAGTGGCCTCTATGGGAATGTCGATTTCTGTTGCGTCGATTTGACTGCCCGCTACGGACTCCATGTGGAGTTTGGCTCATGTTGTCTGTATGGAGAGTGCTAGGTTCACTATGCACAGGAATATCTGAAGGATCAGGGTTGCGAGGTAGCGAGTGAGCCGATGAATTGTCTGATACGAAATTCCAATAATCTGATGCCAAATTAACAATATGTCAATCAGCGAGTGACTGGTAGTTAAGCGAGCGAGCGAGCGACTGAGAATGTAATGGAGCAACAGAATGGATAACACAATGGTAAAGGGTCTTCACGCCTACCGCGGCACTTCCAGCAGTAACGTTGCCAGCGCTTTCCCTGGAGTTTCATGCCCTTGCCATCGATATAGATAGGATAAGCAGTTGCGAGTGGTCTCTTGTCGACGCACGAGCAGCATCTCGGCAGCGCTGTCAAGGCGCAGCCAATGTGCTCCTTGTGTTCGCAAACGCTGGTCATTTTGGTGATTCCGGGCTCGAACGGAGTGGTCGATTGGCTTCGGATGGTATGAATATATCGAGTTCAAGTATAGCACAGAAGCTCGGCTTGAATCTCATATCTTCGAATCACCCATAGGGCGCACAGCAACTACCTCTCGGCGGCAAAGGGCAGATGTGACATACATGGTCGAAGAAGAAACGACACGACGATACCAGACAATGTCGGTGTTTCAAAGCAACGAAACGTAATCACTTGGGCGTGGGGGATCTGCAAGGCTGAGGACGACGAGGCTGAGTGAAGGAGGCGACGCAGGCGCAGCAGCAACGTTGCTTCAGTACTTCAACGTTCACTTTTCACTGTCTCTGAGGCTCCATGCATGGCAATGCTGCTATGCTAGCCACCGCCAGAACTACACTCTCGCAACGATACTCGCGTGAAGCTGGTCTTCATCATGCCATTGCTCCCAAAACTTAGCCCGCTTCAATCGAGATTCGCGGCCTCTCTTGCAGCGTCAGCCATCCTCCTCCTAATCCTCTATCTCACCCTCTCAAAACCGCAATTCGCATACGCCCTTGAGCTCGACTCTAGAATACACTCCGAAGATCATAACCACTATGTGATATCTGAAGATGGGGAGGAGTGGGATGAGGACATCGCGATTCGCATATCTGGCCGTGCGGAAGCAGGAGTATCCGCCCTTGCAAACAATGCGCCTCAGAACATCAACATCAACACCGGTCAAACTCAGAACTGGGTCTTTCCCAGTGATGCTGTCAATGGCCCTCACGGTGCGATGGGGACAGGTCTCCCTGGCGACGGTATAGAAAAGAGGGACCTAACAGTTGATGTGCCCGAACTCAAGAAACGGCAAACTGGAACCCGGATATACGTCTCCCTGAATACCTGTCTGCAGCCTTCGTCAAATGCTACCAACAATACCTCTGACAATATCGTGCCTCCCCAACTTACCATGTACATATCTTTATCTGAGTCGAATCAGAAGCCGGGTCAGGATAGTAACGATCCTAACCAGCAGACCATCGACGTGGACGAAGGCTATGCTCTGTTCGAGGGTGAGGCTGACAGCGATGTCTATATAGGAGTATCTGCGCCAAACACTACCGACTTCGAAGGTATCTGGAATTACGAGGTGGCTGCATCTAATGATGCACCATTCCACAGTTACAGAGACACCAGCAATCTATACTTTGTCGACGGGGACAATCATGCAGCGCTTCTGATCACAAACGACACTACCGAAGCCGACTCTAATTCGACCATATATCAAGATTGGATGAAAATCAATCCACCCTGGGGTGTCTTTGCCGCGAACCAAAACGAGAAAACTATCCTCGGAGTGAGTAAATCGTTCTGTGGTCTCAAGAATAATGCGCGAATCGCTGCAAATATTGAAGGCTTTTCTCATCAGAATGTTGCCAAAATGACCAACAGAGGCCTGGGAGGAAAGCCAAAAGAGCAATTCTATGTGACTGGGCTCAATGCAACCTCAGAATACTGGGGCATGCTGGCGATGGTCGGCAATTCAACAGCATCGGGTAACGGTGTGGTTGGTGGCGGCGGCACCGTCTGGAAAGCTATTGACTTTCAGACGAAGACGGAAGACAACTGTGCCCTGATGTACAACCTTTCGTTCTGTTCTGAGGTCGCTTACGCCGTCCCCTCGAACCCTGACAAGTACCCTCCTTCCACCGGTCTACCGGAACTGGCGGCTCTCTACGACTCTTACGCTGCCCAAATGTACCAATACTTTAATTACTCTCTCCAGCAAATCCCATGCAACACCACCTCAAGCGCACAATACTCTCTGGCGCGCAACTGCGACGACTGCGCACGGGCGTACAAGCAATGGCTCTGCGCCGTCACCATTCCCCGATGTGTCGACTATTCGAACAACGACGCATGGTTGATGCCCCGCAATCTAGGCCAGCCGTTCGTCAACGGATCAAGCATTTCCCCTGCTCAGCTGAACGGCAACCAGCAGCTGTTGACGTCGGTAGCCACCAACTCGTCAAGAAACGCGATCATCGATCAAGTCATCCAACCCGGGCCGTACAAAGAAGTCTTGCCCTGCCAGGATCTGTGCTATGATCTGGTGCAGAGTTGTCCGGCGAGCTTAGGCTTCGCTTGTCCCTCCGCAGGCGAGGGTCTGGAGCTCAGTTATGGGACCAGAAGCAACGACTCGGGCATTATCACATGCAGTTACCTAGGCGCTGCCTATTATTTGAGCGATGCACGATCCATCTCCCCGTCGGGCGTCACCACCGTGGTGTTGCTGACACTGTCACTTTTAGCGATTCATGCGTTTTAGCCATGGTTAACAGTAACGGGGGCAGTTCACCGCCCAGGTTCGGCATGGTCTTGTCATGGACTTTTGTGGAGTATTTTCAGGACTGTCGGAAGAGCTTTATATATCAGGGCGATGGCGTTCGGAGTGACAACGTTAAAAGGCGGTGGTGGGACTGTCGTGCGTGGAAAACATGTATATAGTTGTCACAATAGACGAAATCGATAGGCACCTCTTTTCCTGTCCTCCTAACAGCAGCGCTTCTGTAGATGATATCTATTTCCCAGAGGTCCTCGCTTGAGAGGTTGTGTCGGCCTAGACTGAACGACACGTGGACCTACTTAATCTATCTGAGAGTGCACCCAACCCCCCATGTGCCTACCTAGGTACCTGAGTTTAAGCTATCCGTACCTGTTGAGAGCCACGCCGCTTCAGCGTTTCAAATCACTCCGCCTGGGCGTCCTCAGCGGCGTCCACATCCCCTTCGACACCGGCGTCGTGCTGCCCGTACTACCAGACGCGCCGCGCGCCGGCGTCCTGCCACCCAGTTTCTCCATCAACCGTCTCGCAGCGGGCGTCATGTTGCCTGACGTCTTTGAATTGCTTCCTCCGTCCACCGGAGCGCCGGCTCTGTCTCCTGGACGCAGACGCGTCTGTCGATCCTTGTCCCTCTTCTGTCGCGCAGCCTTCTCCACCATGCGGTAATGGAGGTCCTCTCGTTTCCGTATCTCGCTGAGCTTGAACGGGTTCGGGGTCGGGTCGGCGACCTGTCCGGCCAAGAGGTCTCGATAACTCGGACCGTCCGCGGCGGACGAGATGTTCTCGGGTTCGTCCTCCTCGACGAAAGCGTAGCCGTTGACACGAGGCGTCTCGCCCCCTGCGTAGTTGTACTCGGAGCCTCCGCCGCCGGCACCCGCGTCGGAGTCCGTGTCGGCGAGGCGGCGACGGCTGTTGACGATGTCCGTGTTCAGACTTGGGCTGGGCGGCACAGGGCCCGGGTCGTCGACGTACTGCACGGGCGGGAACCTTGTGTTCGTGTAGACGACTTGTTTGGGCCCGGCTTTGGAGTTCTGTTCGCGGACTTCCTGGACCGTCTGCAAGCCGTCCTCGTCGACGGAGGAGGCGTTGAACATGAATGTGTTGTCCGGCCGTTTTATGGTCCATGAATCCAGCTTGGCCGGTCGATCGTCAGTGGCCCCCGTGTGTAATGCTAGTTCCTTGCTCGTGGATGAGGAGGACGACTTGTCGTCGGCGGTGTTAAGGCGTTGCTGTTCTCGCGAGCGGTGCTCGAGGAGTCGTGTTGACGGGATCCGTTGGTCCTGCGTCCACAGGTACGCGTGCTTCTGCCGTCGTTTCAGATTCTGTTTGTCCAGCAGGGCGTTGAAAGACTCGTTGTCCTCCGACGTGTATTTCGCTTGGAACGCCGAGAGAGACAGACTTGACGTGTCGACACCAGGCTGAGGTTCTGCTGTGTCGACGGAGGCTGCGACGGACGCCACTGATGGCGTTTCGCTGCCTGTATATCCTAGTGGTGTGTCTGCGACAGGCTGTCCTCGTAGAGGTGTCGCCGACGGGTGGTCAAACCGGGTGTTTCGCGCAGTCCTCCTTTTGCCCTTGCTGGACGTTGGCAAGGCCGCTTCCCGTAGTTTCTGTGCTGCTTCGGCGACCCAAGAGTCGTTGCCTGATTCGAGAGCTGCGAGGTACTCATGTTGTGCTTGGGATTCGAGCAGGCCGGGAAAGTAGTCGCGTGCGATGATATCGGAGAGCGCCGTGGTATACTCGTCTTCGTCTAGGATTTTGGGCGGTCGTTTGATGCGTTTAAACGGTGGCGGCGGCATTGCGGCGACATCTTGGGCAGACGAGCGCCTCATAAGCGCCGTCGACGAGTCCGCAGATGCCATTCTGGCAAGGAGGTAAAACTGCGAGAAGGCCCTGAGCTGGTTTCGAAGAAAGTCTTCGGAACTGCAAATGTTGCAGGCAACAAAAGGTGGTAAATGACTCGTGTAAGAGAAGAAAGTGGCGGATGCCGAGTCAAAAGCCAGGACGTACAGGACCCACGAACCCTCAGTAGCCTTCTGACAACTATCCCAATTACAAGGCTGGGAGTTCTATGTGCTGGGGCTACGAGCTATGACCTGCTTGATCATTTGATACCAATGCGTTTCCATTCGCGATCATCTATCGCTGTACTGGTATCCTTGGAGGCTACTCCGTAGAATATGCTTGCTATACAGACCAAGAATAAATGCACCTAGATTTCAAATGCACAAAGACGACGCACCTCGCTCGCTATATGCTATGTCCGAGCCCCTGAGTCGTATCCCCAGCCAGATACTTCCGCCCACCATAGTACATTTCCAGGTGATCGCTTTGGAAAGACTTTTGCCCTTGGCTCGGAGCTCAACTCGTTGCAGCAGGTCTTCAGGTTTCGGAATGTCCATTCATCGCTTCCTCATCCTCGTCTTCGTCGTCATCATCGTCGGCGATCGTCCGGAGTTGTTTTCGCTGTCTAGGAGGTTGTGGTCTGACCTCCTCCTCCTCGTCTCTGGTATCGGCCATCTCTTCATCCTTATCTGAGGCAGACGACGCCGGAGTCTCAGGACCGGCACCGGGGGTAAGGGCAGCTTCGGGTTCATCTTCCAACTCCGAGTCCGAGTCGACAACCACCGCTGCAGACTTGTATTTGTCATTCTTGCGTGGCTCCTTTGCCTTGCTTTTTCTCTCCAACCTCCTCTTCTTCTTCTTTGGCTTCTCAGCTGCTGCTTCATTGTCGGAGCCACTAAGGGGAGTTCGCGACACGCTCTTTTCACTTCTACCGTCGGACACATCACCGTCATTATCGATGAAGCCGTCCTCATCGTCCCTCTTCTTGCGCTTGGTGCTGGTCTTCTTCGACTTTCGCTTGACACGCTCTCCAGTTTCCTCATCATCTGTATATTCTGCAGCCTCTCTCGCAGCAGCTTCAGCCCGAAGTTGTTCGGCGAGCCTTTCTGTCTCTTCAACAATCTTTCTCCGTTCTTCCGCAATCTTTTTGGCACGTTCTTCTTCCTCTTCTCTTCGGCGTTTGGAGGCTTCTTCGCGTTTGCGCAGTTCTTCTTGACGCTTCTCGATGGCTTCCTGGAGTCTTGTGGCATTCTCGCTCTCATATGTCGCCTGTCTTGTACGTTGTCGCTCAAGCTGATTGCGCATAGTATTCTTACCCATAGCTGCACGTTGCTCAAGTGCGCTGCGGGGATATGGCGGTTGTTTATGCCTGGCCACCTGTTCAAACGTCTCAATAGCCTGTTCCAGCCCAGCGATTGCAGCATCCACATCGGACAGAGTTCGATCAGTCTCCTTGGCTTGGTTGACGTGTTGTGCAATCTGGAACTGAATGAAAGCGACATTGAACTGCAGATGTGGTGAGTCCTCCTGCGTAGCTAGTGCTCGCCTCATGTAATCCAGTGCTGTATTTAAAGCCGTGATAGATCTGTCGGCCTTGCCCTTCAACAGCCATGCTCTCGCCAGGCAAGCGAGCAATTGAGCATTTTCGCCTTTCGTTTCCTTTCTCAGCGCAATCTCGTAGTTGTCAATGCCACGCTGATACTGGCGTAACTCTGTCATAACGTGACCTAGATTGATGTTGACAGAAGCATCACGAAGGGTGTCCTTGACTTTGGTGAATATCTGAAGAGCGTCTGAATAGGCCTTCTTGTCGTCGCAAAGCGCAATCGCAATACCCTGAGCGGCATATGCGTTCTTTGGGTCCAGTTGTAGAGCTTTGTCGAAGAACTCGTAGGCCTTTGCGTACATTTTGGTTCGCTTCTCTTTCTCCTGATCAGTATTTCGGGGCATATCTCTGGCAATAGTGAGATGCACGTTGCCCATCCCAGTCAGGGAATACAGATCGTGCTTGTCGTACCCTTGGAGAGTGTGCTTATAGTGTCGGTTTTCTGCATCTTCAGCGATGTTGCTGGTCTTCTTCTTCGCGCTATGGTGATACCAGCCCATCAAGGCTCTGACCTCTGTGTTGCCATAGTCGCTCTGATATACAGCATTGATCTTGCGAGGACCTTCGTCGCGTGGGGAGGTTTCAAGCGCAATGTAAGCCAGTCGCGCCAGGGCGTCCGTATAGTCGGGATGTCTTCCGAGGAGACCTTCATAGACCTTTTGTGCTTCGGTTATCAAACCTAGAGCTTCGTAGGTTCGGGCAAGGTTGTAAGAGATAGTTGTGACAAGAGCATCAGTGTCGCTGTTGTCCACATCTTCGGAACTGATCTTGTCCTCTTCCACTGCCTTTTTCTCAGCCTCTTGCTTTTCGGTCAATTTTACGCACGCATTGAGGGCAATCTGAAAGGTCTCTCGAGCGAGAGAAAATGACTCTTGTCCATACAGGAAACAAGCCATATTGTTGAGCAATTGAGGGGGCAAGTTCTCCCGCATTTGGGCAATATAGGTGGCTTCGTCTTCGCTAGGATCTGGACGATCCTCGTCGGGGATCTTTTCGAGTTGCATCGCTTCAACCTGTTGTAAACATTTGAGACTCTCGATTGGGTTCTCCTGTTCATAGAGACGTGCAAGATACAGCAAAACGGACTCATCTGGCTTAGCCCGAGATTTCTCGTCCTTCCAAGTCTTTCTCACATTCTCCAGCAAAGTGATCGCCTTTCTCGCGGAAGCTGCTTTGTCTTCCTTTGTAAGATTGGTCTGTGTCGAGAATGCTTCTTCGGCATATATACACCCTAACAGAGTCATCGCCTCGACATGTTTGTTGAGCTGGCCAAGAGATTCTAAGCGGAATTTGGCCCCTTGAGTATCTTGACTCTGAACCATAATCTGAATGAGGCCAAATTTCGCTGGGAAGTAGCCTCTATCCAAACCGCCTCTGGCTTGATCTGCTCGTGTATAGCATTCATTTGCCTTCACCAGGTCGCCTTTATTGTGCTCTTTTCTGGCCAACAAGTACCACCCATCACTAGCAATAGCATTGATGTCTGTTTGTTCAATGGCTTTTCGGGCAAGTGGTTCCACAGTGTCATATCTTCCAGTCAATAGGAAATAGCTTGCAAAGATCGCGCAGCTAAGAGGGAAATTTTTGTCGATTGTGTAGGCTTTCTTTGTGTGCTCGGAAATTGCTTTCTTATAGAGCACGTTGAACTGAGGATCCGATGCAGGGTACTTGGCGCTTTCATGAAGATAGTAAACTCCAAGGAGGGCGTGAGCGACCTTGGACTCAGGATTCAGTGCCAGGGATCTTTCCCACGCAGCCTTAGCACGATCGGGAAATCCTAGCTGCCACAGACAACACCCGATGCCTATCCGCGGATCTGGGTCGGTGAGACCGGGCATTTTGGCCAGCACGTCTTGATAGATTTGCAGAGCCGGGGCAAATTGTCTTTGCAGGTATAAAGTTCTAGCTTTCCCCATTGCAGCCATCATATTCCGCCCATCAGAAGACTTTAGCGCATCATCGAAGCACTTCAAGGCTTGTTTGAGGGATTCAGCTCTTTCAGCATCAGCACCGGTTCTTGTGGACGACTGTAGTGAAGCTCGGAGGAGGAAAAGAACACCTCGGGTGAGGTAAAGGGGAGGAAAGGCAGGGTTGATGCGCAGGGCATCGTTGATGGTGGTCGTGGCTTCTCGAAGATAGTGATCTTTGGTTTTTGCATCGCTGTTTGCTTGCGTCTCGGACAGTACACGAGGAGCCTGTCGGCTTTTGAGAAGATCGAGCCATGCTACGCATGCAAGCAGACTCAGCCGATCCTTGGGGCCGCTACGTGCGAGCGACCCGAGACCCTTGCCCAAGATCTCGACAGCATGATCTATTTGGGCCTGCTTCGCGTAAGCTAGAGCGATGGTTATCCACAAATTCTTTGCGGCCTTCTCATTTTCCAGCAACTGGCACAATTCGGTGGGATCGTCCAGGTGATCCTCGAGGTTGACCTCGACAGCCTCGTCTGCATCAAGGCCACCAGACACAGGGATATCGATGGCTGTTGGAATATCGACGAAACGCGAGGCGGGGGTGATGCCACTCAGCATGCCATTTGAGGTGTTGGTCGTGCCATTTCTGGCCACTGCCGCCGCCATTCTGAATGTTTACGATGTGACGAGGTATTGCTGTAAGTTTATGCTTCAGGACATCTTGAGGGCGTATTGAGATCAAGGGCGGATGTGAGGAGGGAAGACTTCAACGAGCCTTACAAGTGTCGATGAATGCACATTGATTTTCTCGATTCGCGACCACAGCGCGCCAGCTGCATTGACAGTTGAATGAGGAACGATGGTGAAGATGCACCCAAAAGTTTCTCCGCTCCGCAGCCACGCCTGCGCAGGGAGTCTAGCCTGCCAAGGCATTCACCCCCAAAACGGGAAACTTGATGATGCCGCCCTTGTTCACTAGTTGAACCTCATCTAGGCCATTTTAGATGTTCACGTACATCTTTGTTTCTCAGACGCGCAGACTTGCCTCAGTCACAGGTTGAGAGCCAGACTACAGCATGGCGATGGATGGATTAAACCGAGCAGAAGCGGTCAAGGCCTTCTTGAAACGTTTTACACGATCTGAGCAAGGAGGGCCCTTCTCTCCCCACCATCTGCTCATGGTCCCGCGCGTGTACTTTTTGCAGAGCTCGACTGCGCCTTGAAATGCATCAGGGCTCGTACATGGCGAACAATAAGTTGTTCTGTTATCGAGAACGTTAAAGAGATGTAGCCTACCAGATTGCGGCTGATTCCAGCGCAGCTGTGAGATTGAGCTTCTAGACAATTTGCGATTCATTCTGTTCGACACGTCTTCCAAGTACACTCAAATCTAGAGGAACCTGATGAAAAATCCTGGCTTCAGCTGACATTTTTCGCCTAGTTTCTCTGCTCCGCAGTCAAGCTTGCGCACGCAGTCGGACATGACGTGATGATCTTCTGGCATTGATCCATAGCACTGCCTGGAAAGGAGATCAAACAGTAGACATAGTTGCACACGCCCTTCGAAGCTCAGTTCTGCGCCTTGTTGGCTTCGAGGCCCAGCCTCGCCAACATCGTGAAGAGCTCCGCAAAGGCAGCCGAATGTGTTTGGCAAAGTTCGGCACAAAAGAGGAAGATGTCCATATTCGTAAGCTGTTCACGTCGCAATAAAAAGAAGTGATCTGTGAGCTCGGAACGGTTCGATCATTGCTTGTAGTACGAATGAGCCGTGGTTAAACTCATGTAGCTGTACAAATCTCTCCCTGTTCAGGGTACGAGCTTGTGGTGCTCGGGTCTTTACTTGGAGCAAGAGATTGCAATGACAGTATCCGTACTATTAGAGTGAGCGGAGAGAGTTTCGTTAAACTGAGAAGAAAAAAATCTATGATAAGAAATGCACAACAAAAAAAACTGAGAACTGACAAAAAGAAAAAGAAAGGCCTTTTGGGATTTGAACCCAAGCGGTTGCGGAGGTACAACAATATAAACCTTGATATTTTTTGATGTGGTTCAAAGCTCTGCCGAGAACCGTGGACCAAGGATCCTTTGAACCTGGTGAGTCTTAAGTAAGCTTTTCCTTCCGGACCCCTCAAACCTGAAATTTGCCGGACAGGACTACAGTACCAGTAGGTACAACACCTCTTCATAACCTGGGTGCGAAGCTGTCCTTCGCACTACAACAACTAGGTGTCTCATTGCCGAAAGCTACAATGAGTATTTCTCGGCTCAACCTCCTTCTCAAACTGTTCACCATCTACCTGCCGTGCTACAATCAGATATGCTTCTCTCGAATCCGAGTGATCGACTTGGTTATAATTTCAGCGGCATGCCATTCGTGATCAACATCAATTACACAATGTAAGAGGCCGCTGTGACTCTTGCGGGCAATGTCGGCGTCCCATTGATGTGCTCTGTTCCCCTATCGATGCTGAGCGGCACTCCTCGTGGGCCTTTCTTCCCCACAAGGCTCCCGGAGTCTCAATCTTCAATGAGTGTGGGCCGATAGACGACTACGAGCATCCCGTTTCCGGGTTCCGGCTCGCATCTCCTAGTTCTATGTGACGAAATTCGGGAGACTACCCATACAGAAGCCCGCGGTCCCGTGTTTCGGCACCTATATAACCGATAAATCAAAATGCTATCCGATGGAAAAAGAGGCCCGGCTGCCGAAGGCACTTCTCAACTCCAAGCTCGACATTGGACTGACTAGAGACTTTGGCTCTTGAGAGCACTTATTACCCCAGTGTCCTCGCACATCGCGGAACCATCTCCCAGTTTAAATCGACGTACAGGGTACCGGGTGAAATGCCTACAACACCGCTAATCATGGCACCTGTCACTGAGACCGTCCTTGCCCCAATGTCGGATGAAAAGATTCCCGCCGACTACAGCGGTGACTCCGGCCAGAAGCTCAAGGATCTTTTCACGACCATCGTGGCCCAAGATGGCTGCCAGCAACTTTTCTGGGGTCCCCAGGTGGAAAACCCAGGGACATTGTGCCTCTTCGTCGACTGGGCCAGCGTGGACCACCACAAGAAATTCATTGCTTCAGAGTGGGTGGTTTTTCGTAACCTGACCTTAGTACGGTGACTCCTCGGTCCAGCGCTGACGCATAACGCAGGGCCTACAAGCCGTTCGTGGAGGCGTTTACGGGGCTCCTGACCGGCTCCATGAGCATGTACCATGTTGGTTTCGATCCACACCCACCGACGCCTACGCTTGTCGGCAGCACTCCCCAGGTCACCGAGTTCATCACGGCTTACTTTCCCAAGGACTATTCCGCCGAGAATCAAAGGACCTTCCATGAAATAATGCTTGCCTTTGGAGATGTCGTTTCCAAGACAGCCAAAGGATTCAAGGCTTCGCGCGGCGGATTTGTCAGGGAGGAAGTCACCGATCCAAAGTCCTCCGAGCCGTGCTTGGGCTATGTGACCCTCATCGGCTGGGAGAGCGTGCAAGCTCACTTGGACTACAGAGAGACTCAGGCTTTCAAGGACAACATCGTCTCTATGAGAGAAGCAAAGGATTTGCGGAACGTTACAGTCTTCCACGTAGATGCGAAGCAGTTCTGAGTGATGGCACTTGAAGCAGGTATGGCGTGGACAGCAGGGAGTGCAGCCGTGGAATCTCATGAAGCTCCCCCTGATATCTTGTCCACATTGAAACCATAGTAAGCCCGTTGAAGCCTCACGTATATTTAAGTGTTTCAACTCCCACCATCTCCGCCTCCTTATTCAAGCTCGCAATCTCGGCTTCCGTAAACGGAATTCCTTCTCGTTCTCGCTTCTCCTTGTTCAACAACTCAATCTCGCCGGGGAAGTAGATGCGATCAATGCCCGCCATCTTCTCGCTCCCAACGACACGGTCGTACAGGTACTGCATCCGCTCCTTGAAGTCAACCAAGGACATGAACAGGTCCGGCTTGATAGCCACGATGAAATGACCGACGTCGGCGGTCTTGGTGAAATCATAGGGTCCGCCTACATTGCCCGCAAAGGCAGAACCGGAGAGCACACCGGAGAATACGTCCATCATGATCGCGAGGCCCGAGCCCTTCGGCCCTCCCATGGGCAGCATGACTCCCTCAAGCGCGCGGGCAGGGTCGTCGGTCGGCGCGCCGTCCTTGTCGAGCGCCCAGTCCGTGGGGATCTTTTCCCCGCGCCGCAGAGCCTTGTAGACCTTCCCTCGAGCCGCGACCGAGGGCGCCATGTCCAGAATGAAAGGAGGTCCGGTGGGGCCGCCGGGGGCCCCGCAAGCCAGCGGCGACACGCCCATGGATTTGCTCCGGCCACCCCACACCGGCAGGGCGGGCGACGAGTTGGTGAACACAAGAGACATCATGTCGGCGTCGACAGCCTGCTGGACGATCCACGCCGCCATGCCGTAGTGATTCGAATGTTTGACCGACACCATCCCGATGCCAAACTGGCGGGCCATGCTGATGGCGCGGGTGACGGCCATGTCGGCGGCGACAAAGCCGAATGCATTCTTGCCGTCGATGGAAGCAACGACTGGCGTGATTTCAGTCACCTCGGGCGAGGCAGTCGGGTCGAGGATCTTGCGTCGGATACGCTCCATGTATGACGGGATGCGGTTGGCTCCGTGGGTGTCGACACCTCGAAGGTCCGCTTGCACGAGACCATTGGCGATGATTTTCGCATGGTCGGACGATACTCCATTTGCTGTGAGAACGGATTCTACAAACCTTTGAAGGTCGTTTGGTGGGAAGTAGTATACTTGTTGTGAGGTTGCCATATAGACGATGTTCGTGGTGTTAGGAAGGGAGAGCAGGTTGTGCGGGGACCGCTAGGGTGGAATTTTCCTTCTTGAGAATGACTCGAAAGATATATTCCGGGTCTCTCGCTTTTCATCGTTTTATGCCAGATCAATACATGTAAAGAGTAATTGTGACTCTACTCGGTATGCTTCCGTGCAATGGACGGGACCGAGCAAGTGATTGCGGGAACCAATATATATATTACCCCTTGGGCATCCACGGACTATTTCTCCGCATGAATCAATCAAAACGGAGAAATATTGTGAGTCACCATGAACTCTCACAATTCTCGATGCCTTGCAATTTGATCTTAGATTATATGGTAAGGCGGCGGTGCGGGAGGTCGGTAGACAAGTACACAACTACATGTATGGGATGTTGGACAGCAAGAATGGCTGCACAGTGTCTCCTTCCAATGGAATCAGCCGTACTTTTGAGTATTGTTTTGGATCCATGACGGTGTAGTCGAGAAGCGCCGACAGACCAACTAGCGGCAAGCAGCTGTTCAAACATCAACCCTCATTCAATTCAGAGCACGACCATCTAGTCCCGCTAATATGGCTTCATTTCTGTGTAGACCAACTGTCAGACCGAACAGAGGGAGTGTCGCGAGGCGAGCCGATTGTTCTGGGCACACAAGCTGAAGTTTGACGCGTCTCGGGAGTCAATAAGCCGGAACATTGAATTGAGACTCTATAAGTGTATGCCACATGGCCACCAGGAGTCATCGTGTCAAGTGTCCCGTTGTGAATGCTCGCCTTAGGAAACGTGCTGAGAGAAGCATCGCATTCTTGACGTGTACAGTGTCTCAAGCGAATGAAGAGACAAAAAAACGGCTGACTCTAGAGCCAACACGAACGCATTCACAGCGACCGTCTTACTCAGATAGTTGCAAGTGAGACGAAGGATCTTCATTGCTGAGATACGAGATAAAATGATGCCTCGCACTGGAAGATAAATATTGTAGAAGGTTAGCCGGGAAGACGTCATTTCACCCAATCGCGGTCTTTCGAGCCCGTAGATTTTGCTAACCATAAGAATACCTCGTAACTGAGCCTCTGCCCGACGAGCTTGACCCTGCTCTAGTCATATCAGTATGGCTACCGATGTAGTATTGGAGACCACCATGGTAAGCGCCCTTTGTGCACAATGTACCTCGCAACTTGATATGTTGACGAACTTTGATAGGGTGCCATCACCGTCGAGCTCTACAACGACCACGCTCCCAAAACGTGCAAGAACTTTTCCACGCTTGCCCAGCGAGGCTACTACAACAATGTCATCTTCCACCGTATCATCCCAAATTTCATGATTCAAGGTGGCGATCCCACAGGCACAGGACGAGGTGGCTCCAGTATTTATGGGGAGAAGTTTGCAGATGAGATCAGTCCTTCGCTAAAGCACACTGGCGCAGGCATTCTGAGTATGGCAAATAGCGGCAAAGACACCAATGGAAGCCAGTTCTTTATCACACTAGCTCCGACTCCGTGGCTAGACGGCAAACACACAATCTTTGGCCGTGTCAAGAGCGGGATGAAGGTTGTGCAGAGAATGGGCTTGGTCAAGACGAACGGCGAGGACAGACCCTTGGAGGAGGTCAAGATAATTCGGGCAAAGGTCGCTGAGGTCTCTAATGGTGACTAGAAGGTCACATCCTGTATGTCACGAAGACTCCCTGCAGAGACCGGCAGACTCATTCATCATTGCTCCTGGATATGAACCAGCGACCTGTGCAGTCCATGACAGGAACGGCCATCTCATTGTAATTTGGTCAAGTTGCAGTCGAACTGCGTCCTCATGGTCTCGACCGAGGTCGACTTTCCCCTGACAGCCGTGTCCACGTCGACGGTCAAAGGATAGCGGCTGCAAGATGCAATGAGACAGCAAACTTCCAAAGAATGGATGGTCCAATGAGCTTCTCAAAGGCCACGGTTGGAGCAGGATGAGGCCGCACAGAGAGCACAATCATGAGACACTCATCATAGAGGACGTCGGAGAATCTAGGTCAGTCGGCGACTCGACCATGTCCGGCGGAATCCGAGACGTTGACAATCGAGAGAACATCATGGGAGACAGAGCCTTGGCGATACTACCTGACGTCTAGCTTTTACCAACAGCTAGAGTCAAATGCGGCTGAGACATTGCACATTCTGATGCGCGTCGTATCAACTCTTGGGCCGTTGCGATGCCATGAGGCCTTTTGCAAAGACTAGACCTTGAGCGAGCTTAATGCCATGTGGGAGACCTTCGACTGAGGATGGCTGGCTTCTCTATGGCGGAAAAGCAATTGCTACTTTCAGGTAATAGCGTCGGCCTACCAAGGCATGCGTGTCAGCATTGTTCCATGTTTGTGACCTACACCTAGATAGGCACTTACTATAGTTATGCAATATCATGATTGAGCATTATCTGTACCGAGATAGGTTCACTGTGTACATTGTCCATGGATGGATGTGCGAAGTTCATTATTATTGGGGGCGATCAATATCAGCTCGTTTCGATCACTGAGCAGAATAGGTGCTGATCGACGCCGGACTCGATTTCGTGCATATCGAGGTTCAGGTCGCCGCGGGCCTGATCGACGACGCTGCTACTCGTACTGTAATCATCTTGAGTCATCATCCTCGCACTCTGTACCTTATGTTGACTCGGTCTCGGTATCCTCGACCGAGTTCGGTCGCCCCAGAGTCAAGACTTTTCTGACAGCAGCGTGGTCGCGAGTCCTCGTGGCAGAGTCAAAGCCCCGGCGACAACATCCAAGAAACAGGACCCCTTCCACTCTCACCATTCCGCTTCCCAGACGCGCTTGAGAAGACCCTGAAGGGCTTGAGTGCGATACGCTCTCTGGTTCGTGGACGGCGTTGCAGCTAAAGATGCACGACGATTGAGAGCTCACTCAGCGGGCGCTTACGCGGAGGCTGCGATTGGCCTCATCCAGGTCTCGGCTGCGAACCTCGTTCTGCAACGTTCCCACCTCGGTGTCTTTCATCCTTTATCACATCATTCCATCCAATCACTCGTCCTCTGTCTGGCGTCTTCATCGTCGCTCCGGTCATTTTCTTGTCCAACTGCTGCCCTGCATTCCGAGTGAGTTTCCAAGCCATTCCTCGGTCCGCTCCAGGTCCACTCGCCCTTCATGAAGTCGATCGTCCACAGGGCCAATGCACGCTCACTTCGAAGCGCTGACTCTACCGCTGACTCTCGCTGGCCTGTAAAAGCCGGCAGAAGGTCCTCGAGATGTGTGTTACCATTGCTTCCAAGATTCGGTAGCTTCTTGCATACTCCCACCTTCAGTCGATATCACGGTGAGTAGCGGGGTGAACCAATTCCTCCACGCGCGGGCTCGTTCTTCGTCACCTCGTTGTCTGCTCCGTACTGCTCGCTGTTTGAATGCAGTTCTATATCGCCTTGTTCCACCTCCGTCCTCCTTCTCGTCGCTATCCCAGAGGCATGAGGTCCTTCGGTTCGCGTTCATTACACTCGCTTTTCAGTCATTCTCCCCGAGAAAGCAGGCTTTCTCTATTGTAACAATACACAGTCTGCGATTTTCACCACAGGCCATTGACTGGCCAACCCATTGCGACCGCTCTCCCAAGAACGACACCAGATCCAATAGATCCGGCCCTCGCGACCCCCAGGCCTCGGTGCGACCGTACGGTCGGCCATATCCTGAAAACTCATCAGCTGGCTGACTCTTGCTCATACAACCTCTTCACAACCCACAGATTTCCGGCACTTCATGCGAAATGCAGTCAGGAGCGACTGAAGCTTTGGCGCAGTTGGCGAAAAGAGAGGAAAATGCGTGGCCGTCGCTGGCAGGAGGCTTGGTAAAGAGAGTTAACATTCCCATTAACAGCACGACACCACCTGCATTGGTGGCTGCCATCCAGCATGATCCATTCAAGAACTCTGCAAAGTATGGCTTATTGTTCGTCTACATTGGAATCATTCTCTTGCTCAGTGCGACATTGATGCGATTATACTACTACTGGGGCGATAAGATCCGGACGGCCTTGTACAAGGAAGAAATCATCAATTCCGCCCTTTCTGCATCTGCCACGAGTCCTATGAACTACTTGCCCACGCGTGGCTACACCGATTACGAACTACCCAGTGCCTACAGTGCGCAAACAGATGGCTCAACGAGGCACTTCTTTCCAAGTAAGGGTCCGCTCGTCCCAGAGAAACCCAGACAACAAGCAGCTGTTTCCGCCATCGCACCATTAAACAATACCATCGCTGTCTTTAGATGGATCTTCTACCGACCCATCCCGGCCTTGAACGTCGGAAAGTCCAGGTTCACTTTTCCGTCTCTGGGCGTCTTTGTGATCATCACAATCTCGTTACTGGCTTCGTTACTCTACTGCTTCCTCCCTCGGCCATTGTTCTACGCATCGATGTCTTATGGGTCACCACCTATGGCGGTTCGAGCGGGTATGATGTCGGTGTCCCTGCTCCCCTGGTGTGTAGTACTAGCAACAAAGGCGAACCCAATTTCATGGATGACTGGGATTGGTCATGATCGGCTCATCGTCCTGCATCGCTGGACTGCCTATCTTTGTGTCATCTTCGCCATTATTCATGCTGTACCTTACTGGTATCAGTCGGTCAACGATCCAGAGGGCTTTGCAACGTTTAAGCTCTACTTCAACCAAAAGTGGTATATCTTCACCACCGGCATTGCAGCCATTGCACCTCTGCTATTCCTCGCACTGCACTCTCTTCCGATTTTCCGAGCCAAGATGTACGAGGTCTTCGTTATCCTACATATCCCTGTGGCATGGGCTTTCATTGGACTCCTGTTTTGGCATTGCAACAACTACCTCCGATCTTGGGCTTACCTCTACTCGACAATCGCTTTGATGATTGTGTCCTTGTTCGCTCGACTGTTCTTCCTGAACTGGATGAATCCGTTCCGCTCTTCTTGGCTCATCGGAGAAGAGTCTGCAGTGACAATCCTGCCCGAGAATGCCGTCAAAGTCACCATTCCCACTCAAAAGCGTTGGCGTCCCGGCCAATACGCATACCTGAGAATGCCTGGTGTGTCGGTACTAGAAAATCATCCTTTCACCATAGCATCTCTTTGCAGCGAAGACTTCCCTTCCCAGTACGGAGAGCAATATCGCGATATGACACTAGTGTTTCGCCCGTTCTCAGGCTTTACTCGCAGAGTTCTCGACACCGCCGTCAAGAAGGGGCCATACAAGACATACAGAGCCTTCGTCGATGGACCGTATGGTGGCATGCAACGCCAAATGGCCTCTTTCGACCAGGTCGTCTTCTTCGCTGGCGGAAGCGGCATCACCGCCATCGCCAGTCAGCTACTTGACCTGATCAAACGAATGCGCGATGGCAAAGCAACAACGTCCAAAGTCAACGTTATCTGGGCCATGAAGCGGCCCGACATCATGGAATGGTTCAAGGAAGAACTCCGCATCTGCAGAGAATGCGCCCCTCCCGGCTCCGTTCAATGCCATTTCTACATCACCGCGGCCAAGCGCTATGAACCAGGCCTTCCGGAGATTAAAGAGCACCGTCTCAGCGGGATAAGGGACAAGATCTCCGACGCCATCCACAGCGCCGGGAGCAAGCGCAACTCGGCCATGATGATAATGGACGCGGAACCCGACCTGAAGAAGGAGTTTGAGGACCAAATCACGGCCCTCCCTCAAGCCTACCTCACGGGGCCACGACACCTGGCCCCACCTGGCGCCGACCAGCAGCAGCATCAGCAGCACCAGCAGCAGCAACAACAACAACAACAACAACATCCTCATCATCCCCAGACATACTTCCCGCCTCCTCCGAAAGAGGCACGCATGTCCACCATCTCACAGGCACAGATTGAAGCGACACGTGCCTTTGACTTTGGCTTTCCCCAGACACCGACCAAATTCCAGAAGAACCTGATGCGCTTCGCCTTCCTGCCGACCGGCGTGTCGAACCGCCGCGACGGCTGGCGCACAGAGTATGGCCGCCCGGACATCCCGTACATGCTCAAAGGTCTGAGCAAGGAGTTCGGCCGTCGGACGTGCGTGTACGTGTGCGGGCCCCCAGAGATGCGAACAGATGTCGCCAACACGGTAGCCCGACTACAACGCGACGTATGGAGCGACAGCGGCAAGGACGAGATATTCCTCCACGCCGAGAACTATGCTCTCTGATTTCTCAAATCCTTCCATCCTCGATCCTTCCGATCCGCCGTAGCCACTAGATCACACGGCTCTGAAACAAGTGAACTATTGTAACTAGTGGTGGTGGTGATGGTGGTGATGGTGCAGGGTCGTCGGTACTGTACAGTTGTGTTCTTTTTCTGTGGCGTTTTGTGAACCCGTCGGTGATTGCGAGCGTTGGAGTTTGCGGAGGAAAAGGGACAGTCGGTCTTTAATACACTCTATCAATCTACAAAATCGGCAACGCCATAGAGATTATACCAGGTTTACGTTTACGAAGGCGAGGATGGAAGAGTGGCCGTTGTGACGATGACGATGATGACGACGAGGGTGAGGACGACCATGTTTTTCTCTTAGTGTTCATGGATGGTATTGGGTGTCTGTCACAGCGCCATCCGGCGCAAGTCGCCTCATGCACGATACCCCCCTCTTCTCTCTCCCTCCCTCTCTCTCTCTCGATTATTTTATTTTCATTTATCATCTCTTCTGTGGGTTCGACGATCGTCGATGTCTATCTTGTGCCGGGGGGGAAGTGGTAGCGGAGATGGTGGGAGAGAAGCGAACCAGGTAATCTAGCTATAGCTCCCTCACTTGTACGAGGTATGAGTGTAGCTTTGGATAAAATCATGTCAAAGTCAAAGACAATGGCACGTACGTGATGATACGATACGCCTGAGTTCCTAAAGACCTACAGCAATACTGTCTCCCCCGTAAACCTAGGTACTATGACCCCGGCCAACACTTGGGTCTGCACGCATCAATACCGCACCTGCGTGCAGACCTCTCAATACCATACCTAGGTAGGTAGTACAGGAAGTATACATAGGTCTAGTGTATCCAATACTCCGTGCAGGACTCGAACATACCTCCACCATGACACACTCAGGTACCTAGTCAACCAACAAGTCTACACCTAGGTATCTTCATCCGCCGCAAATCTCCCATATGCCCAATCGTCCGATCCTTTCACCGGCGTTACGCACAACGCACAATCTTCGAAGTCTCTCGTGTTCCTTCGTCTTTGCAGCCAAAGTGTCACGATCATCACGCTTCCACCCTTCCACGAGCCGCTGTGCCCAGATCGATCCCACGGCCGTCCCGCGACCTTCGGCGAGATTGTACCCTCCGGAGGTCACGAAGCCAATCAGATCATGCGCATCCGGACACGGCGGGTGTTTTGACCATTCGTCCTCGGGGGGGCATGTGTCGATCAGGTCTCGGAATGCCTCGAGGGGCACAGAGATCCCTGCGCCATTATCATCATTATCATCGTGGCTGTCGAGATATACGCTCTCCTCTTGCTTCTTTTCGCGTTGAGTCTCTTTCTGTGTTTTCGCGGTGTCCCTGTCCTTGGTCTGGGCCTTGCTGTTTCGTTTCTGGTTCCGCGCAGCCTTGGCCGGGAGGGCCGTTGGCTCTTTCGGGATTTCACCGTCGCCACGGCCAAAAGCACTGTTTGGACCAAATTTATCTATGACCTCTTGTGGCGCGTTCTTCGGCAAAACGTTAATATGGGCTAGCGATTCGCGAGCGTACACGCGGTGAGCCCGTGCGAGTCCGAACCTATTGAGCTTTTGCTTCGGAAGGCGAGCATGAAGCTGGGAAATGTTGGTCTTCGTATCGAGGGCGAGCCATTGGGCACGGAGGTCGCGCATGATATTAGTATCGTGTGAAGAAGCTGTTGTGCTTGTGGCGGGTGGAGGCTGCGCTGGAGGTGGTTCGGATGACCACAGTTGCGGTCGATCCTGAGAGTCAGCGTCCGCATTGGTGGTCTTAGAACCTGAAGGAGCGGCCACCGATGTCGTGATCGACGGCAGCCGGTATATTCGTGCCGCAGGTGCCGGTGTTCCTTTGTGTAGCAACAATATGCGAACAGTTATCAGTCCCGGGACCGAGGGCAGAGTGGTCGAATTCGGCTTCTTGCACAGCGAAATACTCCTGCTGGGACTGAGGTGTGTATAGGCCTGCTCGACGGCTAGAGTGGCCATCTCATCCTCTTCGTTATTTTTTGGACCTGGAGTCTGCTGCTGGAAGGTTGTGCCTTCATTTGCATCTGCTTTGCCTTGTGCTGTAGCTTTCGCAGCCTTGCGTTGTCGTTGTGTCAGTAACACCGGCTCTTCGGTGCTTTTCGACTGTTGTTCAACTTTACTAGGCACCCTCTGTCCCTCGACTTTCTCGACGCCCCGGAACAAAAATTCCCAATCACAAGCCCAGCCACACCCAAGCTCCCCGCGCCTATTAAGTCCCAAATCCAGCTGATCCCAAGCAATCCTGTGCTTTGGTGGTCTTCGGATCCACTCATCGAAGCGTTTCTCGCTCTCGGTTCTTTCCCATGCTTTGCCTGCTTCAGTACCGGGAAAGTCACCAGGGAACCAGGGTGCTTGGTGTTCAAAAGCCAATTGTTGCTTCTGGAATAACCCGCCAAAGCGTGGTGTTCCGCCAGAGGAGAGAGGATAATACATCAGCGACCGCCAGACGGGATCAACACATTTCCAGGGCAGCAGAACCGTCCAAGTACCTTGTGGATTGCCGCAGTTTAAGCTGAACCCTTTCTCTGCTCTCGATGCTAGAAGTATGACTGGTATCCGGGGATCTTTTTCGGTCACGGCTGGCTTTTGCCCCGGTGGCGCAAGGGCTCTTCGACGGTTGATGGCGCCCTGTGATGGCAGTGAATCGCTGACTCGCCATCGCTCGCGGTGTGATGTCAGCCGTGACGGATTCCAAGACTTGTCCAACGGCCACGAAACAAGGGTTTCGTCTAGTTCAGTATTATCAGAACTGATCTCAATCCTCCTGGGTGGATGGTTGAGTCGTGGATCGGTGATATCGAAAGAAAGCGTGGCATTTTGCGGTATCGAAGCAGGGTTGTTTAAGCCACGTAGAGATTCCCATGTTGCCACCGCTTGGTTCTCTGTGCCGACGAACGGTCGAAGAACGCCTAATAAGGTTTCTGTCGAGCCAGGGCCCTGGATGTCAACGCTTCCAATCTCGAAGCGCAGATCTTCTATCAGGACTTGAGGTTTCTGCATCTTTGCTACTCTGAGTAATTCCTCCCACAGTTGGTGAAATGCCGCAGGATGTAGCCGCATCAGAATTTGATGATCAAGTTTGCTCTTACGGTTTGCATGAGGATGTCCATTTAAAGCTCGTCCATTTTCTCCATCAACCTCCATGGCATCTGCAGAGCTGGCAGTACTGTTGTTCGTCGACTCGTTATTTGGATGCATGGCCCAAATGATTTGGACTGGGGCAATTGGCTTTCTGGTGCCATCTCGCTCAAAGATCCAGCCTTCAGCAAACCTTGTGCCCGCTTTCCATTTCTTGTGGAGGCTGGGAGAAAGGTCGTTGGGAGAGAACCCAAGAGCATTTAGCAAGCTGTCCAATGCAAGCTGGGTCCCCCGGCAGGAAACGGTCGACATGTAGCTCATGTCCCACGCTACGCACCCGTGGGCACCAGCCGCACGGTGACTCGGACGATAACTCTTCTCTGTTGGACGGAGTGGTATTGCGAGCCTCCATAATGGCTCAGTGGGGCGAGTCATATGCGCTCTTTTCGCGTGCCAAAGGTGAGTGGGCAACCATGTCTTGTTTATTTGCCTTCTTTGAAACTTCACGGTGGCTTTGGGCGGCTTTGCCAGTCTGTTCTTCTTCGGCCTTGGTATTCTCTCAAGGGAGATATGGTTCTCGGGATCTGTTTGCTTTGCATTGGCTTTGAGCTCCTTCTTCTGTTGCCGCACTGTCTTTCTCTTCTGGTTCAACTGCTGTACACGTTTCGCCGTGTCGAGTCGCAGTCTCAGTCGTTTCGATGGCGTCCGCGTTCGCTTGGTGACCGTGGGAGTATTATCTTCCTTCATCTACCCAGCCTAGTCAGCATTGTCAGTCCCAGCGTCTCTCGATGAGAATTGTTCCACCAACCTCACGCTTTGCCCGCCCCCGCAGACGTTTGGGCACCTTTTTGGCATTGTGACTGGCAGTCCGTCGGCGCATGTGCCTCGGGACCTGCTGGAAAGCTCTTTTACTCAGGGCATCTCTGGTCCTCTGCATGCTCCTTTCCAGAGCGCCAATCTCGAACTCCCGTGCTTTCACGAACGAAGCAACGTTAAGCTCTCCATTGGCGGGCAACGCAGCCTGGGCGGGCTGGACAGAAATTGCCCTGGCATCAAAGTATTTCTGTCGTTTCCGGGACTTTGAGGGCTGGGCCTGGTTGGCAGAAGCCGCCTTGCGCTTCTGGCCCGCCGGTTGCATCGGAGGAGGCATTGTCACTGCGCTATGACATGTTGGGCGTGGTTCAGTATGTAAACGCGAAGACGCGCTTTTTCTGAATCTCTAATAAATCGAAACCCCGAAACCCCGGATTTGGATTATGTCATCCTTGGCGTTGGGTATACAGACATCACTTTCTGAAGGTTTACTCTGTAACTCGACACCTCCTTGTATCCATTTCTATACTTACTGGCTCCCTTGTCTCCCACAGAGAGGGAGAGAGAAAAAAAATTGAATGAAATGCGAGATTTCAAGTTCCACCACCCACAGTCAAGACGCCTTCCAGACATGCCCATCTGGTTTGATCCAACCTTGACCTGGTTCTGATGTTGTGTCATCCCCAAATTTAATTCTGGATAATCGTGGTTGTCGTCGGGATTCGAACGCGGGCCTTTTTCGCTTTCCTCCTCGCCTGAGTGAATGGCCGTCCACCACACCGCCCATGTGGTTTTAACCTGCGCCATCACTTTAGGGGTCTTGGTGATTTGGAGGGAAAATTCGCGGGTTTAATTGATAACATGTGTATAGTGAGTGAATGATTCTTTGGGCGTCCTCCTCGATGAGAGTGCGACATGATGCACTTCCACGTCAGCCCAGGACCTAGGTAGCCTTGAGCTCCTTGACGTCGCTATTTCAGCTCTCGGTTTTTATCAAGACTTTGCCACGGGTTGACCTGGAATACGAGGTTCGTCAAGCAATTGCTTTCAAAAGTGCGGTTCACCAGTCTATCTCCCTCCCCGCCGGCGTCTGAATGCGACATACAACTACCTGCTCGATGTGCTCCCGGCCCTGCACGGGCTACGAGGTGCCTTATTCGTTCTACAAACTCTCAACGGCCAGAGCACCGACGTCGCCGTTGCGCGTACAATGCAGTCTTACCTCGTCAAATTCGCCATGGCGGTAATCCCCAACGGGCTGGGTCTGCCGTATTTCTCCGTCCAAAGCGACAAGGCCAGGCAGATGGGTTTGAACGCCACGTTTTCCGCAACCGGTGGAGGCGTCGCGCCGGACTTTATGCTTCAATGTATTTCCACCGTCAACGCGGGATGTGCTTGGCTGCAAAAGCTATTGTACGCTTGGATAGCGATGATTGATAAGAAAGAGAACCTACACAAGCCATGAGAAATGATCAGCAGAGAAATGCCGCTCTGAATTACTATGGTCCAAAGTTACACTTTGGACGGTAGTTGATTGTAGTGTTGGACGGTAGTTGAAAAGTAAAATGATCAGGCGAGCAGAGTAGAACAGAGCACCAGAGCGGAGAAGAGCTAGATACTTCTAAACTCGATCTACACAAAACTTTTACATAAAGGGGTCATGAGGTACAGAGACACCAACCAGTAGGGGGCTGGATAGGTAGGTAAGTAGGAGGTACCAGTATCGTACAATATGGAGAAATAAAGCAAAACCAAAAAGAATCTTTTCAGGTCCGATCTCATCATGCTGCCAGCAGTGGCAGTCCAAGTTCAAATGTGAGAAATTGCTAACGGCAAGGCATAATTTCATTCGTCGTCGTCCACAACAGCCTCCCCCCGTTTGTGTATGAAGATCCATCGAAAATTCATGCTCGATTGACGGAAATTCCAAAAGGTCCGACCGAGACCATCTTAGATTTTCTTCCCACTCGCAGCCTCCCCATCGACAGTGTTGACAGGTTACGGCGTCTGACATCTCAACATTTCTGGTCGATAGTAGTAAATATGGGCGGTCCCCACAGCATATGCGATGTAAATGTTTCCAAGGTGACATTTCCGGGTACAGCTACTAACAGCCGCACAACCTGACCACAGGCAGTTCCCGCTCTTTATTGAATTTCTCCCAGGTACGTGTCGAGAGTAAACATAGGTGGTAAGGGGACATTCGTCCTCGGTGGTCCTGGGGTGCCGTCTTCGGCTGCGTCTTGACTTCTCGCCTGACTAGTCTGTCGAGTTCTGGTCGGTAAGCTTCTTGGCCTAGTCCAGTCTTCGCCAAACCCTGCGGAGCTTGCTGATGCAGGGGTCGACTCCCGAGTAGAGTGCTTCGTGCCAGACGAGCTCAACGGGCTACGTTGGATTTCTTCACCAGCTTCCATCAGGCGAGGGTTCTGTTGCATCCGTTGGTGATCGCTCAGCGCTTCTCGCCAACTTGTCCCCCACGCATGCTTCAATGGTTCGTACCACAAAAACTGCTGCATGGCACGGCTCATGGCAGACCACGATCTAGCTTCGGGGAACTTCTCGAAGAATGTCTGGCACAGCCACAAGCTCTCGTGGCTCAAGTCGTGGTCCAATTTCCATGAGGCGATCACAATCATCCACATCCAAATCAGACAAGCCCTCTCGGAAGGAGTATCCCAAGGAGTGAACTTAAGAGATCTGGTTAGCTCTTGACGGGCCCCGCGATATGGTGTGATTTTCGCCGATACGCCAGCAGGACTGTGGATATCGAAGCAGAAAAGGATGATGGCAAGACAGATGTTCTTTTCCAGGCTGTGCTCCGTAGAAGCTGACGCGTGGAGGCACGAGCAGGTGTCGAAGATGTCTTGGTAATCTTGGCCATCTGGAATCGGATCATTGATTAGCGGAAGATGTAGGTTGTTTGCCTTGGCCCGAGCGAAGCGATTCACTCTAGACAATATGTCGACAACATCCACACCAAGTGTCCCTTGATATGCGAGTGCTCTGAACCCTTCGGGAAGCGTGCCAATCAGTGCCAGCATGTCGGGGTCAAACGGATGCTGAGGGTAGATCCTGTTTTTCTTCCGTTTGGCCAACGGGAATATAGACTTTCCCCCGGTTTCCAGCATCCAGAAATAATCGAATTGGATCAAATAGGCCTTGACCAATCCACGACAGCCAAGTCTATCCAGCCCACCCTTTTGAGCCACCACTAGCGCCAAGCCGTTGCGGTGTGCAATATTGTCACTTCCATCAAGGACGTCGAGCGCCGCTAGTGCCAGTACCGTCATCAACGTGGCATCGTCCGGAGGTCCTTCGTGGTTGAGAAGATGATCGTGTAAGATGGAGACCGCCATGCGTCTATGAAAGTCAACTTCCTGGGAAAACGGCAAGAGCGGATTCTGGCGCTTCTCCAGATACGCCTGGGACAGTGCAACAGCGCCATGGAAAGCGCTTTCATGCTTGAGGACTAGTGGGAATACCCACGTCATCATCGGGTTGACAGTGTTCATGGCCATCAGGAGTGGCTCATGTAATGGACTCAAAACCTGCGTGTAGTAGTCGAGAGCCTTTCTCACACAAGGAGTGTGTTTGCCTGGCAGGGCGTCAAACGGATCCGTGCGAATACCGTTAAAGTTCATCTCCGAGGGGGAAGGTGTTTGTGAGAATGGGAGAGTCTGAGGTGTCGCTGGAGAATGCGTAGACGGTCTCGTTGGCCGGCGCCGTACCAAGCCAACCTCACTGCCCTCTCTACCTTCTCCGGCGACTTCCTTGGCACCCACGGGAGATCGTTGTGGGAGTGCATAGCGTGGCTGCTTTTGCTGACGCACCGAGGTTCTGTATTTGCTGGAGATGTGAGATTTGACGGCGCGTCGATGAGATGCACTATGGTTTGGAGTGTTTTGATAATCTACAAATGTGTAGCTGTTGGCAGCACTGTCATTTGAGTTCGCCATTTGATAAATCCGGTAATTGTGGTCATGCTTTCGCTAAGCTGCTGAGTCATTGACAAAAGGTCCAAGGCCGTCGAGGCCTACGAGAAAGTGATTGGAGATGGCCAGCAGCGACGACAGATGAGAATAACGCAACGTGGTGTGACCAATTAAAACTCAAGTCAAGCGCAATGATGTCCTCCACCGGCCAGCTATCAATTCATCCAAGTCAAAGAACGAAATGGCATTGGGTAGGCCGTCGACAAGGAGAAGTTGGCCGGCCGTTTAAATTGTCGTCTGTGGTGCCATGGCGGTATGCGCAAGGTTCAAGTGTCAATCGTAAGCGGCTGACAGCTCCCCCGCAGTCATCAAGTCGAAACAAGAGATTCTGGTATCGCCGTTGATCAGAGAACTAAGATTGATTGGCGAGCGGTGAGCCGAGTTCGCGGGAAGGCTGGGATGGAGCGAGGAGCGGCACAGGTTGCAGGGTGAATCCAAGGCAGACAGGGTGACTGAGGAGGTGGAAGTTAACTCGTCAGTAGCTGAATGCGGTAGAGAACGCCAAGGCACTAGGCGCCGGCTATCGGGCCAAACAGAGGGGCCGCCATCCGAATATGGAATAGACCCATGCTAACAGTAATCACTGGTGCTGCCGCCAACACCGAGCAGTTGTTTCTTGGGTTTTCTTGAAGCCAGGGCCCGGGGGTTTGCTGCAGGGACCGATGACTCTTCGGGTCCTGTTTCCACTCGCCTTCTCCTGCGTATGGACATGGCGAGTCTAGTGCACATCAGCCGCTAGAGTGGTGGAGGGCTGCGGGGTGAGGCCGTGGACTGGAAAGGAAGGTGGATGAAAAGTCCCTCCGAAGACGGGCGGATGCCAAGGCATTAGGCACGTGCGGGTCACGTGCCAGCTACCTGCGGCAGGCGCGGAGGGCAGCCGAGGAGCCTGGCATCTATCTGTTCTGCTGCATCAGTCCATAGTCCATAAAGAATATCAACAAATGTTCCATCCGATCCACACCAAGCCCATTCGCCTGTTGGATTGAACTGGGGGTTTTCCCTGAGCCTGGCATATCCAAAGAGATCTCCGCGGGACTGAGCACGATGCATCGCGCCTTGAGTGATGAATTGATGGATTTTCAGTACGAACGAGAACTAGGGGTGTGAGCATGCGGCAGCGAGTTGAGGGCGAAGCCGGGCACATAACCGGAATAGGACTAGTGCATCATTGCCTGGCACTAGTCACATTTGTCATGTTGGGATCCCGACACGATGTGCTCCCATATTTGTACGATGCTGCTATATTTCACGATACTGCTATACGCCGTGATGATGCCGTTTTTCACGATGCCGCCACATTTCACGATGCTGCCTCCCTCCGAGCCAAGGCTTTGGTCTTCCACGAATTTTGCACTGTGTTGTGTGAGATTGCAGAAGAGTACCTTCCGGCACCAGGGTCATTTGGGCTCTCAGCCACTCCATGCAATGCCGAATTTGGTAAGCGGCAGACTAACCTGATCGGGGTATTCGGACGACATTGCCGATTGGCTGGTGTTGCTGCTCTCCACCGGAGATGTTGGTTGAGCCTATCACGTTTGATGGGCTATTATCCGGTGTACCCTTTTGAGCCAACACTTCTCGTGCCCTGTTGCCGCCGATCGACAATCAATAATCCGATCAAAGAAATGGGTCGGAAAAGCTTAATCAGTTGCAACAAGGGCCGTTGTTGCACGGGGTCGGACCTCTGACATAAGACCCCTTAACGTAATCCTGCGTACATGTGAACGGTTTTCAGAGTTCAAAAAGATACTTCCGTCCATGAAGTGTATTCTGACATCTCCTCAGAGTCCTCACATTCTCAGAAGCCAGATTGTTTGAATCATCGCTTCTCTACTCAGGTCGGTAGCGACCTTCAAGACACGGACAAGTACTAGAGATGGAATTCTCATTTAGCCTCGACCAAACAAGGGCCACGGCTCCAGACAGCTCGTATTTCGCCCTCAAGCCACCATCGGATTCATCATCAAGTTCACCCGATGTATGTACTACTTCCCAATCTCCTCCAATGCGGGATCACGGATTGGCTCACCTTTGGCCATCTAGAGCATGGCAAATCCCTTGCTGAGCGTGAACTCCTCGTCGCCCGGATTCGAGCCGACACATCAAACTTGGGACGCGGTTGATTTCAGCCTCTTCGAATCGTTTACCGACTACGGCAATCTCTCCCTGAGTCCGGCACACGGCCAGCCGTCCACAGGCCCGGACAACAGCCAGCAGCCGACTTCGAAAGCCAGGCGGCGAGCGCAGAACCGAGCGTCACAGCGGGCATTTCGCGAGCGCAAGGACAGACACGTCAAGGGGTTAGAGTACCAGCTTGAAACACTCAACGAAAAGCACCAGGATCTCCTCACTTCTTACTCCAAGCAGGCCGACAATATCGCGCGGCTCTATAATCGCATTACGGACCTCCAGGACCAGATCAGGAAAGCCAAGGTGACCAATGACCACGGTGTAGTCAGCCAGTCGACGAACAGCAACCCAACGCCCGATTGCTTTGACGCCTTCACTTTCGGTGGCAATCCAGGTTCGATGTTTTTCAGTGCAGACGAGTTCAACTCGGATGAGATCGGCCAGGAAGATTCTCTGACGCCGAAGGCCAGCGGAAGTGCGGGGCTGCCTCTGTTTGAAGACCTGCTGCGACTGTGACGAGGGAGGATTTCCATTTTGGCATGCCTTTGGGCGCTGAGTTCGAGTTGATTTCCACGCAGAATACTCATAATGCAACCGGCCGCTTCCATTGATACGGCGGCGTTCAGGCTCAGCTGCCGCTGACGCAACGGTATGATTCAAGGGCTGATTGGCTTATTGTTGGTCGACGGGATAGCGAATTACAAGGGAGACGATGAACCACACACACTTTTGTTTATTGAGTCGGAAACAATGCACGTTGATGAGTCAGACCTGATCACAAAGGCAGATGGCTGGATATTGTCTATTGCCACGTCTGCGATGTAATCTAAGACGGAGTATGCATATGTTTAGACGGCTAGCACCAATACCACTCTATGTGAATCACTTCACTCCTTCTAGATGGTAAGATAACTGTACCAGCAGACAGGCAACTTGGAGCTCTTGGCGAGGACATCCTTTCCTCCGCGGGGCGAGACAGGCCACTATACCACAGCTGGTATCATTCATAGCTTAGCAAGGACTGCTTGCGCACCGGACACCTGTTGATAGAGAATAGTCAGCAAGCAGGGTACACTTGGCAACGCGTGGCGTGTCCGATGAAATAGGAAGGCGGAGTATTGTAGCAGTGTCCACCAAGCTAGTAGGCGGTTGAAAGGAACTTTCCACAGGGTACTTATGCAAAGTCATCTCGTTCCGGAAACCGCGCGGACACATTACATAACACAGCAACGCGCGGGATCTGCGTAGGGGGTGGCACTCACTGTAACATCTCGTCCTGGCTCCTTTTCGGCATAGACGACCTTGCCGTGGTCAATGACGACAGCATATCTGGCGGTGCGCTCGCCTAGGTTCCAGCCGATCGATTTCGAGAACTTGGCGTCGGGGTCGCTTAGGAAGAGCTATAGAGAGAGATATGTTAGTCAGCTCAGCCCAGCACGTTCCGGCACTGTTTTCTGCGCAATGGCCCCTTTTCCTTGCAGTAGACTGGGTGCGGTGTGATTGATAATGCCTGTGACGGTCTTGTGCGTGTAGGGTACTCACAATATCTTGCTCGCGGTTCTTGACTCCATTGGCCTTGCTCCACGCATCCATGACAAACGCGTCATTGTATGCCAGGACAGCCACAATGTCGACTTGTTTGCCCTTGATCTTCTCCAAGTTCTCAATGTATCCGGGAAGGTGTCGCACTGAGCATCCGGGAGTGAAGGCCCCCGGCACGGAGAAGAGGACGACCTTCTTCTCCTTCCATTCCTTCGACGCGGCGTAGTTTTGTGGAATGCCACAGGCGGTGATCGCTGCGCTCTCTTCCGTGTAAGGCACGTATCTAAATATCGAAACTTCTCAGTACATCTTTTTCCGTTGCCGTGGGCGGGTCGCGGGGGGAGGGCTTGAAAGGGCGTCGGTGCTTACGAGAAGACAACGTCGTCGGGGAAGCTATCCCCTGGCTTGAGACCGGACATGGTGGTGAGTGCGAGGGTACGAGTAGGGAGATGACGGGTTTGTTTGTACAGGTACGAGGGACGGAATTGAAAAGTCTACTAGGTAGGAGGTACTTGAGAGGTGCTTGAAGACCCTCGGTGAATAGCTACGAGGAACGAGACTCGTAATGAAGAGGAAAACGTCGGACCGGTGCGGTACCCAGGTACTGAGGATTTCAAACTGCGATTGCGAATTCGACTAACTGCGTCTCTCGACCCCACGCATGTTTACTAACTTCAAAGGAGGGGCAGCACCCAGGAGACCCTGAGACCCTGACGGATTATCTTATCTGATCCGAGGCATTCTCTCATCCAAGGTACCTCGCACTCGTACTCGTACGGAGTATATACACGCCGCTTTTTGCCCTTTTGCCCCGCCGCTTTTTCGAAGGAAAGTTTGATTTTCACACTTCCAGTGTTTTCGGAATGTCTTGGTTTCCGCTTTTCACCTCCTTGATGCGTAACCCTCCACTGACCGTACAAGTCGACCCCGGGGTCGCGTCAGATCGCCTCGCCTTGCATCTCGCTACTTTACTCACAGCGTCTGAATACAGCAAGACATTCCTCCCCTCCTACTTGCCAGGGTACGTTTAGGCTCATCGATTAAACCCAGGAGAGCTAGTCTTGCCGCTTTTCTCCTGCTTCGAACGGCGAGATGAGAATCAAAAGCCCACGGGCTTGTTCATTGGTGAAGACGGGTGTCGAAGCATACGTCCACCAATGGCAGCGTTAGTTCCGGCGGATCGAGTCGGCATGGGAGGTAGGTTAGGTAGATTTAATCAATTTTCCCCCGTGATGCGCAACAATAGACCAGAGGTTTACATGGTGCGTGTGTCATGGCTTCGTGATGTATAAAAGGCTGGCGAAGTAAGAAATTCTCAAGTCGCCTTCTTTCTCTGTAAGGACTTTTTTTCCCTCCCATCTTGAGCATAGGTAATCATCTCATTTCTATACGATTCACATACCTCGGCAGCTTGCCTCACCGGCCTCTTTGTCACATATACCTAGCAAAGTCACCCTTTTATTCAACCGTAAGGTCCTTGCGAGAAAAACAACATTTCTGGCTCTCTATATACACCTCTACAAGATGGCCTCTCTCAAACCTCCATTCACCCTCGCGACAGCCAGGGAAAAGGTCAAATTCGCCCAAAACATGTGGAACAGCTGTAACCCCAAGCAAGTCTCCAACGGCTACACGGCCAACTGCGTCTGGCGCAACCGGGACCAATTCTTCGTGGGCACCGAGAAGATCGTCGAGTTCCTGACGAAGAAATGGGAGAAGGAAGCCAGTTATCGCCTGCGAAAGGAACTGTTTGCCTTCACCGACGACAAGATCGCCGTCCAGTTCTGGTACGAGTATCAAGACCGGCACGACGGGATGAAGTGGAAGAGGACCTACGGCCTCGAGGACTGGACTTTTGACCGGGAGACGGGCAAGATGAGGAAGCGCCAGATGAGTGCCAACGACATTCTTCTGGGCCGGGATGGCGACGGCGTGGCCGTGCCCGACGAAGGGATTCAAGGACGATGGTATGTTGACGGCGTTGATGTTGATGACGAGAGTGTGACGCAAAAGATCACCGAGGCTCATTGGTAATTTCGAACGCAAAAGTCTGGCCAACCCGTTTACTTGGATACTGCCTATTAGGTACTTATGAGACAGGGCGAGGAATAATTCGGTACTTAGGCACAACATGTTTCATTTTGTATTAACCACCGATGGCACCAGGGCCATAAACCACAATATAAATACATCAGTAAGGATCGTCAGGTCGTTATATCACGTCGCTAAATACATTATTGTCTCATCAGCGCCCTACAGGCGTTCTTCAGTCCGAGGCAGGTGTCTCGTTCATAGTTCAGGAGATTCAGCAATAAAGAATGAAACATGTCTTGGCTCCTCTTCCTCGACGAAAGGTGCCAGTCTGGCCTTAAACTCTTCCAGGTCCATGTTGTCCTCAGCAACGGAGGGGCCTCCAGGGGTCTTGGGAGGGATCAGCACAACAGGAACCACGTGAATGACGCCATCAGCAGCAATTCCATCCAGCACGCTTACTCGGGTAAAACCGTTGATCTTCACGGTAATGAGTCGACCATATCGTGCAATGTCGATGCTCAAGCTCTTACCCTCGAGGCCAGTAGGCAAGTCGACATGGACAAAGCCTTTTGGAACCCTGTGGTGTGGAGGGTGGGACTCGGAATCAAGCTTGTAAATAGCATCGGAATACAGCGTGATATCGTCAGCTGCATGGTAGAGCAAGAGAGCCTTGAGGTACTTCAGACCGAACCTGCTGAACAAGAAAGCATTGACCTTTGGTCCGAGTCGCTTGAAAGCCAAGTTGGACGGTGCGAACAAAGTACCACCCTTATGGCTTGAGGTATCATTGAAGGCGGAGTACAACCCAGTCTTCTCCAGAGCAAGATCGAGGGTGCTGAACTCGCCCGGAAGGGCAGACAGGATGTCAACGGTCTTTGGAGGTGGCAGAAGGAAGCTGTCGAGGCCATGGATGACGCCATTGGTTCCAAAGATGTCGATTGCGACCACACGGGCATAGAAGTTGAGTGTCAAACCTCTCAATGACACCTGGGTGGAAATCCGTTGCGGGACGTCGCCAATGTATTCAGCTTGGAGGGCGGTCGGAATGGTACGGCTGACCAGAACACGACCCGCAGGGTAGAACTCCTCCGAAATGTGGTACGTCAACAGCTTCTTCAGGAATTCCTTAGGTGGCTTTGCATGTTTCGGGATCTTCTCAAAGGCATGATCTGTAGGCGCAAAGAGCGTGTAGTTTGCCTTGGTTCCGTTGAGGAGCTCAACCAGATCCGGAAACTCATCGATTACTGCTGCAAGCTTCGTGGTATACTTGCTCTTGGAGATCAACTGATACACAGTCTCATTGGGTGGGCCATGATGAGGGTGGTGTGGCTTCTTGGGCTTCTTGGGCTTCTTGCCCGGCTTGCCGGGACCACGGTGAGGAGGCCCATGGGGCGGAGGATGTTCAAGCAGGTCGAGGTCCAGGTCATGCTCGGCACTGTCCAACCAAGCGTCGCCTGCGAATGCATTTTCAAACCTTTCGCTGTATTTGACGGCTGCAGCTTCTGTGGACTCTACCACCTCTTCAAACTTGTGCTTTGCGCAGTGTGCAGCTTTCTGGAATTCGCCCTCAAGGTCCTCCCAAAAGGTCTCTGCCTTGTGAGCCTTGTCCCAAAACGGATGCTCGGGGGCTTGTTCAACTTCCTGATTTTCTAGGGACAGCGATTCAAGGGTGGTTTGGTCTGGGATGACGAAGGCCGAGGCTAAGGCGGCCGTGGAGAGTACCGAAAGAACTCTCATTGTGTAGTAGGTGAGTCGGCCAAGACGAAGTGTTTCTGATGGAGGGAGGCGTTGTTGTAGGAGAGGGAGAGGAGAGGGAGAGGAGAGGGAGAGGAGAGGGAGAGGAGAGGGATAGGAGAGGATAGAAGAGAGTACCTGGGTCGGGTTGAGCAGGCAGAAGTGAAACAGATGATGCGTACGACTACCATGCACGGCGACGGACAGAGTCTATGACATGTTCCGCACCTGTGTAGAGCCGATGTATTACGCGGCGCCGCAGTTGAAGCACGCAAGGTCGCAGAGCATTGGAGCGGGGGAGCGACCGGTCTCACTAGTCGTCTTGGGGTATCGCCCGTACTCGTATCGCTATCGATGATTGTGCGGTTCTGTAGCTACGACAACTGCCTCACCACAGCTACCGCAAGCTACTGCAAGCCACCGCCGCTATCGCCCCTTATCGGTTTGTCTGTGCTCCAGCCTGCGCCCAACAGCCACTTGCTCCACTGCACCTAAATCTGTCGATTGCCTCTACCAAGACGCCTCGCAGTTACGCCATTGATTCAGAAGATTCAACTCTTGACCGTACTCTTGACAGGTCTTTCTCTATGATTTCACCATGCTGTGCCGTCAACTCTTCCACGCCCCAGTTCGCCCAGATGGGCCGTTCTCTCAAAAGACAAGCCTCACTTACAGGATAGACAGAAATAAGCTGCTAAATCCACTCGGGGTCATGTCAGGCGTATTTCTCACTTCCAACAGGCTACACAAACCTGAATTGGTAGATACGGTCTTGCTGACTCCTCCGTTTCCTGAGAAGAACGCCGTATTGTTGTCGTACCAACCTGGATGATGTTGATCCATACTAGAAGCAATTCCGTCTGAATGGTCTCCAGAGCCTTAGGAAATGGCCAGCTTGGAAGCAGAGTATCCAGTATTCTCAGTGTTGTGGCCTTCCCGACCACCGTGATGAGCAAGGAGACTCGACAAGCTGACCACGAGTCAGTTGGGTTCTTGCGTGGCGTATGAACTCGACGACTGTGAGAAAGCCCCTGTTGAAACAATATCAACTCGTCCACAGTCGGGATAAATGTCTCGAAGTGTATGGCGCATACGACCCTAGATCTGAGCTGTCATCTTTTTCGTATCAACCTTCCGCCTCCATATATGGAAAAAGTCAGCTAAGGGCTCGACGCAGATTGAGGGAGCCATGTGTGATGCTAGGGCTGTTGCGGACAGCGCCCCCTTTCTCTGCATGCAGTAGTTCGCACCTTCACAGAATTGAACCTGCGCGGCTGTGAGAGGAGGTGATGAGGCAATGCGGTGGGAATGGTGCCTGCCACGATTGAAGTCTGTCTTGTCTCGACATTAGCGCCCCTGGAGACTTCCGGGTTCCGACTTTTCAGCTTCTTTGCCCAACTCAAGATACGTGCAGATTAGCACGGCGGAGAGGCGTCGTCTGCTCTGAGTCGTTCTTTTTGGATTTCCATGCTTCTTTTTGGTGGCGATTGGTTCTTGGCTTACCTAACGAACATTCCGCACTGCCCAACGCGACAGCATTCCTCAGTGACCCGACTATAGTCAGAATCGAAAGACAAGTACCTGGATTGGGAAACAACACACATACGCCAGAACTTATTCCGCCCAGATTTAGCAACACATGTCATACGAAGAAAGGGCGGCTGGCAAGGCAGAGGCACAAAGAGCAGTGTGGTGAATGTGAATGCTGTTGATTCGCAGAGGTGACCGACTTGGGTGCAGATACGGCGGAAAAAAGATCTCCCAAGATTGTTTTGCTTCTCATCACTTGTACACGTTCTTTCACCCTCGGGACCGTTGGTCTGCTTTTGCAGCGTCTGCATCAAAGGCGTCCACAGGTAAAATTCCTTTGGGTGAATCACTGTTTACACTTATCATTAACGTAAAAACAGAAGGCTCTGACAACCACGGTCGTTACCAGTGAAGCACTGCCGAGACCGTGGCCTCGAATATGTCTACCAACAACCCCTCCAGCTGCGCGATGACTACCAAAACACAGAAGCACCCAAAAACCAACAAGACAGGAACAAAAAGAGACATTCTTAGGGAGATCCAAGGCAAGTGTACCCCTTTGCCCAATGCACCTCGGGATAGGAATATGACTCCCCATTGCGGATCATCCCCTCGACTGCCTCACCATGAATCTCTCAAACCGGAAGCCAACTTGTCGGTTTGCGAGAATGTTGCCGGAAGGATTCCCGCCATCGAGAACAAACGCATCTCGGCAGTCGCTGATGAAGTCGTTGGAAATGTCAAGAGAGACTCTCAGGCTTCTGCCACTTCAAACACTGCCGCGAAAAATAAGAGGAAAACGCATGTTGGGCCGTGGCAGTTGGGCAGGACACTCGGGAAAGGGGCCACTGGCAGGGTTCGGCTTGCAAAACACTCCCTGACAGGCCAAGTGGCAGCTGTGAAGATTGTTTCGAAGAAATCTGCTGCTCTCGTTCAGAGCGCAAGTATGGCTCGCATGGACAAGGAAGATACCACCACGATGATTGCAGCAGGCCCGCGCACCATGCCGTTTGGTATCGAACGCGAGGTGGTTATCATGAAGCTCATAGCACATCCAAACATCATCAACCTCTACGATATCTGGGAAAATCGTGGAGAGCTCTATCTTGTTCTTGAGCACGTCGCCGGTGGCGAGTTGTTCGACTATGTTTCAAGTAATGGTGCCCTACCGGAAGGTGAAGCAGTCAGACTTTTCCGTCAAATTATCGCAGGCTTGTCATACTGCCATCGCTTCAACATCTGCCATCGAGACCTGAAGCCTGAAAACATTCTTCTCGATAGTCAGCGGAACATCAAATTGGCAGATTTCGGAATGGCAGCTCTCCAACCGAATGGCACTTGGCTCAATACTTCTTGTGGAAGTCCACATTATGCAGCCCCTGAGATCATTCTGGGTCAGCAATACCGTGGTGACCTTGCAGACATTTGGAGTGTTGGCATCATCCTGTTCGCTATGTTAAATGGGTTCCTGCCGTTTGACGGAGGTACGGTCCAAAACACCCTTCGTCTTGTCAAAAAGGGCGAGTACTTCCTCCCGCCGCAGCTAAGCGTCGAGGCATCCGATTTGATTCAACGAATATTGCAGAAAAAACCCGACAAGAGGATCGCTATGGCCAATATTTGGACACACCCACTCCTCCGCAAGTACGAAAAGTACCACGCCAGTTTGGTTGCTCCTGACGATCTTATCGGTCCAGCTCCGCCATTGAGTCTTGAGGCTCAAGCAAAACGTGTGAACAAGCGGTCAGACATTGATCCTGAAATCCTGAGCAACCTCTCAACCTTGTGGCATGGCTTCAAAGTCGAAGAATTAACAAAGAGATTGCTGAACGAGGAACCCAATCATGAAAAACTATTCTACTGGGCACTGATCAAGTTCAGGGAGGACCAGCTGGAAAATTACCCGGGCGAGCCTATTCAATACTCTGCCAGTGATCACCATCATGTCAGCAAGCCCTCAATTAAGCCAAGCAATCGATCTGTCACTGCTCGTGGTCATTACCGTCGCACTTCCCAGTTCTCAATTGTCAGCGATGAAACAACTCACCGTGATGGCTACTACAAGAATGCTGCGACAGCAGCCAGCAAGGTCACCAACAGTAGTTATGACCCCTACCGCGCCTCCAGAAACCCCCTCTCTGAACCTCGCCCGGAGGTTGGGACAGTGGTTGTACGCTGCCCACCTATGGCTGTTGACCAAACGGGCGCATCGAGCAATGTTAGACATAAAATCCTGGAGCGAATTCAGGACGACGTACCTGAAATGCCTAGCTTCACATCTGAAGAGCTTAAGCGCCTCATTCAAAAGAAACGAGCGTCATATTCGACAGCAACATCAAAGAGCTCGTTGTCTAGCATCAGACGTCGTCCTGGCATTCGACATTCTACGAGTTATAAGCGCCAAATCAGTTTTCCTCATCGCCGACAGACTCCCTCTGGGCGTATCAATGGCAATTGCCGGGTTATGTACGATAGTGGCTCCAGCGATCGACCACAGACTCGTAGCACAAGTAACCCAAGAACCGAATCACAGAGTACACCCAGCCTGGCGACACCTTCGCAAGCATATCAAACCCGCAAATCAAGTTCAGAGATGGACATGAAAAAGTCTCGTGCTGCCAGCTACTATTGGAAAGATGAGACCAGGAAGGTCAGTGCCGAGCTGGGCAAAATTTGTGAAGAAGCTTTCAACAGATCCTCGGTATCGACTACGATGAGCGAGGCTAGCCCTCACGCTCAATTTGAATCCTCGGCGACATCGATGTCAGTACATCAGCAGCGGATACCGGAGAGCATTCGGAATAGACCTTTGCCTGCCACGCCAATACTCCAGGAGTTGATTGAGTATCGCCACAAAATCATCGAAACCTGGGGCGATGGCGACAGAGCCGTCTTGAAAGACATACTAGCTACACTTGACAAGCGTATTGATGCCGAGGTTGACAAACAGCTGAAGCTCGACAAGCGAGCTGCTTCAGATCCAACACGGGGCTTACTCACACCCAAGCGACAGAAAGTCTCGTCAATCACCCCTGAGGAGGATGGAACGCGAGATCGGGGGCAACCTCGCGCTGCTTCCGATCCCCTCAAATATCAGACCCCTCGTGAAAGACCAGACAAGACGATTCGCCTTGTGACACCAGATCAAACATCGCCCCTTGCTCGACTCGAGCCACTCAGAGTGCGCAAAAATAAAGCGATGCCAATCAATTCCTTGCGTGGTGGCCCGGCACACATTGCAAGAGCCCAGCGTGATCGGGTGGGCTATGACAAGCGTCTCTACGAAAGAACAGGTTTGGATACTATCGAAGAGAACCCTGGTTCACCGAGAAAACCTGCTTCGCGAAAATGGTCATGGCTCGGTCGGCGTGGGTCTGGTGGTCACGACCTGCTAGAAGCTATGCAGGCTACAGGAGAAACCAAGCATAGTATTGACACTCAATCTTCTCAAGTCGTGCAGCCTAGCGAGTCGACCAATTCATCTACTCTTACAAGAGGCAAAGACAGTGACCCTGACTCTGGTGACATCGACCTGAATGTGGAAAGAAAGCGCAGGTGGTTCCAAAAGATGTTCGGAAAGACAAAGGCTAAGGACAGCTTAACGAACACTGGTGGTGAACACCGCGTAGCCCGTGAACCTACCAACGACCCGGAGGCGAACCATGCAACCTCTGGCGAAGCTGCAGACGGGAATGCCCCGGATCGGAGATGTTTCCCTCCAGCAACAAGTGTCGATACTGGTTCTCCAGCCGTGGCTCTTGGCCCAATCGAAATCAGCCAGAATTGGTTCGCTAAATTTTTCCATATCAAGCCGGCAAGCCGCGTCATTTGTCTTCAAATTGGCAAGGACAAAGCCAGGAAGGAGTTGGTCAAGATTTTAAAAGAATGGCGCAAGTATGGTATCAAGGACGTGGTCTCCGAGCGCAGAACAGGTGGCGATGTGGTCCGAGGTCGTGTAGACATGGCAAACTGTATGTCTTTCATGATTTTTAGGCGGACTTTTGCTAACATGACGACAGATCTTCAGTTGAAACCGGTTCATTTCCACGCATACGTGTACTCTGTCCTCGAACACGGTCGAAGAGCAAACTTGAGTGTCCTCAAATTCACGCAGGAGAAAGGAGCCGCCAGCAGCTTCTACAAGGTCGTTGATACTTTGGAGGCTGTCTTGAAAGAGCGTGAGTTGCTTGTCCTTGACGCTCAAAAGACAAGATGCATCGAGAAAACATTGAAAAACGCCGGGTTGTGATAGGAGAATGGACTTGGCTCTCAGGAATATTGTTGGACTTGGGTAGGTTGCCCAAGGTCTTTTGTACAATCGCTTGAACGGAGGTCTTGGACAAGGTTGTGTGATCAAGATACTTATCGGATGTGGGATGACAGCACCAGCTTTCACTGATACAGGTACTTATGAAGGGTGTTGCAAAGTTGGAAGTGGCATCAAAATCTCTGCAAGGGAGCCTGCAGATTAGCACTCGACAGCACAGCAATGGCGTTGTTGCAGTAGTGGTAGTAGTAATTAAACCTCGTCTAATCAAAAGTGCACTTTATGATTCTGTGTGTTGTTGCAGGTTGCAGCTTGTCCTGGCCTTGTTGATATCGATATCGATCGAGGTGTGCCGGAGGGTAGATTTCCTAGTTGGTCAATGCCGACGATCGATGACGGCAATACAGCCGATATGGACAGACGGACCTTGGTATATAAATATCTCGCAACTCTGGCCCTGGCAAAATCAAAGTGACTGTGACTTTCTCTACAAACGGAAGATTTGCACTGTCTCTCCCCAAATACCTCTGCCGGTTGGTCTTTGAAGAATCGAGGAAGGCTTTATATGTTCTTGGCTTCGTTTTCCACCCGAACCACTCATTGAGATTCCCACAAGAGGTGCAACAATACTTAAGGTACCTACCTAAGCATAAGACTGTCAACAATCAACGACTTGGTCAAGTTTCGTCTCAAGGCATGGCGGCCACCGAGAAAGACGAGGAGCTCATCCAGATCGCCAAAGGTCTCGAGCACATCCCATGGTGCGACGACTATGAGCGAATGATATCGGGCATGCTGTGAGTTATTCATGCCATGATTTTGCTTATTCTCATTGGAATTGGTCATGTATGTGTCTTATTTTTTTTTTTAATTACTTAATCTTCTTCTCCCCAAATAGATATAAATCTTTCGCCCCCGAACTTGAAGCTTCCCGGTGGCGAGCCAGAAAGTGGTATCATCGGTACAACACTCAGTTTCCGGGGCTCGATGACCCAAATTCAACCATGCAGCAGGGTGCCCAGGCGCGGTTTCAGATGCTCAAAGAGATCCTGGGCCGTGTGGGCGAGGACTCGTACATTGAGCCTCCGTTCTATTTGGACTACGGGTGCAATGTCTTGCTCGGGGAGAGGTTTTACGCCGGCGTCAAGTGAGTTAACTGAAGCAAACTAAAACCCTGAGCTTGTCAAGCTAGGCACCTATCTTGGTTACTTTGCTCTTTGCCCTCTGCCCTTTTACTCCCCTTGAAAGATTCTGGACGAGACACACAGACTATAGCTGGGCCACTGACGTGTCGGTTCTTGTTCTACACACAGTCTTACAATCCTCGACTGCTCGATCGTGACAATTGGTGACCGCGTCATGGTCGGGCCATTCGTGAGCATTTTCGCGGCGACGCACGAGGTCGACGTCGCTTCACGTCGGGAGAACGTCGAGTTTGCGCGAACGGTCACGATCGGCGATGACTGCTGGATCGGTGGGCAGACTGTCATTTTACCTGGCGTGACGATAGGGAAAGGGTGTACGATCGGCGCCGGCAGCGTCGTGACTCGAGATATCCCGGACTGGAGCGTGGCTATAGGGTCTCCGGCGAAGGTCGTCAAGACGGTCACGGCGCTGGAAGATATGAAAGATGAGAGAGCGAGTTTTGCGGCGAAATAGAGAGAATTGTCGGGATGACTGAAGCGGACGAACGATCCCTTTGAGGGTTTCCTTAAACCCGCGTGCTCGTATGATTCTCGGAAGTCTTGTAGGGAAAGGTATGGTAGAGGCATAGCTTGGAGCAATAGGTAGAGAAGGTGAATATATAGACGGACGTAAGCTGTTTCCGAATTTCAGGGTGCATAGCCTGTCTAGATAAGGTACATCCCTTTCGTCGACACGGTGTCAGTTTACTGGTGGCGGATCAGTTGCATGCCATACAAAGAGAAAGCATTTTGCTGGGGACGGATCGGTTAGCAACAGTAAGTAAATAGTATGGTTATCGCCTGATCAACTGTAGACAGAATACGGCGTATAGTTAAAAGATGTCAGATTCAATCAAGTAAGAAAGCATTTCACTGGACGCAAGAAGGATGGCGAGGACTTGTCAAGCATCTTAAGAACCCGCCCGGGGGATCGTATCTCGTGGTTGAAAGAAATATTGCATTTGGGACATGAATGCTCGAACGTAGAGACTAGTGCAAAGTACACGACCTAGACGAGTCTTCCGCGATTCGACCGCGAAACAAAATGCTGGGAGCTCCGGGTGAGTACTCGTGCCGGAAACTAGAAAGATACACCCGTCGCTACGAACCCAGGCCTCCTCCTAACGAAGCTCACTCTCTTTGGTTTTCGCCGGGATATGTGATATAGCCGGACCAATCTGCTTTATACGACAAACCAGAGTCGCAACCATGGGCGCAGGACAGTCCAAGGACGAGTCCACCAAGCATGTTTTCACCAGCGACACTCCGATCCAGTTTTCGCAAGAGTAAGTGGTGCACTACGGACAACCATGTATTGGAAGTGGGAATGGCTGTATCGGGGATTGGAAGGGCTGACTCTTTGTTTTGCTCGATTGTTTCCTTAGGCTCATCGACTCTCTGCAAGCTTCTTCAGAAGTAAGTGTCACGCCCGTGTTCCCGAGATGCAACATGGATGCTAAATTCTTGGGTCGCTTCGCAGACAAACTCCACACGCGCAAAGACGTTAGAACTGCACATTGCCCAGCGAGTCGCCGCCGAGCTCGAGAAGATCAAGCAGCATGAATCTTCAGCTCTGGAGGAAGCGCGGAAGAAGATCGCCGCGGCCAGCGCAGGGACCGGGTCGGCCGAATCCTCACCTTCAGACCACTCCCTCCTTCAAATCCCCTCGATATCGCCCAAGGACCTGCTAGAGAGCGGCGAGGAGAAGGATCGCAAGGCGCAGACGTCGGCCAAGGTGCAGCAGGAGATTGAAAAGTTAAAACAGACGCTCAGCCAGCGAAAGATCCTCAAGGAGTTGCCGGGCGAGGTGGAGTCAGCGTAGGTCCTCCCTGTTTCCCTATACTTGTGCCGTCCCTCCCATCGCCAGCTCTATTTTACAAGGCGTCGCGGAGTTAAAAGACGGTCCACTGAAGCTGACGATTGGGTGGTGTACAGGAGACAAGATGTCATTTCTTGCTTGCGGGTAAACGACCGGAAACCGCTCGACTGCTGGAAAGAGGTGGAGATATTCAAGCGCGCCGTACGGAAAATGGAAGAGAGTTATGTTTCTTCTGTACTATGATGTGGGCTTCTCCGGGCGTGACCGAACGAATACCGTACTGGGAGAGAAGGCAAAAGGACAAAAAGTCGAATGTATATACCTGGAGAAAGCCATGCATGGATGTGGATGTGGATAAGGATATGATGATTGCTGCTTTGAGTCTCTGGGGTTTCCTGAGCCAAGTTCCGCCGAATCTATGGCGATAACAGACCGAGTGAGAGAAGTCATGACGAGCCAAGAGTGTTGGCTGCCTCGCAATGTCAGCTTGAAATGCTGGTTCCTTTTAACAGTAGTCAACTACAACCTGAAGCTGGCTGGTGTCTCGGTGGAAGAAACCCAGTAGTTATAGAGGTTCTGAAAGAGCAATATCTGGAGATCCTCCGGCGTCTTCAGCATGAACCTTTTGCTGTCTCTCATCATGGTCATCATTCTCGAGCTGTTCACTCGCTCTACTATGTCTCACAGAATCGTATTCTCGACTCGTTGTATCTGCTTCAAGGCCTACCCAGTTCTCTCCTTACAATCCATGCCCCGCCAGGCCTGAGTTTTCGGTAGTACATATCGACCAGCATAACACGCTTGAATCCTCTTTTGGCGTACCAATCCAACGCATCCTCGTTTCTTTCCCATACATGAGCATAGATGCAGACTGTTTCTGGGCCTGTGGCGATAGGCGATGACAAGACGGCATCCAATAGATAGGTGGCAAGTCCTAAGTTCCTATACGGTGCTAGAAGGGCCAGAGCCTGGATATAGATCTGGGATAACGCAGTCTTGCTCAGTTCCGTGTTGCTTGTTGGCGAGCAGGATTCCAGTCGACATCTGATCCAGCCCACTGGCTCTGAATGATAGAGAACGGCCCGGGACAACTGAGCTGCTACTGGGTCCGTCAGTGTTGATGTGAAAAATGAATGATTGTAGTGAACTGGCAGTGTGGTGCTCGTCAGGCGTTGAATGGCTGGGAGGTGGCTTTGCTGGACGGGAGTGATGACGGCCTCCGGCCGGTGTGTAACTACCACAATTTGAGCGAATTTTTCGGCATCGCTGAACCCTTCAGTATTTCCCAGGAAAGCGTCGGTCACAGAGTTGGATGATGTGCCGTTGACGTTGTCTTCTTTGGCGTCAACAGTAGCCGGCTCGGGAGAGCTCGGCTTGGGCGTGCAGCGGGCAGAAGACTGCTCGATCAGCGAGCTTACAATTCTCGAACCGTTTGGTTGATTTTGTGTCTTGGTCAAGGAATCATCAGAGGCTTCCTCAAGGCGAAGATGTCCATTTGCGCCTCGGCCGCTGTTCGCGACCGCGGAGGTTGATGGCGGCTTCGAGAAGTACGACAGAAGAGTCGCCTGGGGCATATTTCACTGACACAGCCTAGAGGGACGTTTGGAAGACAACATGGTCTCCTGGGGGATCGACTCGTGGCGTCCTTCACATTGGAGGCAGTGCAAGGCTGTAGAGATCTACAGGACCTACCACTGGAGAGGAAGAAGCCAGTTCGTGGACTCGTGGCCTCTTTTACGCGACGCTGGGACGACTGCAAGGGGCGGCTGCAGCCGGCGCTAGAAGTAGCTTATCGATGGCTTGGATCTGCCCTTTAAGCCCCAAGCGCTCGTGAGCCCTTACTAAACAATCTTTCGCCTGCGCCTTGACGACAGCTTCATTTTGGTGATTCCCTTCCACGCCGCAAGGCTCGTCTGTCTTTGTGCGAGGCCTTGCCCTGCTGTGGGATATTTTGTAGAGAAGCTCCTGTGTCTGCAGCTACGCCGCATCATCGAATCTCCTTCCTTTCCGTCCGACCGTTCATCCGACCAACCTCCGAGGCCACAAATACAGCCCACACGAGCCTTCGAACATCTCCCACGAGTGCTTCTGCCAGCACCGCAACCTAGAAATATCCGTGTCCGACTGGCGGAAGCAAGAAAGGAGCCGTCCGGCGCTGTACCTAGACACATGGCTGGCTAGAGTCAACGAACAATTGTAGGGTGTGGTACAAAGTGAAGCCAGTTGAGGTGTACTTGGGACAATAGTTCCCTATTCAGAACGACATAACAGTAAGTGAATCACCATATTGCACGCTATTGTCCAGCATGTACGTGCGTCTATTGTCGGTCAACACACTGGGAGAAATAAAACCATGTTCAATTCAAGACATCATGTCTGGGCTTGTGTATGAACATGTGCCTTCATCCTGCTACACCTGTCCGCGAGATGGCAATACAGTCTTCCACTTTGGCCCAAAATATCTAATAACATGGGCCCTCCAAGACCGTACTCTGGCTTTTCTGCCAAGAGTATCCTCGACGTGGACTTGTGGAAGCGTTTCTACGTGGACGAGGACATCACAGCTGACGCACCACCTCCAGAACGAAATCCGCCGACAATGGCGACAACAGAGACTATGACTTTGTCTCCCTCTGAAACAGAGCAAGCGGTTTGTGTGTCGAAATCAAAGCTGTTACTGGTACTGATTAGTTTAGATTTCTTACCTCTTGGAGCAATCCATAGAGACCATCTTGCATGATATTCTCCTGGATATCCACCAAGAAGAAAAGATTGCTCGTATGCAGACCGCTGTTGTCGAAATTGAGCAAAGCGCCGAAAAGATGGGAAGGAAACCTTTTGAGGACGAACAAAATGGAGAGACCGATGAATCCAGCGATCCCGTCGAAACTGATGCCGCAGTGCTCCAAGGTCAACAGGTCCAATTCAAAGGCAATGTAATGAAGACAGTCAAACACATCAGATGTCCGAACTGTCGTTTACGGAGACTGCTTTATCCGCGGGTGGGTTTCAATGCTCGGCCCGTCCCTGATCCGAATGAACAATATTGCAAGACTGAACCCATGATCATCATCGACAAGCACGATGTTCATGGACAACGTAAGAAAGGAGTCAAAATGAAAGGACAAGCCAAGGGCAAAGGCAAAGGCAAGAAGAATGATCCGGCGTCACCAGCATCCGAGAACTCGGATCCTCTTACGCCTTCTTCAGGCCATCCAAATGACTCTTTCGAATTCAAAGAAATCGACTATCCCGCGGCCAAGTGTCCCAATAGGGAATCCCACTTAGGCGACCACTGGAAGTCAGTCAATGTCTTCGCGACACATCTGAACGGCAGCTGCTACCTGAAGAAAGACCGTGCTGCTGGGCGAGAAGCAAATGCCAAAATCGGTGGTGGCACTCCACGAGACAGCCGTGCTAACTCTCCTAAGCCAACAGCCAACGGCACCAAACGCAAAGCAGACGAAGACAGCAACACAGGGGGTACGAAGAAGAAGCAGAAGACCGCAGCTGAGATCAAGAGAGACAAGAAAGCCGCCACAGGACCTAGTAAGTTGCGCGAAACAAACAATGTGGATGACCAGGGTGACGAGAGTCCGATGAAAGATACAAATGGAGACACGATCCAAGTTACGCCAACGAAGAACGCAAGAGATGCCAGTAACGAACCTACGCTGAAGCTCAAGATAAAGACTGGGGCCGGTGGTGGCGATGGGCCGGCGAAAAAGAAGCTGGGCAAACAGGCGAACTCCGGAAAGAAAGGAGCGAACTCCTAGTCGTGACGAGTGTACATCTTCCGGGGAGCGTACCCCATACGATGATTGCTGAGTGGACGATGGAATGTATCCCAGAAAAGAAGCTACACATTTATGACGAGCAGTGATGGAGCAAAGCGCCTTATGCAAGGTAAATGTACACTAAATATCAGGTGCTGTGATACTTTGTGGGGGTCGGATTTTGCATAGCATTCGGCGTTTCGACGGTGTTGAGTTTGGATTGGAGACACGTTACTGCATGGTATGGCCTAGCTGACAATAAAGTTCCGTCTTATTCAAACGAGAGAATTACAGGTTACTAGATCAAACGATAATCTAAATAACGTCTTTGAAAATGAAAAGCCAACTGCCTGCCTTCTGAGATAGTAGCCTTCACAGACTCTAGTCTTTAAGTTTGGCTTCGAGGATATTCCCAGCCGCACCGCCTTGCCTGCTCTGCCAGATTTTCTCCAGCTTCAAACCGGCATGGTCCAGGATTTTCTCGAAGCCTTGGGCTGTGCGCTCCTTTCCGCCCATGACCATGACGCAGGTGTCCATTGCAGCGGCGGGCAAGTCGGCTTCATAGACTCGCTTGGGCATGACCATGTCGGCTATGAGCACTTTGGAGTCGGGAGCCATGGCGTCGCGGACGTGGGCGAGGATCTTGGCACAGTTCTCGTCCGAGTAGTCGTGCATGATGCGTCGGAAAAAGTACGCCTTGGCAGCCTTGATGGGCTGCGGAGTCCAGAAGTCATGGACCATGGTCCTGACTCCCGCGGGGAGAGAGGTGTTGCTGCTATCACTACTACTTTCGGTACCGACGCTCGACCGTGTCTGCGCGATGATTTCAGGGAGGTCCTGTAGCACCATGCGATCAGCCTCGAGGCACGGGAACGCTCTGAGGATCTGGGCTATCGACTGGCCCTGTCCGCCGCCGAGGTCGACGAGGGTCACCCTGTCGCCGTCGTTGTCCGGGTCGTAGAGTGCCCCATAGTCGTAGAAGCCGACAATGGGGACCGAGTCCTCCTGCGACATGAAGCCGAGCTGGAAGGCCCTGAGACGGTCCGGGAACTGCGCCATGATTTGCCACACGGGCACGCCGTCCTGACCGTGACGGTGCGTGTAGGGGTTGCGAACAGGGTCGTCGGGTTCCCGTACCGGCACCTCGCCTCGGTCTTTGAGGTACTGGTAGAAGTGCACCATGGTGGACATGCACTCATCGTTCCTTTGATTTGGTGCGAAGTTAAAGAAATGCGCTTCATCAATACACAAAACATGGAACGTAACATGTAAGGGTTAGTAGGCAAGATGTGTGAATCTCCACACCACATTGATGAGTTGCTAGTGGATGAGAAGTAGTTGGAACGTAAAGAAAAAAAAACCCCTTACATGAACTGGAAAAAGTTGCCAGGCCCCGGGACCTGAATGTAGGCCTTGGAGAACTTGGTGTGCACGTATTCGTAGTCTGGCGTCTGGTCGAGAAAGCCCGTACCGACGAGCAGTCGAAGTTGTCGCTCCAGAAGCGAGTCTTGGACCTTGGTAGCGGCCGAGAGGTCTGCTAGCGATATCGACCCGGCTTGGGGGATCTTCTCGAAGACACCTAGCGATAGCATCGTGCGTACCGCTACGATCTCTAGCATCTGCCACAGACGGGACGTTTTGGATGAGCTTGCGGGTGTCGCCTCAACCTACATAAGCAATAGAATGTTCAGACCACGTACATTGGCAGAGTGATGCATTGACATGTCTGATGGAGCCATCATCAGTCGCACAATCTCCTTTGCGACTTGCGACACATTTGTCCGCGAGATGTAGCCAGCGGCCCCTGGACTTGCGTCGTAGCCCTTGGCCGCTTCGGAGAGCTGCTGGATCAGCTCTTGCAGTTTCTCACCATCGTCTTGGACAGGCGCGGCCATTTCTGTTTCTGTGCTTTTTGGGGGGAGGTTCAGGGATACGAGAAATGGCGGGTTACGCGAGCAGATGGACAAGAGGACGGAAGATGATCCATGGAACCATTGATTTTTTTTTCATAACCGGCATATCTGAGAAGTGCAGATTTAGCCTACCTGATCGCAAACGGGAGTTCCGGCAGTTGGTGGCATCGACTGTGAGGCGGACGTGGATGATTCGTATCAGTGGACACCCCTACATGATGCACCAAGGTTGCAAGCGTACAGTGATTCACATTCCGACGGCATTGTGTCGGGAAGCGAAGGCATTCCAGGTGTAACAGCGAAGTATCACAACCAATGATCTTGGTAGGACGAGGGTTGAATTGGCCGGTTTTTGGGAGGCCTAGAGATGCAGCTAGAGATTTGCAGCGACACGGACATTCTACCACATACGAGTACAATACATGATATGTACAGCAATGATGTACACGTATCAGTTTCTTAGTTCAACCCGCCGCCACTCTCGCTTACAGCCAACTATTGTACCATGTTGTACAGCAGCGCTTTGCGGCATCAGGGCCTCTCTTAGCTTCCTTAGCTCTTCCTTATCGCGTCAGCTCCATCCTTTGGCTTCGGTCTGTCGCAACCGAGCAAGGAGCACAACAAAGAGATACCTGTTGATTACAACCAGACGTGATGGCCGGAGAGGCGGAACCATCTCCATCGGTCCATCTAGTACTCGTACAATACTGGTCCCGTCAATCATGGATCAATATTGCCCTGATCACCGAACGGCCCCAGCGCGAGATTACCACGTGGTGGCACTCCGTTTCTCTTAAAACGCCACCCGTGTTGTGTCTTTTGCCTTTCGTTTGTGTGGCCCTCCGCGATTGAAACGATTAGATTCGTCAGCGGTGAGCCGCCGGCCGAGATCACTTCCTCAGAGTCAGCATATAGCCTCGAATCACGACACCCACAGCACAGCCCCCGGTATCAGCCGGCGGCAGTCATGGGTGATATGTCACCTTATCGTCTGACTGACCACATTGCTTGCTGTCTGAGGTACAAGTTTCGCAGAAGCCTGTAGGCTGTGGAACTCACCACATGGGTTTCTTCTCGAATGCTTCCGGTTGGTGGGGCCGACCACGTTTTGTCCTTTCCTGTACCCTAGAGAATGGAGACGGCTCAGTCTTGGTACCCTGGTTGAAGCGCGCTCTACAGTAGGTCCGTCCGATTATTCGACTCGACGTGGACCAGCTGGAGGTGCTTTGTTCCTCCCCCCGCCCGGACTCTCTCCTCCTTTTTCTTGCATCTATGGATGTCATCGAGAGACGCAGGCTTTAAGATGGTAAGAGAGATACTGGGAAGCTATGTCTGAGATTCAGGCCGATGATGATTTCTCCGACGAAGGGTTTGATGCCAACACAACGGCTTCAAGCTATGTGTCGAGGTGAGGACCTAGGTGGTGTTTCGAGGCAACCCGAGTACACTGACATTGCTATACTAGTATTGCTACCGAGATTCGCGAAGGTATCGAGGAATATGGGCGGAGATATGCTGCATATGGTCGGCACTTCTATGGCCTTCCCATTGATGAGCAAGAACAAGAACGGAATGATCTTCAACACGAAAAATTCATGTTGCTCTACGAGGGTCGACTCCATCTTTCACCCATATCCCCTGAGCCACAGAACATCCTCGACCTAGGCACAGGCAATGGAACGTGGGCAATCGAAATGGCCGATCAGTACCCTTCGGCGTCAGTCATTGGAGTTGACCTGGCAGCTGTCCAACCTAGATGGGTGCCGCCGAATCTGACTTTTGAGATCCTCGATGTAGAACAAGAGTGGCTGCATCCGAAAAACAGCTATACTCTGATTCATGGCAGGGAACTGATTTTCGCAATTCGAGACTGGCCCGCTTTGATAGCTCAGGCTTACGATCACCTGATGCCCGGTGGCTACCTGGAACTGGCCGTCACTGTGCCAGAAATTGGCTGCGATGACGGCACCTGCCCGGAGGATTCGTGCTATCGTGCAATGTCACGGATGCATTTCCAAATAGCCGAAGCCATGGGCATCGACGGCTTTGCAGCAAAGAAATGGAGAGCCCAGCTTGAAACACAAGGGTTTGAAACTGTACATGAAAGGGTATTCAAAATACCTACGAATCGATGGCCAAAGGATAAAAGATTGAAAACTATCGGGAGTCTCGAAGTTGCCAATTTCCTGCAATTTTCGACCGCGGGATTCGAACGAGGCGCGGTAGGCCTGTTGGGTAATGACCCCGTCGCAATACAGGTCATGCTTGCCGCTGCGAGGAAGGAGATATTGGATCGAAGTGTTCATTCTTATGTCTACATGTGAGTACAAAAACCGGTGATTGGAGAGGTGAACTAAGAACGAACAGCTACAATGTCTTTGGCCGTCGACCTCTGGCACAGACAGAGAGTGATAGCCCTCGCACGTAGAATGCCTCCAGCAATACACAGCGACGTGGATGGACCTGCGAGCTCTGATTGGACATCCGGTCGGGACATGCGAGGCTACCTTTCCCCTGGCCTCAAACTGCCTGGGCACTACAGCATTTGACCACGAGATACAGTCCACGGCGTCCTCTTCGTGTCCTATCAGTCTGCGAGACCGCCCTATCCTTCACTGGGTGGATCTTTCCACATTTTCATCCTTACCCTGGCATGCTTCCTCATCATTTGGTGCCCATTACCGGTATGGCTTGATCACGAGGGGACCCTGCTGAAAGTCCTTCCTTAATCTAGGTTCCTTTCCCCTTGTGGAAGGATGAAAAGGCAGAGCGATGGTAGCAAAGTCTGTTCTGTATCCTTTGCGTTTGAAACCAAATGCGACGCACAGAGGAGTCTAGCCTTACCGCACTACGAGGTTGTGATGTTGTTTGTGGAGATGAACGAAGGGTATTTAGGCTACCTGTACGTCAAAGGAGGCTCGTGGCGCCCTGCCGGCGTTGTCTTGGTGCAATGTGGCTCATGATCATCGAAAGAGAATCGAGGACAATCTCGCATCCTTTATCGGGCCAGAGTGCTTCTACAGGCCTGTCGGTGACAGATTGCTATGCCACTTTGGGGCTACCATCCTCAGTGGCCTTTACGAAGGGGGGATTATACCTTCCTTCACGCTTCGCATCATCATCAGGACGGGGCTTTTCAACTCCTAAGAGTCAGCGTGTGTTAGTCCCCGGATACGGAGTAGGCTAAAGGGAATGGTACAGGTTTTTAGAGGGTTTCTTCACCGTCCTACAATGAATGTCTTGCTGTTAAGGTGGATACGATGTCTTGCACGTACTGGCACTCTTGTGAAGACGGAATATGTACCCCGTAGGAGTGGTAAGTGAGTGAAGGTCTACTAGAACTAGTGGGGTTGTTGAATGCCGCAGACAAGGCTGAAGTCATATACGTCAACGCAAGGCTGAGTAAACTGAACATATGGAACACTCACTGCAAGATCACTATTGCCTCTCATGGTCCTCACTTTGTACGCTATCTCTCACCTTCTCTTTGCTTTCTATGCATATAGCGCAATAACATTACGACAAGATGAGCGGCGATACGGCAGATTTCAGACTGAGTGCGACGCTCAAAGGGCATAAGAGTGATGTACTTGCACATCGAGATCATTACCATTCCAACGACTAACTGCTGTACAGGTACGGGCTGTCCTCCTTCCGGGTCCTGCTTTCGCAATCACAGCTTCTCGAGATGGCTCGACCAAAGTGTGGAAGCGAACTTCGACGAAACCTCCTGCTTATGATGACCACGAATCATCCCACGGCGCGCAGTTCAAAACATGCCTAGCCTACATACCTCCCTCAAAAGAATTCCAAGAGGGTCTCATCCTGTCGTCTGGTCAAGACACACTCATTGAAGCAAGACAACCCTCCTCGACGGCAGAAGTCAGTGCGGATGCGCTCATGGTGGGCCATAGTCACCAAGTGTGTTCATTAGACGTCTGCGCCCAAGCAAACTACTTTGTAAGCGGTAGCTGGGACAGCACGGCAAAAGTATGGGAGATTGGCAAATGGGAAGCCGCGGTCGATCTACCGGGCCATACTGCGACCGTATGGACAGTATTGGCATACGACCGGGAAATCATCATCACAGGTTGTGCAGATCGCGCAATACGGATATTCGACGTCCGAGGAAAGATGCTGGTTTCCTGGGACGGAAAGGACATCGTTCGAGCTCTGGCCAGGCTTCCGAGAGGCCACTACACTGGCGCCGACTTCGCGTCCGCCTCGAACGACGGTGTCATCCGATTATGGACTTTAAAGGGCGACCTACTTGCGGAACTGTTTGGTCATGAAGCCTTCATTTATTCGCTGGCCGTCCTACCCTCGGGCGAGCTTGTCAGTTCCGGAGAGGATCGGTCAGTTCGAATATGGCAAGGCACAGAATGTGTTCAGGTCATCACACTACCTGCTATCTCTGTCTGGTCTGTGTCCGTCTGCCCGAATGGTGACATTATAGTCGGCTCGAGTGACAAACTAGCTCGGATATTCACCCGTGCTTCGTCTAGGATAGCGGATGCAGAAAGCCTGCAGGAGTTTGAAGCATCAGTGCAGACTTCCAGCGTACCACAGCAGCAGATGGGCGAGATTAATATGACTGACTTGCCTGGGCCCGACTTCCTGCAACGAAAAGCAGGCACGAAAGAGGGTCAAAGTCAGATTATCAAAGAAGACGACGGAAGTGCTTCGCTCTACCAATGGTCAATGTCTCAGCAAACATGGGTCAAGATTGGCCAAGTGGTCGACTCCGCTGCCTCAAGCGGAAAGAAGGCGTACAACGGAAAAGAGTATGACTACGTCTTTGATATAGACATTGAAGATGGCAAGCCGCCACTGAAACTACCCTACAACATCACGCAGAATCCCTACGAGGCGGCCACCAAATTCCTGCAGGATCATGAACTACCCCTCAGTTATTTGGAAGAAACAGCCAACTTTATCATCAAGAACACTCAGGGTGCTACTCTCGGACAGTCCCAGCCTGCTGGTGCTGATCCCTGGGGTACTGAATCAAGGTATAGACCTGGGGAGGTTTCAAGCTACCAAGCCCCTCCGGCCCCCGTCAAAAAGATCCTTCCACAGAAGGATTATTTACCTGTTGTTATTGGGAAACCTGGAGCGGCAATGGGCCAGATTACAAAAAAGAATGCTGAATACGGTGGAAGTGACGTTGCGCTTTCTCAAGGAGATGTACAGACGTTGACCACGGTCGCGCAGCAACTCGAAAAGTACAACTTTCAAGGCAAACCATCCTTATCCACCCCTGAATTGCCGACAGCCGTATCCTTGCTCATGAAGGTTGGGACTGAGTGGCAGCCCCCTGCAAACCGACTGGCGGGTCTCGATTTGCTCCGATTCCTCGCAGCAGCCACCAGTGAATTTCCTGCAGCTGATGCCGAAGGCCTCGACGCTGTCGCAGCGATCCTCGCAAGTGGCATCTTCGATCCTGAATTCCTGCGCACAAACAACAAGCTGGCTATGATTGCGCTCCGATTCTTTTCAAACTTGTTGTATGGCTCTTCTTCAGGACGAGACTTGGTCAAAGAACATCTCGACAGCATCCTTGAGACTCTGAAACCACTGTCGGCCATCATTTCAACAGATGTTTCAGTTGCTGTGGCTCTCACAACCCTGTATCTGAACATTGCTGTTCTCGTCACTAGCGACAAGAGCATAGACGGCGACACCAAGGCCAACTACGGATTGTCTCTGGTAGAAGAGCTGTCGAAGATCCTCAGTGGATTTCCCGCAGTCAACCATACTGCGTCCGCCAGTCCAGCTGCTCAGTCTACGGAACCCGCGTATCGCACGGCCGTTGCCTTGGGGACAGTGCTGGTCGGACTGAAACGAGATGATCTGACTTCAGCAGCCAAAGACATCTTTGACATTCCCAACGCCCTGTCACAACTGAGAATCAAGAAATACATGGATGAACCGAGATTTAAGAATGTGGCCGGAGAGATCCAAGCAGTATTGCAGCGATAGAATACATCCTTTGCCGCAATGTTTTGTTTGCACCACCAGAGGATGTGGAATGGGCGGTAGAGAAGGTCACCTCGTCCGTGGGGGTTTGCAACAAAACACATGAATTCGGAAAACAATGCATAGCCACCAAGGGGGCATACGGAATGTAGATCGGAATGAAATCATGATGCCATGATGCCATAATACCATATGGGACATTGTGATGTCTTACAGTATGTCAAGACGGGAAATGATCATTCGAGGAATAGTAGTAGTGAGCGAGTGATTGCTACAAGACGTACAGACCTACACACAGACAGCCAGACGTGAATTGGCTTCTAGGTATGGAATGTGAAAACGCAAATTGCCCACCAATAATCCATTTTGGTTTTCCTTCGTGCTCAGATACGACGGTTGTTTTTCGTATTCGTAAAGACTGTACATGCACGTTTTGAGCCCGAAGGGTTTGTATATGATTTTCTGGAAAATTCTTCATTGTACAGATACGGGTACAGGTACATGTGCATGTGTGATCTTATGTTGAAAATGCGGATCCTCTCTCTTTCTGGCCCAGAACAGCCGAGGGAGATACAGGTGGAATTGATGGATTGGTTGAGAAATTTGCCAAACCCAAACGCCAGCGCTATGCTATTGCTAGATACAGAGGAGGGTGTGGAAGGTTCTATGCTGTTGCTGTCGTGGGTTTTTGTTGCCGCTGCTGCGTGGGTATAGATTCTGCAGGTGAGGTTGAGGTTGAGGTTGAGGTTGAGGACGTCTCTCGTTGTTGTTGTTGTTGTTGTTGTTGTTGTTGTTGTTGTTGTTGTTGTTGTTGTTGTTGCTGTTGTGTCGTTCTCGGTAGCGGTGAAGATGGTTTAGGTTCGATCAGCCCGATCTATTCGTACGCCGTTAGCAGTCGCCCGTGGTACAAAACAAGTCCGAACCACGATCTCTGTCTCACGGAACCCCCAGGACTCGGGGGAGCTTGGTAGATTGAGGTGGATGAGCTTGCGTATGACGCGGTGTGATTGATTGATAGGATTGACTGGATGGGCTTGTGACCCGTCCTCCGGGGGGTTGTGTGCCTTTGTAACCAAGTCAACTTACCATGCTCAATAATTTGACCACTGGCTCCGTCGGCTGCGCACCCACGCCCAACCAGTACTTTGTCCGGCTCGTGTCGAGCTTGATATCCTTGTACCGCCGCGGCACGAACTTGGTCCCGTCCGGGAGGTACTCGGGCGTGTCGGGCGTCGCGAGGGGCAGGCGAGGGATCGGGTCGTATGTGCCTAGGACTTCGATTGGCTTCTTGCCCCGTGCCGATTTTGCCTGGGCGAGGACGATGTTGTAGACCGGTGCGCGTTTGGTGCCGAAGCGGGCGAGACGGATTCGGAGAACCATGTTGCTGAGGGTTGTGTGTGAACAGAAGGATGAGTGGTAGATGCCGAGAGCGTCGAAGCGGTGGAGGCCGCAGAGAGGATCCGGCGACGTGGGACTTTGTGTGTATGTTCTCTCTCGATAGGCGTTGAGGCAGAATATCCCGTGCTGTGCTGTGCTGTGCTGAGCTGCAGGCAAATCAGATAGTCGTGAGGTGTTCGAAGCACTCAAAAGTTTACCGTACAGTAGTAGTTTGCTAAGAAGACAGCCTCGTCGAAAATTCTTGGAGGGCGCCGATTGGTTCCGAGGTAGGGAGGATATGATTGGCGGAGGCGCAGACTCGACGAGGCTGCGCTACGGACGGATTTGGATGGCGCGAGGCTGAGGGACAATGAACGATGACGATGGATGACGAAGGTTGAGGCCATCGACATGATACTCGGACAAGTGTCTAGCTACCTTAGGTACCTGGTATTCATTCCATGTCGACTGCACCTTTGTCACTTCGTCTAGTACCGCCTGCCCGACATTGTCCCCGTAAGAGATCAGTCTCGTAAGGACCAAGAACTATCTCGTACCTCGGAGTACTCGTCTCCCAGTCAGACCACATCCTCCATCACCCAACAGAGAACAGAGAACACTATCCCTGCGCACGAGGGCCTGTCAAGTCTTCTGGGGAGATCGCATTCTCGAAAGGGTAGCGCCTCATCTTTATGCTTCGAACTGTTCTACCTCGAAGAACCATCAGGCCAATTCTTGCAGCAAGAACGGTTTCCAAGATGGCGTTGAAGGTGAGTAGTGTGACCTTCTTATCTATTTGCTCTCTACACGATTTTCCCAAGCATAGATAAGCGACAATCTTGGGATATAACGCATACGCCTTCTGTGGAGAACTCCTTAACAAGCACTCAATCGCAGTGCTGATTCGGGCTCCATAACAACACGACTAACATCTCTCGACACGAATAGACACTCGGACCAAAACCGGCCGCCGAGCTGGACAAGGAACTCATGAGCGAAGAAGGAGGATTTTCAATCGACCAGCTAATGGAACTTGCTGGGCTCAGTGTCTCACAAGCTGGCAAGTATACTCATGAAACTCCCTTTCTCTCACCACGCCACTTTTCCAGGCAATGGACCTGGCTAGGTGGACGTTGAACCGTGACTGACAGCTCGGATGAATCCAGTATATAAAGTTCATCCACCCTCCAAAGGTAAAAACATTCTCATAGCATGTGGACCAGGGAATAATGGTAAGTACCAAAACCGAGATTCAAAGAACACCTCTTATTATCACCGCACCCACATTCGTTTCAGTCCTCTCTTTCCACTACCCCTTCCTATCTATCATTACCCATATCGTCACAGGCCCTTTCTCTTCGTGTACATTCATCTTCTCTCATATGATACGAAGGGGGAGACCAAGTCCTGGAGCGATTGAGGAACCGAGCGACCGAATGGCTGAATGACTGACTTCTCCCACGTCGGACGGTCCCGAACATAGGCGGCGATGGACTCGTCTGTGCTCGTCATCTCTACCACTACGGCTACACGCCGACAATCTACTACCCGAAACCGACCAACGCTCCCATTTTCACTGGTCTCCAAAAACAGCTTCGCCACCTACACATCCCCTTCCTCGCTACGCCGGAGGACTTCACCGCCACTCTCAAATCGACAGACCTGATCATCGATGCCCTGTTCGGATTCAGCTTCCACCCTCCTGTCCGCGCGCCCTTCGACACCATCCTCACAGCCGTCATCGACTCCCCTACCCCCGTACTGTCCGTCGACATCCCTTCGAGCTGGGATGTTGCGGGCGGTCCGCCGCCGGAAAAAGACCTCGTGGGCCACAATTTCATGCCAGAGTACCTTGTCAGCTTGACGGCCGCGAAGCCCTGCGTCAAACATTACAAAGGCCAGCGGCATTTTATTGGGGGGCGGTTCCTAAGTCAGGACGTTGCGAAAAAGTACGGTCTGGACGTGCCGGACTACAAGGGTGTGGATCAGATTGCAGAGGTCCCTGTCGATATCAAGGTTGAGGAGAAGTTGTAAATGTACTTTCGAGAACAAAACAGTGAACGGCCCAAAGGATCTAGATATCTCTAATTTCTAAGCCCTAACCTCTAAAGTGTAGGGGGGTAATTGACTATCCCTTTGTCCAATTCTGCCTGCTCCCAGACAAGAAGCGGCAATGCTACCAATCACAAAGTTTGTCGACCCGAGAGGCTGGAATTGACCCCTTTTGCACTCCTTCTCATCGAGCCAGAACAAACATAATGAAGATGACGAGGCAGGCTGACGTGTCCATCATATTCTGTGCTGAGTGGCGCAACCGATCACCCGTCCCCAATGCTTAAACCGGGGATCCATTATACGAGAAATGCAACTTTGAGACTTGCCTCACAGGCTGTGCTGTATGTACGGTATGCCCTCCACGCTCTGACAGCAGGTCACTAGTGATTTCCCCTGCTGACCCTGCGAGGAGACGGTTCTTCGGGGATTTGCACCCATCGCTTGCCCAATTAGTAGCGTTGCAGCTCGTGTTCTGACCAATTGATTCACGCGGGTGTGTATGTGTGTACGCGGCACAGTTGCACGGGCGTTCGACTGAGTGGGGAGGGCCAGGCAACCAAAAATAAAACAAGCACCGTATCCGAAACCTTATCCTCGTTAAGCATGTTTCTAAGGTGCTTTTCCGCGGTTGCCTTGCCTCTCACAAAAGATGTGCATTTACACTGCCACTATTTCTGGGTGGACTATGCGGCTTCGGACAGCTTCCTCATGGTCTTTGCCACTTTATGAACGGATCTATGGGTGGCCCCCGATACCGAAGTGCTCTGCCTGTGCTCGTAAATTATTAAAAATTTCCGAGACTGAGCGTTTTCTTCTGCGCCGAGAACGTCCGCCATGGGTAAGCTGACCAAACGATCCAGGATGTTAATAACAAAAACTGAAGGCAAACTGATCGGGGCCTGGCAAGGCTCCTCGGTGACTTAGTGGATTCCTTCTCGTTACACCGAAGGCTGATGTGAGTTATAATACGGTGTGTGCTACCGTGCTGCTCCGGATTCTTCTCAATCCATGAGCGCCCTACAGAATCGACTGGGTGGTCATCATGGCCAGGTCATCCTCCTCGACTCTGAAGCCAGAAGACCCTGTCTACAATCTTTCAGACGACTCTTCCGGTGTCAAAGCGGATCTGGCAGACGCGCACCAGCGGCATACAAAAGTTAGGGCGTCTAAAAATGAACAACGGAAGGTGCTCGGTTACCAAACGGTCCTGCAGCGTATGGTCGTCGAAGCGGCAGGGCCACCGTCGCCAAATCCCTGGGACGCCGACAAACCTCGAGCGAACGAAGGTGCCACATTGGAATCATGGGAGCGACAGATTCAGCTTCTCGACCCCCATGATTCTCCCATATACAGCATCCGGAACCCCCTGGTAGGGAGGCTGCTAGAAAGTCTGATGATCGATTTTGGGCGACCAACGCATTCATCTTTCATGGATGACACCTACAACGTTTATCTGTCGCAACAGGAACGCGCGGCAATCAGTTTTCGAGCTTTCAAGAAAGTGGTGGTTGTGTATGGAGATCCGTTGTGTGACAGCAAGAAGGCAAGCTATGTCTTTGAAGAGTTTCGGCGCTTCTGCAAGAGGAGGCACTGTCGCGTGGCCGTCGTCGGCGCGAGCTCCAACCTTGCTGCGCACGCCCAAACAATGTCCTGGGTTTGTATGGAGTTTGGAGTCGAAAAGGTATTCAACCCGATGCGAAACGAGGTCCTGAACGAGAGAGCCGGAAAAACGATCACAAGAACCAACAGGAAATTGGTCCGTGATGGTGTCGTCCTCTTCCTTTACGAACCTCGGCGGGGCGTTCTGCCTCAGTTGGAGCAAGAGCTCAGGGACGTCTACACTGGTTGGAGAGAGGAACGAAGGTTGAAGAACGTCCCACAGGCTTATTCTGCGGTCGTCGACCCGTTTGCCCTATCCGGTGTCACACGCTATTTGTTCACCAGAGGACCGGACGGAAAACCGAATAGTCTCGCCGGACTGATATGGCTGGGAAATTCTTCCGGATATCTGCTGGAGCCATGCATCCAGTCCGCGTCGGCGCCGAAAGGGACCACTGGCTTCTTGGTGACTCACGCCATGGGCCTCCTGCGAGACGAGAATGTTCACTACATGACTTTCGGCGTCGAAGCAATGCGTCACTTGGGCGAGATTACCTCGATGTCGTCTTTTACGGCTAAAATGTCCCGTCGCGTCTATTCTGCCGTCTCCGATGCCTTCGATTTGGAAGGTCGACAGATCTTTCATCAGTCCTTCTATCCAGAAAAAGATCGGCACGATCCCTTGTATCTGCTATTTCCTCCAGGAATTCTTCATTTTTCCATGTATCAAGCTGTTCTGAAGGCTAGTCACGTCAGCCCGCGCGTTGTCTGGAGGCACTGGCAAACCGATCGATCTTCGAAACGACAGGAAGGAAACTCGACACGACAGGAAGGAAAGCCACCGAGAGTGTCAACGGTTGTCGAAGAAAAAACCAAATGAAATGAAAGGACAGTTTTGAGCCTCGCTTTGCAAACGTCACATCACCCTGTGAAAAGGCCGAGAGGTACCATGAGCTGCGAGCTTTTCGAATTAGATTCAGTAACTCCTCGCCTAAGCGTCTGGGTGTCTAAGAAGACGCCGCCCGAGTATTGTGTGTTTGTTGATCTTCGGATCCTTGCTTGGGTCTTTGTTGTTATTTCGGGAGGCGCCCTGGAAACGGGGGGATGGTCCTGGAGGAACCGTTCCAGGCTCGAGTGTGCCCGGGGCTCCTCGTCCTAGGTGGGACATTGAAAACCCCCGAGACGCCCACCACCCAAAGCTTCGTAAAAACGTACAATACTGTAGGACATGGCACAGGCGACAGGACCACCCCGCCCCCCCCTTTTTTTTTCCCATCTACCCTCCTCGCACTATGACTTCCTGTCCCCGTGGTGTTGCGTGAGCACTTCGCTTCGGTGACTGTAGAAGAAGTCCTGACCGAAGAGGTATCCGGAGTTGTAGTGGCAAGGATTCAAACGATCCATCCCTTGTGCTGTTCTAGACCATTTCACTTCTAGGCCTGTGGTGGAGCAAGCCCCAGGATATATCATCTGTCCACCTACTTGTGCTGTAGTTTGTCGTGCCTCCATTCGGCAGTCGGTGCAAGGTCATTTGGCGACACCGACGGTCAGATAACTACCGGGTCAAAAAGGCCACTTACTGACAAAAAATGATCCAGACCCGACCATTAACTGATTGGGGTGTCTCTCCTCCTCTCCTTGACCGGAGAGTCAAGGGCGTGAATCAACCCCGCTCGCCGTGGCCGCGGGAGTCGGGAGGCTGGAGCGACGGAGGCACCAATCATCATCCGTCGCTCGGTTTGCTACAATCATCTGGGGCCGAGCCGCGAGCAAAATACATATTTGTACGATCTTAGATACCCTCAACGGGTTGGATTACAATAGGACCTGGTAACACACGCACTTGTTTTTATTATTACAACCAACAACTACAAAATGTAGGCTCACGCAAATCATTATTCTTTTTTCGTCTCAAACATGCATTCGTTGCTGCTTGCGGTGGTAGAAATAGCAGCAGCGTCGGACTTTCTCCTTGTGCAGAATCGCCCGTGTCATGACCTAGTACAAGATCTTCATTGGCCTTCCAATGGGTAGCAGCATTTCGCGGCACATTTGAATTCCAAACGCCAACGTTCCTCCCTATGTCCGTCCCGTGTCTTGTGGAAAGGAGGGCTGCCTGATCATGTACCGATGAATCCGCCTCTTCTGCACATCGTTTTGACGTCCCAGTGCGGTCGACAGGGCTGGTACTGTCCGGACCACATGCTCATGAGTTCTTCGTTCCAGTGTATCAGATCAGGCTGTCTGACACCGTCTATGGCAGGGCTTCCTTGATCTTCGCCTTTTGTGCTGCAGTCAATGAACGAGGGAAATTGACCTTGACCTGGACCACAAAATCTCCTCTCTCGCCCGGCTTCTTGCTGATCGGCATGCCGAGGCCAGGGAATCGTTCTTCGTAACCTGGCTGGGTTGGCCCAGCGCCGGAGACATTCAGCTGTTTTCCATCAATCGTCGTGACCGTTCGTTTCCATCCGGTAAGTGCCTCCTTCAGATCTAACTCGATTGTTGTCTTCAAATCGTCGCCATCCCGTGTGAGTGTTGCATGAGGTTTCTCGGTGACGATGAAATGAAGATCTTGCGTTCCGCCTTCCTCTTGATCTCCCACACCAGAGAATTTAATCTTGGACCCCGCCTTCAGACCAGGCTTGATGTCCATTTCGAGTATTTTGTCTTCGGTCACCCGCTGGCCTTGAGAGTTGAATGTCTTTCTCTTAATTTTCATCTTCTTGTGCGCTCCCTTGGACAGCTCCTCGAGCGTCACTGGTAGTTGTCGTTCAACGACCGTGACTTCAGGTGTCTGGGGTCGGGGTTGCCCACCACCGAAAGAGCTTCCAAATCCGCCGGCACTCCTTCGAGGACCCCCGCGACCGCCTCCAAACGCACCGCCCAATAAGTTGAAGATGTCATCATCATCGGCACCAGCAGCTCCGCCGCCACCTGCACCACCACGAGCGAAGCTCGAGAAAATGTCGTTGGGATCTGAAAAGCTGAAGCCTTGGCCCCCGTTTGTACTGAAGTGGAATGAGCGAGTACCGCCGCCAGGCATTCCACCAAAACTGAAGCCACCAGGCATACCTCCTCCAAATCCACCTCCGGGCATGCCGCCGTCCATGCCCTCAGCACCTGGAGGAGGAGCCTGTCCTCCTCTTAATAGGAACTCTAAGCCATATTGGTCGTACACCTTCCGCTTCTCTGGATCTGATAACACCTCATAGGCTTGTGACACTTCTTTGAATTTTTCTGCTGCATTTGGGTTGTCTTTGTTCTTGTCTGGGTGGAACTTCAATGCAGCTTTTCGATATGCTTTCTTGATTTCATCTTGGGTGGCTGTAGGAGAGACGGAGAGGGCGTCGTAGAGTTTTGTTTCTGCTACCATGTTGTAGGGTGTCTACGTATGGTTGGTTCGAATGAATCGAGTGTATGTGAAGGTTTTGTTGTGTCGTGAATGGTTGAAGGAGAAGGAAGGAGGAATTAAAACATCAGAGGAGAAGAGCAAGGCTGCGTGACGGCAGAGAAGAGCCGGCTGCGTGATTTAGGCGGGTGTGGAGCAATAGAAGACTGAAGAGCCCAGATGGAAGAATCGCAGCAATCTTTGGGCCAGGGTTTCCAGCCGGCAATCAAACAGGGCACCGTGACTTTGCATGTAAAGGTGAGCAGGAACAAAGAAAGTGCTAATAAGGTGACTTGACTTGATTGCTGAAGCGGGCGAGGAACCGGAAACTGGTGACATGCCGCAATGTCGACAGCGGCGTCATGGCCCACCGTTTTTGGAACCTTCGAGACGCTTCTATACCTGTCGCGGTTAGACCGAGCCCTGTCTTGGCCTTTGCTACCACTCCGAATACCGCACCAGAGGACAAAAGTACCGTGTATCCAGGGGCACAATAACTCAGACTTCACCTCCTCGTGCTCCAAGATTGAGCATAGCGGAAAAATAAGCCAGTCGAAAGCGTTTCTATGAGCCCATCTGTATCTCTTTTTGTGCCTACTACAATGTATCAAGTCTTGTCCCGCTGATCATACAATATCCCCGTTATTGCCAACGTCCATCTACTGTCTTCTTCCTCACCAATGGCCTAACTGCCATCACTCCCGCTGCCAGAGCAACCACTGTCAACACGAGTTGAGGCTTGTTGAACCCCTTCCCTAGGACATCGAATGCCATACTGGGTGTGATTTGCGTTCCAAACACATCATGCCCGAATGCAAACACCATGCTGGTGCTTTCAAGAAGGCTTGGGGACGCCATGACTTTCTTGATACCAATCACTTCACGCGAATGTGTCAAGGACCATTTCGGGTCAAAGTCAAGCACTGGCGAGTATCGCGTCAATCCTTCTTCGCGCTCCGTACTTGTAGGATCGCGATCCACCGGTCTTCGGGCATCCAGAACCTCCCGTGGAATACCAACGACAGCATTCGATTCTGGCAATGTTGCCAGTAGTTGTCGGCTGGTGATGCCCTGTATCGTCTGAGAAACGGCAAGATGTGAGATTGGTTGGCCAATGGTAAAGACTTGGGAGATGACATGAGGTTCAACACCAGCGTCAGGGCCAAATGACGAAAAGTTCGACCGGCCGGCCAAGGCACCGCGGTCATTAGCCGTGGATGACTCGTAAAGCTCAGAGATGACGATTTGGCTGGACACGGCGCTTGTAGTAGGGTCTTGACTCGTAAATGAATAGGCATACCAGTTCTCCGAGACAACGGCAGGCGTTTCTGTGCGAGGCACCAACCCCTGGTGAGTTGAGGTGTGGAGAACGGCACCAGTCACGGCGTTGATCAAATAAACTGTCAGGGATGACTCTGATTGAGCAATCAAAAGAGCGATATTGGGAGACAGATACTTGTAGAGAACAGACCTGTCGCCCAACACCCTTCCAATCGACGCTACTGGGTCATGCTCGGGTCTCGCAACTGCTTTGGTGATCTTGAACCCTTTCTGTGGTTGCAGGACCCAAGTCTTCTCGACGGTTGAGCCGATAGTCCAGCCAATGGCTTTTCCATCATCATCGATCGTAACCACGACATTTCCTTCGAGGGGATGGCTCGGGGCAAAATCCGTGGCTGGATGAGGAGTGCCATGTGAGTCAATCTTGATCACTACAGCTGTTTTGCTTCCAGCAATTTGGACAAGGTCGTCAATCGCAATGGCTCCACGTTGGTGCTCAATCAAGGTGCCCTCTGTGGCGTTTAGAACCACCAACGAGCCGTCCGAAAGATAGGTCGAAACCCGCCCCTCGCTCACCGTGATGGACTTCATTGCGATTCCATCAGCAATCTGTGGAGTCAAATCTTGTTGCCACCTGACCAAACCGCCGTTAGATGCATCAAGTGCAATCAACTCCCTGCGGGTTGTGCCCACCACAACTGTCTTTTTGCCCACGAGACCTTTCCGTACGCTGGATTCGGTATCCGGAGACGGTGTAAGAATCGCAGCTGGAAGTGCTTGCAGATATTCTGGTAGGGTTTGTAGATCGAGTAGGTGCCGCTTTAGTCGATGAACATATGCTGTCAAGGGGTTGACGGAGAGTTCCAGGTCGAGCTCCTCGGCTAAAGCATCCGGTCCTTCATCTTCAGCCCATGCAGCAATGTTTGCATATGCGAGCATTTCCGGTCGAGCCCATTGTACGTCTCCGTTACGTATCAAAGACCAAACTCCTTTTGTCGACACCTCCGCAACTCGAACAGCATAGCTGGCTTTCCCTCGGTTTACAACTTCAGCAATGGTATACGCAGGGTAGCCATCGCGTAGTGAAAGCACGCTTGATCTTGGCCATCGACCCAGTTGTCCGTGCGATTCTGAGGAGTAGAGAAGAACTTCAGTTTCTGTGGAACGCACAAAGAATACCAAGGCGTCATTGCTTGTCGCAGCAAATGTGCTGTGCTCTTCGGTTGCTGGTAATGAGTACGCTTTCTTCACATCTCCGGACTTTGGATTCACATGGTAGACCTCAGCCCAATGCCGTGTCTTTCCTTGCACATGCAACAAGAAATGAGAGGCAGCTTCTGGATGGCATGGATGATGAACGCTCACTCGCTCGATGTCCTCTCCCTTGTCCTCCAGTGATAGTGTGACAGGTTTTGAGCTTCCTAGCAGGGTAAACTTGATCGACTTGTAGGGCTTCTCAGATGATAGTAGAAAAGGGGATGTCGAGCATGACGCTGCCGTAAGCTGTCCATTGGTGCCCAGTGCTTCGGAGTCCACAGTAACACTGTTAGAATCAACCTCGTGGCCAGTCTTGCTGTCCAGAGTGACGACTCTTGCTTTGCTACCAGCTAAGAGGCCATGAGATTTCGAAACATAGTAGATGTGTTTTCCTGATGTAACGATCGAGGCGGATGTGCCTTGAGTGTGGCTTGGATCTGCGTGCTGCCATTTAACACCACTTCCATCGCCAGCAAGTCTGAAAATGGTTGCGTGTGCTGTTGAAGTTGTTGGCACAGTCAAAACCACAACATCCTGTGATACGCCATCTGGGCTCGTATCGAGGGCTGGAACAGCCTGCACTCCTACTATCTCCAGTCCAGCCGCGAGTGTATGTTCCCACACAAGCTTGCCATCCAGAGCATTCCAACATGCAACTATCCGTCCGTGTCCGCTTATGATCTGGCCATCGTCCTCTGACAAAATCAACTGAGAGCTTGAACCATTTTCTACAGGCTGTCCTGCCAATGCTTGCCGCCACAGTAAGGTCCCATCTTTAGGATTCACAGCACCTAGCACTGCCTTGTCGGAGACTGTGTAAAGGAGGGACGCGTTCGTGGAGGAGTGAGGTTTGCGGAAAAAGGTGGTATGGGGTTGCGGCTCGCCCAGTAGGCTATATTGGTAGTCTAGGTGGAAGGCTTCATCGGCGAAGATGGCGGCTGATGTCGCGACTAGCGCTGCGAGTATGGAGAGGACTCCACGCAGCCTCATCCTGTGAATTTGGCGTGGATGTTCTGGACATCCGTTGTTGACTTGGCCACGGCTTAAATTAACTGCCCGCAGTGTGAGGATGTAGTAAACGGAACATCAAATGACAATGTGCCATGGTCTTTTGAAGTTGATAGTTGAGATACGTATCTACATCTGCTTAGCGTTCCGCAGGGTGAGTCTGATAGTATTGGCACGAATTCAAGTAGCATTGTCTTTTTCCTTCTGGAACCCCTGATATTGGTGTTTACGGAGGATTGCAGTTGGATATACCAATCTAAATCACCCAATGAACATGGAAGAAACAAACAAGATCTCAACCCGTGCAGGTTATCGCCCCGAATGGCTGGCTGTAAGTTCACCTTGATGGTTGTCCCCGCTCTGTACCCTCCATGTATGCACGATCTTGCAGATTGACAGGCCGTCCAGCTCGAAGATGCATCGGGCGGCAGATATGTAATGTCTGGAAACTTTGCGGTGGACGTCCCAACTTATGATGCTGTTTTCGCTGCCATGTCGAAACAGTGGCCCCAACTTCCCGAAGAAATGAAAGTTTGTGAGTGAGTCTCGACTTTGATACCTCGTCCTGAACAGGTCTTGGTTCCCGTGTGATCGAGCCACTGACCAATATAATATCTAGGGGATGAGAGAACCGACAGCGCACATGGAGGACTCGAAGTCCGTATATACAAGCCAGCGTCCGATAAACCGTTGCCTCTCATGATCTATTTTCCCGGCGGGGGTTACATTGCAGGCAATCTGGACACTGAAGACGCCCATTGCAGGATTTTTGCTGCGAAGACGCCGTGTTTGGTCATCAGTGTCAACTACCCTAAAGTACCGGTAGTCAAAGTCGACGACATAATCAACCTTGGGTGTCTGGTAGTACCCTGGGTTAGTCTTGGGTTGGATGTATGTGGACGTTGACTGACTTGTCTAGTGTCGGGAGAAATCCAAAGAACTGGGCGACGACCCATCGAACACCATCCTATGCGGAGGCTCCGCTGGTGCCTTTCTATCGGCACAGGTCGCCTATCGGTTCATGGCAGACGGCGACTATACCAGCATCACTGGCTGTGTGCTGTTATTTGCAGTTGCCCTGCATTGGGAATACGATGGCAAATACAAGCACATGTACACTGCCTGGGCTGAGAATGGCAATGCCGGCACTCCTGTATTTGGCCTAGAGCTTGCGAAATTCATCTGGTGTAAGTCCCTGCGTGCTTTTGAACTGATTTGACTTCGTGGTGACCTGGACAGCACACTACGATATCGATTTCAGCAGCCCGCGCCACTTTCCACTCCTTGCGGATGACCTTTCAAAATTCCCTCCGTGCTACATTGTTACGGCTGAGAAGGACTGTTTTCGAGACGATGGCACGGTTCTGGATTATCGGCTGCGGGAGAGTGGTGTCCGAAGCAAGCTTGACTACTACGAAGGTCTTCCTCATTACTTCCATGCCTTTCCTCAGCTTGAAATTGCCCACGAAGCCATGGCAAAAGCTGTCGAAGGAGCACAATTTGTCTTGGAGTAGTGGAAAAGCTCACGCCCAGTTCTTCTCTCTTGGTAATTGAGTGCCTAGGGACAGGTAGGTATTTGATGGATGTTACGGCGAACAATTGGATATTCGTAGCTGGGCCACTAATGACCATGGTCGAAATGCTCGACTGTCGCCACTTGTTGCCGCGAGCTGTCATTGAACGACCGGCTCTTTCAGTGACTGTTGTCCACTTGTGTCGAATCAACACATGACGGCGTGGCCAGGTTCTGGAAATGACAGCCAACTCTGGATGCATTTGCGTGGCCACGACCGCCAATCTTGTCAGAGAAACGATGAGCTCATAGATCCGCTCGATATGCCTCCCTGACTTGTCTTGACAGGACTTAACTGGTGAACGGTACAAGTTAAGTGGGCGGTAACCTCTCAGACGGGAAGCCGAGTGATGGCGGGCCGTTAGACTCCGTTCTCAGGGTAAATAAGGGCACTTGGGGCTCGGCGGCCACTTGAGAGGCGAGTTGGGTCCCCCTGGGGCGCCTCCCGCCACCTGCCACGGCCCCTGGGATCGCCCGTCATCCACCAAATAACCGGCCTTTTAGGTTCCTCGTAGGCACCGTTGAGGCACCTACAAGCGGGCTAGAAGTACTGTAGGTACATAACTGCCGTACCATAGTGGATTCGACCTTGGAACCTTCCGCGCCTCTTCCCGTCGCTCCTCACAAAGATTTTTCTTTCTGCGGATTCGCTTGGGCCTCATACTCGACATTCTCAATCTCCTTCATCAAGATCACCACTCCGTCCTGTCATTGATTAGGTATTGATTGTTGGCCAAAAGACAGTCCATCGCTCTCCTCGGCCTACGACGCATCTCACAATCCGCGAGGGGGTGGGGTTTGACGGGGTCGCCTACTTCTACTCATCTTCTCCGCTTTTGCTCTCAGCCGAGGCGTGCAAGGCTTTCTTTCCTACCACAAACGGCCTCACGCTGCAATGTGCCCGGAGATCGAAGCGGTCGGCGAAGGTGAACATACAAGCCATATCTCTCCTGATCCAGTGAGTTGAGCTGAGCCCTACGCTCCAAAGAGCCACACCACCTCTAACACACCGTACATCAGCAAATCGACGACGGTCAGGACTCCACGTACGGCGAAGATGCGTAAGTCCAGTTCTCGTCCCTGCAAGTTTGGTGCAAAATCTCAATACTAAAATATTCAAGCATAACCGAAACGACGTCAATTTCGTCGTGGATACATGATTATCGCGTTGAGAACGGCCGCACATACCACGCCTACAAGGACGGCAAATACTGGTAGGGCTTTTTGCCATTCCTTTCTTCGCACCTTTCTTCATTCCTTGCCTCCTCAGACCAAAGGACGAGGCTTCGAGGACGATGGAGCAACACCACTGACACTTGCCTGCCAGGGGTTCAAATGATGAAGCTGCCAATGAACACCTCGACATAGGCCACCACCTGTACACCAAGACGTTCAACAGCAAACTCTTCCTCGCGCCCATTGACCCCAATCCTTCTCAGATTCTCGACCTTGGCACTGGCACCGGTCTCTGGGCAATCGATGTTGCCGACGCGTACCCATCCGCCATCATTACCGGCACCGACCTATCGCCCATCCAGCCGTCGTGGGTACCGCCGAACGTGCGCTTTGAGATCGACGACATGGAGGCCGAATGGACGTACCCGCCAAACTCATTCGACCTCATCCACATCCGAGGGCTACACGGCACCATTATCGACTGGCCAGCACTGTACGCACAGTGCATGACGGCGCTCAAGCCGGGCGGCTGGCTCGAACAAGCCGAATACTCTGCCCAGTTCAGCAGCGACGATGACACGATCCCGCCCAACGGCGGCATCGAGGCCTGGAACCGTGTCGGACCGGAATGTCACAAGGTCCTGGACCGCGAACTCCAGGTGCTCGACGGTATGCGCTCACACATGCTCGACGCGGGCTTCCAGTCCGTGGTCGAACACCGGTTCAAATGGCCGATTGGGCCGTGGCCCCGAAACCCCGAACTAAAATCCCTGGGCGCCTGGACGCGCGCCCATGTCGAGACGGGCCTCGAGAACTGGACCTTGCGCCTCCTTACCAGCGTCCTGGGCTGGACCGCCGAGGAGGTCATGGTGCTTTGCGCAAATGTCAGGAAAGAAATAAGAAACCCTAAAGTCCACGCCATCCACAGAATGAATGTGGTCTACGGGCAGAAACCATCCGGGAACCCGCCGTGCCAGTCTTGATGATGATGGTGAAGGCGCTTGTAGCTCTCTGCTGCTGCAAGCTATAGCTGTTATAACAAGATTCTTTGGGTCTTGTTCTCGTTCTTGTTTCTCGTGGGTGGTTCTTCTTTTCCATACACGATGAGCGACAGTCATATGGGAGGCGCCCGGCGAAGTTTTGGTAGCATGGGCACTGGCGTTAACTTTCAAAACTCTCCAACGCACACACAGCATAGTATCACGACATTTCAGACAGCAGCATTTCGGAGAACATCTCACTTTTAGCCAGCGACATGCTTATGACTTCGTGGCCGTAACGATATTGGGTCGGAATGTACAGGTTATTGGGATATTTGCGCCTTGTTATTGTCCAACAGCGACCGTCTGCAATAGTGTCAAGTAAGTCGATGAAATGCCTTGCCGTAACAATCGGCACGATGAGTAACGGCCGAGACGATGAATCATGATATATAGTATTACATACGAACATACCTGTCGGAATTATGCCCAAGTCTCAGTGTGCTATACATACAAAAAAGCGACGCGTGGTGGTCACTTTCAGAATTCGTTTCCTCGTCTATGGTCAAGATTTGGTTACCTCTTCCTGGCCTCTACTGCTTCTGTTTCACTGTGGCGGACGAGAGGTTGTCGTCTTCAACCCCATTCTGAGACTTGACCGGCTTCCGCGCCTTGACCAAGTCAAACGGAGGGATTTGCCTCCTCTGGTGGTCTTCCATCGGAACGGACATAATTGGTCTTAGATGATGAAATTGAGGCGAAACCCCACCACCAGCGTCTCCGACCTGGTCTCGTCGCCATGCAGCAAGGGGACCGGACCATAGAAAGAGAGCTCGGTCGGGCGCGTCCTTCGACTTTGCGGAGGCCGTGTCGGTGGTCTTGCCGTTGCTAGACTCTATCATGGAAAGAGGCGTTAGAGTGCCATCGTCCTTCCAGCATTCCAGGAACAGCGTGTGCAGTTTACGCCGGGCTTGGAAGCCGAAATTCCTCGTGAGGATTCTGTTCACTCGAGCCGCCTGCGGTGCACCGCCGAGTTCCATAACGAGAAGCCTGGCGCCGACGGCGTCGAAGATCCGCGTGAGAGGCCAGTAGAATAGATCGCCCGAATGTACGGATGGGCTGTTCTCGGGCACCAGAGCGGTCTTGGGTTCGAATTTGCGGACGCTGGGTTCGGTGGTCCCGCCTGGTGCATAGTCCCTTTCTGAGATGTAGGGTGGATTACTTATGACAATGTCCCAGGGTGCATCGGTGTTGGCATCGACATTGCCACCGTCATCGTGAGGAGGATCGGCATTGACGGACCCTATTTCGGTTTTGAGGTTGAAGATTCTTCGAACCCGTGGATCACGTCGGCCCTTGGTGTCCAGTGCCACCCTGATCACATCCTGGCGCATGAAAGAGATGTCGGTCGCTGCGTCTGAGTGTAGAAGGCCCTTGGAGATGTTGTAGTGAAGGTTCCGGTTTGCGACTTCGAGCGCAGTGCTGTGGTAATCGACGCCGAGGATCTCTAGATCGATGGTGGATGGCCAGGAGTGGCCGCCGGGTGTGGCTGTGGAGGGATTTGGTGGTTTGAGGATTGAGTGGAGGAGAAGCGCTATGCAGCCACTTCCTGTGCAGAGGTCTAAAATCCTCAGTTTGCGACGTTTTTCTGGCTCATGGTGACCGGCCTTTTGGTTTGTTTCGTGAACAGCAGATAAGACAAGATTTGCGATGTATTCCGTGAATGCTTCTGTTTCAGGTCGTGGGATTAGCACCGTGTTGGGAGTCAAGATTTCGAGACTGCCAAAGGGTTGGTTTCCGAGGATATGCTGCAATGGCTTTCCGCGCGATCTGTCGTAAACAGCTTTCGTCAAGAACTTCCGGATCGGATGATCGATGCCCTTCCTCATAGGTTGTGAGATGGTGCCCTTACGGACGGGAGGGGCGTCAACACTGGGATGGTTAGGTTTTGACAGGTTTCTGCGGGCGGCTCGTCTCTGAGCGCCTTTACTTAATTTCTTTTCTGCAGAAGAATTCCCTTTGTTGTTGCTTTTGTGCGATACCTCGTATTTTCGCAACGTAGGCTGCTTTGGTCCTCTAGAGCCCAAAGTCGGTTGTGTAGCTAGAGGACCATGGCTGGTACTGAAGTTCCGTTCCGTCACACTGCATCTGTTCGAGGGCACTTCGCCCTGACTACGCCCTGTGAGGCTGTTTCGTAAGATCTTCGCTCCATGCCGACCTGGGACATTTTGTGCTTCCAGCTTGCCGCCAGACAAGCCTTTCACATTATGAAGCCTCCTTCTCTGTACGGTCACCGTCTCTTGAGCATATTCTTCGAGCCATCGAAGCTCGTTTCGGGCTGAGGGAAGATCTCGACACACCCGGAGCAGGAGAGGCAGTAGTGGGTTCTCGTGAGCAGCCCGTCGAATGAGAGCAGGTGGAAGACGTGTCATCTATTTACGCAGTCTGTATGCAGCAGAAATGCTCCCCGTGCTCGTGTACGTTGAATAAAATGTAGTGGATTCGAGTTGGAGAACATATGCGCATGGAGAAAGCATGGTGTCAGACAGCTTTGCATCACAGTTAAAGCCCAACATCAACTGTGTCAGACAAAATAATTTGACGCTTCCCCAGATTGCCTTGCGGGCATATGTCCGTTGTTGAACTCGTGTCGCACGCCATTGTTATCGATCGTCCACGGAGCTGGCTGTCTTGCCGGCTGTCTCGCTGACGCTCTCCAAAGTGCATTCCCAATATGGGATTTGTAGAGATATGTTGCATTTGCGGAGCATACATTGACCGTGTTGCATATAAAGAGGCCCATAATGAGTGGATGGCTGACTACCAGGAACAGAAACATCCCACTCTACTAAACGGTTGAGACTCCCATACTCGGTCACAACCAGGCCGCTGACAACAGTTTGGAATTAGGATGGGCGCATCGGATTTGTTGGACCATTGCAGAAAACCATCCTGGTTCTACCGACTCTCAAGTTGGACGCTTCCGCCAGTGTGCACAAGATTCGATTGCGTTCTGTGAGGCACAGTGCGAGGATTCGTCGTCGACGGCTAAACCAGAGCTCTTAGAATGCCATTACCTGGACAAAAATAGTCTCCAGAGATGACCGTTCCACGCCCCGGGCACTCCCCGAGGATATCATCGAAGGTATCTTTAGGGGGCTCACCGACTTCATCGATATCAGCAATCTCGCTCTATATCTGAACTATTTTCCAAGCCCTCCCGAAACAATGATCCGAATATTTGGCATGAAGGTCTCTAAAAAGCCATACACCACCACGAGAACATATTGACATGTCTGGCATTTCCAAGCAGATATCTGAATCGTTGTGGAATTATCGCTCAGTCTACAAACGCGTCGGGCAAATCATTACCCTCTGCCTCAAACGATTCGAAGGTGATACTGACCAAGAGCCCAGAGCCGACCATCTGTCCCAACGAATCCAGATCAGTCCACCCATCAACTCTTCAACACTGAAGCTATACTATACTGTACTTGACAAGACGGGTGTTCTGACAGGAACTGGATGTGCAGGGAAGTTTGTTGGTTGTAAGTCTGGCTGTGTGCGGACCAGAGACACACGCTGACATGTGCTAGGTCTGCTTGACTTGCGTAAAGCAACAACCTTCACGGACGTACCCATTGATTTGTGTTCCAACTGCACCCTCCAGGCCCATTTTGCAATCATCACCACTCGCAAGTGCAATTCTTCCATTAGCTACCAGTACAATCACGGGAGACTAGATCAGTCTGGGATCCTCCCTATGGACTTCATCCATTGTGGAGGACTCTGATATCTCCACCATGGCCGTGATTGGTCAGTATCGCGAAGACTCAAGGAACACAAATTGCCAGGACTCATTGGCCTCAATAGATTTCGCAAAAGGAGGTCGACTTCCGCTCCTGCAAACACAACCTCTGCGTGTTATCCATCACGCTCCGTCCCAAATTGGTGGCAGCCTACAGAGTCTCATGATGCACGAGAGCCTGATGGAGTGGGTCAAAGGGCATGAGGAAGTCGGAGACATAGCCAGTAGGTCAAGCAGGCTCGAATTCAGGGATCCGAAGTCCAGTGAGGCGTCGACCTGTGATCTCGGAAACGTTGAAGCCATTGGCTGCCCCAAGACAAAGAGTAGCGTTGTCCTACGCAGGGATGATACATAACGGTAATCGTTGGAATATCAGGAAATGTCACGGCTCATTGTTCCTAGCCGAAGGACGGGGTATCATACAGTCGAGAAATGTTGGGGCACATGTCACGAAGAGCAGACATGCCACCAACGACGGCTCCAGGAGCTCGTAACAGGGGTGGGCTCGGTGATGAGCTGTACCTTGAAGGTTATTAGAGTAGTTAGTTCGGTATGGAGTCGTCGTTGTACCTGACATGGAGGATGCATTGGATAGCGCCTCTCCGCTTGACGTGGCTTGCTGTCGACTTGGCTTCCATCCGGATTCCCGGTGTTGGCTGGCGCGCCTGTGATCACCGGTTTTCGGCGCCGAGAGAACAACTTTCTCGTGAGACCACAGAAGGAGATCCGAGATTATGCTCATATCTTTGAATCTGCTCCCTGTCGTGCGACCCACCCCCCACAACACCTCAGACAATTGTACAATTGTACAACAGGATCGCTCGTGGAACAAGTGGTGGCGATGATTATAACAATGTAGGGCGTACTTCTCGCTGACAGACCACAAGACCCCTGTCGCATGTTGGTGCATGGCCGTGCAGGATTTTGATTGTGCTTGTATGCAGGCTGCGCGTGGAAGAGGAAGACGGCGCGGTAACGGGGCGGAATTACTTAGCGCCGTCAGCCAGGCGAACCCGCTAAGCCCTTCACCGCTCTTCTCGACCTCAAAGAATGATGATTCTCTCTACAACAAACTCGGACAAGTCCCTTCTGGAGACCAGCTACACCGATACTCTCTCCCCTTGTCGCCCTCCCCACTGTCGAGGCTTTTTCAGGTACGAAGCCGGGGTCAGGGTGAGCCGGATGCACGGGTTACTCCTACCTGCATGCCTAGCCGGTGGTCGCACCATCAAGCCCGACCCCAGTGCGACACCGATGTTCTGGTTCAGTCTGTGAGTGAAGATGGCCTTTACGCACTAGGGAGACTTTGCATCCCGACCGTGCAGCGTACATTGCAGCGAAAAAGAAAAAAAACACTAGCATCTCGTCTGGCATATGCTCTGGACTGCTTCCGAGCACAATGGGTATCGCGACGCCACCAGAGTCACCGCCATTTTTGACGGCTGACACAAACGAGGAAACACAAAGCTGATCTCCGTACCCGATATCTGTTTCGGGTCGACTATGTGTGAGACGGTATGATGTGTGTTTTCGTATGATTCGACGGGTACGCGCAACTTGTCCGGCACGCCTCACTCTGCCTGACGCGCAGGGTATTGTATTGTTGATGACATCCATGTAGGTATATATTTTCCTGTCCTCTCTACGGTTGATTGTGTTTACCACGTCCGTTGTTTTATCTCTTCCTGCCCTCTTTCTCGTAACAAGTTTAGCACAAAGATCCAGCCAACAAACCGACTTGCTCACTGCCGGGTTTTCATCAGCCTTGCTTTTTTAAAGACGACGGAACTTCGACACAGAAACCAACCATCATGGAATTACCTGTCGACACGGGACGCGGACATTACGACGTCACTGGAATCCTCAAGCCTATGGGCCCCCAAAAGCCATCGCCAAAGTAAAAAATGAAACCCAAAAAAGTCACGCATCAGACACACGGCCCTCATGACTAGGCTCTCAGGGCAGTCCAAGTCTGATTCATTCCCTGTTGCTGTCTTTCGGTGACTTGTGGCACGCTTATCCTCGAGCACCCTCTTCACGACAGTGATGCCTGCGTCGGCCTCTGTTGTCGTGCGGAGTGAGGCCATACGGGACGGGACGGGAAGGGAATGGAATGGAAGACTCAAGGGCGGATTCTTGCAACCTCATCAAACCACCCACGGGCATTTTCTTTCAACAAAACACAACCTGGTTCTCTATATGCGTGCGTCTCGGACCAAACCCGAGAACATCTGACGGAGCTCTTCTTCTTCCTCCTTCGTCTCCGCCTCCTCGTCTGTTCCTGTGCTTTCCCTCAGACAGTATCAGGCGGGCTCAAGAAGCAGGGCAAACAAAAACAACCATCTCCAGACTCTCAACTTTGGCTAATGCCTGTTCACCACATCAAAAGTTCATCGTTCACTACATCGGTACTACTACGACCACTACTCTCATTCTCAAGACCGGCCGGCTTGGCTTGACCTGACTTGATTTGACATTCTGTCCGTCGCTCGATCAATGACAATTGATGCGACCAACCTGGTTGTCTGTGGTTGATCATACTTCCCGCCCCCCCTTCACCACCGGACCAGAAACAAAAAACAAAAGTCCGCAAGAATTCAAAAAAACTGCCCTGGATCTGATTTTGCGACGGCGTGAGATGAGAACTCGGATCTGATCTTGTGATGGCGTGAGATGGGGCCCGGATCTGATCTCGTGACGGTGTAAGATGAGAAGGACAATGTAATGTGTGGCGTGCGGGCTGCCGCCCGTCGACTTTCTCGCCAAAAGGATGACTGCATATTCACACCGAGGATGACTGCGTGTCTACATGTCCCGACGCACCGTGCACACGTCATGTACGGATATTTTTTTTCCCCTGAGCCCAGGTCAGGGTCACCTGTTCTGTCTGTATGGGACACTCATCGGTCGAGAGAGAGCACGGGTCGGTGGGTCGGTGGGACGTAGGATGAGCCTCTCTCGCATTCTCTCTCTCTCTCTCTCTCACAGAGACCTTTTTTACAGTAATCCCCGGTAGAAGAAGACCGTATTGAGTAGAGAGGCGGGGCGTATACTCCGTCCGTACATCTATCTATCCATCACCGTCTCTCGGAAACACGCCCCCCCCAACACCCATGTTGCTTCTGAAGAATCTTACCCGTGGGTACGTATGGTATGTTTGATGGGCATCTTTCACTGTAAAAAGAAAAGCCCAAGGCGAAGGTGAGGTAGGGTGAGGTACCTGCCTGCCTTACCTACCCAGGTACACTACTCTGCGCTCCGATCCTCGTACATGGTAACTTTCACTCTGTGCTTTGTACTCTGTGCGAGAGACGGGGTACTAACTAGTAGGAGTTCTCGAAGGTTGACCCAAGGGAAAACCAAAAAAAAAGAGACGTTGAGCGAGACCATAACAAAAGACAGTAGACAGTCAGTCAAGTGAAATTGCCGCCTGAGTTCGTTCTGTATAAAACACGAACAAGAACAAAAATCGAATATCGCTCGCTCGCTCGCTCGCTATACGGGGTATCATAATCTATTTTTCCGCTTTTTGGCCCGAATCACACACCTAACCTCCCTCCGTACCATGGAAAATGGAACAGGTGGAAAGGAAAAAGAAATGCAAATAACAAGGATGGGAGGAATGAAATAAACCGATCGAGAGAATGAGAAAGCATGCATGTATGCATGCATGTATCCTCTCCTCTTCCCGAAGCGTTTTGGGGCATCTGCAACCTCCCAGCTCGTCCCGCGTAGGAAATTGTATTGTGATGGTATTATCGAGGTGATCGAAGAGCTGGTGGCGACAGTCCAGGATAATTACCAGTAAGTCACAATCACAGCCTTTCTAGCCTCGAAACCTCACTTTTCAAAACAGCAGTCACACTTTCAGCCGCAGCTTCGACCTTGGCTTTTTCAACGCTGGTCAACTGGCCCAAGACCCAAGCACTCACATCGTCTTTCTCACGGGACTGAGGCCGTCCGATCCCTATGCCGAGCTTGATGAATCGGTCGCCCATGGACGGCAATAAACCCGCGGACTTGAAAGAGGCTTGTATTGATTTGATCCCGTTGTGACCCTTGGCACTCGTCTCGCCGCGCCGAAGCTTGATGGTTCCAATTGACGATTCAAGTTCGTCGTGCAATATCACTAGGGCAGTCGGGGTGTCTTGGGAGGAGCCGCCGTCTGCGCTTAGACTGGTGAACTGTTTCCATGCTCTGAGTGTCCCCGTTCCCGAGACGTTCATCAGGCTTGCGCTCTGCCAAAGTGTGTATTCTGGTATGTCCCGATCAGAACCTAGACTGACGCTGCCCGACCCCAAAACTTTGCTCCGTGATAAGGGTGGTAAGGACAGGTGTGTGGATAAGCTCTTGAGGACGAGGTGTCCAGCGGAGTGTCGTGTGGTGTGGTATGGGGGAGGGTTACCGATCGAAGCGATCAGCAGTCTAACCTGTCGAGCTGGGGATGGGGGCATTGTGGAGGAAAGATGTTTCGGACGGCGAATGCGCAGGGGAGCCGGGATGATCGGGGTGATGTCTGCCCTCAGAACGCTCGAAAGAGGAGGGGTTGTAGTAGTTATGGAGGTTATCGGAGTGCCGACCGATCGTCGCTTGACATGTTTGCGCGGAGGTTGAGGGAGTGCGATGAGCAGGGGAGCAGAATCGGGGACAAATTGATCGTGATCGTGATCGTGATCGTCAACTGGTTCGGCCCACGTAATATTGTTATCGATGTCGTGGTACTGTACAAATGTGTTGTCGTGGGAGAAGGAGACGTTGTACTGGTGTGAATGCGCTGCTACCGCGTCGGAGTCAGTCATGGCTGCAAAAGAAGGCGCCCACCACTGAAAGTCGGGAACTACTGTGAGAGCTGCTTACCTCCGGAATAAAAAGAGTGACAAGGAGTTGGGCCTTTTTGTATCTAGAAAGAGAACGACCGTCTGTGGGCTGTACAATGGACTCGTCGAAAAAGTTGACAAAGCCGGTGCTGAACAATCCAAAAGCCCTCGAGTCATTTTCTGTGAGTCACTAGGCCGCTTTCGGAAGGATTGTTGCCACGTGACCTGAGTATGTCCCAGCACTCCGGAGCAAACAATGAACCCCGTCGCTTTCTGAGCTGGCATGTTGTCGCTGGGAATTGGTTCTGTCCTCTGAGAGCACCCTTATACTCTTCTCAACCATCGTACCGTCGTTGCGTCACATCCAGCTTGGCAATTTCACCGTCGATCTCATCATCGTCCAGAGGATACAACCGATCCAACGCCCAATCAGTTCCAGGACCAGGAGTCATTCCTGCGGTTGGTTGAACGATGCCATCACTGCTGGAAGGGGCCGACTTTTCAGGATCCATCTCTTTGTCTCTCGCCGACGCATCACTCTCTGAGGCTCTGGTTGGAGGCGCATCTCGGCTACTGCTCATAGCACGTTTCTTGTGAAAGAGTGATGGTGTCCAGGAGATCTTTCTCGGGACCACTTCCCCAGCATTCGACTTTCGTGAGCGAAACTGACCTGACAAAGGAATTCCTCCAATGCTTTGTCCGTCATATCTTGATGGAGCTCCCTCTTGAATACGATTTGCGGTAGAGTCTCCCAAAAATGACCTCAGATGAAACATTCTTCGTATCAATGCCCAGCTGTAAGGCATGTTGCTAACAATCATGGCCGTGCTCGCTTCTCGACAGTACCAGTAGACCCATTCTGAGCTGTAGGGGTGGTTGAAGCTGGCGATCTTGCTCAAGATGGCGCAGACCATGGTGAAAATGCCCAAGCTAAACGGAAAGACCAACAGGAATTTACGTTTGAATTCGAGATGTGACTTTATCAACAGAGGCAGTGGAATCGAGAGGATCAGGACGTCGCTGGTCAAATTGAACGTCAAGTTCATGATGAGATGGTGCAGAGCTGTCGTGCACTGGGTGTTGTTGGTCGGGGTTTTCCAGTAATCATGAAACGGTCGACACCAGACGGCAAAGTAGAAGATTTCCATGACGACGTAAGTCAAGCCAACGTACACAGCGGCGCATTTGACGACCAGAGCTTGCTTCAAGTTCTGCGTGATTCTCCAGTACAAAAGTAACAGACAGATCTTGGTTCCCCACTGGACGGCGCACATGCATTGCTCGACCAGAAGGACCGTCTTCGAGCCCCATGTCCTCTGGTCGATCTCGTGAGGCGTCAGTTCAACTGGATGGGCGGGATCGATGAGGTTGGTCGATACCGTCAGGTCGATATTGAGGAACACGATGAGTATGGTGTAGAGACAGGTCAAAAACACCATCAGGAAATCCTCGACTTGCAGACGAAGAACGGACTTGAAATGTAACAGTCTCGCGACGCTGAAGTAACGAGACGACAAGTCAGCGAACCAAGATCAGCGATCATAAATCATATCAAGTGGACAATGGTTAGATCGAGAGATACTTACATCCGCGCAATGACGGTGCAGAGAGTGACTGTGTACCATATCCATGACTCGACTCGGAAAGCGGTCATGGTAATCTCGATCCTGTCGACGCTGTCGCTGCTGTGAGAGTATGGTTTAATGAGGATTGATTGTACGCCGCCGAGTCAATGATGGTAGATGTCGGTGGTGGAGGGTGTTTTCTCGCAACGGGTTCGCGCCGTGTGTCATGACTATCTTGGTCGCTCGGGTAAGTAAGTCACTGAGGTAGTAGGCGGTGAGAGACGAGTCGCGAGATTATCGTGCGTATGGTGACACTATTGAAGACAGGACCTGTCGCCGACGTAGTTTCAGGTATGAAAGAAGCTGACGAGTGATGCCCGGTGTGAAGATTGAAAGGGAAATATGTTCACATTTCACGGAGTCTCACCCATGGGAAGAATTCACCGAATCATGAAGAAGAGTGCGCAAGAGAAGAGATGGGAGACGATAAGGGCCTTTCTCGCTTCTCGTCTAAAGAATCACGTACTTTACCGTTACAAGCAGAGAGGCGCACGCCTCCTGGAGACGAGACGGCAAAGACTGGGTTTACGCTATCATTAGGTAGAGTTAATTGGGAGCCAGGAGAAGGCGAGGCCCACGGTTTGCACACACACAGTGACGATCAACGGGATGGAGTCTCGTAATCCGGAACCCATCGAGCCCTGGAATGTCCCAGTATCGCTATCAGTACCCTGGTCACTTACGCCTCGCTGTGGTAATCCATGAGCTGAGCCTGAGATGCTTTCCGAGGCCGCCATGGCTGGTGGTTGAGGCCATGGCTTTTCACCCATACATGCTCCGTACCTGGTTAGGTACTGTATGTGCCTTAAGGGGGGCGGGACGACGCGCCACGAAACATCACCACCAAGGTCAATTCGACACTCGAGGTGAGGGCATGATACGGCACTGATAAGGAACGTCTCGGGCTGTTTGTATCTTTATCACTTGAGCTTGCAGAAACAGGCATGTCATGTTGTATCGCTCAACAACGAATCGCCATCCCATCCAAGTGACAATGGACATTGTTAAGCGACGATAACTCAAACGACACTTCGCTTCTCTCCATTCACTCATCACACCCACAGGTATGCGGACTGTAGAGATTTATGTTCGCCCCCGGAGCCTTAGCTTTTCGGCTGCAGGTAAGGATACGGCACCTCAGCTTGATTGGCAACCCAGGGGCCGTTTCCTCGGGTCCCACGCGAGATGTTCGCATCGATTAGCCTGAACTCAGGTACCTGTCACTGTCGCTGTCACCAGAAGTACCGAGTACAATACGAGTACAATACAAAAGATGAGTCTGCAGAATCCCTGCCTCGTACTGCGCTACAGAAGTGTCGATGTTAGCGAGCTTTTTGACATAAAACCGCCCACTTCCGGGTCACAAGGCAGCCGGGACTTGTAGGGCGGGAGGCATGATGTGTACAGATGGAGGTCGTCGGGAGAGGTTTATCTGGGCATCATTATCAGGTATTCAATAGCCACGTGTGTGAGTTTAAGTGAACTAACTAGTATCGATTATTATCTATGTGTGCAGTACAGTCCCAGTCCCAGACCTGTTGCGTCCAGGCGCCGGAAAACACAATGTGCATGATGTCTCCTGAGATTCTTTTATTTTCTTGTCTACGCAGGTGTGGTCCTCAGTGCTCAGTGCTCAGTTCCACTTCTTTTCAATCCGTGCACATTCTACTCCATACTGACAACGTAGGTATATGTCCCATTATATTCCCATGGTTCGTTCCTTCAGTACCGACCAATACATTCAGCCGTATTCGCGTTTCCAAATGAATGGAAGGGGTATCGTAAAAGAAATCTAAAACAGTGTGTATGCTCTCATGAACATCCCTGGCCAATATCGTGTAGGTTTGGCCCCTTGGTCGAAAAAATATCCCAGCCCTCCTCAAGGTTCCCAAGAGTACCAAGTCTCCCAAAGATTCCTGGAATGAATGTCCGTCCTTCGCTCAATGCCACCATCATACCGTGGAGTACGGCATAGGAAAGCAACCAATTTTCGTGTTCCCGTGTAATCCAGAAATAAAGAATGAATGCCGATCCCAATATTTCATGCGGTTAATCCTTTAATTTTTGTTTTGTTCCCCTTTTGGTTTATCCCGTCGAACCTCTCAGCTTCTTATTCGCGCTTCCTTGCATCCTCCGCATAGCCTCACGGTGTAGATCCAGCATCTCAGGACGTCTCATCATCTGGTCCATTGCCAGCTGCTTCAGTTGCTCCTCGCTGCGTTGATACTCCTCGAATTGTCGCTGCTTTTCCAGCTGCATTTTCAACCGTGCCCTGCCATGCTCCGCGGCAGAAGCTTCGAGGCCATCACGAGACGCACTTTGCTGCTGCGTCAACCGCCAGTCAGCGAGCAGCGATTCCCGCTTCTGTGCCTCCTTCCTGATGTCCCGCTGTGCCGGCTGGTGAGACTCGTAGCTGTCCATGCGCGTACCGGATGGACGTTCAGGTCTTTCGTGCTGTTGTTGATGACCCTGTAGTCTCTGCAACTGCGCGGCATCGTACAGGGGACTTCCGCTATGCGGTCGCGGTGTGCCTTGCGTCGAGTACGGTCGTTGATTGCCCGAGCCCAAACTCGTTGCAGATGTTCTACGCGTGGGTATCAGGTATGGTGAGCCTGGTGCGCTTGAGCGGCGTCCAGCTGACGTTGGTGCTCCAAAGTTGCTGGGAATGTTCTCCATAATGGGCATGGCCACCAGGGAGGTAGAGGCAGCAGGATTAAAACCAATTCGACTTGCTCGATGGCTGGGGATCTTGAGCGATTGCATCGACGTAGACCGCGAGGGCGCCTTCATCGTACTTCGTCGCAGTTCTTGATCAGAGAAGGATCTTTGGGGAGTGGGAAGCTGAGATGCGACGCCTACACCGGCCTGACTGGCACGAACCGAAGGTGGAACCATCTCTGTTTGCAGTGTCTGAGCTGCACTTTGGGGAACGGGAGGCTCTGTCTGTGACTCAGTGGCCACTCGTACAAGGTGTGTCGGGGCCTCCTCCTGCCCTTCGACCCCCTCGATCGATTCCGGCTCATCGTAGACAGGCGCTTCTGCAGACGTAATATGCTTCGCCCATTCGTTCGTCCGATATGACAGGACTACCGTAGACATCTGGCTTGGTACTTGAGCCAAAGCCCCCCTGGTAAGAGACTCAGTAGTCGAATCGGTTCCTTCAGATGCCTGGGATTCTGGAACTCTATCTTGGTTCTTGGTGTCCGCTGCTGATGCTGCGGAACTGCTTGCAACAGTGGCTATCGGGGGAGCCGGACACTGCGATGCGCCTCCCAGACTTTCGTCTTTACCGTCCGATGACCTGCTTTCTGCGCCGGGGAAACCAGTAGATGAGCCTGACGGGATTGCAGGCGACTGAGCGCCTTCAGCCGACACCGGCGAAATGATAATCTCCGGCGGTGTGCCTCTCTTGTTCTCTGGATCAACATCGAGCAACTTAACATCAATTTTCTCGTTATCTCCGTCCAAGGTGGCCGCAGCTGAAGACGCTCTGCTTTGTGGTCTTTCAAAATCGACAAGATGATCCTTGGAATGTGAGGCGACCGGCACATATCCCGAAGACGAACGTTTCGTAAGTCCAGAACTTGATCTCCGAGATTGTCTCTTTGGCTTTGAGACCTCGACACTCCTCTCTGAGTTGCTCAAGGCAGCTCTGTCCTCTTCTCTCTCGGTCAGCGGGGCCAACATGCTGGAAGACATGGACACATCACCACTATGTTTATGTTCATCTGAGGTGCGACCATCTTCAAGAGCTTGAAGCGCTTTGTTGCGTTCATTCAACGCCACTTCCTCGTGATCCTCGTCCGCTTCTGGTATCACCTCCACGGTGACAGTGCTTTGTCGCATGCTCCTCGAGCCGTACCCAGACTGAGACTTTCGGGAGCCGTAGGTATCCATTTCCAGATTTTCCGCAGAGGCTGATGGGTGTGAAGGCTGGATCGGAGCAACAGAAACTGTAGAGTAGCGTTTGTCCGCGCGAGCATCCTGCCATAGGATCGTATTGCGCTTGCTGTTGAGTCGGTCACCATACTGTCTCTCCCAAGCTGACTTTTCGCGCTCATTCTGACGTTCAAGATGTCGTCCCAATGCTGCTTCAATAGCCTGATTATGTTCTGAATCTGCCTGTTGCACCGCCTCTTCTTTCCGCTGCTTGGACCGTATGATCTTCCACAATCTGATCTGAGAGAGCAGACCAATAATAGTGCCAATTATGATAAGCGCAATCTCGACTTTAATGCCTCGAGTCAGTGGGTAAGTACTGGTGTTGAGTGGGAACAGCCCATCATTGAGATCCCATATGTAGAACCAGAATTCTTTCATGCCAGCCCTGACGAAGCAGTCCAGTCCGAGCACGAAAGCAGTGGCGCCGCCAAATGCTGTCGAGCCGATCAAGGCGTAAGGCCTGGTGTACTTTGTCCAGGAAAGCGACCATGCCACCAGACTGAAAATCCCGATGAATGCGCCCTTGCCGCCGGGGCTGGTGACAAGCCCACCCGGTTTGAGAACGAGCAGCCACATGCTGAAGCAGAAACCCCCCAAGAGACAGCCAAACCCTTCTGTGAACTCTTGAAATATTAGAGCTCCGCCACCAAACACCGCACCAGTCATGAAGATGGCAACGAAGAAACCCCCTTGTACCGCGTCGCTGACGGGAGTGCTCATGACAAAGTCAACTAAGGCTGTAGTCGCTATGCTGGCCAAGAAGCCGCAGGACAGGAAGATCTGAATCGACCTGCTTTTGACTCCAATGAGAGCATAGACCGCACCGAACAGGATAAGAAAGACGCCAGCGATGCCAAATGCCGGTGTGATCCTTGGTTGGAGGGGTAGCACATCACTCGCTTTGGATGTGGAACTAGCAGTAGAATTTGTCAAAGGCGCTGCAGTTGTCGGTTTAGCAGATGCTGCTGTGGACGAATGGCTTGCGACTGTTGAGTTGGAAGCAGCGTTCGCTGTGTTAGGTTGGGATGAGGCGGTGCTCGATCTCAAATCTGTCGTCGCGGCGACTGATGCTGGAAGGCTGCTCTGCGAGGCTGAAGCAGCTGTAGGGGCACTCGGCGAGTCTGTAGTCAGGGTTGGTAGTGCACCATTTGTGGTGCCTTGTCGCCTTTGTAGATCTGAGTTATTCAGACCTACAGTGACCAACGGCAATGTCCAACTCAATAGTATGAGGATGAGAATATGAGATGACCGCATGTTGAACCTGGCTCCGTAGTTGATGAGACGAGGCTCGTGCTCTGGTTATGCAGCTGCCCGGTTAGATCCCAGTTGCATTTAGAAAGTCGTCCGATGGTTGCACCTCCACGTCAGAGTGCGCCGTTTCCCTGGAGCCAGTTTGCATCGATGGAGGGGTATGCGACGGCCAGTAGGAGTGACGAGAGCGACACGAAGCTGAACTAAACAAAGACATGAAGAACGCTCAGCAGGCTTGCGTAGCTGAACCCAGAAAAACCACTTCACCTTTCCATTCTGAATAGTCACACACAACTGCGACGGTGATGTAGAGGGGAATGTGTAGGTAGAGCAAACTCGAAAAATGGATCATGAGCCTTAAAGATGGAAACTCCAGTAGCAAGGGTCATGATTGAAGTGTCATGGGACAAGCCCACCAGCTCCATGAACGCACCTTTTGGGACATGACGAGCTCGAAAACGCAAGCGAGGGACGCGCAGAAAGGAAACGTGCCAGCTAGTGTCCGGAGAAGAGGCCCGCTAATGTTGAGATGTTGGCAAGGGTGTCCAGTTGAGCGCCCGGCAAGGACATGGACATGGGGGAAATTTGGTTTCAATCAGGACTGTGGCCGTGGCCGCATCATCAGTACGTGGTTGGTGGTGATTGATGCACCAGGCCCGACGGTGAGGTGCCAGCTATTTTTGTCCAACCTTTGAGAGGTCGATCTGCGTCTGGGATGACGGAGGACGACGTAAAACAGGACATCGGCGGTGAGGTCTTCCATCGTCTGTAGCCAACAAAGGTGGCTGGAATACGAGCACAGTCGATGTATCCGTACTCTAACGAATCTGTTGGCATCCGTCCATTTCGGCCAGAGGCTCGTCCAGGGATCCGGCCTTCGGCTGCTGCTGCCCAGTTGGCTGGAGTCCTGAGCAACAAACTTATGTTCACTTGTCGGAGGACCGTAGTCTGTAGATTGGATCGCTGCAAAGGACTCCATGCTGAAGCCGAAATTGGATGATGGTCTAGTTCGACAAGCTCGACAAAAAAAAGGACTGTAGTCTGATGAGCCAGGGTCATTGGCTGATGATTTTCCGGGGAGACATGGAAATTGAGTCTCGCTCTAGATTCGAGACTATGGACGGGAAATGCTCGAACTAGGCACTTGCCGCGGCCCATTTGAAGCCAAAGTGCTTGAACAGCTTCACTGATCAAAAAGCTACAGACGAGCTATCCGTAGACCATTCTGTGCTGTAGGCTGTAGTTACGAGGTGATTTCTGGCTGTAACTAGGTTGTAGCCCCCTGCTACTGGACTCCCGTCAGGCTGTCCCCCAGGATCTTCTTCCAGCTGGGTTTTTGATTGCAATGGAAGCATGAAGCGATTCGCCCCAGCCTCATTTGCCTCTGGTGGCCTTGTGGCCCCTGGAATGTTGGCGACAGATTGGGAGCTTGTTGGATAACATCCAGGGGTCATGGTGGGTTTAATCCCGGCCTCACATTTTCAGCCCCACTGTCCATCACGGACACAGCACTCTACAGTACGTCGACCAGCTTCTCGAGGACTAACCAAAGACGTCTTTTCTCCAGCCTGACGAGGAACAACCTCGCTTCAAGCCTGTCATCTCCCCAATGCGACCCCTATCGATTGTTGCGTCAAAATTGCATCCGGGATGAGGGAATCCGACACCGCCTCCTCACCCCAAATCTCGGGCTGAACAGCGTTCCTCATTATTTATTCCTGCGATTGGCGGCGCATAATGGGGGTCCCAAGGTGCTCTTCATCCGAAAAGCCTATCGATATGCAAGAGTCATTGTGTAAGTTGGATCAACATTGTGGGTGTTGACAACGCAGAGTTTGACCTTCGTCAATCTTCTTTGAACCCATCCAGGCCAAGCGTGACATTCATGTGAATCGCCCATTGTCTTGTTATCTGGTCTCATTCCATACACTTTAGGGGGACAATCTGAGAACTACAACTATCGTTACACCTTGATCGTCAGGGTCTCCATTGGACGACTGAGCATCCTTGGTTGAATTGTCACCATCAAAATACGTGCCCTTTCTTCGATTATCTCAAGTCCAAATGCCTTTCGACATGTTCTTCAACGCCCCGAGCTCGGCAACTATGTTGGAATACAACTCCTTCTCAGGTTGACTTCCCACGACCGTCATTTTCCGCTCCCCCAAAGGATGGCTCTCGAGACATACTTTCACTATTTTCGAGTATGCTGGGCCCATGATTCTGCTCGTCAGAGGTTGGTTGTAAAGGGCTATCTGAAGCTCCTTCTTCCATTGTGACATCCTGAAGGCCGAATGTCGAGGTTCGGGCAGATCCTGTAATGGCCGCTCGAATGCAATCTCTAGGAGAAATATCCCGAGTCTGAAGAGAGAATCGGAACTCCCGATGAGGCGCTCGGTACCTAGCCGACGCAGACTGTTTGCATCGCTTGGCGTGACGGCAACGTCAAGACAGGGCTCGAATGTGCGGTTCAGGCTTTTCCCGCGACAGATTGCACCGTCCATCAAGTAGATTTGATCAATATTCCATCCACGTTGTAGCCATGGCGTGGTATGAAAGAACAGTACCGCAGTGGCGACGTGATGAGCAAGTCGAAATCGCTCAAACATGTTGAAAGCCGCATGACAAGACTCACTCGACCTAGCACACTTCTCACGGAACACTGTCCCAACGCTTTTCATAGCAGACGTCGATGTCGAAACCATCTGGTCTCGGGGGACAAAGCACGCTGTGAGATCTGTGTCAACGACTCCCATCGGGGATCGGATTTTACACACGGGAGAAAGTGTACTGAGCTGGCGACATAATCCTACGTCTTGTGTATTGCGGCATACTGTCAGAGGTTTCGCTTGGGTTTCGATACACAGCCAAGCATCGGAGGTAATGTTCGACTTTTCTACTGTGGCAATAGGGTGTCGGATCGCCACGTGGAATCGGAACGCGTTTGTCTCAAGATGCGTCCGGGGCACCAGGTGAAAAAGACAGCGGTGCTGCCGATGCTCCTGGCACCGCAAGGTGAAGTCTATGCGAAGTCCAGCATAGACTTTTTGCGCCCAGTTGCTGACACGTAGAGCTTCCTCATGGCGTCCAGGGGGTGAAACCCTGACTTCTTCGGGAGTCAACCGCAGTCCGGAGTCAGCAACATACCGTCGTGAAGAAGGACGTTTCGTGGTCGAACAAACACTGCTTTGAATACGCAAAAGGTCGCCGTTCAATTCTCTGAGCTCTTTCATGCTCTTTTCGTATTGAGGCATTGTAAGAGCAAGCCAGAATGTTGGTCGACTCAACAACTTGGTTTCAATTTCCAGCAGTTTTTGGGAAATTTCGCGGACCGTGTCCACGAAAGGTTCAATAAAGGACCCGAGAACACCCTCCAGGGCTTGTGCGATAGCTAGACTCCCCCAGTCCGAGTGCTCGATGTGGTCCAGCATCTCCTTCATCTTCCACCTTGGAACTTCGCAGCTTGCCAGGAGTGAGACGCACGCCCCTTCATAGATCGCCTTCTGGACACGTACGAGCCTTCCAAGACTATTCGCATGGCTGGCACTGTCTTGTACTCTTTTAATAGCTTCTAGGACAGAGTGGTAGCTCTTTATGGCTGACAACACTAGGGGCAGGAGTGCGAGAGTCGTTTCCATAATACGAAAGCTTTCATATCAGTTATGAGTTCAAAAACCATCGAAGCACCACTTTGTGCGTGTTGCAAAAGCTGCACAGAGGACTGGCCATGTCAATTGGGAACCACGGTGCTGTTCCTATTTGCGATATGTCGAAGGACGCACAGCTTCACCACCTCGTTTTGCTTCTCGTGCTGTCATCCTTGACCTCAACGTGTGATTGGTGGCAATCATGACGACGCAGTGGTGGTCTTCACCGGTCAATGCGAATCCTCCAAACCAGCAAATCAAAGTGCATTTGATATGCACCCAGCACATGCACACTTGGAATCATGCAATCAGTCCTGTCATTCGATCCGTGATTTCGGTCGTTTGGTGGAATCTGCGAGATTCTTGACATTGTCAAGTTCGCAGAGAAGTAGAGATGCTGTCAGCCCAATCACTCAGCTGATGATCAAGGCCACATCCAAGGTGTCCATTGCATCTATGTCTTCTTTCTCGGTATCACTGCAGCGTTACACGAGCAGTAATGTGATAATTCTCTGCTGCCCATTACGACTTGTAGCGGCTTTGGATGCCTCCTAACCTTAGCTGTCCTTGGCACAATGGATGACGCGAGGGAAGCAAATGTTTCGGATTTCCGTGCTCTGGATGATTATGAAGATGGCTTTGCGGCCGACTCGACCACAGTGTAGGATTTGTATTCTGAGCTTCCAGTCATCGATTCTGCTTCCGCTGCAAAATCGCACAGCTATCATACGGCCGAACTCGCAGCAAGCTTGTACAGGAGATGCGTCTCCGTTTTTGTCGAGCGTTTTACTCTGATCCGGGACCTACCAAACACCAATTCTCTCGAGCCAAACTTGCAAGACCTCCAGGCTTGTGCGCAAGTGGTAACTCAATTGCGTTGTTGGGGAGTGGCCTGTCGCTTCGAAAGCTCGAGGTTTGCTTCTCTTCCTCAGAGACGGTACAGAATAGTGTGCTAGAAGTCCTCGATACTCTTTTGAAATCAGTCTGTCAAGGTGGGCTCCCCATGTTTCCTGTATGCCTCTGCGGTAACAACAGGTTGGAAGGCAGGCTGATCTTCTCCAGGCTTTAAAGTAGCCAACGTTGAGATGGCTGCCGCTCAGAACGAAGATTTTGTACATTTATGGATTCAAACCCAGTCCGTGCTACAATGCACTGGCATTGATGACTTCCCAAACGGTGAGGCTCACCAGGAGGTTCTTGACATGAAAAACTGGATCGAGGCTGCCGAGCAGGAAGTGTCGCTTCTCTGCGACCTTGCACCGACGATTCAACTTATTTCTGACGACGCAAATGATCCACTAACACCGAGAGCATCAACAGCTCCGCAAGATGTGAATGCAATCCCTCTTTTTTCCAAGCCCGAGGGAGCTGGAAGTGGCGTCAATGCGAAAACAAGCACATACAACGATGACGGGAAGCCCATCATGTCCATCCCATTATCCTGATACTTGAGGACCTGGTGTATGATGGAGCGTCCCGTCACTTCCATTGCACCTCAACCGCACCATTTCAGTCAACTCGTCGTTTATGCGAGTTTTCATTTCTTGCTCCATTGCTGATCCTTGGGGTTTAGAAGTATGGAAAGAGAGCGAGATCAAGACCTCGAGAAGCTCGACACCGGGCCAGCAATTTCCGAGGAAACCCTCTGTCACTTCAACAAACTCTGGTGACACGACGGCACCGGAGAATAAAGGCAAGCATTCGGTAGGCCAGTCCTCGGATGAACGGAGGTCATCGCCAACAATGACGCCCGTCCCTTTCGCCATCGTGTCGCAAAGGAAGGGCAAATTTCCTAGGTCGTATTGGTACTGCTGTCAATGCAGAGATGGACCACACAACTCAAACGTCATCTTATCGTGCATATCATGTTATCACAGGAGATGCAGAGACTGTGAATTCTATTAAAACCCACCCAGGATAAAGCATTCGACCTATCTGACTTGACCGTACAATAGCACGGGAGAAGTAAATACTTCAACGTGAGGCATCCTTGCAACATGGGATAGGCATCTTTGCCTTGCCCCATGGACTTACTTCTCCTCAAGCAAATGCCTTCTCCACCGCCTCGGCCATCTCGCCCAAAGTCGAATACGACGCCCCAAGCTCGATCAAACCTTTCGCTTCGAGGTCCTCCTTGTTTCCACCCATGGCCGCGTCGCCAGCATACCTCGCAATCCACACAGCGGGTCTAAACCCAAGCGCCTTCGCCGAGATATGGTCGATATCCAGACTCTGCGCGACCATCAACGTCTCGTCCTTGGAGATACCAAAGTCCGTCTTGAGCTTGTCGACGACGTACTCGTAGTTCCGGGGGTTCGGCTTGTACGAACCAATCTGCTCGGCGGTGTAGATGCCGTCCCAGTGCACGCCGTTCAGTGGGCCGGAGAGCGTCCGTGCAAAAGACTCGTTGTCGACATTACTCAGCACGAACAGCTTGTAGTGCTTCGCGAGCACTTTCATCGCCTCGACCGTGTCGGGGAACGCGGGCCACTCTCCTATACTTTTCCCGAACGCCACGCGGTCAGCGTCGTCCGTGTCAGGAACGCCAAGCTCGGCTGCGATCCTGTCGTACACTGATTCCAGAATCTTAGGGTACGCGAGCGTCGGATTGTCGTGCTCTACGATCTTCTCGTTTGTCGCGTACATGCGGAGCAGCTTCTTCCGGGTTTCAGGGGTATCTTCGCGTCGCGCATCACCGGCAGGCAGCTGTTGGCTGAGCTTGAGAAGTTGAGGGTAGATGCCGGATTCCCAGTCGATCAGCGTGGCGTAGATGTCGAAGAAAATACCTTTGAACGAGCACAGGTCGAAGGACGACATGGTGGTGGTGGTGGTAGTGGCGGGAATGGATGGGTATCTTTTAGTAAAGGCTCAGGACTTGCTCACGACCAGAGCCACACAAGGCTGAGAATATGGTAATGAGGAGAAGAATGTAGGTTGAAAGCAGGAGAGGAACAGCACATTTCTCTTTTCATGGACTGGCAGGTATTGAAGTAGCATTTTAGTACCGACTTTGTTATTCACAGCATGGGAAGGTGGCGTGGTGCGTACGCCCAATGACCACGTTGATCAATCTATCTTTACCTGGGGGCTTACCTTAAGGCGCACCTTATGCGACATATCTGGGTATGGTGGTCGATGGATGATACGGAGTTTTGGATGATTAGGGAATGTTAGGCAATTCATGGCGAAAAGCGACCCCATCAGACTAACGTAGTCAGGGTTGCGTTGCGGGCCATTAGCCTTGTCAAAGGGTGTATGGGCCCACATTGTGCTTATTCAATTGTACCTTCTTCGCGGGGAAAGACTACATACGATATATGATACGATACATCGTTGGTTTGACATCTGACGATAATTGGGCTTTCCAAGCAATTGAGTGCGAGTGCAACCACCACAACCTCTGTAACGTTTGAACCAAATACCACCATCACCGTCACTAACACCACCACCGACCACTGACCACCGTCCCGCCTCCCACGCGTGCAGCGGCTCAATTGTACAAATCCGGATAAGCAGCCTTGATGAGATCTGCACCCTTCTCGGCAACCATGTACACATCGTTCTGGATCCTGCAGTCAGGAATGACCGGGAACACCGAGGCGTCGATAACGCGAAGCTTCTGAACACCATATACTTGCAGCTTGGGATCGACCACACCCTGCTTGATGTCCTTGCCTAATCGACATGTGCCACAGGGGTGGAAGCCTGTCTGGGAACGCTCGAGAATCTGTCTGATCATAGCCTCGTCCGAGTTGCGAGGCATATCCCATGGGAAGTCTCTCTCGATGATGTCCTTCATGCCATCTCCGTTCATGACAATGTCATCGATCATGCGGACTCCCTCGCGCAAAGCGATCAAGTCAAGATCATCAGAGAAAAAGTTGAGATTGATGTATGGTTGTTCCTTGGGGTCTGTCGAGTTGAGCTTGACGTATCCGTTACGAGACAGGGGACGCATGAGGTCGACGATGACAGTGAGATAGTCACCGGTCGGAGGTGTGGGAAAATGCCACTGGAAAGCGTCGCAGAACATGGGCTTGACATGATAATAATGTCAGTTAAACATACTCCAGAAAGAAGGAAATCGCGTGAATGAGACAGACACGGCTGACGAAAACAAAGTAAAGAAAATCAGTAACTAGGGAACTACTTACCACAAAGTCGACTTCGAAATGTGGCTGGCCAGCAGGACCAAAGGGGTCCACACCGCCGTTCTTGGCCTTGTATTCGCGGTACTCTTTGGAGGTCTCGAACCACTTGTCAGCTCTCGGAAAAGCAACAAGTTCTAGCAGCCCGCTGCTGTAGGGGCCAGTCTTGTTCTTGTTATAGGCAGCGACAGCGCCGTCCTTTTGGGGTCCAGCGCGGAGGAGGTGGCTGTCCAGTCCGTAGCCGTCTTTGATCTTGAAGACGTGAGACAGAATCGGATGATCGAGCAAGTTCTGGCCCACGTGCTCGGAGTCGACGAGAACCTTGATGCCGTGCGCTTCGAGCTCGGTTCTGGGCCCTATCCCGGACAGCATGAGGAGCTTCGCGGACTCGTAGACTCCCTGGGAGACGATGACCTCGTGTTTCGCCTTAAAGGTGTATTCCTTATCGTCGGGGCCAATGACAGTGACGCCAACAGCCTTGCCGTCCTCGAAGACGATATTCTTGGAGATTGTGGACGACATGACGGTGACGTTGTCCTTGCCTTCAACAAACACGGCCGCCGTGGACCTTTGGCCCTTGTAGATGGTGTTGACGCACTTGAAAAGTCCTTTCTGAGTCCCATTCCAGACGTCAGTTGTGAGGTCCTGGCCTTTACTCACCCACGCCTGTTCGAGGGCGTCGCGAAATGGTTTCATCTCAGGGATGAGGTCAGAGTGCGAGATGTGAAGAGGGCCGCCTCGGTTGAGGGTTGTGGCGAGCTCGGCTGGATAGAGCTTGTCATCGTCGTGGTAGGTCGCAGGCTTATCGAAGTATGCTTTGGTGTTCTCCCAATTCCATTCTTCGGTGCCGTATTCAGCCCAGTCATCAAAGGTTGCAGCACTCCCACGGACCCAGGTATAGTAGTTCTCAGCACTAGAGCCTCCAAGGACCTTACCCCTGGGGTTTGGCTTCTCCACCCTGGTATAGTCGGGGCGATCGATCATAGTTGTTTTGTACTTCCAGTCGTATTTGCTCCCACGGCACTCAAATGCACGAGCTGGCGTGGTGATCATGTCGATCTCAGATGTATTGCTGGGTTCTTGTAAGCTAGATGATGTGCGCGAGGCGATTAACTTACTTGGGGCCGGCTTCGACGACAAGGATGGAGACATTTCGGTTCTCGGCCAAACGACCAGCAACAACACACCCAGCAGTGCCTCCACCTACGACAATAAAGTCGAACAACTGGGGAGCGTTCTTGGGAAGCGTAGCTGGATGAACCATATTGACTAGACTTTGAGTGTTATGGCGATAGCTCAGGAGACCGATCTTTTGGCTGCTTGCGAACCGTTTGAGGCTTTGCTTTGGCTTGGATATCAAGAGTACTGGGACGAGGCATACCACCCCTTTTATCCCTTCGATCTCATGTACCGGGTGAACGATGTAAGGTGTTTCGGTTGCGGTATTGGCGGAACCTGATGCTCGAAAAGCCCACTGGTGAACCAAGTTCCCTGCTGGTCCTACCGCAAAACGTAGGCATGGCCATCATCCACCACCCACGCATCTGTTCATGTTAGAGAGCCGGCAATTGATTTGACCATAAAACAATAGGAGAGGCAGAGAGAGGAGCCTGCCCTGGTGCGATTGTCGCGCGAAATCATTTTGGCCTGCAACGTTCCACAAACCCACCTTGAAGAATCTTAGGTCGGCTGCATCGGCTTGACCAAGAATAGTGGTCAGGTCCAAATTGATCGCAACACCATCCAAGGTGGATTTCATCTATTGTTCTAACTAGATGCGCTGTCGCAAATCAGTCATGACCATCTTCCTTGAATACATCGAACGGCAAAGTGTTTCGTGCAATCTTCCTTCGCGTGAGGAAATATTCCGGCTAAACTGTGAGGCGGCTTCCATTGGTGCGTGGATGAACTTGTCAGCGAACCGTCTGCATCCGGAACCATGCAAACGTTGCGTCACAGTTCGACGAGGACATTCGGCGATTTATGGGGGGTGATTACGCTTAATCACCTGTACCTGGATGAGTTGTTGAATCTTGACCTAAAACATCATCGCCCAGTTGCACCTGTTCTGAAGAGCCATTGTTTGGGCAGTATGAGGTCGCTGGCCGCGGGTGGGGAACATGTCAAGGTTGCAAAATGAATTCCAGTGTTGGTGTTACAATGATACCTCGTAGAGAGTAATCCAAGCCTCTAGATAGATACCCGAGTCTTGCGAAGTGCATTCCTACCAACGTTCTCTCATATGTCGAGCTGAAATGTGCAGGCCTCTATTTACTTGACGACGTCATCGACGCTGGATTCGCGTGATCACGTGAATGCTCTTCACGTCCGCACTTGCGAGGGACGAGTAGATCAGATCAGACCAGACCACATTGAAATCGGAAGATCCAGAAGCATTCAAGTGTTGAGCCGTTGGGCAAGCTGGATTCTCATATGGCGCCCAAGCTCATCTTTCACTTCTGTTTCCTCTTTGACTGACCGCGCAATGAAGACTTCTGCTCATGGCCCAACACCACTCTTTCGACTACGAGCCTGTCGGCCGCTTCGCAGGTGCAAGCGCGGCAATACGGCGACCAAGAGTAGGTGAACGCAGGAAGATACACGTACGCTGGCTGAACGAAGAACTTCAGGAAATTGCCTATTTCTCCTACGATGAGGACCATAAATTCAGACTCGACGCATCTAGCCTCCGCTACTACTACCCTCCGACCTTGCCATGCGATCTCAGCAAAGGTTTCGATTCATTTAGACAGCTAGACGATACGGCGGATGACCATCTTGACGGACTGCTAGAGGCCATTATTGCTTATGAGAAAGAGAAGTCAGCAAAGACAGAGATCGACATTGTAACATGGCGTGGCATGATGACCAAGGTTTGGGATATTGCACTTCGCAGAGCACATTTGCTCACAGAATGCTATAGATCCTGGTTGTGCCCTACTCCAAGCTAGACGATTGGGAAATGAATGCTACGCTTTTCCAGGGCACGATCTTCATTGAAGAGAACCATACAAAGAAGCTTTCTTCGCGACAGGAACAGTTCACCCCGGCTGCCCGGCCAAACAACACGTCCCAAGATATTATGAGTTTCTGGGGTTACAAGTTTGAAACTATATCTCTTCTCCCGGAGCCCTGGTCTGTTGTCTCGCGAGAGGAGATCGAATCACGCGAAGATCAGGTAGTGAGTAACTACGCTCAGTATTGCTCCGTTGTCCGCACCGGCCTTGGCAAGGTGAAGATCATCATTGGAGGAGAAGTTGATGCCGTGCTGGACTATAAGCCAGAGGACAAGTCTCAGCCCATCAATTGGGTCGAATTAAAGACCACTGCCGCTGTTGTCAATGAACGAGAACAGGTCAAGTTCGAGCGAAAGCTCTTGAAGTTCTGGGCTCAATCATTCTTGCTGGGTGTTCCCAAGATTGTTGTCGGGTATCGATCGCCGCAAGGTGTCTTGGAGCGTCTCGAGGAGCTTGAGACACAAACTATCCCGGATAAAGTGCGTCAGAAGGGGAAGTATCTATGGGATGGCCAGATCTGCATCAACTTTGCTGCCAGCTTTTTGGAATGTAGGTGAGTGTTGTTGAACATTGAAAGCAACTGACACACTGCAGGGCTGAAGGGTGTCATCACCGAAGATGGTGTGTGGCGCATTCGCAAGCGTGAGAAGGTTCCAGTAATAGAAGTCTTCAAGGTCGAGGAGACTGGCCATGGAGACATTCTGTCGTCCGCCTTTGTCGAGTGGCGAACAAGCGGCCTTGCGGCTCATCAGAGCAACTCTTCGCACGGTGCAAATACCACTAATAGGCCCATCGAAAACCCCGAGCCCCGATGATATCTAGTCGCCAATTAGTCCGTTTTGACTTCTCTCTTGTCGGGCGAATGACTCGCTTGGCACCGTCGGGGGAATTAAGTAGGTTTTGAGTCAAAGACGTCGCAAGTCTGGTTGGGAACCTGATTCGACGTTGCTTCTCGCTTGCGTTGGGCCACCGCAGCCTTCTTGTGACCACGACTCGAGAGATGACGATTCCACTGGTCAGTTGTCATCAGTATCTTGTCGCATGTCTCGCACTTTCTGGCCACTCGAGAGTCCGTCACGCCTCCTTCATTGGAAGCAGAGAGTATACTGTCTGCAAGTTCAGACAAGCTTTTGTGCTCCGGTAGGGCTTCACCGTCGAGAAACGATTTCACAAGCGCCTGGGCTTGTTCGAAAACCTTGGTGTCCCAATTCTCGAGATCGGTTCCATCAAGAAGGAACAACATATTAAATTCACCAGCTTGTTGCAGGGCATTAGCCAGTCGGATGCGAATATAGCGATTCTGCCGTTTTGCGTAGCGTCTTGTTCCCGCCTTTACAGCTTCAACAGCCTGCGCCAAAGCGCGAGAACTTTGAGGAGAATCGGCCCCCGAGGCTTGCTGTTCCTGGATATAAGGTCCCAATTCTTTGTAACCAATCGAAACCCATATTCCCATGGTTTTGTCCACCGGCGAACCTCGCTTGACCATACCATTCTCGAGAGATGCTAGGGCCGCCGCTTCATCTACAAGTCCGCTTTCCACCATTGAATCCACACGGGCGTTGAGTCGCTCTTTCAGGACGGCATCTTCAGCTTCCAACCACAGAAGCAAAGTCGGATAACGCAAAGCAGAAACTTGACCACTGTCAATCATGCTTTTGAGATCTCCGGACATGGAGCCTGAGCCACTGTTTCGACCAATTGCACCTTTTCGTTCCTGTTGCGCTGCATATACCTCCGATGCCTTCCTGCCCGTTTTCAGCCAGATTTCCAGCGACCGCTGGATCTTTCGTCTGTCTCTCGGATGCCATCGGACAGCCATTTGAGGGTCTACTTCTTGCAACTTGGCGAATATCTCTTCTGTGGATCGTGAGAGGATCGCGAGGTCCTCGCTTCCTTTCGCTTCAGCATCTTCCGTACCGCCTTCTTCTTCATCTGCCGAGAGAGTTTCGTCTTTGAATAGAAGAGCATGCGTGTAGTAATGTGTCCCACCCACAAGTATTGGAAGCTTCCCTCGGGACCTGATCTCATCTACGACCTTGGTACTCTCCTTGACGAATTTGTGGACAGTCCACGGCGGCTCCTCCAGCCCAATAAAATCCAAGAGGTGGTGGCGAATGCCGTTGCGTTCCTCCTGCGGAATCTTGTTCGTTATGATTGGCAGCCCCTTGTACATCTGCATGGCATCGCCATTGATGATTTCGCCATTGAACCGTGTGGCCAAATCAACGGCTAACTATCTATAGCGATTAGCAAGTCGGACATACTCAAAAAGTAATTGGCCACACCTTGGACTTTCCTGTACCCGTAGCACCGATCACAACGACGACTGGATTATCTGGTCGGTGGGATACCATATTCAAGGCTCTTCTGACTATCAGGGACATGACACAACTTCCCGCAACCCAATAAGATATTTCAGCCTCATACTGGCTAGGGGAGTTCAGCCTGAGCGAAGGTCACAGAGGTTCCTATATAGGATCAGGTATAACGCCTCTTTCGGATGAGTTGATGGCCATCAATAACACAGAACTCATGGACGCTGCATCCATTAAAAGACCAAAAGATTTTGTTCAGGTAGAGCCATAATACTCCGCCGTATCGTTCTCCTACGGTCGACTTTATGATGCGCGATGTGCAATTTCATAATTAATAGTCTCCAAAAACTGCAACCAAAGTTTCCCAGATTTCCACTCCCAGCCGTTGAATCGCAACCACCTGAACACACTTCGATTTCTGGTACTGTCGCCATATAACAGATATCATCATGGCCGAAGTAGTTCAAGCACGCACGTCTTTCGCCCCTTCCTCTCCGTCACGCAAGCGCTCCGCATCTCCAGATGCAGGAGATTCAGCCGCCACCACAGCCCTCACAACGACCAACAATGACACGACACTTGCCTCGTCAGAACCCCCGACAAAGAAGACCAAATTGATTCGACGCAAGCGACGACCCGCGCGCCCTCAAGTCGACCCTTCGACCATCAAGTCCGAACCACCGCCGCAGACGGGTACAATTTTCAACATTTGGTACAACAAGTGGTCTGGAGGCGACCGTGAAGATGCGTACCTCTCGAAGACGGCGGCCCCTTCGCGATGCAACATTCGCAACGACAGTGGCTGGACCGCGGCAGACAAAACGCCCGGCAGCTACTTCTGTCTGTTCTTCGCGCGCGGCTTGTGCCCCAAGGGCCACGAGTGCCAGTACCTCCACCGCCTCCCGACGATCTACGACGTCTTCAACCCCAACATAGACTGCTTCGGGCGCGACAAACACAGCGACTACCGTGACGACATGGGCGGCGTTGGCAGTTTCATGAGACAGAACCGCACGCTCTACGTCGGTCGCATCCACGTCACGGACGATATCGAGGAGGTCGTGGCACGGCATTTTCAAGAGTGGGGCGAAATCGAACGCATCCGGGTTCTCACGGGTCGCGGCGTAGCTTTTGTGACTTATGTGAACGAGGCCAACAGTCAGTTTGCGAAAGAGGCCATGGCGCACCAGGCCCTGGACAATAACGAGATTCTCAATGTGCGGTGGGCGACGGTCGATCCGAACCCGCTGAGCCAGAAACGTGAAGCCGCGAGAATCGAAGAGCAGGCTGCAGAGGCCGTGAGGAGGGCGTTGGGCGAGAGAGCAGTCCGCGAGATCGAAGGAAGAGAAACCAAGGAAGAGCGAGAGCAGAGACGGATCGAGAGTGGGTTTGGGCTCGATGGGTATGAAGCTCCAGAGGAGATCTGGTATAACCAGCAGAAGCAACTCGAGGATACGGGCAAGGGATTGTTGGAGGCGCCTCCGCAAAATACCAACCAGGCCCCTGGTTCAGAGACGACGCAAAACACAGCTGGAGGTGATGGAGATAGTAGTAGTGGTGGCGGCGGTGGGATATTTTCAGGCTCTACACTCGCAGCGCTGCAGCGGAAAATGGCCACGGTAAGACCATTACCTGCACAAGCTGCGAAACCAGCTGCGACTGCTGGACCGTTGGTCGGGTATGGCAGTGATGATGACAGCGATTAATCAGACCGTATGTTTAGGCAATCAATGAAATACTGTGGTAGTATAAATGCCGGCTTTGTTGTACACCAGATGACATTCAGTGATCCCTGATGTGAGTCTATTAGACTATTGTCATGTTGTTATAGTACCATGAATTCATGTCGGCGAATACAGCACATAGAATCCTCGATAGGGCAAATATTTAAATCAACCATTGAAACATGTACACTATGAAGATCTAACGCTAACCGAGTATATGAAGTAGCGGGTTCCACGATTCTTTTGCGGACCAGCTACGTAGGTATAGAGGAGATGTAGCATGTTGGTTGGCAGTGCTATGTCCGAAAAGAGTGCCGCTGAGGCAACTCATGTGCCTCGGGGGGGAATATTGAATTGGCGGTGTCCAACTCAGAGGGTTCCTGATCGGAATATTTCAACGTGTGCTGAGTGGGCTGATGATGATGATGATGTTGTTGTTGTCGTTGTGGTTGTTGGTTCAGTGGGTCTCCGTCCACGGTTCGTAGCCCCATCAACGTTCGCAATGTCCCTTGGCGGCGACGACGCAAGAGGAACACAGCCAGCACTGTCAACGTGACCACCGATATGGCGATGCTGATTCCGATCCCGGCCTTTGCACCGGTTGACAAACCCCCTCCTGTAGATTGCGCGTCTGAGGGCAACGCATCTGCGGATTGCGTCGCGACGCTGCCACCGGTTGCGGTGACGGTTGTGGTAGCAGTCACGTTGCTTGGAGAAGAAGCTGGCGTCGTCGTCGTCGTCGCCGCCGCCGCGGCACCTGTGGAGGTCGTGGAAGTGGACGAGGGGAGAGGACTGTTCGTCGACACGATTGCTCCCAAGCCGTTCAGAACTATCCCGCGGTTCTCGGAACAGCATGGCGGGTCGTTGTCGCAGCAGAAACTGCCGTCTGTGCATTCAACGGCCCGAGGTAAGAAGCCTGTTCCTGGATCTATGGGGTTTTTCGCCGTCTTCATGTCAGTTCTCCGTACGAGGCAGGAGCATACGATAGGCATTGATGGCGGTAACGGCGACGTATTTGGGGCGTCGGAAGCCTTGAAAGGGGTCATTCAATTTTATGAAAAAAAAGGAAACATACCGTATTGGCAGATGTTGGAACAATCTGTCCAAGGGAACGACGAACACGCTGGAATGATGTGTTGTCCGGCGGATATGCAGAAGCGGTTGGGATCGCAGAGGTCCGCGGTCTCGCAGCAGATTCGGGAGCCAGAACACTGTGTGTTGTTAGGGTAGATTCTGCCCTCGAAGCTGTAACAGTCGATTTTGCCGGGGAATTCGTCGTCGCTTTGAGCCAAGGTGAGCTTGTGTTCTGCGCAGAGCACAAGGAGAAGAAGGGCTCGTTTGAGGGAAGCCATTCTTGATCGTGAGCTCGAGATACTCATGGCGGTTTCTCGTGTTGACCACGCCTTTGTGCTGGAATTGAAGACGGTGGCACGAGGCGGGCTGCCGAAAGAAGAAATACAATATCCGATGGCTTATATCCAGGAAGGTTCTGGGATCGACATGGGCCGTACGGAGTACATGGGCCGGACTCGGCACCGCCAAAGTATTCCGCTTGTAACAATGCAAAGCAGTTCTTCTTATCGATGTAACCTGCTGGGCGATGTAGGCAATGGTGGCTTGCACTTGTGATAATAGTTGAGGATGCCGCCATGGCCTGTGGAAATGAAGCGCTAAATAAGGCCGTTTGATATGGCCACACCTCATGCGAGCCGGGGCCTTTCCTTGACGTGTCTCACATTTGAAACGTGCTTGAGCTGGCTCTGATATAGCTCTGCACGGTGCGAGGACTTTGGCCACGAGGGCTTTCGGGCTTCATCAGACCGTATTGTTCTGTGGGTCAGCATGGAACAAACACACTGACAACGCAATGTGGACTTTTGGACGAGGCACACATAACAGCATCAGTTAGGCTTGATGTGTTCATCCTTTCTTCGGACCGACTGAGCGGCTAGAAACGATGAACAGCGTCTCTCGGCCAAGGAGGTGGTTGATCGTCTCAAAAGGACACACAGCCGCGCGGGTTAGCTTGGAAAAAAAGAGCGTTCCACATTGCGGCGGGCTCTAGACGAGGATCACCAGGCCAAGTTGTGTTCCGCATACACTAAACGCGGGCACTCTACCTAGTAAAATTTGGTGGTGCCGCACCCATGTCTTGTAGACAACACAACTGACCCTGACTATTCAGGGGTCCCCGGGGTCCTTTTGACGCCGGAGGGAACACCTATCCTTGGAGACTTTATAAGCACTCTCTTTGACTGGAACGGCGACCTTATAGGGGTGGTTCTAGACAACTCGTGTCAATCTATCCATGAATGATATCCGTTATTGATGAAGCTGCTCTTCTCCATATAAGTGAGATAATTATGTCTTTTTTTTTTTTGAAAAGAACCTGTCAACAAGGAGTGTGAGATATTTCTCAATTGAACAGATAGTATATAATTATCACTATCCTTTTTATAATTTCGACAGCGCCGCAAGCGCAGGATAGGTACTTTTGCCAAGGTGGAGAGCGATTCACCGGGTGGCCGGGCCGGACTGGGTGCCCACAATCCCACGGCGATTCCTCGCCGAAAGGTAGGCGATTTTGGCTGCTTCTGGCACTTTGAAAATCGACAAACAACGCGTTTTTTTAGTCGCCTAAAGCACCCTCAAAACGATGTTTGAGATATACACTGTGAATATACTGTAAATATCTGAGGTGAAATGGGGACGAACTTGGGACTACACAGCCTCCCTTACCTAGAACATGCCATACCGAGAGAGGATCATGCCAGCCACAAGATCGACTATTCATGCAGAGCTACGGCTAGTGAGGCATGACTGAACAGCTCTAGTCACTAGTACTGCAACAACACCAGTGCAATCACCTCATCTGAGTGAGTACCTAACTGTACGAGTACGTTTCCCCCCTTTTCGGGGCAAATGAATGCAAGGAGATTTAGGTAGTTCCGGGCGGTACTAGCTAGCCAACCGTCTAGCTTCCAAAGAATGTCTAGACGTGTTTTGCAAACACGAGACATGGTCGGCTGTGAGATACCAACAAGTTCGCTTCCTCGGGAGGCGCTGAACGACATGGGCGCCTACAGTACGCAACAGCTCACAGCCACTAGTTATGTATGCTCAACCTTGCCCCAAGGTACAGGCTTTACCGTACTCGGCAAGGGAACAATGGCTCGAAAGCACTACGTGTTTCAGTTCGCCGCGGGCCTCCCTGCCGGCCGGCAGAGTGCGGCAGTCTAGTGCTTTGGGGCCGGTCGTGAGGACATGGGGTTGCGCGCAACAGGCACACATTGTTGGCCCCAGGCACTAGTCCACGAGCCTGGATAAGCGCATTATCAAAGCTGGCTCTAGTTTGGCAGTAATCCACAGCGCATGAGCAGGGGTCCTGCGGCCGCTTTTTGTTCCTGATGACGAGGCCTCGGAATCACATTGCCGTGATGCCTCTACACTCACACCGCGAGGGCTGGAGATCTGAATTTACATTGCGGAAAAGCTGAGCTCCCTCAAGTCGACATCGTCGTCGTATACGATCATGAAAAGTCGATTGACGGGGATGTTGAAAGGTCCATATCGATCTATCATCGGCGCAACTATTGCTATATTCCTCCTACTTTCGCTCTGGGTATTGCCATGGCGCGCGAATTTTCCAGTTCTCAATGTAGCAATAGGCAAAGGTTCCGCAGAGAGCATGGTCGATGATGCACGGTATGCTTCAGCAGCAGAAAATGCAACACGAATGCTGGCCCATCCCCTGGACAAGTCTCGGTTCGGAGAAATGGGACAGAGAATGAAAGTACTCAGAGAATGGATTCGGCACAAGGACACCGCACAGCTTTCTCGCTACGAGCAAAGGGAGTGGTCGAAATTGATTGAAAGCGTAGCGGTGTCTCTGATTCCTTTCATACAAGCACCAAACACCCAAGACGACAGGCCTTTGAGCACCCTGCGCTCGAGATTCGTCCCAGGGTCTAAAGGATTGGTGATCACCACGGGCAAGAAGCGCTTCCGCTACGCATGCCACCTGATCACAAGCCTCCGTGAAGTTCTGAACTCGACGCTCCCGATCCAGATTGCCTATTCCGGAGACGATGACCTTCCCCAAGAGTACCGAGATTTCATCACCTCCCTTGCAACAGACGTGTCAACAATGGACGTGACATCTATCTTCGACGATGGTACTCTCGATCTGCCGCATGGGGGGTGGGCCGTCAAAGCTTTTGCTGTGCTCGGGAGCACCTTCGAGCAGGTCATGCTTCTCGACGCGGACGCCGTCTTTCTCCAGCCGCCCGAGGTCATCTTTGAAACACACCCGGCGTACATCGACACCGGAACCCTGTTATTCCACGACCGGTTGCTGTGGAAGGGTGCGTATAAAGACCGCCATTCCTGGTGGGAGAAAGAGCTCGAGAACACAACGCTGAGCGAGACGATCAGGCACTCGAAGGTGTTTATGGAAGGCTATGCCGAAGAGGGTGATTCAGGGGTGGTCGTCGCAGACAAGAGTCGGCTTGATGTTTTTGTTGGATTGCTACATATAGCGTGGCAAAACACGCGTGACGTGCGTGAAGCATTGACTTACGTCAAAGGTCACGGTGACAAGGAGAGTTGGTGGTTTGGGCTAGAGCTGACGGAGACGCCGTACGCAATGGAGCAGCATTACGCCGCCATCGTGGGCCATGTGCGCGTCGACCAAGAGGGACACGAGGAGGATAGGGTATGCAGCTTTACGATTGCGCATGTCGATGCTCAGTCGCGTCTGTTGTGGTTCAACGGCAGTCTTCTCAAAAATAAAGAAATTGACTCGGAGAGCTTTGATGTGCCTGGTGAGTGGATGATTGACGGGGTCTGGGAGAAGGGCCCGTCAAAGCAAGACTTGAGCTGCATGAGCGGTGCACAGGTGAGAAGGATTGACCAGAATCTCGTCGAGATCCTTAGCCGGTCGGTCCTGCGGGCAAAGCAGGTTGACGAGGAACTTCGCGTCAAGATACCCTCATCTATGCTTTGAATGTACATGTGAATATAAGCCGACTGACGGTAAAAGAGAGTAGATCCCAAACACTTTTAGGAATATAGCGTCGACGCTTAAGCTCTTGTCCATAGTTACTGCGAGATCTAGGTAGCTAGGAGTTTTGGTGCTATCGATGGCTTTACGTCTTCCTAGAGCTTCCTTGGGCTTCCTTGAGATGGTGGTGGTGCTATCTAACAGCTGCAGAGACGTTGATGTTGACGCTGTGATCACAACTCGCCGTGCTTGATTTCTACATCACCACTGAGATCCGGCATTCTCATAATGACCACGACCAGACTGGTCCAGCCGGTGAAATGCTGCGTTCGCTGACCGGCGCCGGTCTCGGGGTTGTATTGCTCCCACGCGAATCCCGTCGCCTTCCACTGGTCGAAGACATTCTTGACCAAATTCGTCCTGAGCTCCGTGTAGAGCTTGGTCGCTTGGGTCTTGACCTTGGCGGGCGCGGCGGGGGATTGCGCGACGTCCAGCAGGTTCTTGACGATAAGGTAGTTCATGTTCACCCAGATCGGGGAGCGCCAGTAGTTCTCGGCGGTGCCGTAGAACTCGTCGGATTTCGATAAGGAACGGATCCCGTACGCCGACCAGAGTTCGCTCTCGGAAGAGATGAGGTCCAAGATGTGCGGCAGGTGAGGGTGTGTCGGAGGCATGAGGCCTGTCATGAAGGGAAACAGGGAGATGTAGCCTTTGTGGCAGACGTGGGCGGAGTCTTCGTAGTCGTCGATAGTCGCGTCGCAGTAAGCTTTGTGCTGCGAAGACCAGTGCAGGTCGTCGATGTTCCGTAGGATAGCCGTGTGCTGAGCCTTGAAGTCGCCCGCGTCCTCTGTCTCAGAAAGAAGCGTGGATAAGCGGAGGAGCGTCTTGCTCATCAGGCCCATCCACGAGATCAGGTCGGTGTGGAGCTCTCCCGGGTGAGGAGGCTGAGGGCGAGGGTAGTCGTCTAGACCGGAGGTCAAGATGTGCTGGGGAGTGCGGCCGCGCCAGCGATATGCTTCTTTCGTGGAGAAGGCTTCGCGGTCGTACGACTTGACATCGCCGGACTGTGTGCGGCGGAACCAGTAGTACTGTCTCTTGAGCAAGGGGTAGAGGGATTGGAGTTCGGATTCAATGTGAGCTTTTTGGTCAGAGAATTTAGGGTCGGCCGCCTTGTCCATGAGGACGTCGATGATGAAAAATAGTGTTGGGGGATTGGCATAGTGCGGGTATTGGACCTGGAATTCGGGTGGGACTTTGCTTCGTGCTTCGGGACCCAGAATTTGTTCGCGAGCAATCCAGCCATCCTCGTCCATGAGGTTGAACCACGATTTGACGATTTCCATGGTAGTGTCGAGGTCCCATTCTGCAATCGGGATGAGATGGAAGCCCTCGTCCCACAAAAACCCGCGGGGAAAGAATGGTCTGGAGGGTACGGAGGTGAACAATTCGTGTGCGGGATCCTTGACAACTTCTGCTCGAGCGCGAGCTTCGGCTGTCTCCTCCCAGAAGCCCTCATTGTCTTCATCGTACTCAGGAGCATAGGATCTGTCGACAAGTGAGTCTCCGTAAAAATAGCCGATGCCACCAAAGAGATTGGAAAACATCGACTCGGAGAATGTGGTGTAGGCGGCTTTCGTGAAAGGTGGCTGGGGTTTGAAGATGTCCTGGAATTTGGTCTTGAAGTTGGTGGATGTCCCAGCGATAGCTTTTGTCAAAGCTTTGGACGCTACGGTTGGGCCGGATGCAGACTCAAACAGTACATCAAACTGGAAGTCCCCGACGAAAGTCTTCTGAATCATGTGAAAGTTCCCCGGGCCAGGACTCTTGGAGATGGCAAAGGATGCCCAGGGAGGGGGCATGTTTTCCTGACCATATTCCTTGATATATTTGTCAATGTCCTGCTTCATGCTCGCGAAGACAACATTTTTGGCTTGCCAAATAGCCTCAGGTGGTATTTGCAAGCTAGAGAGTAACGGCCTATCTAGAGGCTTTTCGTCCCACGAGGGATGGGTCTTGTAGGGCATTCGATTCTCTGCAGAATCTGAAAATACAAAGTTGAAATCACCGAGCTCTGCGGTCGAGCCATGAAGTATCACATTCTGGTCTGCATCGGCGTCCGCATCTTGGAAAGCCAGCTCACCCAACCCTTCCAAGCCAGCATAGAAGATGAGCGTGGTGACCAGGTTAGGATGAGCATCTTCTCGGGGTGTGCCTTTGATCCTCGCTCCCCAGCTACCTCCATGTCTGCCTCCAGGCATTTTGACAAAGTCAATTGTGAGATCAAGCTTGTTCCCAGTATCGTGTATTGTTTGCCGACCTCCGTTCTGAGCATCATACTCTTCCCAGCCATAGCCAGCCATTCCCTCATTCTGCTCGCAGGTGTGTCGGAAGTTGGTTTGGCTTGTCGTGAAATCCTCGGTATTTGCCCACAGCAGGCCTGTCAGTAAGCTGTTAGGGAGACGAGGCCGTACACCAAAGTATAGGTTGGGTCTAAAAGGGCCCCAAAGCAAGGTATCGTTTGGAGATGCAGCTGCCTGTGGTGCGAGCGAGCAGAAGGAGAGGATGATGAGCAATATGATCAGGGGTGTTTGAAGAGCCACGGAGCCTCTCGAGAAACTTGACATGATGCCCTGGGCCAGGTCAAGGGATCTTTGCTATCGAAGTCGCCAGCAACGTCGAGGTTCGATGTTTTGAGTTTACCCAGATAACTTTGCCCATGCGGTTGATCTGGCCTCAGCCTACGTCACCGATCGCGTTTAAGGGGCGGGCCAATTACAGTGAGCGCAGAGCACGGCCGAGGTTGTCGCTAAAGAAGCGGTATCTACGAACAACTCGTGGTCTGTTGCAGTTCTCAATGCGAATCTCACCGATTCGGAATCTCAGAACATCACAGGTCGGAATAGTAGAAGGCCTCTAGAAATGTACGTATTGGGAAAACGTCGCATGTTGGCAACCCTTCATCTAGCCCCCGCTTTCTTTGGTTACAGTAACCGGTCCTCGTGCTCTAAAGGACAGGATTTGCATTTACGCTGTGGCATGCTATGTGGCATTTCACGTTTGATTTGATCGACAACAAAGGCCAGCATTACACCTGGAGAATAGCCGGCTCAAGTACAGAACGATATGGAGGACCTTGACCAACAGGTCTCTCTCTACCTATACCTAGCCCTGACTCCCTGGTGGTTGCGGTCTCAGATTGGTTTGTACCTTACCGTGGAGACCTCACCTACTCGTACTCCTGTCAATAGAGGAGACCGCAGCGCCGTCGACTCGTCCTGACGAATCACGTACGTACAGTTTCCGCCTTGCTTCCCCGGATCTGGCGTCTTGTCGTCATACACGAGCTACGAGTGTTGACGTCCGACCCCACGAATCGTCATAGGCTGATAATGGATGACATACTGACACGGATTCATCGACCGAAGCAATGACGGCTAGAAGCGAGGGAGTATATTAATACTCTTTGTGAACGCTAGAGGTCCCTTCTCTTAGCCTGTGTCATACCGATCACACTGTTGTAATTTCACACTCAAACGAAACTACTTGTTGGACTACGACGAGCAACAACTAGAAATCCACTCAAAATGGCGCCCAATTTCATGAAGGGGCAAACAGACACATCCCAATACACTGGCACAAAACCAGACACTCCCGCTACCGATCCCAATAACAACAACTACCAGAATTACAACCCTGCGAGTGGTGATAAGAAGTCGTCAACTGGTGCCCCTTTGCTGAGCAGCGAAGGAGCCGTCGGAAAGCAGTTTAAGCCAGAGGGTGGTATGTCTTCTGAAGTCTTAACCTTTCCCAAATTCCCTTTCTCGTTCCACCACAACGTGATCCTGTATTGAATTTGTCGAAACACTCGTTGAAATATTCAAGACCTGTCTCTGAGCTGACCATCTCAAAGCAATCGGCAGCGTAGGCGAAGCTGTTGGTGGTCCACTCGCCTCCGATGGGGCAATTGGCAAGAATTTCACCCCGGATGGAAGCGTCGGCGGCACCATCAATAATATGGTTGGCGGTCCCAAGAAGGATTGAGCCGTGAGCAGCTCCGACCAGTCGATGAAAACAACATATATTTACCCTGGCGCATGAATTAGGTGGAAGTCCAACGGCTGATGCATATATACTATCGCATTGGTACGAGGATATTCGGTGTAATTGTAAGTGGCAGGTACAGAACCTAGCATGGTATACTTGCCAGGGCTCCTGTATTGTTGAGACACGGAAAGCATTGTACGATCACCTCAAATTGTTGATATAAATATGTACCCCTGGAATCTTAATTCAACAAATGCTACCCTGGTTCCATCCTCCACGCGGTCAGCACATGGCTATTGGCCGTTTGCGTCTCTGCTGGACGATGTCTATCGAAGGCTACTCCAATTCGCATCTTTGATATACGTCCACATGGCTGAACCCGTGTGAGACATGATCAAAACTTGACGTCATTCCTGCAAGATGCAACCGGAACATTGACCCTAGCGTTTCAATCTGTCTTATGGGTGTCTTGGAAGCCTTGGTACTCGTAAGGACGGCTGCTGATGTCCGTGATCTGAAAGGAAGCATGGGCAGCTGGGCAATGAGACAAATGGCCTCGTGTGGAAAACCTGATCCGACCCAGCCTTGTTGCCGATCTGGTGGACCCGTTTTGGGCGAAAATACTTCCGATTCACTCCAAGAACAGTCTGAACTATTCATCCCTGAGTTGTACCTCGTACAAGCATGGACCGGAGACTTGCAGACTCGTCTCTCGCACAGACGATGTGAACGTTTTTGAGTCCACACGAGCGAGTGGGTGATTCGTTTCTCGACATCCAAAACACGATGGCCGGGGCCTAAACTCAGTCAACATGGCTTCCCCGCGAGGGACATCTTTCTTTCCTCAACGTCCCTCACCTCCCCAATGCCTGACATCATATCTCCGTGGTAGAGCAGGGAATGGAGTATCTCTTTAACCTTCATATTCTGTCTCCTCCTGCCGAAGCTCCCAATTACCACAGGCAGATTCCATTTCGTCCTTCCCTATGGTATATTGAAACCTTGCCGGACTCCCCTCGCCATGGACCCTAACTTTGAGGGCCGAGTCCTTGTCATTGCCAACCGCCTTCCAATCACCATCAAAGATACTCAAGATGGGAACTTCGAATATAACATCTCATCTGGAGGCCTCGTTTCAGGATTGCGAAGTCTTGCAAAAGCGGTCGACTTCAAATGGTTTGGTTGGCCAGGAATCGACATCCATCGCAACGATAAAGACAAAGTCCGCCGAGACCTCCAGGACAAGTTCAATGCATACCCTATCTTCTTGAACGAGCAGATGGCTCAAGCGCACTACAACGGGTTCTCAAGTACGTCGCAAATAAGACCACCCCTCTCAGCTACTTATCGGGTTGGCAGATTCGGTGCTGTGGCCACTTCTACATCGAATGCCTGAAAAAGTGCGTGCAGGAGACAATTGGTCTGCGGCTTATCAACATGTCAATGAGATATTTGCAGACAATATTGTGCCCATGGTGGAGGATGACGATCTCATCTGGGTCCATGACTACCATTTGCTTCTGCTCCCTGGCATCCTTCGTGAACGGCTGTCTAAAAAGAAGAACATCAAGATTGGCTTTTTCTTACACACGCCATTTCCTACGGACGATTACTTCACCATCTTACCACTCCGTGAAGAAATCTGTCGCAGCCTGTTGCTTTGCGACGTGGTTGGCTTTCACACACAAGAGTACGCGGATGACTTCTTGAACAGTGCTTCCCTTGTCCTTGAGTGAGTACTATCCAATGATCCTAAATGTAGCTGTCACTGATATATTTCGCAGGGGCGTTTCAAGATCGCCTGCAGACCTGCACTGGGGTGATAGGAAGGTGATTGTCCATGGCTTCCCCATTGGCATTGAGCCTGAGAGCTTCCGACAACAAATGAAAAGTGACCGTGTTAAAGGCGAGCTTACAAAACTAAAGCATAGCTTTGAGGGCCGAAAGATCATCCTTGGAGTTGACCGCCTGGATTATATTAAAGGCATCCCGCAGAAATTGATGGCATTTGACAGGTTTCTGACCGAACACCCGGAGTGGGTCAGCCAGGTATGTCTCATACAGCTGGCCATCCCTACGAGGGCGGAAGTGGATACCTACAAGGAACTACGAAAGGAGGTCGAGGCTCTGGTAGGCCATATCAATGGAAAACACGGTACAAGCTGCAGGGTTCTTTTGTGAATTTGAGCTTACACGGCTTAGGAACATTCTCGAGCGCGCCGATCCATTATATTTACCGCTCGATCGAGCCGGAGCTACTCTGTGCTTTGTATGCTGCTGCCGACGTATGCATAATCTCTTCAATCCGGGACGGCCTCAATATGGTGAGCTATGAGTATATCGCCTGTCAGAACAAAGACACCGCGGGGGTTTTGATGATGTCCTACTATGCAGGCGCAGTCAAAACACTCCCGGCCACAGTAGTGGTGAATCCCTGGGATAGACCACGTTTTGCGAACACAATCGAGGATGCTCTGGAGATGCCCATAGAAGAACGAAGAAGACGATTCAGCCAGAATGTAGACGTCGTGGAACGCTGCACCAGGTATGCTTTCTGACGCGGTTTTGTACTGACATGGGATATTGACAACTTCCAGTGTTCGCTGGGGTACTTCGTTCCTCAATACTCTGTACATAGGTCGCCTCCTCAAGCGAGACGAGCTACCGGACTTGACTCAACAGGTCAAGGAAACTGATAATCGCACCATAAAATCAACACACATATTACAGGAGAGATCACGGAGCAGGGAAACGGATCAGTGAGCGAAGATGGCATTGGGATCCTGACTTTCTACAGCTTGAGGGATGTTGAAAGCCTCGATCACGACTTGTCAAAGGCCGGGGGCTGTTCACCAGATCCAAGAAGACGAGCCATGGGATACTCACATCACTTTCTAAGACGGAGCTTGAAGTACTGAAATCTCTTAAGCAGTTACTATCAATCCTTGATGGGCAATGTGGTCTACTTAAGCGAGTCTACTGAAGAGAGATTCGGAGCGTTGGTTAACGGGAATATTGCTATTCGAGCTAGCTCTACTATGTCCCAGGAACCACGAACAAACCCATGCAAACCACTGGGCCCACTGCAGACACATTGTCGTGTGGCCGCCAAATCGTGTTTACGTATGTCACCACTTGCCGTTGTCACGACAACGCTGCTCCAGCCACAGGGGCCGATCTTGTCCTTGGACCGGCCAACATCTATTTCTTCGTAGTGTTTCCGCTGGGCGGAGTGTAGTTGGAGTATCCGGAGCCGTTGTTGTAGTACTTGCTGCCATCACTGTTGGAGTAGTAGTACGATCCATCTACTCAAGCTTAGCGAAGGCTTGCTTAACATTGTGAGGAGAACAGGAACTTACCGGTGTTAGAGTAATGGTATGCGGCACCTCCTGGCTGTGTGCGAGTATCCCAGTTGTTTCCCTGTTCCAGACTGCGGTCAGTGCTGAGCTGTAGGGGAATGAATTGAGACCTGCCATACCTGGGTGTTGGTGCCAGTGTTCGTGATGGTGTAGGGAGTGAAGGAGTTGGAGCCTGATTTGCCAGACATCTTGATATGATGAAGACGGAACCTTTGAAGCCTTTGAAGAAGATGTTGTCGATCGACGGCGAGAAGTGTCTTGAGCTAACGGTGGGACGAGTTGAGAGTGTTCGAGTGAGGTCTTGTAGGGAAGGCAGATCCCGGCGCAGGGGGTTTTGTCTTAGTCAGCTGTCCAGTAAGCAGCACAGCCTTGTCACTAGCTTTACGCGGGATAAGCTCCTCTGTAACTAGGATAGGAAAGATAGCCGAGGCCCCAAAGTCGAAGTCAATCTGCATCGCACCTCGCAACAAGAGCTAAGGAGCCTTCCTGCACTACCATGTAAAGCGACCAGACCAGTAAATGCCCCGGCCATGCAATACATTGCCTTGCCCGACGATTTGTCTAACACCGGAATAAGCAGCGCCCCGCGTGAAGATGTGGCGGACCATATCTCAAGCTTCCATCCATCCTTGACATTGCCTCACTACGTCGCTCAATACGGCACTGATTTGGGCTGTCTGATACTGCCCGGCTTGCAGCTCCGCTACTCACTTCCCATTGATGGAAGCATCGAACGCGTTTGACGCTTTGGGATTGATGTTTCTAGGGCGACATTGCCCGCCCATGGCATGGGGCAATGCCATCCCAAACCCTATGTATCCGCCTGCAAAACATAATGATGAAAGAAATATTGCGACACAGTGTTTCTCGGTGTGCCCACCCAGGCTGTGCAGTTGGCACGGCGAAGCAGCCTTACTCACGGCAACTCGAAATTAGCTGCGGCTGCCTTGCGGATGGGAAGCGCGCCACCAAGGTTGCCTTACAGCGAATTTATTGCCGGCACGGTCTGACTATGATCCAGAAGATTGCTGTAAACTTGAGATGTTCCATGGATTTGGATCCATGCGGGCCCGAAGCTGTCGATCAATCAGATACCTTTCGGTTTTTAAACGGTGGCCGGGTTTTCATGTCCCACTGTCTCAGCCTCGGGCCTCCCGTTTTGATTCACTTTTGTGCTCTAAATGATACACTCGACACACACGCCCTCAACGGATTCTGAAAATGACTGGTATAATATGTGGATCAGCTGTGGACCTCTACGCCCTTCTGAGTCCGTGATCACGGGCAGTAATGACTCAGGTTGCCCTTGAGAGACCGTGTCCCACTTTCGCAGTAGTGTCGATGGTCCTTAAAGCCTACCTGCCTTTCGGTACTCTTGTGGAGCCGGTCAGTGCAAGATCTTGTGGACAATCCAATTCACCTAATATGGCTCCAAACACTCAAAATACGATCTTGTTGGCTCTGGGTCAACTGGTTGGCATCATTCCAGGCGCGAATTGCTCTGTGTCGATATGAAGGGCATCTAACACAGCCCTTGCTTTGTTCGAGTGGTTTACACAAACTCGTAAATCTCTCATCGAGGAGACTTGGGGTGATGGTAGGTCCGCGTAGAGATAAAAAGCCGTGATTTTCTAGGGAGTTGTGTCTCGACTTTGCTCCCATCATCCGTCTTACACAACAGACTGCTATTTGTCGTTACATTTTCTAGAAACACCAACCGCTTTGCCGATCATGTGGTAAGTAAGAGAATACATACCATGGAAAGACTGCTGACACAGCTGGCAGTCGCCATTTCGATGTTTGGCAAAAGCCTACCGAGAATGCGCCCGTGCTTGTCGCCATTCAGGACGCCGGCACACTCGACCACGTGCAATCTGCTGAACATGATGCAGATAGACTGGCGATCGGATCAGACAGTCCGGGATTTCTCACTAGTGAAGTGTCAGACGCCGATCCTGTCTGGTATTGTTGCGACTGCAAAACAGGCCCGTACAATCTAAGCACCGACCAATATTGCCCAAACTGTCATCGAAGGCGTTGCGGTCATTGTCCAATCAAAAAAGAAAAGAAGCCGAAGAAGTGATTCCACCTTGACAAATGTTCAGGTGGACTAGATGAATATCAGTCGTGCAAAAGCTGGCGGTAGCCTGTGCCAAAGATGGCCTGCCAGAGCGCTGGCGCTTGGTGACCACATGGACCAGAGTGTTTTACGCTAGGGGTGGAATTTTGCAGATTCTGTGATGGGGAATCCTTGTTGGCTGGTCTCGCTCAATGAATGGTGTGGTTCTGTTGTACTTCTGAAGCCCATTAGCCTCTGTCGTTAGTAACGCAACTGGTCGTGATGCTTATCCCCACGACTCCATACCTCAACAGTACAATCGGTCGTACATTTGGCCATAGCACGGACTACATGACTCAGGACTCGATCCAGGCTCAGTAATAAGTCTAGCAAAGCACTTTCACAATGCCTCGCCTGTGTGAGGCTCCCCTACCCGGCTGGCTTCCAAGTGATAAGCGGTGGAGACGTCTGAGCGCTGGACAGCCTCAGTCTGCTGTGAAACGCCACTTGAAGGCAACTAGTTGGGACCTTCGAGGCTGTGCCGGAATAGAAACGTCTTATCTATCTTGAACTGGGCACCAGCGGTGGTACCAAGCACTGGTGCCTCTTGAGGCGGACTCTTGATGTTTACGAGTAGTTCCAATGCCCGGTGGTTTCCACATCCCATTCCGGAATCGCAACAACTTTTGTCCCGTACAACGCCAAGGCCGGCGAGGCATCAAAGGCGCATTTCTGCCTAGACCGAGACGGCGCGCATCTCAAGGCAAATCTTCAGCCTTCACCTCGTCGCTCTACTTCACTCTCCCTTTGCCGCACATCCGCACAATTCACTCTTCTGCCTATGGAGGCTATCGACACAGAGCTCTCGAAGCCCTCACATGACCAGCTCGACATCAATAAGTCTCCAAGTGCACCTTTGCGCGATGCGAGGTAACATGGTCGACTTGTCCCCCTGTTGCCGGACACCCATGCTGATGATTGTATTGATGCAAGAGGTCTTGTTCATTCCACTCTTTCTCAAGTTCAAGCATTTGTTCTCTTGCAAGACGTTGCCATTGGAGCTACATGAGCGTCCGCATCTGGCGACTGTTCACCCTCGACAGGGCAGTTGATGTACGACATATCTACTCCCCACTCTTGACATGGCAATCAGCAACTTCAGGCAATGTTGCCGTGTTACCGGGACCATTTTCATCCTTCTGGAAGACTTTTCTTGGCCATTTCGAACACTGCCACACTCATCCGCTGGGTGCGTGTGATGAGTTTAGCATTCAGGAAAGACGATGACCTCACTATGATTTGCTGTGCCATCTACCCAGTGCCATCGCTGCCGCTATTTTCCTCAATCCTCATTGTCTCGTGAACACTGGCCAACTCCAGGGAATGTTGCACTGGAAGCAGTTTTGTGTTCGTTTTCCGAGCAGCATGAATGAGTCAGAAAAGTGCCAGGCAAACGATGCGAAATATGCAGGATGACCCGAGAACCTCAAACGTCTTCCAGGAGATGCATCAATGGGGCTATGCCGACTTACAAAACACCTGCCACACGCTTCACTCAGCTGGTACCAGATTGCAATGTATGTTCGGCGGGCCCGAAAGCATCTCATCCACAAGCCCTCTAGCCCTCTGGGACTTTGCTTCCTGATGAATGGTCGTTCTTCTTTCACGTCACATGGATGATGTCGACTGTATAATCCACGCCTGGTTTGGAGGCATTTTCCCTTCTGAGGCACAGCTCATTCTCCACTGGCAAGACTGTTGCTCGTCCCTGGAAACGAGTGACGATTTGCTGCTTGATACTTTTCATCTTCCTGTCATTGCTTACTGACCGTGTGTCTTTTTGCAATCAAGGAAACCGGCTGTACGCTTCACTTTCATGGTCAAAGGCATCCTCGCCTCCTCTCTTGGCTGACACAAGGCATATTCTCTAGCTTTGTGAGAATGATGTCGAGCAAAGATGCACGACTACTTCGTGAAGTCTTATACTGCGATTATGTCAAGGAGACGACACTGATATAAAACCTACCAACGTCTTCCTTCTGGACTGCTTGTTCATCCACCCAGCCTTCAGACCATAAGCTACGCTTGCAAGACTCAAGGTACTCTAACCTACCATACCCTCATCGTCTTTACCCTACTTGAATTTGCTTATTCACGATGCCCGGAACCGGTCCCGAGAACGCCTGGAAGTGCAGCAGTTGCCGCGAGGCCAATCCCAACCACCATTCTCGCTGCCCCGTATGCGACCATCAACGATGTACCAGTTGCCAAGCCATCCACCTGAAGCAAAGAAGCCCATCGAGGAGAGAGGATCGTCGACTTCCCAAGAAGTCCCATTAGCAACGGCCTCCCTAGTATGCTACCTGCAGAATCTTACCTTTTCGTCGAAATTACTAACGAGGATCTCATTTCAGATTACTGGGTGGTCGAAAAGCAGATCGAAGCAGACCACCAGTGAGACATCATCAGTCATCCTTGGTGCATATCAAAGACTTTGCATCGTGGTTGAGTCTATCAATAGGGGGACTGGATGGGAGAGGATGGTGGCTGCTCCATATCAGTTTTCGTGGAGTCGAGAACATCGTCGTTGATTGTTCAGTAGTTGGAGAGTGTATGGAGCAGTGCTGCTTCCCTAAAGAGTTCGTAGCCATTAACGCAGTCGCTCCTTTCTGTCTCAAGGTCTCAGGAACATCTCTCAATCCATCTTTCTTGCATACCCGAAGTGTCTGAAGGCCAATGCGACACTATCTAGCGCAGAAGAACAAATCTTGCACAAGCCGAGGTTTCCGTTGGACCTGCGGTTACTCTGGTGCTTGTACCTTTAACAAATCTGCTCGTACTGCTTCAGCCACAATGCAGCCGATTTCCACTAGAGAGCGTTTGCGACCCTCCTTTTCCCTCCAAACAAGGCTTCTCGAAGGAATGACCCTGGGATGGATGCTCGAGTGCCGAAACATCTCAAGGCCGAGCCAGCTAATTTCATGATCGACCTATGAGCATCATCGATTCAACAACCCCCAAGGAGGGCCGTTGCACGGAGCCGTGAAATCGTTGGCACTTTGCAAGGTTGTTCCCCTGCCAATGCACCTGAGAGATGGTTTGCTGAACTGGCCTCAGCCTTAATGCAAGCTACAGCACGTGGCACAGGGATCCGGGGATGAAGCTAGCCTTTGTTTACCAGCTTTTCGGTAACAAATCTTCTCTCTCTCTCTTTTTGCGCCAAGTTGAGAATATGATCTAATTCTCACAATTTGCATTTTGCAGCAATTTTGGCTTGCGCTTTCCCCTGTCTCCTCGCAGGGCAGAAAGGCAACCAGGGTAGGCTGAGCCACGGGCAACAAAGTCATTTAGACCCGCAGTCCCTCACCAGAGCAGGGCATGACACCAAGGGCGCCACTTTGAATTCTGCAATCGCCCTGGAGCGTCAGCGCCTGACGCAGATCAGGGAGAGTTACGCTCTGCTGTCTTGCTTGGTCCTCCCGCGTTGCGCTATGGCGTGCTACATCCGGGACTCTAACCCTCCTTCCGCCTTTGCTTAGCATTTCAAAGTTGAGCATTGTCCCAGACTCAGTTGGAGCTCTCGGTCAACTCTTACTTTTACAATCTCTTCAAGTCCCATCGTCGAATACACATTAATGTTGGTTCTATGTTTCAACAACAGGGGCCAACGAAGCCATGTCTGCCGTCCCACCCCTGCTGGACCCACTGACTACAAGATTGACTACTTCATCAGGTCTTTTGCAGGAAGTCCAATGGACGCCCTCATATCGACGATCACGCAGACGTTGAAAAGAGGCTTGCTTGAAGGGCATGAACGCCGTGTACGCCCCGTTGGGCGAATCGACTCCGCCATCCATCAGACTGCCTTCTTTCCTTGCCCTGCCCCCTGGGTGATATGCTGTTCCAGAAAAGGGGCCAGTCCTCGTGAGAAAGGGCGGTATAGAGAAGCAAACCGCTGGTGGTACAAGAACCCTCTGTTTTGTCGCTAACGTTCAATGTCAGTGTTTCTCCTATCCCATTCACCTTCTTCCGTCCATCAAATTACCTCGGATTGAAATCGATCATGCCTTCAGAATCGTCCACTCCAGGCCGTCCTCGTGAGGTCAAGCTTGTCCAAGCCACCCACTGGTATTGCCATATGTGCGATCCCAAGAAGCGTCATCCTTTGTTGTTTGCTATGTATGGGAAGTGCACCACAACAACCTGCCATCATACCAGATGCGGCTATTGTTCCTATAAAGTGATAAAATAGCGGTGCAACACCAAACGCCTTACTTACTGTTGGCCAGTTCACATGTAAGTGACTATCCTGCTTGATCTTTTGTACTTACTGACGACTAGGTCGCTAGATGCTCTGAAGTACCAACCTCTACCGTTTCGATCCTCTTGGTCTTCCAATGCATATTGGAGAAGTTAGCATTTATTACACCCGAATTCTTCTTACTATTGAGTCACCACACCGATCATCTCCTGAGAGCAGGACTCGTCTTGACAATGTGTGAGACTTGCCCTCTCGTCTGTGCACACTCGGGCAAGCAAGGAGATGGGACTCTGGAGGGAGCCAATATACATCCTGGTGATGAATAACTGTCGCGACTCTGGAGTCTGACAGACTGTCGAGATCCGGCCCCAAGGTTCTTCTCTGGTTGTGTGTTTGTCGGAATGTCGCGGAAGACCCCAACAACTCAAGAGGGCAAAGGGGGAAGGGACGAGAGAGACTGTGCAGTGTCCGACCGCATGTGCAACGCTCTATCAAATAGAAGGGGATTTCTTGACGCTGTGCGTCTATATGTATCCGTTGCCGAGACTTTCATTTTGATCCTTCCTGGCATCGAGGAGATATTGAATTTACTATTGTACTAACTACTACTGCCAGGTGTCTGGTCTCTTGAAAATGTGCTGCGCGTAGGCTTTTCAGTCTCATCTTTAAGGTGTACGAACCACAGAGTCAGAGTCAAGGGATTGTGAAAGTCGAATGAATACCTACACGCTACTGCTTCGCGTACATTTGTCGGACTCTACACTCTTCGTGTGCAGACTATTAAGAGAGCAGCCGGACAGTGTGATCCACGGTGCCCATCACGAGAGACGCACCCTGTCTCCCACCGCTTGCTACGGCACCGACACCCGCATCCGTGCCCTCGGGGTGCTTGGAGGTCTCTCGACCCAGTTCGCCGCTCAACATCTGTACTGTCCCTGTTCCAGGTTTGTTGTGGCGAGTTTCTGTTGTTTGACAGCTTTGGAGTCGATGATGGTCTTACGATTGACCGTTGATGTCGGCGTTCAACGGAATATCGCGGCCGCCCCCAGTTTCATGAAGGCTGAAGCCACAGAATTGACACAGGGCAAGTTTTGCCGTGATGAATGGCACCGCGTCAAGCGTGTCGTATCAACGCGAGCACCACGACACCCTCTGTTTCTCATAGCACGTCTGGGCAGAGAGCTCCAAGCCGGCTTTGCTTTATTTAGCTGGTGCCACACGCGCCTCCCCCATTCACTAAGCTGGGAACACGTCTATGAATGAACGAACGATCAGTCCTCCTCCTCCGAAGTGACGGATACAATCTCTACATACTTGATACCAGTCAACCTTGTCAACCTCCCGTGTAAAGTTGGCCGGAGATGTTATCAGCAACCTATCGTTGGAGGGGAATGCCACCTTTGGCACTTTTGATTCCTCGCCCAAGTCCTTCTCCCACTCCTTGTGGATGGCTCATTGGACATAAGGGTGGTGTTCTCGGCGGGTTCCCAAGCATCCCTGGGTTTGAAGACGCTGTCGACGGATACCTCGCTCAGATCACGTCCAGCTCAGGTGATGTGGGCTTCGCAATTCCCGCATACCTTGCATCACGCCCACTGCCGGATCACTGGGACCACGTTCAAAACATGAGCCTGAAATTCGAGGGATTCCGATACCAAACCGTTCAGGTCCATTCCGTCCCGGTCTCGTACCTCTTCATCACCTTCTCAGTCCAAAGCTTCGGAGTACCTCCTCCTTGTTACTGCGAGGACGAGCCGTTTGCCCCTCTGGGAAATTTCAAACCCGTGACCGCTGATGATAGTCCTGTTCCAAAAAATGGAAAGCATAAGTGGGCGCAGCTGGATCTTCCCGACTATTGGCGTTTCCTGGCTGCAGCGCAGATTTCGGCTTTTGGACTGAGCGAGCAGAGGTTCCACGAGATTGCACGGCCATACGCCAGCCCGAGTCATATCCAGAGCACATCCACTGGTGGGACCATATATTCTTCGGTGAGGTTGTGGTACACAACCTCGCTGGTGGAAACCCAGATCACTCTGGACGGTGTGAATGCAACTCTCGATGCCACGGGTGAGGAATCGGCCAAGGCTGCTGTAAGGGATATATGCGGCCACAATGTCTTGAGCGCAAGTGCACGATTACGCATCGCCATTCATCGGAGCTCTGTCGTATTCACGTGGAACATGTTCGAGAAGGCCGAGACGAACCCGCCCGAGATCAGGATTGAGGCAATTTTCGTCCCAACTCTAGGTGATATCGACGTGGAGTTCAGCACACCATTCGACCCGCCGCCACCGTTGAATGAAATCAAGAAGTAGACTCGCGAAGCTGTCTTCAAGTTGGTCGGTGACGCTCTTGTCAGACGCGAAAACGCTGCAAATATTTGACTTATCGAGAGAGTGCCAGAACAATGGCACCCGGAGGTTTGGGGTGGTCGACGATAGATTCATCGAAGAGAGGCTGTAGTGCTCTTGTGTCAGCTACTCAGCAGTAGCCAGGATCAATCGGCAAGTTGCATTCCCCTCTTCCTTCGGGTCTTCATCGTGTGATGGATACCTTTCTTCACATGAAAGGACCAGTGTAATAAAGAGATAAGAATCACGGTACTAACATTGCGTACAAACAGCGCCGCTTCACAATGACTGCCGTGTCTTCAGCAACCTCTATACAAAGGTTCTACCTGAAAGTTGGACTTCGTGGTTGTCAAGACAACCATGTGTATTTCGCAGCTTACCTACAATAGGTATTGTACCTGGTTACCAAGTAGTCACAATCTCGACTATCTCATCAGCTCACAAGTCATGATTGGTGGACGAACCCCCGGATTTCAGCCCGACGTCCGACTAGTTCTTACTGTGACAACAAAGCAAAAGCGAAGCCAACACCCACGACAGTTTGACACGATTCTGCCCGCCATGAAAGAGCGTGAGATACGCGTTGACATTAATCGAGGTCCCAGATTTCGAATCCGCATAGCCATCATCGATCGAGCGCTGAGAGTTCTGACGCCGTCCTAGCTTGAGACCCCTCCGTGTCAACAGTCAACAAACCATCAACGATCAATACTCAGTACATTGACCGGTTCACTTCTACAGTCCACCGGTATTCACTTCCGCTCATACAGTGGACCACCGGCGTCACGTACAGTCTAGCCGGCGTACGTCGACTAGCCGATCCGAAGTTATCGACCTGGAACGCATCCCATGCATTTTGTGATTTGGCCTCAAGGGGGGCTTCTACGGAAATCTCCTACTTCGTCCTAGTCAGGACGCGCGACACAAAACCAGTGGATGAGAACTCTTCTTCAACGTTGGCCGGCCAGTCCGGATTGAAATTTTTTGAGAGCCTGATCACCGAGACCCGCATAACCGGTGAGCAAGAAGATCGTCGCAAAAGACTTCAACGTTGAGATAAGATGATCCCTGTCTCGACGCTGGCCTCGTCAGCGCACAACGAGACACACGGTTCACAGACAGCGATTAACGGATGCCTCTCCCCAGCTAAGCCCATGTAGTCATTTTTCTTGTTGACCTGCGCTCAGACGTTACGAGGATTGAAAAACAGGCAAACTCACTACTGCATCCCTTCGAGTGCATATACGAGCAATTCAATCGCCAAGTCAGGCCGGGGGTCGACGTCGCCTCGAGCGCTCCCAAAAAGGGGGCATGCGAAAAACCCAACCCCATTCATTCTAGTGTACGGTCCTCCGTATACGAGCTCCTAATCTCCTGTGGCCATCGACGTCCTGCCGCTGGTTTTCTCTGCAGGGGCTGGGATGCTTCGTGGCTATGCCTTGTCCACACCGCCTTTTGAAAGTGTTTGTGCGATTGTGCCAGGGCCATTGAGATATGGTGTCATTTGCCCTTTCAAGTTTTCTTCTCGAGGCGAGGCTGATCGCCGAGAAAGGAGAAAATACCTCAACAGGGGCCAGTCTAAGACTCTGAGCCTCTTTAAGCCTCTCGCGCAGGCGTCCCTTCATTGCCCTTCCCATCTTTTGCCCTTCATGAAAAAAAAAGAAGCCCAGACCCCCCTCAATCTTGACTCTTGAGGCCTTTGTCACGGGTGCAGGCCACAGCCCCCTTTACCAAGGCCATCTGTCTTTTGAGCTGGAGAACGACACTTGCGATCTTGTCGTGCAGCTGGCCCGACGAGGCTAAATGAGCCCCAGGGCGAACAGCTTTGGCAAAGTCGTCAGACAGGTACCGTGTGGCGATCAGGAATCAGAAGGGCACAAACTCTGCAGCCCCCCAGACCCAGACCCAACTATCTGTAAGCATGACACGAACCACGGTGATTTTTGGTTATGATTAGCTTGATGCCTAGGCCGCGCAATCTGCCTCTTTGGTTTGCTTCATGCCTAGAATGACGGGGGAGCAGCGAGGGAGAAGGAAGAGGGCGCTTCATCTCAGGCAAGGAACCGTTGCAGAGGCGGCTTTTTGAAAGTCGCACCAGCTGTTCGATTACTACCCTCGTCCATTGCGCCAGGGACGGACACAGACCCAAAGCCCTCCTACTCAGCCGGCGCATCGAGGGTCATCGTACGCCTCGGCGCCTGCTGAGGTTGCTACTATTCTGCTGCTCCTCCCTCCTCTTCTCCTTCCCATCATTTTGCCCCCACGGCACACCAGGGTGGTCGTGAAAACCTTTGGACGCATCGAAGGAGCCCAACATGAGACGGACACGGGCGAAGGAGGATCTGGCGGTGCCGGCGGCGGCGCGGAAGAGCCAGGGCAGATCAGGATCCCTCTTGGATCTCAGGTAAGGGTAGCCCATGGCCAGGTTTTTGTGCCGTTTGACACTACACGCCGCGTTCGTCCGCCTTGCCTTTGATCGAGCGACGTCTATCGCGATCCGACGGGTCATCAGAGAGGCGACAGCAGAAACGGGTGCCGCCGCCGCCGTCTTCACTGACCATCTATCCGTCCAACCCACCCGGTGTCCTCACTGCACGTGTATTGTCTGTATTTTAGTATCCCGAGACAAGAACGGGACCTAGATAGCCACTGGTGACAAAAAGAACTTGTACCTGGTAACCTGAGCAATACTGTCGACTCTTCAATCGCTTCCATTTCATAAAGCCTTGAACGCATTCCGTTACTGAGAAATCTTGTTGCGATAAATGTCCATCGCCGCGCGGACGTCTTTACTCCAAACGACGCTAACAATTCACGACTGGCCGCCCGACGGTAGATCACTCGTACACCGTCCCGTAATGCCTCAATTGGACAAAACGTGCTCATGGAACAAGACGATCAGTTTGGCCATTCTATATTCGTCCATGTATGTCATCGGTATGCTTTTCGCTCCGTGGCACATATACCTAATATTCATGAGGAATGAATCCAATACTATATAGTACATCTGCAACCTCGACGTCACCTCCATTCCCCAACCTTGACCCTGAGTTTCAAACACGACGTCAAGAGGCAAGGCTGAGTTTTACTGATGGCTTGATCCATCACCTCCTCTTCTTCGCTCCAGACTTGGTCTCCTTCCCACTGGCACTGGCGACAGGCGCAGACGGTTTCAACTCCTTTGTATCTTGCCCTTCCAATTCTTTGGGCTTCTCTGCGCTACTCGTCTCGTCCTCCTCGTCTTCACCACCCTGGCCAAACTCGTTGACACGAGTATAGTCGACCTTATACTTCCACTTCTGGTACAGCCAGACAAAGAAGATGACGTCGTCGCGGAGTGTGGCGAGACGATGGAGGAACGGCATGCGAATCGTGAACGCAAACAGATCATCAATGAACGTATTCAAAAACTTGTACGTCAGGGCCTTGCTGGGCATGTGCGCCACAGACTTGAGGCGATAGTTGATGTATAGACTTGGCACCATCATGAGGAAGCCGTAGGCGTACACGGACCCGACGAGCGTCTCAATCACAAAGCTGTACCATGACTTGTGCGTCTCATAGATGAGTGAGTAGACCGCATAAGCGAGCAGGAGTGGAACGGCGATGATGTAAAGATAGCGAAATGCGATCTGGTCGTATTCTTGCGTCTTCCTCTCTGTCTCGGAGAGCTTGTGCTTATCCTCGAACACCACAACATACGGGAGGAACTTGAATGACGAGTCCGGTCCCGGTTCCCGCAGGCGCACGTTGACCGTCTTGGTGATCTTCCATGCTTCTAGAAGTATACCAAACCCTTGACTTGCGAGGATCATCCAGGAGGTCGCTTCGGAATTGTCGACAAGGTACAAGAAGATGACAGTTTGCATAAAGACGTTGGCCAAGATGGTTCGTACTGATGTCCCTACGTTGTCCTTCTTCGTACGCCAATGCGAAATGTCGTTCTTGAACGCGAGTCCCTCGAAGACCATGTGCAGAATACTGACGACGAAAGTCGTGCCGAGAAGATATGCGTTGGTATCGAGCAATATCTCTTTGAACTTTTCGAATTCGCTGCCGTCACCGCCGGCAGGCATGGGCCCACCTGAGGCGGCTTGTTGCTGGTTCTGTTTCATGCCTTCGTCGACAGTGGCGAGTATATTGTACTTCCAGTTGGGCATGTTGTACAAGTCGATGTTGAGCGGCATTTCCTGCACCGTGTCATTGAGCTCAGTCATGTGGGATCGAAGTTGCCAGAAAGTGTTGAGGAAGATGACTGGGTAGTACCATCCGTTCATGCCTGACTCATCTCGAGCCCCGGTACGTTCCAGCACGGTGTTCTTTCGCAGAGCTGGGTGCATCTGTCGCCAGTTCTGCACGCCGGAGTTGGGGATCACCGCCAGGGTGAAGTTCGGATGATAGAAGGATCCAACCTGAGGGCCTTGAGGTTCCTCAAGCTCTTCTTCGGGTTCTTCGGTCTTTTCGAGCAAGTTCTTCAATTTGCGTGCCTTCTTCTTGGGAAGATAGTGATTTAGAGGCTTGCTGAATGTGTACGCTTTGGCAGGGTCGAATGTGGATGCCGTAGGGTCCAGTTCATTGCCAGTCAAAGCCACGAAGAAGTGTGCCCACAGAGTACCATTGTGTTGAACTTCCTTTGGTATGGCAATGGTGGTATGAATTTCCCTGTTCTCTTCGTAATCTCCAATCTGGAAATTCTTCTCATCCAGCACCAATGTGTCCTTCGGTTGCTTCGACAGTGGGAAGATGGCCGTGTTTGGCGAGACATAGACTTGGATGTCGACTGATCCGCCATCGGGCCAAATTGGTGCAACGTTGTAGGGGATTGCAGAGTAGTTTGTCAATGCGGTCGCATCAACCCTTTCCTCAAAGTTGACATTCGCTTTGGGGGCTGCACTGCCGGACGGGGTAGTCTTTGAACCAAAAAACTGGTTGACCGCGAATTGCGTGATCATGAAAATGGCAAGTCCTTGGAGGAGCGATTTGAACATGGACTGTGATTCATGGTCAGCGAAACTGCGAGCGGGCCAGAGGACCACGGACACCTACTCCTCCAGTTTCCTCCTGCCTGGCGGCAGTGCCGCCGGTGCCGGTGCCTCTTGACTCTGGCATGTTGACTTGTCAGAGTCTCACCCAGTGTTGCGGTAGAGGTGGCAGGATGGATAAGAAGGTCGCAGCCTACGACGCAATGGACCTGGGCCCGCCTACGAGTGCTATACTAGCCGTGCGGAAAATGTTTGTTCCACAGCCGAGGGCTTGGCGGCATCGAGGTCTCTTCGAGCTCTTCGCCGTCAGTCCAATGAGCCAGCTGGAGTTGATCACGACACCATCCGCTGTTTCTTCGCCCATTACCTGTATCATCTACTGAGATGGTCCATTGAACATGGGCCAAGCTTGGTAGGTAGGCCATGATCTGTCGAGTTTGCAATGGCCAATGGAGCAGTGGTGCCTATACCCCCGCCGCAATTTCCCACGCATAATGCTCCTAGAGTCTGGCTACTAACGTCCGGAGACTCGCCCATTGCCATCTCTGTTGCGCGGCAAGTGCTCGACCATGGAGACTATGTCGTCTCGGGCATTATACAGGCCGATTTTGAGGATGAAAGTGTGCGCAGTAAGGAATTCAAGAACTTCCTCTCCGAAGTGGTACAAACAAATGGATGGAAAGATCGGTTAAAAATCGTACCATTAGACATTCGGTATGTTGACCCCCTCGTCATGACTACAGCTTCTAGAGAAGGTTGGTTCTTTACTTCGTAGTGTTCATACTGACCTTATGTAAGACATGTCGGGCAATGTCAAGCAGCCATTGCAGAAGCTGTCCACGTCTTCAAAAAGATAGACATCTTATTCTGCTGCACCAGCGAGGCAGTCATTGGAACAGTGGAGGAGCTTTCGGCAAATCCGAGAACATTGACTATGGTTCGAGATCAGTTCGAGAAGAACTTCTTCGGGCCGATGAATATTATTAAAGCTGTAATCCCCCACATGCGGTCGATGATGAACGGACACATCATCGTGCTTGGTGGCATCACAGGTCATCTTGGGACGCCTGGGTTGAGCATGTATTGCGCTTCGGGGTGGGCGCTGGAGGGTTTCTGCGACAGCATCGCTTACGAGATCGCTCCTTTCAACATCAAGCTGACAATTCTTCAAGCCAGCGTGGAGATAGGAATTCTGACGAACAAAATCACGTCGGCACCTCCGATGAAAGAATATTCGAGGGAATTTGGACACACTGCGCCCATGTTCCGAGGCATTCTTGATGGTCTGCTGAACCGTCTTCCTGGGATCCGGTCTCAATATCCTCCACCCCCGGAAAGTGAGATTCAGTCGCCTTCCTCGGAAGCAGAAAGACAAAGTGGTCCCTACCTCCTCAGTCGGAATGAAGTGTTCAGTCTGTATCCGCCTCTCAGCCATGCTCATACAGAGAAACTAGTAGCTGAGACTGTGCATGCGTTGACTGCTATCGGTGGCCATGAGAACCCTCCGGCAAGACACATTGTGGGCGTCGAGGGCGTAGCCAGCGTCAAGGAAAAGCTCAAGACTGTCAGTGAGGAGCTTGAAGAATTTGTCGACACCAGCGCGTCGGCCGACATGGTGAAGCCAGGACCGGGTTATGGCCGTGCCTCAAGCGTTGCTGATGTAGATTTCAAAGACTTGGAAGGTAGCGTCTTCGACGCCTCAATGGCTTGACTTAGGTTGACATGCTTGACTGGTTGGAAACCCAATACTTGGTCTGAACCTCAGCGTCGGCTGTATCGCCGTTCTTCTTCATGCCGTCTATGATCAGGATCCGGGCGCGAATAGCCGGGAGACCTGCTCCTTGACCTCCCACGACGTTCTCGGATCCGTTGTCTTTCAGATGAGACTGACCTGGACCGTCTGTGCCTGTGGTGCTCTTGTCTGTGACTCCTGTGCCGAGGGTCTTCGTCCCTATCCCGTCGTCGATACTCGCCGCGCTTATGCCGCTCTCGACTCCGACTGCGGCGTTTTCGATCACCATGGCGTCGCTTGTATTCTTTAAGCGCATATTTCAGTTCCCGATCTTGTTCTCCTCCTGTGCCTTCGAGGCGCTCAGTAGTAGCATCTCCTCTCTGCGGGTCTGAAGCCCGGCCATAGCCAACCCCCCTTGTACCTGTGAGCTCATCATCTCCGGCGGCCTCTTTCAAAACCTTCCTAACCTCACGTTGTGTGCCTAATTCTTCCATGTTGGGGTTGTTTCGTGGCGCAACAGGGAGTCCTAGTGCTCTTGCCAGGGCATCTTCTTCCGCCTCTTTGATTCGACGAATCTCTTCTCTTCGTTCTCTTGCAGCTTTGGCATCTGCATCCTCGCCTGCATCTCCTGGGGTTTCACCTTTTGCATACCAATTGAGATCTCGACCCTTTTGCCAACGCCCGACTGGGGCCATTAACGAGTGTCCTAGATAATTTTCGCGGCGCGAGGAGGTCTGAACATCGGACCATTTGAAGTCTCCCGTTCCACCTCGAGAACCTTCCTTCCGCACCGTGGCTAGGAGATCCATGATTGAGTATAAGGTTGGGGCGAGAAAGAAATTCGAGGTGGGCGCAGTGCTCAAGGAGGCTTCGTGTTCCTTGGACTGAACGTCGTGTAACGCGGTCGTCTCTCGCAGTGGTGGAATCAAAGCGAGAGCAAACTGGATTAGGAGCCGCTGCCCACAACCCGTCCCTTACGTAGACTACCTAGTGAAAGGTATCATGCGTCATGCAGAGCCCGATCGAAGGGTGGGCGGACGAGGAGTGGCGCTTTGAAAAGGAATAATCAGTCGTTGGTGGGAGGGTTGCTGCTTGTGTTGCCAACCACAGCAAGAAAGTGCAGTTTTCGGCGATTGAACGGGTGCAGGATGCAGGATGTGGATGAGGAGAGTAACAATGATGTAGGTGCGAGGCGAACCTGTTCGAGTGTGCTTCTCAGGTGTGTCAAGTCTGCGGATGAAGTAAAGATCTGTGCAAGCATGTCATGATTCTTCCCCAGAATTCCGCATCGTCCGTCTCTTCTCGTCTGCAACTTATCCTCACTCTTATACGAGTAACTTGCCTGGTGCTCTTCATCCTCACTTCGTCTGCGGCTGGTAAATTGCGACACGTCGTGCGCCATTCATGTTCCTTTTGACCACCTGCAGCCTGCACCTGTCACTCTCCAGCTGTCACCGATCTTGTACTGCCTGTCTGTGAAGACCTTACTCTCTTGAATCTCGCTGTGGCTTCCTTGCCGCAAGCCCAGCTCACTGCGAACACTGGGTTAACAACAAGACTGTGCTCATGATCTTCCCAATACCCCTCGAAGCCGAACCGCCCCCAGACGAACTCAAACCGCTATAATTTGGCTTTTGATCCTGTTGTTGTACCCTGCAGCCTTTCGAATAACTGGGCCACGGGGTTCGGGCCCTGAACAAGACTGAAATCTGCACGATACACCAGCACCCAGTACACTTATATTGTCTAACACCCGCTAACGAGCGGGTTCATCAGCAGCTGTGTGAAATGGAGCATGATCTAAGGTCCTTCAAGTCTGTTAACATCGGCTTGACTTGCCTGGAAACTGGCAGCTCGAGATTTACAAGAGATGGGATCTATCGTCCTCCGCCGGTGGCATTCTGGAGGAACAACCTGACCGCTCTCTCGCAGCGCTACAATCTTTATTTCGTTGCTCTTCGAGATGCCTTTGCCGTCTACAGACCCGAGTTTCCCTTCCAGAGACTGCACTGGCTTCCATCACTAGTGATTCCGCCTGAACTTGCAAACCCTTCTGCCCAAGGCTACATTGATCCCCACCATCCACATAACATAAACCACATCATGGTGGATGACTTGGGCTCTGAAGAAATTCTGCTTCTATCGACAGACTCTGGAAACTTGACCGCCTATTTCACCAAGGCCATTGACGAAGCGATTCGCAAGGATCCTTATCGATTCAGTACAAACGCTCGAAGTGACTGTGTAGGAGTGCGTGCGTTCTTCACACAATGGGTGTACGAATCGGCTTGGGGGCTTTCCATCCATTCAAAAGCCCGTATGATTGCAGTTTCTGCTAACACGCCTAATCATGTTCCCAGCGATGATCCTTGCTCAAAGATTACAGTCTTTGCTTTTGCCTTGACGGAGCATGGCAGTGGGTACCCCATTTTGCAAATCGACGCCCACGCAAACAGTCAATTGGACGTTTCCGACCTGGGACTGCAGCAAGACTGGGAGGAATGGGATTGCAGACGGCCAGACTCTGGTCCTCCACCTCGCAACAGAAACTACAAAATCACACTTGGTGGCCTTGAAGGTCACAATGACAACGTCCCAAGCATCTCGTTTGTGAATACCGATGACGACCCTGACGGTCGATGGCTCTTGAGCACCGATATCCGTGGAGAAATGAAGATGTGGCAGATCTGGCGAGGACTTTGCCTCAGGACATGGAGTTTCGCCGAGAAGAGAATGCGCGGAGGGTTTCAAAGTAGACGAGAAGGGGGTTGGATCGTTGCCGCTTTGGATTCTAGAGCTTTCCGCTCTGCCTGGACCATGGAACAATTCTGTGGTCATACAAAGGCTCCTCAATACTACGGTCACGTTGGTGAGAGCTATGATCTGACCAATATTGTACGCCTGCGCACCCCTGGGATTAGTCTTGCGCATCCCCACGCTCAAGGGTTCTCACCCGCAGACGCACCTGTAGAAGAGGAAGAAGTACAAGAGCAAACCTATGACGGCTGGTCCGATCTAGATGATTCCGGTGACGAGCAAGCCAATGCAAACTCTGGTCCGATCGCCCAGGATGTATTGGGAGCAGGGCATCCTATGCCTCCTACGGTGTCCATCTCGCCTCTGTTGCCCCAGGAGTCCGAAGCGACAGAGAGCGGGATTCTCAACAATCTGGACATAGATGTGGATGTGCAGGCGAGCGATGCAGATGGTTCAGAAGAGCTGTCGGAGCACGACGCTGATTCTGGAATGCTGCTTCTGTTTGATCATGAACAATACGATGATGATGTCGAAGATGACGAAATGCAGTATGGCTCTAGCTCTGAAGATCAAGAAGAACAGTCTTACTCCAGCAGCCGTCGCAGCACACCGTCTCTCTCCAGCCTTGCGCAACGAAACAGCGAAGCATTAGAGCAACAACCTGGGGATACAGACACAGACTCTTCCTCATTCATGGAGCACCATCACCTAGCAGCAACTGCCATTCAAGGGGCTAAATCTACCTCCCGACAGACTCGAGGCATTGCAACACGCAAAGACATCCTGCAAATCCCAACTCTGCATTGTACTGCCTCGCATCTCAGGCTTCTCATGGCACCGCAAGCCTCTTCGCCCCATGTATTCTGTGCCAATATTTTGAAGCAAGCGTTGCCCGAATACATTGAGATGACGAATCATGTGCACCTTGACAGGATCAACATGGTTCAGCAGATTCCTGAGTTGGGCATTGTCATTGTGGCTACGCAAATCGGCCGTTGTGCCATATGTACGACTACCAGAAACGAGAAAACAGGCACTCTGGGCTTGCGTGTCGACTGGGTCTTGCCAACGACCAAACAAGAGGCTAGACACCTCCGCCCTGCTATGCCGCTGCTAGGCATTGCTGCATCTCCTATCCAAGGTCGATTTCGTGGTGAGGAACATAAGAGTAGGCCAGCCGTCGAAATGTCGGTCGAATGGGGCAAAGATGCTGTGGTCGATGGTGTGACAACAACATTCGATCCTGAGAGTGCGGCCGTGGTGGAGGATGGGGTTGAAGAAGTCACTTGTCCTATCAGCGCTCGAGAGCAGGGCAAACATGGTAAAATGCCCGAGTGCCCTACGAGATTTGACCCATCAACGTCGAATCACACGCCGCAACACGCTGCGTGGACAAAGCCTGAAGCCATCGAGCCCTGGATGTCCACCGAAAGCAGTCGCAGATACAGGCTAATGCTGACCTACCTGGATATGTCTGTCCTGACATATGAGATCTCCCGGGGAGTGGAGCGAGAAGATTTACTCCTGCGTGAAACTTCAACCCTCGAGGACATTGATTGAGGTCTGTCTAGGTGATGGAAAACGATGCCCATGTGCTGGTAGAGGGAACGTTGAACTTATTGCGACGGCGCGTTGCACAGACAATTTTCGACCCCTCAGCTCGGGCGATCTCGAGGAGGGGAAACGGGTGCAGATAATCGGTCCATGATAAACGATATCAAGATCGATCTTGGATCTAGGTACTCCTTTCGATGAATCATGAGCATACCCTGAGGTCGACTTCAGGGGCAGAGACCTTTGTTTTAGATGACAGGTGTCACCCGCGCGTAAGAGAGAGGCTGAGATCTCCACCTATGAATCGAACAGCAACGCAATGAAAAGGACAAACAATCTTTCTTGTAGGAAAAACCGAGACAATCAGTAAACAGTCGACAATGCCGGTCCACATTGAGCGAGCAACTCAAGTAGGTCGAGAAGGGTTGAAGGCGCAGAGACTGGAATGAGCAGTGCAGCAACACGCGTGGGTGACCGGGGCCTCTCCAGCCTTGCCAAGCACGTCATCTATTGGCCCGGTGCAGACGGAGCATCTACAGGTACGTACAAGTCAACACGAGTTGTCAGCATGACAGCCGCAACAGCCTCCTCGCGTTGACTTGGGTGGGACCGTGACAGGAGCATGTCCCCCTTGTACCTTTGTTGTCCCTCCCCTAATCGCATTTCTCCTTGGGGACACTACCGGTGCTGGCGGGAATCATGTTCAGTCCGAGGAGTTCTGGCACCATGGGCGATCTCCTTGCCTGCGACATGGCGAATGTCCAAAATCCCTTGCCTTATTGCTGGCGCGAGACCGATCTCACCGGCAAGGAGGTATATGACTTAGCATTCCAGGGGGTGGGCACACGGACTCTTTACTAAGACGCCACTCGCACTTCAAGGGAGAGCAAGTGGACATGGCCATAACGTCCGTGACAGCACGGCGATGCTTTGACGATGCTTTGACGTTTCTTTGACGTCTCCCAGACCTGGCTGTAGTTGAGTACTGCAAATGTTCTTAAGATGGGCAACACGACGCGTTCTCAACCTCACGGTCGCGAGTCGTCTTCCACCATCCGCCTCAAGATGTTTACTGTCTACCGGCCAGACAGGAAGACTCCCAGCAGTCCTTCGCTGGGAAGCCAGCGGTTAGGCAATCGCCGCCGTATTCTAAGGACTCTACTTGCAGCAATTCTTATCGTCAGCTTTCTCCGGACATGGACCTACACATCTCGGACGAGGGTATGTACCTAGCGGCTGCGGTCAGCACTGTTTACTGACCTTAGAAACAAGATATCGCCTCCCACGTATGCCATAGACGAGGCAGCTAGCGAAGTAGCTGAGCTCGACTATAGCGATTTCGACCCCATGCCACTGACTGGCATGCTCAATGACGGCAAGCCCGGCAAACGCACGTGCGACCAGCTTCGACACGACGGACGGCTACGTGTTCAAGAAAGTCTCTATCTCGAGGATGATCTCGTAGACGTCGCGAGATCTCTCGCCGATCACCCCATAATCAACTATCCCTCCGAGTATGATGATGTGCCCTTCGAAGAGACTGTGTCGAAGTGCTGGGCTAGACTAGCTGGATCAAGCGTTTGGCTGGAAAAATACCAAGTCTTCCTTGCAGTGACGCGAGTCATCTTTTTCGACAAGGGCAATAGGGCTTGGCCCATTATGAGTTTTCTTCGAGGCCAAATATATGATGCTGACTGGAACGAATTGAAAAATCATACCATCCACTGGCACGGCGACGAGGTCGTCTTCCCTGTGGTGTTTACCATTCCGGCTCCTTATAACGTGGGCGGTGGTTTTTACGGCCCTGAAGACCCAAGGATAATCATCGAACAAGATGTGGAAGACGCCGAACCTATCGTTGTATTCAACATGATCCATGACCTGAGGACAGTCGCGCGAGCCATGCACATTTTCCGACCATTCTCGAATGTGACCACCATCTTGACGATCACAGGGGAAGGAGAAAGGCCATCATCGGAGAAGAACTGGGCCCCGTTTTTCCACGACGACCGCGCGCACACTGCCAACGCAACCAACGCAACCAACGACGTGAAGAAATGGCCCAGTCAGCACATTCACTTTGTGCACGGCTTTAACCCCCTCAAAGTGCTCAAGTGTCATGCACTCAATGGATGGTGTGATATTGTGTACGAGCAAAAGGTCTCGGAGGACTTGGTGTCGCCTCATGACGATCCTCACGGTCGTATGAGCGGTGGCACAAACCTGGTTCCAATTCCAATCGCTTCGAGTCCCGGTGTGCATGCGTATGTCGGTTTTCCAAGGTCTCACATCGACTTTGGATGTAAGGACGACGCTATGTACAGACCTGAGATGATGATCATGACCGCATATGACCGGCAATTCCACATCAATTACATGTCCGAGCCAATCGATTTTGGAGCAGCAGCCTTGACACCGGAAGCCGTCACTGATCCCTGTGGGGAAGGCCGCATTTTGATCGCCAACAGTGTGGCACGATGGGATAGGTCCTCAGGTCACGATCTGATGACAATTTCATTCTCAGTCGCCGATGTGACTGTCCAGGTCCTTCAATTGGAAGGTGTTTCAAGGTTCATTGAACAACTATCGTCCCTCCAGCCGGCACTTCAGCACGACATGTCCCAGGATGGCAGTGTCATCTGGAATCTTCGATGGTCAGCTGTCAGCCAGGACGTTTCTTCTTGTTCGATCGAGGCTGCACGGAACTATTCCATAGCCGTCTCCGAGCCAATGCATGGCAAGTCGAAGGCCAAACTGAGAGAAGAGGGAGAATTAGATGCTGCGGACGAAGACGACGTAGCGGATAAGACCAAGGCACCTGAAGATGAAAAAAACAAAAATGAAGACAACAATAAGAAGGACAAGGATCTGAAAGCCGCGAAAGAGGAGGAGCTAACGGATGCTTTATTTGACGACGCGGCAGCATTCGAAACAAAGGACAAGGATGAGAAGACTTTTCAAAAAGACCTCATCTACCTAGACGACCCATTTGGACACGAGGACATAAAAATCACATGAACGATTTTCATTACGCAGGATATGATATCAGCATTGTATCCGTCGATCTCCTGAAGTCTGGAACCACATTGGCCAGGTTCAAGATGAAGCGGCTGCTAACAACACTTACCCATCGGAATCTTTTCACGGGCAGGTATGGATCAGTGTTGTTCGCCTAGCGCTGGTTTTTGTACGGCATATTCGATCTGACCATGTCAAAGCCATTCTTCATTCATGCAACCGACTGCAGCTACAATCACAGCGCAGACCTAGTCGCCACCTGACAATTCCCTATCCTTCTTCCATCATGGTTACCCTTGAGCCAAGTCCGAATGACATCCAGCCGCCTGCTATGAACCATTCTTTCAAAGCTGGGGGTGAACTAGCTTCCATGCCTGCCTTGGGTTTATTAGACCGTCGTTGGCAAGAACGTCTGCGTTAATCGCACAACCTGACCATCGTCGCTCAGTTGAGGGTATCGGATGAATCCTTGGCCATATTTGGTTACCTTGTGGCCGCTTATACCGCCCGGCCACCCCGAAGAGACGAAACAACCGGGGCTATATCGAAAGCTCCTAATCCTCCATGCTGCATTCAACGAGTTGGTGCTGTAGTAACAATGGAGTCGATGACTTTTGCGGCTCAAACATCGACTTGCTGTTTGTTGACTCAGCTAACTCTTTCACTGCGAGCTGGACCGCTCTCTTCTATTCAACGCTTGAGACATCCTTGGGTGTTGAGGCATTCGCCGTCTTCATTTCTCGTTACTGTACGGTGCAGCGTAGGGGAGATGTAGGACACCGACGACAGAATAAATAACTGCAGTGTTAATAAGACAAAATACACCTTGTTTGTCTCCGGATGCATGTCCACGAAATCCGAATGTGACTGCGCTTAGTAATGCCGAGGGGGCTGAGATCGATCACTCTTTTCGCTCGAGCTACATGAAATGATGCGAATCCCTTTTTCTTCATTCTGCCACAACATCAATGTTTTGTCAGCAGCCCCCGTAAATGCAGATTGTCTTTATTCCACATGTTTCTGAACCGGATTGCGTGCTGGGACAAAACGTGGTGTATGCATTGTAAAAACACAAGGCACACCCTCAGAGGCGGCCTAAGCCTCAACATCTGTTGCTGATTCACCTGCTTCTCGTGCTCCTTTTTACGAGTTGGAGATTACTGCCGCTGCTCTACGACTACAAGGCCCTGCACTTCTACAGATTTCAAGCTCGGCCAACTTTGCAGACTGTCCAAATGCAGAACTACGGCCTTGTAAGGCGGGGCGCTGCCAACGCTGTCCTGGAAGCCATACCCACTCCCAAGCTACAGGACGACTACATTTTAGTCAAGACCGTCACCATCGCCCTGAACCCTACGGACTGGACCACTTTGGAGGCGGTTGGCGATGACGGTACGATCGTCGGCTGTGACTACGCTGGAATTGTGGAGGAGGTTGGCAAGGCGGTAAGGAGGCCATTCAAGAAAGGAGATCGCATCGCCGGCTTCGGTCACGGGGGTAGGTGACGAGGCCAACCTGAATGGCAGCTTCTACGCTCCGGTATCGAATGCTCAGTGCTCAGTAACGTACAGGTAACGATGGCAATCACGAACATGGTACCTTCGCCAGGTACATCGCAGTGAAGGGTGACCTCCAATTTCACATACCAGACAATGTCACTTTTGAAGCTGCATGCACCGTAGGTGTGGGTGTGATTACGACCGGGTATGGTCTTTATCACGTCCTCAAGCTGCCTCTTCCGGACGCGATCTCGGAACCCGCCAATACGCCAATTCTCATCTATGGTGGAAGTACGGCCACCGGTACACTGGCCATACAATTCGCCAAAATGTAAGTACAAGGCCCGTAAAAGACATCGCAATGGACCACTCATGCGGCTCGCATAAGGTCTGGCATGCAGGTCGTCACCGCTTGTTCGCCCAAACATTTCGATGTCGTGAAGAGACTAGGGGCGGACCTGGTCTATGACTATGTGAGTGCTTTCTGTTCGCTGGTCACTGGCGCGCTACCCTGGGAGGACGACGCTTTTGACATCAGCGACAGCACATGAACAATGTCGGCGAACAGATCAGACAAGCCACCAGGGGTCAATTGAGGGCCGTCTTCGACACCGTTAATGTGGAGTCCTCTGCGGCCATCTGTGCGGCGGCCATCGGGCCAGACGGGGGCTCTTATTGCAACCTTCTTGGCCTGGATTGTCCGCGAACAGACGTTACGTCAACCTTCTTCCTGGGATACTCTGTATCAGGGGAATCGTATATCTTTGAGGGGGAAAAGTACGACGCTCGTCCGGAAGATTTCGAGTTTGCCTCCAAGTTTGTACCCACGGCCAATCGATTGTGGGCCGAGGGGAAGTGGACGCCTCATCCTCAGAGACTTGGGGCTGGGGGGTTGCTGGGCGCGATCAGCGGTATGCAGGACATGAAGGCAGGCAGGTATAGTGGAGAGAAGCTAATCTATCGTGTTGACGAGACGAGTTGGCCTCAAGACACCGCCAACCTGAATACCTAGAAGTAGTAAATGCAGCATGCCTGACGTGCATATGCGAAACTAAAAACCAACGGCCTCATGCAGCTCACACGTATGAGGAAGTGATGGCAGAGTCAACAAAAATGCTCGTGATTAATAAATTGTCTGTCGAGATGGCGGTTACGGCGTCCGTTCTAAACGGCGGCGAGGATCCGGAGCCTTGCCTGAGGTCCGTCGATTCGACAACCTCACGTCGACACGAGTGTTTGTCCACAGGCAATCAAACATCCTTTATGGTGTCCCCGAATCCTGGAAAATCAATGGCCACGAAATGCCACTTCCAGCCTCTTCCATGTCGTTCGTTCCTATGGCCAGTGGAGCAAACCCAGAACAACGAGATGGCCACAACATCAGTGGGAAGACATGCTAGGCTTCGGGCACCGACCCAAAGAGGCGCTGATGCCCTGTCGATCCCTAGTGTCCAGCAGCCTAAGGAGAGCAGGGGGTTCACAATGGTGTAGACGCAATCAGCGATCTGGCAAAGCAACGACGCCTTGGACCTCACCCACCTTTTCCGAAGTTCCGACTTGCATGAAGCTTCCGTATACCAGGCAGCTTCTGCAAAGTCGGAGCACATGCCTATACGATTTCGAGTCTCGAAGGACGTACTGCAGCTCCATTTCAAATCCAACAAGTCAGTCATCTGGGACGGACCACACCGAACACGGATGATGGTGTGGGCGGTCCCACCTTCATGCAAAACTCGGTTGAGCCTTTCGCAATCAGCTCGAGGATGGGCTATCACATACTAGATTACGAAGTGTGTACCCTGGGACTCTCCCCGCCAGTTGTCTTTCAACGTCAAAGGAAAGTACTGGATCTCAACATCGGCGCCCTCGGGGGCGCCGGCCACTGACCTAGTGTGGCTTTCAACGGTCATTGCGCCCTGGTGGTGAGGCTAACACACGAAGGAGGAACAGTCAGACTGACTTTGGTGGTCGCCAAATTGGTCCGCTTATGCTAAGGCGGCACATTCCACAAAATCTTTACGTGAAGGCCTGGACCAATTCGCCGCGCAATTACGAATGTGTGGGCGACGATGCTACACCCGATGTGCTACATCTCCAGGGGTCCAGCGACTTGCCCCCCCGGTTCAATTGACCAGTCTATTGGCACCTAATGTACAGCCTAAGGAGTCAAGACTAGCCGAACGTTAGCCTTTTGACCTTCGGCTCCCACAAACGGCGCCTGTGTGGGTGAAACAATTCGCCAGGTGTGATTGTCGAGGCGAGATTGACTAGGGTCTGCCCTGTCCGTCTACGATTGGCAATTGCATCTTCAGTCGCCTTTTTTGGCATTTTTCTTCGATGATCGTCTTATTGCTCAGAATCGGGGTGAAATCTAGTTCACGACAATACAGAAGCACACCTCTCTACCAGATGATTCTTATCCCTAGAATTCGAAGAGGAGCGACCCGCCTCACTCTGTGCCGCCTGGAACTCTGAACCTTCAACCGCTCAATGGATGGCTGATTTCAACGCAACCGATCCCAGAGTCGGGTCTGCCCGTGACAATTCCACGAGCCCTGGGCTCTCACGTATTGCCCAGGGCACAAACTCATCCTCGACAAGCGATCTGGTCGCGACACTTGTACCTGTCCTCATTCTCTTCGGCGTGTGTCTGATCATCTTCGTTTTCGCCCGCCGAAAATTCAGTCGGGTCTATGCCCCGCGAAGTATTTTGAAGAGCCTCGAGCCACAGTAAGTGTGACTTTCGCTCGACACAATGCTTTCTCAACAACAGTTCGCTAACACATGACCGAAAGTGAACGAACCGCGCCGCTCTCGACGGGATGGTTCAAATGGGTCTCGGAATTCTATCGCATACCATCGAGGCATGTGCTGAATCATTCCTCAATCGACGGCTACTTTCTCCTTCGCTTTCTAAAGGTATTGGGAGTGATATGTCTCGTTGGTATCGCCCTGTTATGGCCAATCCTCCTCCCACTTCATGCGACAGGAGGAGCAGGGAACCGGGGTTTGGATCAATTGACGCTCGGTAACATCAAGAATCCGAAACGATTGTACGCCCATACGCTACTAGCATGGGTCTATTTCGGTATGTCGCGCTGGACTGTCAACTCTCATCCTGCTCTAGCCACATCCTAACATGATCTCAAGTCTTCATTCTGTATATGATTTCCAGAGAATGCATCTTCTATATCAATCTCCGACAAGCCTATCTGCTCTCGCCCTTCTACGCCGACCGGCTCTCGTCGCGTACGGTCCTCTACATGAACGTACCGCGCCAGTACCTCGATGAAGAACGACTGAGATGGGTTCTTGGAAAGTCTGTCAAGCGGATATGGATCCCTCAAGGCTCCAAAGAACTCGAAAGACTGGTCAAGGAACGGGATGAAACTGCCATGCGACTTGAGAAGGCCGAGTTTTCTCTCATCAAGATGGCAAATGCGGCTAGGACAAAGACACTTAAGAAGGGAAAGTCGGAAAAGGATCAAGCCCAGGACGAGCAACGTGGCACCCCCGGACTGAAACCGACGTCCGAAGAGATGCGCAGAGAGTCCGCGGCCGCGTCTGACGGATCAAAGACAATCCAAGTGTCTGAGAGTCCAAACTCCCCCAGCACCATGTTCAGCTCCAGCACCGATGACAAAACGGAACTAACCCTACCGGACGTCAACGGCTCCGTGGCAGGACAATGGCTCTCGCACAGTTCTCGCCCGCATCATCGACCCATAGCGAACTACGGTCGCCGGGTCGACACCATCAAGTGGACGAGAAATCAGATCAAGAAACTGAATTCCAAAATCAATGTCGTCCGTCGCCATCAACTCTTTCGTCCACAGACCATGATGCCTTCTGTCTTTGTCGAATTCGAAACGCACACCGCCGCCCAGAACGCTTACCAGACCCTCACACATCATCGGCCTTTGCACATGTCTCACCGTCTGATCGGCGTACGGCCTTGCGACATCATCTGGCCGTCATTGCACATGGCGTGGTGGGAAGCCATTGTGCGAAAGTTCTCCATACGCGCCGCCATCACGGCAATGATCATTTTCTGGGCCATTCCGTCAGCGGCCGTGGGGACGATCTCTAACATTTCATACTTGTCCACAAAAGTCCCTTTTTTGCACTGGATCAAAGATCTACCAGATTCGGTAAAGGGTTTGATCAGCGGTGTGTTGCCTGCCGTGGCACTTTCATTGCTCATGAGTATCGTCCCGGGCATATTGAGATGTAAGTATCTGCGAACCCTAAAGTCTTCTAGCCGTGGACACACGCTGACTTAGTTCATACAACAACAGATCTGGCACGACTATCTGGAGTCCCGACTCTCACCAGAGCGGAGCTGTTCGTCCAGCACGCATACTTTGCATTCCAAGTCATCCAAGTCTTCCTCATCACGACATTAACGTCCGCAGCGTCCGCTGCCGTCACCAAGATCATCGAGGACCCCACGACAGCCAAATCGCTATTGTCCCAGAACTTGCCCAAGGCTTCGAACTTCTACCTGTCATATTTCCTCGTTCAGAGCTTAGCTATTGGCGCCATCGCTCTCGCCCAACCATATACCTTGTTTAAATTCCATATTCAGCAGAAATTCCTGGCGAACCCACGAAAGATCTATACGCGCTGGCACAGACTACAGAGAGTCCACTGGGGCTCGGTGTTCCCAGTTTACACGAATCTGGGCGTCATCAGTAAGTTTCGACGGTCCTGCGTTTGCCTTTGCTATTCCCACCATTCTTCGACGGCGTTGAATGCTAACCGCACATGCGTTTTTATCAGCACTAAGCTACGCCCTTATCGCCCCTGTGGTTCTCGGCTTCGCTGCTATCGGCGTTGGCTTTCTGTACGTCGTCTACCGCTACAACCTAATGTTCGTGTACGACGCCGAAATCGACACCAAGGGTCTCGTCTACCCCCGCGCCCTCTTACAGTTGATTCTGGGCCTGTACTTCTCCGAAGTTTGCATGATCGGGCTCTTCTCGCTCCGGGGCGGTCTAGGTCCCGTGGCACTAACTGCGGCTTTGCTAATAATAACGGTCCTTGTGCACGTTTCAGTGCTCGACGCTGTCCGCCCGTTCCTGAGCAGCCTTCCCCGAACCTTGACCGTCGAAGAAGACAAACACAGCCTTTTCCCGCCGGAGAGCGAATCGGCTGGGCCGCGCACCTACGAAGAACCGGCGTGGCTGCGAAACCTTGAGAGATATTCGGACGAAGAAGACGGGCCAGTCCACGAGCCAGGGGCAACCAGGGCGGTCGAGGGAGCGAGTGGAGCAGCCGACGCTCTCAAGACTGGCATCATCGACGTGGTCAAGAAGAAACTCAACAAGGACCATCCGGAGATACGCACGCATTTAACGAGCACTTCGTCGTTCTTCAGACGATGGATCAAGCCAGAGCTCGGGCAGAAGTCGAACTGGCTCATACGATGGCTCCACCCGGAGGTGTACGCCGACTATACTGTTCTGCGGGGGTGGGTGCCTGAAGATCTTCCCGAGCCCAAATATCCAGACGAGATCGAGGAGAACATATACCTCCCGCCTTCGAACCTGGGGAAACCGCCTACGCTGTGGATACCCAAGGACCCCGGCGGGATCAGTAAGCAGGAAGTGGCCCATACGGGGAAAGTCATCAGTGTCACTGACGAGTACGTGACCATCGACGAGAATGGGTGTGTCAAGATCAATCTGGACGAACCGAGGCTTGTCTTTGACATTGATAGGTTGAGGTATTGATGGGATTTGGGAGGTCTTGGCAGGACAACCATGCTCCTTCGTCCTCGGTCGACAGCTGACTTTGTTGGTACTTATTGAATCACTTCGAGGGCGCTGGTTGGACTGATACTAAGCACGATTACAGCTTGTAATAAGAATCTTGTACGACATGACGACGGCTATCGAAAACACTGTCTATCTATTTAATATTTACCTTCCTACCTGCCTCCCTCCATCACTCCCTACCTGAGTATTTGTTCGAGTGACTTGTGTTGCTTAGGTTATGCTAGTTGTAGTGACCACGGTGCAGGTCGGTGTTTTCGAAATGCCGGACTCCCTGAACTTAGACGATACCAAGCTCACTAAGCAAGTTAGTTCACGGTTCTAACTACTCACCAGGCCAATGATGTGATTGACATCGCCCCTAAACCCCAGATTAGGCGGAGACCCCAGCCAGTTCGGTCTAAGGAGTCGCTAAGTGCACTTCCCCATGTCCCACGCCATGTGACACCATCTCCATGTGTTGGTTGACTACTGCCTCATCCTCCTTTGCTCTCGATTCAACCCAAGCTCTATGCTGCGGACACGGCAATTCACACCCCTGCGGCCGGTCCCATTCGAGATCGAAGCATTGTTTAGGCCCCTATTTCAGAACTGCCGGCGGTAGTTCGATCAGACTGAGCGCTTGGCGGTTGAGTCGCACGTTCACACCTCTTTCAACCATGTCCAAAATCACCGGTGACAACACGTCAAATTCCATTTGTTCGGTCTCCGCAAATGGCCACCAGCATTGAGGTTACGCAGGACATTCGTCGAACGCGCCAATGCCCTTATTGTCAGAGGGAGTTCAACAAGGCAGACCACTATCATCGACATGTTCGCTCACATACCAAAGAGAAGCCATTTCGTTGTGACACTTGCAAGAAATCCTATCCCCGCCAGTAAGTAGATCTGCTGATGGGTTCTGGAGCATCCGCGGGACTGTCTAACTCTGCCAGTGACACACTTCTGCGCCATGCGAGAACTCACCAGAAGACCGCAAACCGTGAGTTAACTGGAAAAGACAACACCGACGCAAGCATTAGCTCTGCGAGCAACCGTGCAGCATCTCATCCACCTGCTCAATATACATTCCTTCCTCCATATGGGCCTGACTCTGGACCACCAGAGCTGCATACTCCCAGAAGTCGGATTAACCAGCGCTCTGACCAAGACAGCGCCCCAACCGGGGTTGTGTCTGTTTCCCAGCACCAGCATGGTCAGGGAAATGTTTCTGCTGCCTCTTTCGACGATTCCGTGGAAAATCAGAATTTCAGCAACGACCGAGGTATTCCAACATCACAAAGTCTTCCCTCGGTCTCGGGTACTGGCACAGCTGATGGTACACATTGCTCTCACCTTACGAGCATCTACTCCCACAACACCTGTACTCAAGGATTAGTTTTCACAGGAGCACATGATGAGCAGAACTCTGCCGACTGGCTTCTAGGCCACGACTTCGACCTCGCTGCATTTGGATTTCCTGAAAGTGATTTGGTGACAGACTCAAACCAGACCTTCGACTATGATAACGACCTGGGAACAGCTTTGGCAACCCAATCAAAACCTGGTCTGCGAAAACTGCCACGTCTGCTAGACTTTAGAAGCATCTGGTACACTCGGATCCGTACCGTCGACACCGGATATCGGGCAGGTTCAGGACCGGGTACCATCACTCCGGTCTATGGCAATTCCCCGAGCGATACCACTATTGATGAAATATATCGTGTGAATATGGCGGGAAGGCTTCGAGTACCTTCATCAGATGAACCTCTACCCTCCATCGATTTTCTGGTAAGATTTCCCCCTCCATCTTGCTGTCGTGTGCCAACGTTTTGCAGAATTTATGCATCCATTTATTCTTTACCAGATTCAATGTCACCCTCCCGATGATCCATAGCCCGACATTTCGTCCAACAAGAGCCAATGCGCTACTAGTACTATCGATTTGTAGTGGCGGCAGCATCTCGCTAGGTTCGGCTATGGCCAACAAGGCCGGTTCCATGCTGTTCGAGAGGGTGAACAAGGCTGTCCTGGCTGCTACCTGGGATGAAAACTTTTCGCACAAGCCCGACCATGTCAGAAATGTCCTCAAAACCTCCATGATCGGCCAAACATTTGCCCTTCTCTCAGGCAATCCTTCTCATTTGTTGACGGCAGCAGCGTTCCATGGATCCCTAATATCAGTGGCTCGACATAACAAACTCTTCCAAGACACTCGCACCGTTGAACTTGCTGAAGATCTAACTCCCGAAGAGCTCAATGATGCCTGGAGGGGATGGGCAAGAGACGAAGAGCTGAAAAGAATCGCACTTGTTCTTTTCATCCACGATGCCGAGGTTTCAGCATTGTTCCATCACGAACCGTTGTTGCGGCACAACGTTCGATCTCTACCTACAGCATGCTCTGCGGAGCTGTTTTCTGCTCCAACAGCTGCCATATGGGCCACAAGATACAGGGCAGAGCAACGAGATAGGCTGAGGCAGGCTGACCAACTGTCAAGTGGCAGTTTCGTGACCAAAACGGCCGAGAGCGATGCTTCGGCCGGACATCTACAGACTCCTGTGACTGTGTGGCCTGCTCAGGATCATATGCTCAACGTATACACGCGAATATCTGGGATTAGTCCTTCCATCATCGAAGCTCGGCACATGGGATGTCTGACCAGTCCGCAAGCCCACAAGTTTGAGTCAGATCTTGTGTCATGGTACATCTCGGTGCCAACTCCGTTTCGAGAACTAGGAACAACGTCTATGCAACCCGAGGCGCCGTTCACAATGTTGCCACTATGGCATTATTCTTTTATCCAACTGACGGCAGACCTGGACGTTTTGGAGCTTGCCATTGGAAGAGAGGGACCGCTAATATCTGACTCAACAAGGTCTTACGCTTTATCCTGGGTGGCATCGCCCGACTCCAAAAGGTGCTTATTGCATGCATTATTGTTGCAAAACCTGATGACTTCCGTGAACATGGGCTCTTTCTTCCCACTCCATACTGCACGTATCCTGTTTTCGGCCGCAGTTTGCTGGTATTGTTACATGTTATATTTACCATATGCTGCAGCGACTGACCAACGCGAGTGGACATTCTCGGTGCGTTCAGACCACCAGCCTCTGGAATCTTGCCCGGAGGTCAGACTACTGCGCGAGGGCGACAACCCGACTTCGCCGGCTTTTACTTTGGAAATGGGGAGCTGCAACGATGCTATTTCTGATCTTGACCGGATTCTGAATGCCAACACATCAGAAATGAAGGCGGGGACTCTCTGCGTTTTGGAAGGTGTCCTACGTAGACTAGGGACGGGAGGCATCGCAAGGGCATTTGCAGACATCGTCCAAGTGTTTATCTCCGGCGAGGTTGATAAATGTAACGCTCAAGATACTATGCATATATGAGAGGCCACCCATAGTGTCAAAAGGGGAGTGATGCCCACAAACGCATCGATAGTCCGCGGTCAGCTTGCGTCGTCGTCGACGACGACTCCCTTGTGTGAGTCGGACGAGGCTGAAGACTCCTTCGCTGAGCAAGTTGTTTCTAAGTTCAGGAACTCGGTCCACTCAGAAAAATAACAGTGAAGACGGCGATGTCCCGAGATGGTGTACCCGATCTCTCCTCGCAAGCTCTCCCCACTGCTGACCGTGCACAACATTGACCGAGGCCTACACAATCTGATGTGATGTGGAGACCCACCGCTGTCATCCGTCCTCAGTCCTCAGTCTCCTCAAAGAAAGTCTCCGTCTCCCCCTCATTTTTTGCTGAAACCTCCCAGGCCCGAGGGAACATGTACCAATGAAGAAGCAGGCACCTCTGATCCAAACGAGTCAGCAACTACGAGACACACCTACCTGGGCTCCGCCATGGCCTTCACTGACCAACATCAAGGCTGCCGAAGAACACCTGGTCTGAAATCCTCCGTCCAGCCGATTCCGGACACAAGTAGCTTTGGCAGACAAATGTATATGAAAGTCTGACTCCCCGCCTTTGTCTCTGGGTCTGCCTGGACAGAGTTCGAAGCAGCCTGCAGACCTCGGACCTGACAGACGTATTATTAATTTGTTAAGCCTTCATCTTTAAGCTTGCGTCGAGGAGGTCTTCATTTCCTATATAGGCTCACCTGACAGACACAGGCTTCATAGTTTGAGGGCCCGAGCGAAAGGATACAAGAACCAACTCATCGAGCGAAAATGGCCAGAATCGCAGCTCAGGCAATCCCGTCCCTGAAATCCCAGATTGACGCTCTAACTTCGGACGCGACCGGTGCCCCAGGTGTGGTGTTCGCTGCCGTCAACAAGCAAGGCGAGTCGATTTTCGAGCATGCATCCGGCACGGTTGGGGTTGGCAAGAGCCAGGCCATGACCATGGACAATGTTTTTTGGATTGCGAGCTGTACCAAGATGATCACCGGCATCGCGTGCATGCAGCTTGTCGAACAGGGGAAGTTGGCGCTGGACGACGTCGCCCTGGTTGAGAAGCTTGCACCGGTAAGTATCACATCAGAAGAAACTTGGCTTAGCCTGTGCCTGGCGAAGGTAAAATCAAGCGGCCCTAACACTCCAGACTAGGAGCTCAAAGCCGTGCAGGTCTGGCAAGACGGCAAACTCGTACCAAAGAAGAGAGGCATCACGCTGAGGATGCTCCTTTCCCACACAGGCAAGCAAGCTAAGCTGGCAACAGCACCCGTGATATTGATGACGGCAAACCGAGTCTCTGATCTCTCTGACTGACACGGTTTTTCCTTCACAGCTGGCTTCGCCTACGCCTTCTTCGATGACCGTATCAACGACTGGGCCGGCCCGCTGGGCATCGACGAGTTCTCCGGCTCCTACCATGACTACCTGTCGCAGCCCCTCGTGAACCAGCCGGGCGAAGTGTGGGAGTACGGCATCAACATCGACTGGGCCGGTCAACTCGTCGAGCGAGCTAGCGGCTTGAAACTCAACGACTACTTCCAGCAGCACATCTTCGGGCCCATGGGCCTCAAGCACATCAGCATGTTCCCCTCGGACTCGATGAGGGCCGACCTGGCGTACATGAACGCCCGCGCGCCCGACGGGACCCTGTCGTTGAATCCCGACGGCCATCTCAACAGACGACCTCTCTTCGCAAAGACCAAGGAGGAAATCGACACCACCTTCCACGCCGGTGGCGCCGGGTGCTTCGCGCGGCCGACGGATTATGCCCAGATCATAGCTACGGTGTTGAATGACGGTGTTCACCCCGGCACTGGTGCAACGATTCTCAAGAAGGAAACTGTTGACACCATGTTTACGAACCAGGTATGTGTGTGTGTGTGTGTGTGTGTGTGTGTGTGTGTGTGTGTGTGTGTGTGTGTCATCACTTTACGGCGTGCTCTTCCAGTGTTTTTCGGGTTTGCTCTATTTTTTTTCGGCTGGCTGACACTGGTTCTTCGAACCAACAATAGATTCCAGAGATGCCAAACTTTGGTCGACAGGTAAGCGAGGATACTATAATATATTCCCTTTCTCTTTCTGGCAAAGAGGGAAATAATTGCGTATACGATACTTACTCTACGCCTTTTCTTCTTCTCTTTTGACAGGCCATCACCCCGCCGAAGCCGATGTACGCCAACGCTCTCCCAGAACTATACCCGGAGCCTCACGACATTCCTCAGGGGTGGGGGTTGACTTTCTTCCTGCACCTGAGGGAGTCGGCAGTGCACAGTGAAGGCACAGGGTGGTGGGCAGGCCGTAAGTTAACCTTTTGTTTTCTTTCTTTCCCACACACACCCACCCAGATATCAACAACATCTGCGTCTCCCAGTAGTTACAAAGTTACTGACATTTGTATCCAACTAGTTCCCAATCTCTTCTGGTGGGCTGATCGCAAGAGAGTACGTTACACCTTCCCTGGAGTCCCCTCGGCAGGGTCGTTCGATGCTTTTATTCCTTTCTTTCCGACAGAGCCTTCCCCCCCCCCCCCGGTACTGGCCTGACTAGCACCTCGACTAACGATACTCACCCCGTACTCCTAGGGCATCGGCGGCATCATTGCAAGCCAGATCATTCCGTTTGGTAAGTCTGCCGCAGTGTTTTCCTTTTTTGGAGCGTCACGTACATTCAAGGGCTGCCCTCGCCCAGTCATGTCGTGGAGATGCGCGTACTTATTCAAACGTGCTACACAAGAGCACCTACTACCCGTTTGGATGCGCCACGCGAGAGCACCTAATATCTGCGTATGCTGATGCCGATGCCAATGCTAATCCCTGTCTTTCTCGCGATAGGTGATCCCAAGATCCTCGGTCTCTGGGCCCAGGTTGAAGCCGGGATAATTCAAAATCTTCAATGAACGCGTCTCGCTCTCCTACACTGTCAGGTACAGGTCACGGTTTACAAGTGGTTAATTCGTCGACAGACGAGAAAAACTCTCCTTCTAGGGCTTGTGAGAACCGTGTCTGGGAGATGTGTTGTTGCTTGTCATATGCAGCTACCCCAGGCACCTACCTACATGGTCCCCTTAAGGTGCTTTCTAGGTCGCTAGCGGTACTTTGTACCTATGTAGGAACAGCCTCTGTCGAATTTATTGTCTACACCAAGCCCGGCACTTCCATCAATGTGCTGTGCACCTGTGTACCTGTTCAACTTTATCCGAGTCTACACCTCTGGTTTATTCCACAAGCCTCGTAACGTGGGAGACCAAGAGTGACAAGAGCTTCCAGCTGTCCAGTTCATCGGTAATGTTATAAATCGGAACAGTTTGAAATTGATACACATATCCATGCATGCAACTTCGTCCTTTATTGGTACATGGCATTCAACCCCATCTAATAATCAAGACATGGCCATTGACGGACAACCCTTGGTATGTATTCGTGACAGGGTCCTATACCTCCCGTGCAACGTTCTCATGCCTTGGACTCGGCATCTGCTAAGATCAATTCCAATAGCAGAACTGCGCTCGTCGACGTCGTCTTCTTGCATCGACTAGGATGCAATCCTTCAGTGCACTGCCAGACTAGACCATTCGAGGCAATACCCCGGGTGACTCCAAGGATTTCAATAATCCCATCTCTGGATTCAAAGACGCTCGAGAAGGTATAATTTTATAGCTGGCCACCTGGGTGAGAACTGTTCTGTTCGTGGATGTCACGGCGATGTCGATACAATCTAATCCACAATTTTGCCGTAGAACGGAATACCGAGCTGTTGAAGAAGAAGTCGAGCGTCCTTGTCACAGGTAGCGGTGGTGTGAATAGTGATATGCAGGCCCTGTTGAATAACCATTAGCTTATCATGACCATATGTAACAAGGGTGCCGTCAGGAAGGTTCAAACATACAGGAATCATCTTTCCAGGATAGGCGTCATAGTTGACTTCGATTTCTGGAAAGCCAGCAACGACTTCCGGGTTCAACCCAAACGAGAGATTTCCACTGTTATCTCCAGTCGTGGCGCGTACACCATTCCAATCCTTGATTCGCGGCAGAACGACATCAATCAACTTGCCAAGGAAGTGGTACATGTCCTCTCCCTTCAGGTCGACCGTCATACTGCACGGCTTACCCTTGATGACGCCCCATGTGGCTTCATTTGTTCTCGAGCGGTGGATCTCAGCCCTGTGGTTGGTGATGGCTTGCATTACCATGCCTGCTACGTGGAGGTGCGATGATCCCCTTTTCAACGCTTCTTTGACGTACGCGTGCACCGTAACCCGTTCAACCATGGGAACATTCCGGAATGTGATTGGTTTCCTCAGCAGACGCAGAACATCTCCACCACGAGGACCACGGAGGTGTCTGTTTGCAAAGTAAGGCGAGTCTCCTATCCACGGACGTAGGCGTGGACCTTTCTCGAGAGCACGGAAGCCGGGAGGGGTATGCTGGTAGCACATAGTCATGAAGTCTGGAGCGATGATGCTGTGGTATCCTTGCTCCAGTCGAGGAGTGGAAAAGGGACCGGGGACGAATTCTCGACTAGCCGGATCGGAGGGAGGGAGAGGCTGATGAGGGTGAAGAGGACCACGGTCATATTTGGGACTGCGGAACTGGTATCTTTATAGAACTGTCAGCGCTTTGTGGACTTTTGACCGCGCCGAGGAGAGTGGGAGAGATGCGATCTTACCTGCTAGGTGGGAGTTGTCGTCTTCGACCTTTCGCGACCTTGACAGGATCAAAGTCTTTTACGTGACTTGTCAGGTCTGTGGTTTGTGATAGGGAGGTCAGTTGTTCGAGCTCGGGGTCTGACGGTGCTGCGGCTGCTTGGGATGTGACGGATCTCCGTGACTGCAGACAACGATTGCAGATGGTGGTATTGTTCAGAGTCTTCCAGTTTCGAGCGAGGACCGTGGAAAACCTTGATGTTGCCATTTTGACCTCTGAAGGCGTCCTCGACCTGTGGGAGGTGTCGTGTGCGACCGTCGATGGTCGATCCTAGGGTAAAGCTCATCTTGCGAATGGATTTCACAAAAATTCCAATGAGGAACTCTAAACACGCTGTTTTAGGAATGACCTAATATGGTTAGTGCGGTATCTGCAATTACACCTTTCCTGTCCCGCTGCTTTTTGTCACGACAGGAACAAGAGTCGACAACTCTATCCGAGTACAATGCTCGCTTCTATTTGTTGACAGTCCAGCACCGACAATAGTTTCCAGTACCATCCATCGTTAGGCTCAATGCTCCTAAGTGTGCCTTTCATCTTGTCTCTTGTCTTAAAACCGCTGTGGATCTTTCATCCTGCGTTTGAAGCCCCAAGAAACGCCGTCCTCATTTTCGGTATTGCGACAGTATCCAACTGAGTCATTTCTTGTATGTACGCTCACCAGATTGCATATCCCTGGGAAGGGTGTATTTCATCAATGCAATTTCAGACATTTCCCCTCTTCCACCGACCCGTAAACCGCCCGGCTTGTCTTCGGCTGCTCCTTGAGTGTTTCGCGAACATCCGAAACATGACTGGTTTATCCACATGTTAAGATCCTGAAGTCTTCTCGCTCGATTCAAGATCATGGCTTCATAACTGCGGGGACGCCCTTCCAAGATTTTAGATGGCTAGGTTTCGATCTTTCACCGTGGTGTTGTAACCCCCTGGACTAGGCGAGGGCAGGGTTGAGCTAGCCTTTCCACGTGAAACCATCCGCCTTACTTGAGACAGCGTTTGCCTCATCAACGTCCTTTTTCCAAACAACCATTATGGTCGACATTTCTACCGCCCACTGCCGGCAATCTTACTATCAGCAAAGGTAGGCTCTTGTTGTCAGGCTGATACAGCCAACATCAGGTCACTAGATGGATTTGGTACCATCCATCAGCTGCTCCTCGCTCGCTTGCACGGTTATCGACGCCGAAGGACCACCCCCTAGAGCAATCTTGGCAGGACTACAGAAGCTTCCTCGACAAATTCGCCTTCAGGTTCGAGAGCAACCATCTTAGCAATCTTGGTCACTGCGCTTCAGCAGATACGTGGCTGACTACTTGGCAAAGCCGATGGGGGAATGAAAAGCTGAGGTAGGTATATAAGGTGAGTACGAATGCCACTGCACTCAGATATCAGCATTCTCATATCAAGCATCTTCTCTTGAATTCTCTTGTTCATCCGCTGGTCGGTCCATTCTTTTGGTCTCTGTTCGCGCGAGCTAGTCTCTCTTTCCACATTTCCAACTTCGCCTGTCACTCTTTACCTATACTCCAGCATTGTTCGAAGCAGCAATATGCATTTTCAAGCAAGTGCCCTCGCGGCGCTTATTGCGGTTGCCCACGCCCGGTTTGGCCAGGAGCAAATCCCGATCCCAGCAATTGCCGCGGTCCAAGGAGGTGACCCTGGTGAAGCACAAACCATCGCTGGTGCGGCTGTCAGCGACTTGCTTGCCGCCACGAACGCCTGTGCCAAACTCACGCGAGCCGATCAGATTATCGCGGAGCTAGGAACCGGAGCCGACTCCATTGCTGCTGCCATTGGGCTCGTTGCTGCTGAGAAGAACTTCAATCCATTTGTCCAGTCAATTCCTACCATCTGTAGCGATCCAACATTGCCGGCGACTGATGTCCTCCGTGGTATCACTCCCTTGATCGACCCAAGTGTTGTTGGCTCTGATATTGCCAATGCTCTTTCTGCTCAGACTGTAGCTACTCCACTGGATGCCACGGGGAAAAGCGTGGCCGACCTACTTGCCGAGAATGGATTCACCAATTTCACTACTCAAGATTCGACCGGCGCTACTGGGGCAGCTCCTGCTGGTAATTCGGCCGGTACTGGAGCAGCCTCGACCACTGCTGCTGCTGTCGCTACATCCGCTGCAGCTGTTGCATGTGGAGGCGCCGTTTCGACCACCACTGCTGCCGCCGAAGCTGCTACGACTACTGCGGCGGCCGCGACTGGTGGTTCGGCTGACACCTCTGGCGCCGACTTTGGTCTCTGCGAGCCTACGATAAAGTTCGAAGGCGGACTCGGCGGTCGCCCCGCCACTGAATTTACCTTCCTGCCGATCGACCCTCTGGTCGCAAAGGGACAACAGGAGGCCTTGAACCCTAGTATGTTTAAACACTCGAAGCATGATGCAAAGCTTGACAGGGCACTGACTATTTCTAGACATCATTACGAACCGTATCTGTGACCAACTGACGAATGTATGCGAGGCCAACGACGCAGCAAAGTCTCTCTGCCGCGATGCTCAGGCCCAGATCCAAGCCCTCGGTACCCGTGACAAAACCACTGCCGACACCTGGAACACTCTTTTGGGTTTTCCAGGAACCGTCACCAACCCGGATGGTGGTGCAGACTCCCCACCTGCCAAGATGCGAGTCGTTCGAGCATACCGTCGTGCCTAGAAAATATGCACACGAGTATAGTCTCCGTACTCTTTAAGAGTACGGAGACGGGGACTCGCCAGAGACGCTCCCGCTCATCCGCATTTGAGGGATGGATGGAGACTAAGTGTCTGAGGAGGACAGGAGAGATGAGACCCCATTTCTCATGGCGGTTCATTTCGGATTGATGTATAACTTAACCCATCGCCTGTGGCAACCATGATGTACAAATGAAGAACCAGAGTTTTGATGTGAAGCATGAACAATTTATTCCGTTGTTGTCCACCTGTGCTATGATCAAGCGGACCTCTTCACACGAACCGTTTGCGGCCGTCCGAACCGTCCCACTGTTTGTGGAAGCTTCGGCCGTTAGTCGCTGGACACTCAGTCAACTGACATAAATGAAAACACTCACCATGACTGCAGAGCATGAAGTAAGCGGTCGAAAGCGTCTCATATCGAAACGGCTACGATTCTGGCCTCAAAGATCATGATGCTAGAACCTAATGTATCACATCGGAACATTCAGCATATTGCCTTCTTGGACGTCACTGCCTTAAAGCAGTGTCCAAGGGCAGTAAGCATCATCCCTTCAAAAGACGCTCGACAACGACGCTCAATAGCAGGTATTCAAGACAAATAGAAAATGCAAGTCGCAGCAGGCACGACACCGTTACTGTAAGTAAATTCTTTTGTCGCGAGGACAAAAACATGTATAAACTATGTGCATCCTCGGCCGATACATTGGGTACCTTGACCATTGTCGCTCACTTTTTCGTTGTCGTTCTTTACAGTCAATCTAACAAAACCGCCCACGCTATAAAAACATCAAACTAGGTGACGGGCACCATACTGGTAGCCTCCGATCCCGCTAAGAGTCATCAATCAATCTCTTCTCTTGCCAGGCTTTCTTCGCCCCGGCATACAGTGTGTCGAAATCTCCAGAAGTCTCACACATGGACCTGAAAATTCCACCCTCCTTGTTGATAAGCTCCCATGGAGACGCATACTCTTTGACCTCGCCCTTATCAAGCACGAGGGCTCGGTCGTAATCAACAATGGTCGCCAGGCGATGCGCAATGGTGAGAATGGTATTATTCTTCAGCTCGCGCAAAGTGTCTTGAATCTTCGAGTCAGTAGCATAGTCGATCGATGCCGTGGCTTCATCCATTACCAAAACCTTTGGTGCTTTCAGCAATGCTCGTGCAAGACACAACAATTGTCGCTGTCCTTGTGAAAGGTTGGAACCCGATTCTGCAATAGGAGATGACAAGTCTCGGAAGATGTTCTTATTTTCCTTGGAACTGCTTGCGTATTGTGCGAAGGTCGATCCGGAGCTGATTGTGCCGTTTCCAGATATGGATGCATGACTTTCTGCAGGGGTGGAAGTGTCTCGAAGTGTAGGGGACCTACTCGAAACCTCATTTGGCGTCTCGGAGCCAGAACGTTGCGAGCCATCTGTAGGTCCGGAGATGAGTTGAACTCGCCGGAGTGCGGTGAAGACTTCCTCGTCTGTGAAGAGCTCAAATGGATCTAAATTGCTCCTCAAGGTTCCGCTGAACAAGGTTGGGTCTTGAGGAACAATTGTGATGGCTTCACGCAAGTCCTGAAGGCCAATGAGGCCGATGTCAACATTGTCGATAAGGATCTTCCCTTCTTCAGCTTCCAGGCCGCGAAATAGTGCCAGAGCAAGCGAACTTTTGCCGGCACCGGTTCTTCCCACAATTCCAACCTTTTGTCCAGGCTCGATGCGAAACGTGAGGTTCTTCAGTACAGGCTCGAGGTCAGGCCTATACCTCGTGGAGTATCCAACGAATTCCACACCTCCATGGCTTGGCCAGTTCGAAGGTGGTTGCGTCTCCGGAATCTGGGCAGGTGCCTCCTGTTCAACGTCAATGTATTCCTGAAGTCGCTCAACCGCATTCATGTTTTGTTCATTTGCAGCATATAGTCGTACCAGCCATAGCACATTCTGAGTGAATGTTATGGCATACGAAAGTGCAAGACCAGCAGCTCCGGGGTCAATCTTGCCAGCATTGAGAACGACAAACATCGCCGAAAAGCAAGACACCAATGCCCCAGCAATGTCGATGCGGAAGGCGAGCCATCGATTGGTAGCCCAAAGATAGATGAATGGCCGGTTATGAGTGTTGACTCGGATGTGACTCTCCTTAATGAATCGCGACTCGTCCCCGTAAGCTCGAATTGTAACAACACCGGACAAGGTCTCTCCGAAATGCTGGAAAAGAGGACTTCGCTGAATCGCTTCTATGCGCTTCAGGTCGCGTGACGATCGAACATAGAACAGGCCAGTCAAAACATACATAATCGTGATGAAGAAGCCAGGAATAAGGAACCCCGGAGTGATTGCCGAGATGAGCACCACGATGGTCAAGACAGAAGCGGCACTATGAAGCATGCCTATCGCGACGGGGGCGACCTCTTGATCTAAAGCCTGAATATCTTTGGAGAAGCGGTTGGTGAGTTGGCCAAGAGGTGTAGAATCGAAAAATCTGAATTTGGCGCGTAGAATGCTTGTCAGCAGCTTTTCATGCAGCAGCCAGGACGCACGTCTCGAGCCCCAGAAGAGGATCAATTCCCTGGAAAAGCAGATAAAGACGTATACTGCACCGATTACGGCGTAGATACCAAGATAGTACCACGCATCGACATGATAGAGTGATTCGACCATGAGAGTGCCGGCATTGGCCACAATCTGTGGAAGTTGGAAGAATGCGCCACCCAGCTTTGGAGATCCAAGTGCTGTTTGATGTATGCCTTGAACCACCGCATGGGTGGCGTCAGTCTCGCGCAGGTGATAAGCATTAGCCCACTGCCGGATCCAGAGGTTCGTGGCTACGGAGCCTAGCTGAGTAGCAATGAAGCCCCATGCAGCAAAGATCCAGTAGTACCAGGGGCCCATAGCCTGGAGATACATCTTGATAGTCGACCACTTGACACTTCCAGTTGCTTTGGCCTCCAGACGAGAATCGACAAACTCCTTTTCTGCTTTACTGAGCTTGGCTTTGATTCTGGCAGTATCTCTCACACGTGATCCCGGACTGATATGACCATTGCCTCCAGACAATTTCGAAGTCTCTTCCTCGAGGTTGGAAGAAACGCGTGAGGGCCCTAAGGATGCTGCTCTCGAGACCGGACGGGACTTCAGCAATTCCTCGCCGAGAGCACCACTATTAGCGACTTCTTCTGGCGTTCCTTGAGCGGTCACTTTGCCATTATCTAGGACAACAACATGACTAGCCAAAGGAATAGTCAAGGACACATTGTGCGAAACCAGAATGCAGGTCCGGTTCGCCATGAGAGTGCCGGTCAGTGCCTCTTCGAAGATGTGTTTCGCCGTATGTGCATCAACCGCGCTGAGACAGTCATCAAGCAACAAATGTTTGGAATTCGAGTAGATGGCTCTCGCAAGGGATATTCTCTGTTTTTGTCCGCCAGACAGGGTAATTCCCTTTTCACCGACCAAAGTCATGTCACCAGCATCGAGAATGTCTAGATCGCGCTCAAGAGCACAAATAGAGATGACATCGTGATAGCGGTCTTCATCATAAGGACTAGCGAAGAGGATATTTTCCTTGATGGTGGCATTCACAAGCCATGCTTGCTGTGCGCAGTAGGCCACGCTCTCGGTGAGACCTGTGGAGGGGTCTGGTCGTAGATCTTGACGAACTGAACCTCCTGGGATGTGAACTTGCCCACTAAGTAGCTGCATCTCACCGAGCAGTGCCATGAGCAACGATGTTTTGCCAGAGCCAGTTGGGCCCGCGATGACGCTGAGTTGGCCTAGAGGGAAGTCCACGTTCATGTTCATCAATCGGAAAGCATCGGCGGCATCGACCTCAGAAATGCTCCATGTCAAAGTTGCATTCTCGAGTGCGATCCGAGTAGTCGGCATACTTCTTCTCCGGCTTTGACGCAATTGGACATACTTTTCTGTTTCCTCTTCGTCCAAGAACTTTTCAACACGATCTATAGAAACTTTTGATTCCTGTACATGGGCCACCATGTCTGCAAGCTGGTCCAAAGGTATTCTCAGTAGAGAGAACATTGACAGGGCCGGGAAAGCAACCGACGGGACAAGAGGTCGCTTTTCAATCTGAGTGTAGATGAGGAAAGACGTGAATGTAATCAAGATGGGTACTCCACTCCAGATGGTAGCTGCACTGGCCCATAACACATACTTCCGCCACAAGGCCGACAGCTCAATCTGTCGTTTCTCGCTGACATTATTTTGGAAGCGCTGTTCCCAGGCGAAATACTTGATGATCCTGATATTTTGCAGAACTTCATTTGTGACGTGAATTCGGCCGTCCGTGGCGGCCATGATCCTTTTCTGCGCAGCTTGGAATGATTTAGCAATGTAGAGGTTTAATGGCAAGATGAATATCATCATGACGATGCCTGCAAAAGAGCTGTAGCCCAAAACCTTGTACAACAATGCCACCGCCATGACCAGTTGAACCGGAACTGCAGCCCACAAGAAGTGCAGGTAGGCACAGATGTCAGCCACTTTGAAGGAATCGATTGACATGAGGTTGATGATCGTGCCGTTATTAGTCTGAGTGCTGGAAATCTTCGATGGCGTAGGTCCGGCTTCAGGGCTCTTCCGAAGGCGCAGGCTTCTGCTTTTCAGCATTGACTTGAACCTGACGGAAAAGGACGCTTTGTCTTTGGGAGGAAGCTTCTCTTGTTCGGAATCAGTGCCGGCTGCTGCCTTTCTCCTGAGAGTTTTTGAATAGATCTCCCCAACAATGATGGCACGAAGTCGAACACAGACTTTCCTGCCGATCCACAATCCTTGCCCGTCACCAACGGCCTGCACTGCGCCAGTGGCAAAAAGAAGTACAACATACAACCATGCTGCGCTTCGTGGGACTCTGTCCGTATTCTCTAGGTATTCCAAGATGGCTTTCAAAAGGAGAGTGGGCAGAAACATGAAGACACTTGCCAACATACACCATGCGCCCTGAATGAGTAGATCCTTCTTGAAGTGCAACAAGAGCCGGACAGCAAGTGAATGTGCTTTTGCGATCTGTCGAAATTCGGCGAGAACAGTCTCAGCTTTATCGGCCAAAGCCACGTTCCAGACGTCAGCGAGATCAAGAGGCTTCTTGTAACCTTTCCACACGATCGGATCGACCCAGGAGAATGTCACGAGAGACAGTATGCTTGCCAAAGGTTCTCGAGATGGTTCGATATCGCCCTCATACTCCAGCAAGACCCCCTTATTTCCCTTTCGTGAACAAAGTACAGTGATCACCAACACACTCGTGATGCTGAATGACGCAATCGTCATGTGTTGCAGTAGTCGGTCAACGGGGTGTACAAGTACCGAGCGGAACACCCAGACGATGTTGAGCCATTGTATTAGGTACAGTGTTGCACTGTGACTCCATAAACTCTTGACCGGCGCTTTCCAAGTCGTGGTCGAGGCTAACAGCCGAGCTCCAGCGAGGATTGAAAGGTAAGTAGAGGCAACAGTTTCGGCGATGGCAGCGGTCTTTCGACGGGCCGATAAGTCGAAGATGGTGACAATGTTAACAGCCAGCTGAGCCAATACTAGCAAGAATTCCACTGTAACAAGCATGACTTCCCCGTTAGGTCTATCAACATCTGTGATGGACACGGCCCCGCGACTCTGCGTCTTCTGAAGGGTGAGCCTTGCCAGGGAATCTTCATCCTCCTCTTCATCGATCGAGGCTGCGTCATCGTCGATGTCGACCAGGATGTGATGGGCGGCTTTTCGATGTTGGGCTTTTAGTCTTTGGCGACCTATTTGAAGGAGCAAAACCAGTAGGGACAGTGCACATGCTAACAAAGGAAAGAGGGTTTCGAGGTAACTGTGTGACTCAGGGTCAGTGAAAAAGGTTCACAACAGAGGCGTCTAGAACGTACTCTGCCTGGAAACATGGTGTCAAGTCATCGACGCGCCAAACTGGTGGTTTGCACCTTGCAAACATGTTTCATCAAAATCTTCGTGTGTATGTCCAAGAACGTCCACCGCTGCTTCACCTGGATGCGGGGAAATCGGCGAGCATGTCGAGCAGAGGCAATAGAACGAACAAATCAGATAATATACAAGCTCGGAATGTACTGAGGATGGAATATTGGTACAGCTCGAGTAGAGCAGAATGTCGTCGAGACGGGAAGTAGAGACGCTCTTCTCGAGAAGCGGAAACAAAAAATCCGGGGCAGGTGCAATCGCATTAGTAGTGGGAATCGCAAGCCCGTGTACGTGTGGTCTTTGCCCTCTTTGACAGCCACAACAAACTTTGTATTGTAGCTAGTCTATCGTGTGGTGGTACGGCGCAGCGATATGGAAGTGAGTTGCAAGCCTCACCAGACTGCATTTACGCGGTGCTAAGGCACTTTTGAGTGGTTGTAGAGTACCTGAGCATTCAAAGCTCCTCAGTCCTCGGTCAACCAGATTGACCGACATTGACGCACAAACGCCACTTTCGGGTGAAGCCTCTTGTCATGACGCTGAGTCTATCAGTTAGTACTAATCCAACCTAGTTCTCGTATTCGTAGAGCAGCCTAAAAGCATAGGGAGAGCCAGTCCCGAATACAAGTATGGCCACCGTGTTAGGCAGGCCGAATGATGGTGCTAGGGCCGGTTAGGGGGGACACGCCCGGAGCCAAAGCCCAGACAGCCTACATGGGAACTCGTTGGGGGCGTTTGGATGCCGCTTTAGGCGGGACATGACACACTGACCGCTTCAAAAAGCCAATAAATCATCGTTGCTCACGAAAAAGCCGCAGTCTGGACTCGAGGCTGATGGCGATATCAGACCCTGGTGCTCCTACTCGTCGGCATCTCCCTCCACTAATCCTGCGATACTGCATCCCTACATACTGTCCTCAATATCCATCCGTACGGTACTCAAGTCATATTCGACTTCCATCTTTCCCTCTTCCGTGTCCCATCTCACATACGTCAAATCTTTGGGTGACATCTTACGAGAAGTGCTTACTCTTACCACTCTCCTTTAAGCCCCTGGCTCTACGCGCCTTGACTGCTGCTGTCACCTCTTGATTGACTTCACCATTCTGACGTCTACGGACACCGTCCTCCCGAGTCAGTTGCGACCTTTGAACTTTTTGAACAATGTACCTGCGGTGACAAAGTACTGCCTACCAAGTGACGACGCTCAAAGAAATACACAAACCCTATTCAACTTAACCGACGACCAGCCTACACCTACATTCACCTGCACGCCGCCTCCACAGCTCGACTACAAGATCTAACTATCTAATCCCGCATAACGAATTGTCTGGCGTTTCTTGTTCCAACCACACCACCATCCTACATTTACAGAGCAGCCCGGAGATGTCGTCCCAGGCTGTACTCCTCAAGGAGTACAAGGCTTTGCAGAAAGAAAAATGGGTACAGATTGATGTAAGTCAGATCGCCACAGGCTCCGTGAGGCCTGCGCTTATGCGGAACAGATCGATGAAGACAACATGCTACATTGGAACATTGCCCTGATGGTTGTCAACCCCGATTCTCTCTACTATGGTGGTTATTTCAAGGCTCAGATGAACTTCCCCAAAGAATATCCCTACAAGCCTCCGGGTCAGTAGAAAGACTGCAGCGGATGAAATTGGATTGTACTAACATTCCGCAGATTTCCGTTTCTCGAAACCACTCTGGCACCCGAACATCTATGCTGATGGCCGCCTCTGCATCTCGATTCTTCATGCGCCAGGTGATGATATCATGTCTGGTGAGACCGCCGGAGAACGTTGGTCGCCTGCCCAGAGAGTCGAGTCGGTCCTCATTTCGATCTTATCACTTCTGGATGACGCCGAGATTTCCTCTCCGGCCAACGTCGACGCAAGCGTCATGTTCAGAGACGACAAGGAGGCGTTTAAAGCCAAAGTGGCGCAGGACGTTGAGGCTTCGAAAAAGGACATACCCGAGGGTTTCGTCATGCCAACTCACGAGTCGACCAAGCCAGTGATTGAGAAGGTGGACGATGATTTCTGGCAAGACAGCGACGCCGAAGACGTCGACTTTGATGATTTTGGAGATTTCGATGACGATGCGGCCAACGGAAGTGAATCGGATCAAGAATTGAACAATGACTCTGAAGATGAAGAGACCTACGATGAGGACGAAGACGACACAGAGTACGCCAAGGGCAAACGTCGAGAAGATCGATTAGATTCCGACATGACCGAGCCGGATGTTTGATCGTGTCGAACGCGGCAAAGGTTATTCAGAATGTCCATGGCTTAGTGACGGGAAAGTTTCAACATCTCTCTCTGTACACACACCGCCCAGCATCGTCCTTTTGACCTTTTGTCTTTAATTTGATATACATTTACGGTTTCTCTCGGTTCAGCAAGGCGTCGGTGGGTTCAGCGAATCATAAGGCGCTAAAAGGGATATGGCGTTCCAACTACTAGACGTGGCAATTCGGGGCATGGATTGATATTCCTCGGTCTCAATTTTGGTTTTCTGCATGATATCCAAGGGGATTTCCACCGAGAGCTATCATATAGCATAAGGTTATTATCCAGAATCAATCACCTCACATTGACGTTATCAAGAGTAACCACAATTCTTTTCTTTTGATTTGTGGCACCGCATCAGTTGCTTGCTCAGTGTTTGTTTTGCTGTAGGCCTACGGTGCAGTCGGTAGAGGTTATCAAACCACTGGTGGTTGGCACTAAATCTACCTCAGGTACTTTACCTGAGGCTCGGTGATGGTTGCTGGAGGCATGAAAGGATAGCAACTACCTTAGGTATCGATGCAGGTAGGTACCTGCCTGACACGTTGCGGTGTGGGAGTCCTCCGTAGGGAAACTTGTGACGAGGCTCAGCCTCCTAATCTTGTTTTATCATCCACGCCCATTTGTGCCTTGTATCAAGGGTTTATTGGAAACTTTCGACACATTATTCAGAAAACTCGCATCTGGTATCTCGTGACGGAATGTTCGTTTGATGTAGCAAGTGCCCGGTGATCATCAGTCTCAGTCTTAGCTTTAGCCTCGTCGTCATAGCGGTGGGTGGGGCGGGCCCTTCAGGGCATGCACGCGACGACGCATTCCCTTTTTGGTTTATCGTTGTTGAGGTCCTTGAATTCATGGTCCGTCAGTTGTTGGTCTGTTGGGTTAATACGTTACGACGGAATGGGGGTTGGTCGGCATCACATACATACATACATACATACATGCATACATAAATACGGGAACGTCAGATACATATCATGCCGACGACGTCGCATCAATCAGGCCCAGAATCTCCTCGACACATCTCGCGGGCTGCTCCTGATTGACCCAGTGCCCGGCCCCGTCAACGAGCACTGTCCCTCTGTACATTCCCCCTTTCACACTTTTGCCCGTCTCCATGGCCTCGACGGCGCCGGGTTCCTGGAAGGTGCCCCAGTCCTTGCTCCCGGAGACGAAGACAGTCGGCACGGAGAGTTTCGCACCGCTCCACAGGGTCATTTCGGCGGCGATCTCGCGCACCGTCTGGATGCGGTACCAGTTCAAGCCGCCCTGGAAGGTCGTGCGCGCCCACTCGTCCGCATAGACTGCCAGCTCGGGGTCCGGGAGCCATCGTCCTGCGCGGGCTGTCACGACGTCGGGGTCCTCGCTGGCCATGTCGCGCGCCACGGCCTCGCGCATCGTGTCGGCCAGGTCCATGACGTAGTACCGTGGCATCTGGGCCAGCGCGGCCGCCGTCCACCCTGCGAGTGCATGCGGGGAGTTGCCGTCCCAGTCGGCCGACTTGAGGTGGAAGTAGCCCCGAAGAAAGTCGTGCAGAGCGCTGCCGGTGGGATAGGTCATCTCGGCGTTGGACCCCGGCGTGCAGTAGTACCACTTGTAGTGTTTGCGAGGGCGGGCGAGTTGGGCGAGGGCTGTGTGAATGTCGACTTCGCCATATTTGCCTTTGCCTTTTGACTCATCGCCTCCTTCGTTGGCCGGTGCTGCTGCCGCTGATGGAGTGGTGGTAGTACTAGTTGTAGTAGTAGATTGGCCATCGTAAGAGGGGGACGTGTTGAAGGGCAGAGACGGTGGACCTGCGAAAGGATGAGACATCAATACGAGACGATGAAAGATGTCCGGGCGGGCGAGCGCGCAGTACGTTGCTGTCACGGCGCCGAAGTCGTGCCCTACAATGGCGGCGGCGTGGGTGTAACCCAGTGCGCTAACGAGCGTGATCGTGTCCTTGATCAGGGCCGTTGGGCTGAACGACGTAGCGGCCAAAGGCTGGCGCGAAAAGGTTCGACCATATCCGCGCTGGTCGAAAGCCACAGCGTGGTATCCCTTCGCTGAGAGCAAGGGAAGGATCTTGCGCCAGGAATATGCGATCTCGGGAAACCCATGGCACAAGATGATCAGGGGTGGTTTGGTGTTGGCGGCGGCAGAGAGTCTTGAGGGAAGGGACTCAAGAACGTGGAAAACGAGGCTATGAGGACTCGTGTCGACGAAACGAGAGGTTACACCCTCGGGTAGAGGGAGAGGAGGGAGTGAGGTCGGGTCAGGGGAGGTGGAAGGGGAGTCTTGATGTGTGTACGCCATCTTGATGCGACGAGAGGTGCTCGGGATCAAGGGAATGTCACGAAAATAATACTTGCGGGAGGTTTATATGCTTCTTGTTGATGCTGTGAGATGTGGTGAGTCACAGTGAGATGCAATGGGACTCTGCTCGAGCCGTCCATGGTGTAAGTCCAGGTTCGAGGGTAAAAGTAGAGTGGATGATAGATGGACCGAGGTTCTTTTGATGGGCAATACGAGCGGGCGATCGTCGCATAGGTGCATTATGTACCTCCACATACTGAAGGACACCTCGTTTTGGCAATCTTCTGCGAATAAACATAGCGTAGCTTCAGAAAGCATAAGGCCAGATCGGCGCATTCACATATGGCCAGAACGGGGAATGAAGAAGTTGTGCATAGACCTGATTTGGGTGCAGAGTCCTGATGTGGCATAGTTTGGTTTGGTGCGCAGTCCTCATCCAGTGCGACCCGCTTCATGTTGTTATGAACTCCATTTTCCTATATCATATCTGGCCTCCAGTATGGGTATTTGTAATCTGTGCATGACACTTGTTTGCACAAATACCGGAGAGCAAATCAACTGCTATTCAACTGTCACCACGCGATGAGCCCTTGTCCAGCACACGCGTGCCGCCTGAAACAACTTCGAAATCCCACTCGGGATACTTTCTAGCATGGCAGTGCCCTCTTCGCATTCCGAACATAGTTTCGATTGTCCCCTAGAATCGGAGTCGTAGTTACAAGACTCGCACGGGCGGGTTCATCGCGGACGTAGAACCTCCTTCGTGCTCTCTGCAACTGCGATTATCTCCGCCCCAGCACCGAGGATACTGCCGGCCTGCCTCGATGCCAGATCATAGTGATAACGGCATAGGTCTCTTCCAGCTCGACTTGTGTGTCCGATCTCAGGGCGACTTCAGGGGAGATGATTGTTCGAGCAATGTCTTGAAAATGCTCCAATAGTGCACCGAGGGCCATTGTCATTGTGAATAATAGGGTCGTTGCGGATGAAATTTCTCTGTACCTTGTCGGCGTAAGTTCCAAGATTCGCTGCGAGTACAAACTCACGCTTCAAGTCTCCATCACTGACCCTCCTGGATTCATCTCGTTGGGAAACAAAACGTGGAACAGATTGGATAGAGGTAGCCACTGATATGGAACCCCAGCAGCTGTGTTAACTGTCATGTTCGAGCCTCCTCAGAGGTGTTTGGATTAGCATAGGATGCGCCCATGCTAAAGTTGGGTGCAACTGTAGCAACCTATGTGCCACAACATTCGCTCAGCGAGACTTTCGGGCAACGAATATTGGAAGTCGCAGGGAAAAGTGCACATAAGCAAGACTTTAGCCTCCCAGCAACCACTATCGTGCACAGATTGGCGCAGTTTCCAAACTCTGGAAAGCGATGCTATGATCGCCGCTCAATACTTGGATTCGGAGGAAAGCTGTGCTGATATGTCATGCGGCGCATCCAGTGCTTTCGCCTACGGTGTAACGATTTCGCCAGATTCAACGGTTCTGAAGTCAGCCTTGGATACCAAAGTCAAGATGGTACGTAAGGCATTGAGAACGGTGCTGCTTTGTGGTTTGTATCCGCGAATGTCACTTCAGCTGATGGCATACCTACCTCGGCTCTTGGAGGTCTGATGAAGGCGGACTCAGATGGGCAGCTCCTTTGCATGAGACTGGCAGTTGGAAGAATCGAGTGATGCGAACTGAGAGCATCATTACCTTCTAGGCCCATAGACAGACCTCTGACCTCCCTGGTATAAAGCTAGCGAGTACTTACTGCCAGAGGTACGAAGTCGAGGCGCGTCGAGAGTAGAAGCTGATCTCGAGATCACATGCAAGATTAATCAGAACATCTTCATCACGTGATATGGCTGACCCATATCACGTGAAACTTTGGCACGTGACAATGCCCTCCTTGTGGGTTGTTGTGATTGCTGATGAAAGTGATGACGTTGAAATGACATCGCAATTTGATGTGTCTAGTTTCCCTCTAGTTCCCCCGGCCGAAAGTCTCGACTCTCCCAGTGGCCTGAAATCACCAAGTGGAATCAAGACTGCGCCACAATCATCAATATCTCCAGCTGGCGCCGTCACTGGGCACCGGAATCTAGAAACCCAAGACGGGTGGAGGACCAAGCTCGATCGTTACCATTTCCATTTCTCCAGCTTTCAAAATAATCCTCTGGTTTCCTCTTGATTTGCTACTACCCAGCATCGTCTCCCTAGATGCCAGCATCTCCTACACTTCACTTCAGTTGCGCAATGGGGGACTACGTTGCTGCTTCTCCTACTTTCGCAGCTGGTCGATAGCACTTCAAGCCACTCACGACGTCTTCCCACCGCGCCCGGATCACCGTCGCATTGAGCTTCGAGTCCGCTCAACACAGTCGCCAGGATGAGTCTCTTCCACCGACGAAGCAGGTCTGCGTCGGCCTCGGTATGTGTTTTCTGCAGTCACCCTGCTGTCTTCGTTCCCAACGTGCTGACAGGATAACCTCAGCGGCCCCAGACACCGGCGTCCGCATCCGCCCATATGGCTGCGACTCAGGCTTTCCTGGCCAACAGAGCGTCCCAGTCGCAGAGTAATCTGTCAGCTTCCGCTGCTGCCACCGCTCTCAGGACTATGTCGCCTAGCCCCACCCCCGTCGATCAGGTCCAGACAAAGCGCATGATTCAAAGGCAAGCTTCTCTTTCTCAACTTTCTTCTGGGTCCGGCCGAGGAAGATCAAGAGGCGGTCTACAAAGACAACGCAGTTATGGTTCCATGACTGAGAGGTCATTTAGAACACCCTCGCCGTCTCCATCGAGACAGCCTTCGCGTTTAGAGGCTGTTCCGGCACCACCGTTACCGTCAATACCGCAGCAATTCGCTTCTGCTCCAGCCGTATCCGGGAAGAAGCAGAAGCGGGCGTCTAGCCAAGGTGCTCCTCCACCACGAGTATTGTCGCCGCCCCCAACACAAAAAGCAAGCCGGGGACAGAGTCTGGATCGTTTCGGAAGTTCCCAATCGGCTGTAGCAAGCCCAGGAAACCGGCAGAACAATATCTTGCCGCAGCTGCCTGAGCTTGAGCGTACGGATAGCCGTAATTCCATCAATTTTTCGAGACCTTTGTCGCCACGGCCGCAGTCTCCGGCTATTCCGCAGCCACTTTTGACCAATGGTGACAGGTCTCTGAAGATACCTAACGCTCAGCCAATTTCTCCGGCAGAAGCTGAACAGATCCAGTATGATCTTGTGCAGAGGGCAAATCAACCAGTCAGAAAGAAGAAAAAGAAAGTTGCTCCTGCAGCGGCTGAAGGCAGTCACCTACACACCGGGACGATGGCCAGCAAGCCTGTAGTACACCCCCTGGAACCAGAGTCTGAGCCAGCATCACAACCACAAGCCCTATTGGGTGACGAAGCACAGCCTCGGGCCAGAAGGAAAAAGAAGAAGGGAACATTATCCGGTCAGCACATACATTTTCCATCGTCCGACACTTCCTCGAGGACCGATTCCGACTCCGATTCAAATGCTGAAAAAGCGAGAGAAAGGCGCGCCCAAAGAGCCTCTGGGACACTGGTTAAACAGCCCTCTATAGTTCGAGAGGACTGGGAAGGTGAACAAGAGGAAAGCGCCGGGGCACAGTTGACACCGGTTCAGCCGACGGTTGAGCAAGACGTCGCCGCTGCTCAAGACTCCCTACCCTTACAGGGTAAACGAGCATATAACACTGCGAACGTGTCGAGGAAGATTGAAGAACCAGCTCCACCCACAAAAGTGACTACCCAAGCGGTGCCTGCAGACTCTCAAACACCAAATGCATCAAAGCTATCCACGAGCTCGCCCAAAGTCTCGACCAACCTGCAGTTGATGGAGCCTCATGCACAGAGAGAAAATTCTCTCAGTCCTTCTAGATCAACCAGATTCTCCGACAGGCTTTCTTCCGACCTTGCAGCTGGACGGAAACACGAACCACTCCCGCGGTCTGTCTCCCCAGCGAAATCAGCGCTCAAGCACCATTCTCCCAGCGCTGGAGACTCTTCCCAACGTGTTCGTGGTTCTAGTATTACCCCAAGTGAATCCTCGGATATCTCAAGCGCTTCATTGGACGGCATGCCCAGACAGAAAAAATCTGTCCGCGTTAGCTTCGATGCACAACCCGAGATCGTAGGCGCGTCGGATGGTGTTCAAAGCACAGAGAATCCGAACAAGGAGAAGAAATCGTGGCCGGGTCTAGGAAAGACGAAGCCAACGCTCAACACCATCCCTTCAAATGATGACATGGAGGAGCTCATGAAACCCAGGCCTCAACTACCTTCATTTGGCAGCGTCAGGGGTCAGAAATTCCGCGATGCAAGTGAAGCAAGTATTTCGCAATCATCGAAGTCTCCTTCGTCATCCGCGTCAGCTTCGACGTCCTCTGTGAACACATACTCTCTGACAGGAGTCTCCAGTGACCACGCTGTTGGCGCAATTCTCGCGCAAGAGCAGCAACGGGAGGCGAGTCAAGGATCAAATGAGCCCCTTCCTCCTGAAGTCACCTCTGTACATGGTAATGTGTCCTTCTCCGACTCCGAAAGCGACACCTCAGAAATAGAGGAAGCATCACTAGCAACCAACAAGATAGAGGAGGAACCAGGAGCGCCCACTACGTTCTCATCAGGGTTCGCGACTATCAATCAGCAAGTCACACAGCCGGAGGTTTCTGAACCAGTGAATTCACCAATCGAAGTGCCAGTTGTGTCTGTCTCGCCTCCCACTCCAAAACTCGAGGATCAATGGGAGGTTGTATTGCCAGGAGGCTTTCCTGTGTCTCACGAAGCTCTTGCCCAGCTCAGTGAATCACAGAAAGAGCCAAAACAGCCTAATTTGGAGCTTAGTAGTACCACGGAGAGCGAGTCAGATAATGAGAGTATCTACAGCGACGCTGCGGAAGACCCTGCTGAACTTGATGGGACGGGATTCGGTTCCATCGACGCCATCGTTGACAGTCCGATAGTGGCGCATGCAAAACTGGGCATCACCTCTCCGCCTGAAAGTCCCCTCACGAAAGGTTCGGAAGCGCGACCCCAACCGGTGTCGGTAGGCTCCTGGGAGCAGACTCAGGCTCGATGGCGCGACCTTGCAGAGCAATCTAGGAGAGCACCTGAGGCGGCTCCAGCGGTTCAAAGCGAACCTCCTGTCGAGCCATCGACAGGTGTAGCTTCATTGATTCAAGAGACATCTATGCAGCAAACTCTGCCGGCTTCTCAAAAGTCTTCTCAACCAAAGTCCATGAAGACACCTGCCGCTATAGCTGCTAGAGCTTCTATTCCAAACCCCACAAGAACCGCAAAAAAACCAACGGGCGCATCCCAACGCAAGAAGAACCAACCTTCCGGCCTTTCAACCATTGCCTCAGGTCAACCCGGTCCACCTCCTGGGCCGGCTTCACATTTCAGGCACTCAATGAGAGCGGCCTCTCCAGTTGACGCGGAGCTGACCATGCGCAAATCCATGCGGAATCGCAATTCTATGCCTGCTCATGCCCCCATCTCTCAACAGCAGCGACCATCAACCTTACCCTCCAATGCTCCCATGCAGCCACGGGCGGCTCTGCAGAAGAAGAGTATTCCCCCTACCTCCTTGTCGACTTCTGCTGCGGCAACTGTATCGGCACCACGGCCAGCACCCGCTCAAACTTCGACTACGAATGACAGTGACTCTGACAGTTCATTCAGAAGAGTCCGCAGAAGTAAGTCCACGGCGGGTGGCAAGTATACCATGCGCCGCAGCATGAGAGGTGCTTCAGATGCTACCTTACGCGATAGTGGGCGTAATGGGGTTCGATCGGTCTCGCCTGTGGGACGACGACCGTTTTCATCGGGTGTGCAGCACACTATGCGTTCTTCAATGAGAGGATCCATTGACAGCTCGGTTCCCACGCTACGTGGGTCGACCGATGCAAAGCGGTCATCCTCCTTATTCGGACGAGGACAAGAACGTGTCCCGTCTCAAGCAGTCATGGCGAAGCATCGCTCTCGGTTCGCAGTTGACTCTGACGATGAGGACGATCGTCCCAAGCCTGGGAGGTGGGTATCACGGTTCGCTGTCGATAGTGACGATGAAGACGATCTGACCCCTGTTCGGGGGATACCGCGGCGTGCTGAAGACCACGATTCTACCGACCTCGAAGACAGTTCAGATGAAGAGAGGCCAAAGACACCCATTCAACCCAGCAGACTTCAGATCCCTCAGGACGTCATGTCACCTGCTGGGAGTGAAGCTATGTCGCCTAATACCGCGAAGAAACGCGGTCTCTTTGGGCGTTTGCGAGGCAAGAAGCAGAAGGGGGAAGCGTCGTCTCCCGTTGTCGAATCAACACAAATGCCTACCACGAATGATCTCTCGAAGCCGGCGAATCTTGGATTCTCATCCAAAGCAGAGCGCGATCGCATGATTGAGCAAACTCGAGCCCGGCTGGAAGCCGCCCAAGCGCCGTCTCAACCAACGAATCAGACACATCACAAACTCCAACGACGGCAGGCACCTCAACGGATCATGAGTGACTCGTGGCCTCTCCCTCCGAAGATACCGGAGAGCGAGGAGAACACGGACATTCGACCCAACACGGCCGACGGGCCGCCAGTGCGCAACGGGTCAACAAGGCTTACTCGAGGCAGCATGCGAATACAGGAAGTCCCTCTGGAGCCGGTAGGGCGAGGTGGGAAGAAGAAGAGATTCCCTATGTTGCGAAAAGCGTTTGGGTTGAAAGATTGAGAGGAGGGGGATTTAAAATTTTCCGTCGCTATAGAATACCTACTCTCGTGGAACCGACTGATGAGATTTTCCCTCTTTTTTTGTTTTCTCCATGTTATATTTACACCAGCGGTTTTGATCAAGCATGACATGTATGACGGAACCAAGAAAGCAGGACAATCTGGGTTGGAGGGGCTCGCAAAATCAGTGCTTGATGGTGTGCTGAATTTGCGGAGGTACATTACACACATATAGTGGCAGGTTCTCAGAGAGCAGTGCTACGGAGTAAATATCTAATCAATAATCATGTACGAGTAACAGGCGTGACCTGGAAGATGTGTTTGTGTCTCCGTGGAGCATTCCGTGGAGATGGTTGGTAGGCTGAGATATTTATCACACTCCCAATCATCACCACAAAAGCATCAACCAGTCCGCCGGGGGGTCGGCAAGGCTTCGGATGTGGGCAGTAGGGACAGCCTTGCTCTCTAGCTCTTCTAGGACAATGCCGGGCACATCATGATGGAACGCTGAGTCACGGTCAGGACTCTGGGTAATCGACACGTAAGGGGCGTGATGATGACTCTGTGTGTGGAGGACGAATGCTCGTATGATGGTCGCAGTTTGTTGAGGCTTCTGATCCGTTCCATCCCAGCCGGTTAAAATGGTCGCAGGCACGGCGGGTTCAGAGGCTGTGGCTCGCCCTCACTCACCCTCACTCACCCTCACTCGCCCTCGGCGACGCCCCCCTACTAGTTAGTCAGTTGGCAGTTATCGTAATCCCCCACTGCTATCGTCGCGCCCGGAAAGCGTGATTCGCAGCTGCAAAAATCACGGGCCTCGAGGGGTGAGCGAGATTCTCATCGTTTCTGCCCCGCCATCTTCGTCACAGGCTCTGGTTTCAAAAAAGCGCCATTTATTAAAAACACCCTCTGTCCCTGCTGCTGGTGCCCGTACGATTTTTCCCTCTTCGCATACACACCTCCCACAGCCAACAGCAGACTCCCTTTTCCCCGGTTCACCACTCCGTCGATCCAACCCCCAAGCCCGCAACCATCATGACCTCCTCTCTCGAGCAACTCAAAGCCGCTGGCACCGTATGTCCCCGACTCCGCTTCCTCCCGTTGAGACATGCCCGGACAGCTAACACGTTGCGTTGCACCTTTTTGCCTTCTAGACCGTCGTTTGCGACTCTGGTGATTTCCACACCATCGAGAAATACAAGCCTCAAGATGCCACCACAAACCCTTCTCTCATCCTCGCCGCGTCCAAGAAGCCCGAGTACGCCAAGCTGATCGACCCCGCGGTCGAGTATGGCAAGAAGCACGTACGTTGTCCTCGTCACCTCTATGAGGACGGCAAAAGGATAGACAGATTGACATTTTGAGTGAAAACAGGGCAACACCATTGACGAGCAGGTTGATGCCACTCTTGACCGACTGTTGGTTGAGTTCGGCAAGGAGATCCTGAACATTGTTCCCGGCAAGGTGTCAACTGAAGTTGATGCCCGATTCTCGTTTGACACCAAAGCATCGGTTGAGAAGGCTCTCCACATCATCGAGGTAAGATAAATAAACGAACCGGGCGCGTCTTGTTTTTGTTGTATGTTTCCGGCGCGCTGACCATGGGAATCTTTCTTCGCACGCCACAGCTCTACAAATCCATCGGCATCGACAAGTCCCGTGTCCTGATCAAGATTGCGTCCACATGGGAAGGCATCAAGGCCGCGGAGATTCTGCAAAAGCAGGGAATCAACTGCAACCTGACCCTCATGTTCTCTCTTGTCCAGGCCATCGCTGCCGCCGAGGCCGGTGCCTTCCTCATCTCCCCCTTCGTCGGCCGTATCCTCGACTGGTACAAGGCGGCCATGAAGAAGGACTTTGCGCCAACCGAAGACCCCGGTGTCAAGAGCGTCGAGTCCATCTTCAACTACTACAAGAAGTACGGCTACAACACCATCGTCATGGGCGCGTCCTTCCGCAACGTCGGCGAGATCACCGAGTTGGCCGGCTGCGACTACTTGACCATCTCACCCAACCTCTTGGAGGAGCTGTACAACTCGACAGAGGCCGTCCCGAAGAAGCTGGACGCCGCGGCCGCCAGCTCCCTGGACATCGAGAAGAAGACCTACATCAACGACGAAGCTACGTTCCGATTCGACTTCAACGAGGAACAAATGGCGGTTGAGAAGCTCCGTGAAGGCATCAGCAAGTTCGCCGCCGATGCCGTCACGTTGAAGGGTATCCTCAAGGAAAAGATCGAGAAGAGCTCTTGATTCAAGTTCTTCTTGAGAACCAGTTTTACTGCTGCCTTTTTGGACCTGGTACCAGACTGTGGAGGTGGACATAGTCAATTGGCAAGAATGTTAAAGTGACGACCCATGTTCTTCGTGGAAAACAAACTTTTCCTTTTTTTTTATTTCTACTAAGCTGTCAAAAAAACATATATACATATTCATACCGTGTAGGTAGTCCGTATAGATTGGGCATTTGACCATGACAGAGTAAGAAATTGAGAATGGAACCTCGCCACGACATATTTTTTTCTTTTTTGTTTTTGGATACCTCAGGTACTCGTACATTGGATATCGCCACGTGGTGATCCGTATGAAGTTGCAGCGTGGGTTCTTTTTTCCCCCATCAGAAAGTAACCATCCTACCCGGTGGTGGTGAGTACGTGGACCGTAGCATGGAACGTCATGAGATATCACGAGACAGCCACCCTCCTCCTGGCCAATGGCGTGGGACGTGATATAGGTACGTACATACTGGGTGATGCCTTGGGCCATCTAGATTACTCAGGTATACTGTACAAAATACATATCTGAAACTCAACTTTGTCGTGTACCCGTGCTTTTTGTATACGAGTACTGACCGTATGTATGTACGTATTGTTACGGTTATTGTGAGAGACGGCACCTTGACGTCATTTTGCCACCGAATGGCCCCGGCGGGGGGGGGGGGGGGGGGGTGTTGTTTTGGAGTTTCGTATGATTGATTGTAACGTACAGTAAGTACCTCGTATTGTGAAGGAGAGGTATTCGAATTCGATGTGTAGCCACCGGCCAAGAGGGGACCGCGCTCCGAGCAAGGGGGGGGGATATCCCTTATTGACGGTATCCCGGCTGACTCTCCCTCCTTTATGCCAGCCAGCCAGCCACTTCAACCCACCCTGAGCTAGGTAGATAGGTAGGTAGGTAGGTAGGTGGGTAGGTATGGAGTACATGAAGGTGATTATTTGGTGGTATACCTCTCTGACTACGTGACCCCAGGTATCTAATCCCTGAAGTAACCTACCTGTATCTCAACAACACCAGGAGGTTTTCGCGGTACGCCCGTCGAGTACTCACCTGTATATGACAAACACGACGAATGGACTTTGCTCGGTATTCTCCTGTCCCATTTCACAGGTGACACACAGACACTGCACCGTCACCAAGAGCACAACAGCCGATCACCTCCAACTCGCCGTAGAACAGTAATTAGATTTGAACTTGAAATTATCACTGCACCCATCTCGAAATGAATGAGTTATTTGGATCTTTGTACTTCAAAGTCGTCGTACTTCCTACCCGGCACGCACACACCTTGATCACAACCGTCCAAGTCGACTATCCTAGCCGGCCATTGAAGATCGCCTCCTCCTCCTCTTCTTCTTTCTGTTATGATGGTCCCTCCCAGGATGTCGTTTGCTCTCGGCTTTCTCCATGTCGCCACCGAATGTGGGAGAAACTACGTCGTCGCCTTCACGTGAAGGTTGTGGTTGTGTAGAATCGCGTATCCGTGCTTGGTTCTTGAGGCTGTTCACGACCTTTCCCATTTTATACATTCCAGCCGGGTCGCTGTGGTCGACCAGCGGCGAAAGACGCACTGGAAACAACCATTCAAACACACCGTATCCCATGACTTCCTTAAAGTTGCCATATGGTCCGATGTCGAACGGATTCTGCCCCGGTAGCGTCTCCAGGATCGCAAACGTCCTTGTCTCAGGAACGGCCGTCGGACTCGATGACACTGAGCTGTCGCCTCCCCGCCGGTGGTCCTCCGCCGTAGAGTTCGTATTTGGCCTGGATGTATCCGATGATCTCTGTGGATCATAGCTCGCCTGTGGCACATTGGGCAGCAGCGTGTCGTCGCGCGCCCTCTGACGCTCCTCGCTCGCAGTAAACGTTGCGCCGCTCTGTTCGAGGATCTCGAACTGTTCACTCGCTGGACGAGGGTATGAGATCAAGCGCAGATCGGTGCGTCCTGAAGCGTGATACCGTTCCATGACATGTCGTGGGACATATACAGCCAGGTACCACACTTTGGTCTTGCGGGTAAAATTCTCAATCGTACTGCTGTTTAAAAACGCAAACTGAAGACTGCTTCCGCACATGCCGGCGCTAAAGACGAAGAACAAAGCGGCGAAAATCAACACCAAAATCCAGTGGACGTTGAAGAAACCTCCCGGTTGACGAGACCGTCGCTGAGCAAAGAAATAGCTCACCGAGACCAACGTGTGCAGGCAGAACAGGGCCGCCCAGAAGGTGAATTGTATGAAGAACTTGAAACTCGTTTCCGAAACAATGCCGCCGACCCACGGGCAGAAATGGTCCATCTTGAGAACACAACGCCCGAGCTCGCTGCAGTGGTGGGCGCGATCGGGTTTGTAATTGTAGCATGTCGAGCAGAACGGCGGACGGCCATCCCACCCACAGACAAACACGTCCTTTTGCCAGAAATTCTGCGCCGGATAGCCAGAGTCAAGTTTGTACCTCAGCTTCCGAGGCGTGTAGCCTTGCTTGCTGACCGAGTCGATCGCTTCCTCTTTATAGCTGTCTTGGCTTTCCCGAAGCCTCCGGTCTTTCTCGACAAAGTAATGCGCTCCACGGGGAACAAGGCCAGGGTTGAAAGTGATTGTCTGGATCAGCCGGCCGAAACATGTCAGTGTGATGAGCAGGAGGAGATAGTAGATTGTAAGGATGGCGATCGCGGCCCCGGATTGTTTATGGGGGAATGATAGCGACGACCGAGCTCGGGATTGCAGGAGGTAGTCGATGCATATCTTCTTGGTGACGACGTAGGAAGAGTATCCGATGATGGCGAGGAGAAGAATGGGTACGATCCGAGCGGTGATGATGTTGCCTCGCTTGTTCTTCTCGCCAGGTCGCATCCCATTGATCTTCATCGCGCGGGTGAGGTGAAGCCAGGCGGCTTCATATGGCTAGCAGTAAATTGGACACATAGCGGAGAACATTCAATCTGATGGTGACACCGCCATGCACAACCAGGGCATTGTGCCTGGCATCAATTATGAGATAGTTGGCATGGCCCTTGGGATGCCGAAGTCGAAAGTTGGTGCAGATGCGTCGTCATGGGTGAAATGAGACAAGGCTGTGCAAGGCTGCGAGCGAACTGGACCGAATCCCGGACGAACTTGATTACGGCGGGTCACAGAGGCAACTACGGGAGAGCATACAGTACACAATTTGATCCGCGATATGTACGGAGCACGACATTGCTGATTACTTTAAGATCAACCCCTGAGGGCCACCTGGAGGAGGCAGCTTGTTTTTGATGTTTGCTCTGCCTGGACAGATTGATTGCAGAAAATCAATCCATGAGCTCTCCACCTTCCAGAAATCTCCTCCGGTACCGACTCCCTTCACCGAGTCGCTCAAAATACTTGATGACAACCTCCTTCTGCCATGTCGGTCTCGATTTCTCCCACAGAGTTGCGTAGTAAGGCTTGGTGAGCTGCTTCGTCTCAAACCATTGTCTATCGGCGTTCCATATTTCCACGAGTCGAAAGTGACCTGGATCATCTGGGTCATGGAACACGTCGAAAAGGAGACATTCTGGCTCATTTCCACATGCTTCCCACACAGGACGATGGGCGGCTTTCCATTCTTCGATTCGGTCAGGATGGACGTAGAAGTCCACGAAGAGGGTGAGTTGCTTCTGGTCGGTCATCATCAAGCAGATGTCTGTCCAGCGTGATTCATTCAGTGTCGTCAAAATTTCGAGAGATGAGGATTTTCGGTTTGGCTCATGCGGGGATCGGTGAGCATCATATTTTGACGAACAGAGCCTGGCGGTGTCAGTAACCTTTTCGTACCACGGGCTTCACGATATGGGAAACAGGAGACATCCAGTGAAATATCTGATGACAAATCAAAGTGGTCAGTGTTTCGAGGGCCGAGTTTCGGAGTTTACGCTGTTGATCCTGTACATGTACGACCAAGACTCTCGTTAAGGAGAAAGCAGCGTCGAAATAGCCCTACATGTGAGAGAATGGAGGTCTCAGGACCAGAGAATCCAACCATGGCCAATTTCTGCTGTACCGCACCCACCACAGGTCATGATCCAACAACCCATATGGCCTCAAATTTCTTCATTTCCCACAAGTCACGGACAAGAGATTGCATGTATTCCGCAGTGCGGACTTGACTGTTGCTAGAAATATGAACATGTTGGAATTGGCTGTATGGATCTGGGCCGAGCCTGGGCTTGAAGCCCTCTTCTCCTCATGGTACGTCAATCTCATCCTGTTCTGTATTTCCCCAGAGCTCTGCAATGTGCTGCAAACCATTTTCACTCTGGGTTAGATGATGACGACGCATATTACTGGCCTGTCATGTATGCTTCGGGATGTCAGGCGTACAGGTACCGTATCCGGATCTACAGTTTCTGATTTCCCGGCATCCACATGGACATGGTGATCAAGATATGGTAACCTGGCCCAGATTTGGCTGCCCATAAGATCTCCAAGGCCATCGACATGCCTTTCAACAGTCTCGACCATAATTTGCCCTTCACTCTGTGGATGTCGTTCTCCTATCAACACGAGCTGTGAGGTTGGTGCCCAGTCCTGCGTGCACTTCGTGCTCATTTATCCGAAGCCACCATTTCAGCCTCATGGCCCGTACTATTCTTCAAATGGAAGTCATTCTTTCGATCACGAGATTCTACGATACTCGTCAAGACTTAACCCCGCTCGACTCCGGTGAATCTGCCGCAGGCGCACAGCTTGTGCCATAGCTAACCACTGAACATTTGATGTGGGGCAGAAGTTGCCCGAGTAGTATAGCATTTTAACAGCCTGATAGAAAGCATTAATGCCTAACATGCACCAGAACCACTCTTAAACCCCTCACTGCCCGTCAAGCAGCGCTCGGCTTTCTTCACCATCTCTTCATCATCACACCTTCGCGACGTTAACTCAATATTCAGTCGGGCACTGCTGTCTTCAAGTCGAAGACGAGATGCCTATACTCGCTGAGGTGGACAGGGCCATCTCCGCTGCCATTGAGGCTTACCAGTTTATCCAACGTTACCGCAGAGCTGACAAGGAAATTCAAGAACTCGGCTCCGATATACTTGCTCTCACAGCTGTCCTTGACTCGATTGCAACTGTTTGCGAAACCACACCGGATAGCAAATGCCTCGATGCTTTGAGGCTTCCCCTTATTACCTGTTCCTTGAATATCAAAACCCTTAAGGATCGGCTCCCAGATTCGGCGAAGGAGAGAAACGGTGAACTCAAGTCTCCATTACCTTTCCTCAGTGCCAAGTTTGCTAGGGAGGGGAAAACAGGGCTGGACAGTCTCAGAAGGTCGTTGCTCGAATGCAAGGCCATCTTGAAGCTTGCATTAAGCAACACCCAGTTGTGAGACCTGCTTTCTCTTGTGTCGACGGCTATTGTACTAAAGTTTGACAACGAGGCATGAAACCACAAATCGTCTCAGACGATTTCAGAATAGCCTGGACCTGAATAGCGCTGAAATGAGACAGGCCCAAGACGAGGTCCGGCCGAAGCTGCGAGGACTCGAGCCTCGCATCGCGGCGCGAGACGCGGATTCGGATGCCCAGATTGCAGGATACGACGGGCGTGATGAACCACGACCGAACGAAGATGAGGAGGCTGGCAGCGGCCATGCGTTGAAAAAGTACCGTCTACAGTTAAGGGAGAGGCCCGAGAACTTGAACTCTCCTGGAGGCCCTGTTAACGATCAAACCTCGAACACCCGGCAATACTCTGGAAATTCTCAAGGCATGCTTGCCAGGGCGTCTACCAATCCTCAGCGTCGGCAACCAGTCTCTCGAGGATACTCTGACAGCTCGGAAAGCGTCCCTCGCACGCCTACGCGTACCCAGCATCAACATTCAGACGCAGAAACATACTCTGGTAGTTCTCGAGGGCAACCCGACAGCTCTCAGCGAGGAATAATTGATGGATCTTCTACCCACTATCGGCGACTAAGCACCGAGGAATCCCTTGCCAACGATTTGCGAGATCGCCGCCGAGAAAGACATCCTCGGTACAACGGATACCCTTGATTGTTGCGGAGCCTAATCATTCGAAGCCGCTCCCTGTCCTTGCGTGCCAGTTATCAGTCATCACTGGTCCTCACCTGGTCTGTAAAGAAGTTGGCATTGCCGCATAGACGGCAGACCAAGGGCAATTTTTTTGAATTTTACGAATCTCATTGACGATGGATTATTGCCCATAGGTTGGAGATACATCAAGTCTAGCGGGTATTGAGAATGTATTTACGATACTTGATAATCTCACGACTTCCCTCGTGTTCTCTACGGACCCTCACGCTCATTCCGCTCTGCCGTGTGACGGCGCCTTGCCGGAGCGGCAGTCCATGATTTAGTGTGGGATCAAGAAAAGTAAAACACGGTAAACCTAGGCAAGAGGCTGCCTGGAGAAGAAAGGATGGTTGAATTATTTCATGTTAACGACAGTAGCTAAAGAAGTGAAGAACATAACAGACGTTCTCGCCAAACGATTGAATAGGTCAGAAGCTGACAGAGACCCGGTCACGTGGACTCTCTTAAGTCTTCCAGGTCGGACGCGAAGCGAGCGTCATGGAACAGGGCCGTTGGAAATCATAAAGAGAGAGAGAGAGAGAGAGATGTCGTGTTTATATGTGGGTATGCGCACGCGCCAAGTTGACTGAATACTCTGACTCGAAGAGAAGTAATACCAAGAAGAAATGACATTGGGTAGGTCTGTGAAGTCAATGCATGGCTCGACTGGAACGAAGCCACATGGTTTCAGTGCTGTTGGTCCTAAGAAGATGCCGTGTAATTGTAATCGGTAACGACTGAGGCCGGTTATGGGATTAAAATGATGCTTTTATCTTGACCTGCCGGTGGTGACGACAATGCATACTGTGGTTCTGCCCATGGTGGTGAACATTGTGAAAAAAAGAAGAGCAAAACAAAACCGAAGAATCCAGATGGCGGGCGAGAATGAGAGTGGACACAAAACGAGCGGAAGACTATCGCTGGTGACGAAAATCCCGGAACAAGAGGAAACCTGTGACGTGCCGTTGGAAACGGTCCTGCTGCTGTCGGAGCATCCTGAATGCGAGGAGTCCTAAGACTGTCTCGTGGTACACTGCTGGCACTTTGTGTGAGAGCAGTCCAGGCACCTTTGTGGACTCAGGGCGGGATTGTTCAGGTAGGTGCAGTTGTGGCACGTCCACCAGCCTCTCATGGACGGACGACTTCCGAGTTTCAGCTGGTTTCTGTTGACAGATGCCGAGGTCGAGGCCGAGGGTGCGACAGGATGGAGAACGTCAAGGCCGCTGTGGTTGCTGGACTGGGTGTTCCTCAAGCGCTTGCGTGAGCGGCCACGTGCCGACTTCATTATTGCCGGGATATCATTGTCGGTTTTGCACGAGTCGCAGTAGTGATGATTACAGCTTGTGCATTGGGTTGCGTTGGCGTATTTGATCGGACCGTTCTTGCACTGGTGGCATTGCCATAGAACGGGCGGCATTGTATAGAGAGAGAGAGAGACAAGAGATAGCAACGACCAGGGTTTCGTGGGAAATGAATACAGCTGGTGACAACACCGTCCCACCAGAGATGCTCAGCGAAGATTTGACTGGAGAAACACCCGCAGAACAGGGGAAGTAAAAGATCTATAAAAGACTGTATAGATTAAGAATGTCGTGATAGGGATCGAATTTGAGATGCTGAATGAATGGTCTTGCTTCCCGCCTCTCGAAAGACGACTTATATAGTTGAAGAACTCAGCAGTGCTGGCCTTCCCGCAGTCTGCGAGCCCTAGCTGCGTCGACATGTCAAGTCTCATAGTAGCATCGAGTTCATCAAAGCAGACCAATTGAGCAGAGGGTTATTCTGAAGCAAACAACAGGGACCAAACTTACAAGGCGGTACACAGCCATGGTGATGAGTGAAGCAAGGGAATTTTTCACCGCAATTGCCCCGGTTGAAGCAAAATGCAAGGTGGTATTGAAAGCTGATGATATACTCAGTACCAATCACAGCGTCAACGTGCTGCGAATGTGCGAAAGTCACACCGAAAGTTGCCACATGACATGGCCCGTCACAACCTACCCCATAATGGTGTTATCACGACCGCTCAGAGGATTGCTGTGACTGTCAAGGAGTCCTTCCACATCCGAGGCGAGACGAGGCTGAGTGGTTGGAGTATGTTATTGGCTGCAATCTTAACTCTTCATCGAGGGAGCCTCGCAGTAGATGGTTTGTCCTGTCCAGCCACACATGCATAAGAATATCGACACGGAATGGGTGTGACTGGGCGTGAGTCTGGTCAGAGCATGGACATGTACCAATCCTTCGGCTTCTTGGACGAGGCTTCGGATGCAAGGAGATAATGCCTGCAATCGCAAATTAGCACTGGAGGACAACGCCCACAGGAACATGATGGGTGGCATTGCTACCTGCAGGACACGTGATCAAGGTGCACAGCCGCAGAGACGCCCAGTATCGAAAAGTGACAGACAGTTGTTTGCTGGTGAAGTTGCGATAAGCCTTGGATGGGAAAGGTAGGAACGGGATTCCCTAATCTTCGAAACACTGCGGATGGTGCATGGCATTTCCGCCCTGTGCTTGGGACAAAACGTCCAAGCATTAGGCTGAGCACCTGAGATTCGTCACCCTGGCCTTGTGAAAAGTGTAGGTAGATTTCGGTCAAGACGACGTATGTACTGAGCTTAAGATCGGTACGCCTTGCGCATGAAACCCCTTGAGCCGTCAAGCATAGTCATGTGTCCATGGAACCGAGTTTCAGATAGACAGTACTGATCTCAATCCACAGCGGGCCAGTGATACACTAGGGAATTGCATCATGCCGCTCTGGTAACTCGGGATCTCGAAGCTCTCGAAGCTTTCCGTGCTTTCTTTGTAGCCAAAGCACTGCTCATGTGAATCAGGCGCCCGGGTCTCCTCACAGGGATGGTCACGGCACCCAGAATCGTGTTTGATCGACCTGTGACGTGATACAGTGCCCGATAAACACGGCCAAGCTGTCCTCACTGCTACTGTATGAGCCTGGAGCAGGTGATCATGTAGAGCAGGTAAGGCAACAAGGCAACCAGACTCCAGAGTCGCGCCTTTTGGCGCAGTCTGCCAGAATGCAATGTTCCCACGCAGGACAGTCATTCAAGCCTCGACATTCTGCAGTGTTCTACTGACCATCTTCCTGAAGAGGCAATGAAGTCGAACAAGACGAATGGAGCTCGGCGGGAGATTAGATTGGGCAGCAGTTGTTGTTTGATCGACGAAATTCCTATCATTCGAAGGCTCAATTGGTCATTCAGAAATGGTTGGGCAGAAGAGACAAAGACACCAGCCTGCTGCACAGAGTAACCGGGTCCATGCGTACGAACGAAAAGGCAACCATTTTCTTAGTCGACTGGCTATTGTGCTCATGGGTGTTTGTCCGAGACTTGTCAGGCTGCAAAGGAATCAGATAGCGTATGTACAGTACTTTGGGTATCGACAGGACTCCACGAGCTTTCGGAGCCGTTTCGAAGACAAAGATAGAACGATGGTCAATGTTGACAAGTGTAATGTTCGTATGGGTACTTGTTACAGTCTGTTGTTGGCCCTGGTGGCGACGGAACGCACGAGTTGGGTATCAACATAGATGAGCATGCAGTTGTCCGAGGTGGATTCGCTCACGAGGAGAGTGAGCGAGTCCTGTTGGCTGGCCACAACACACGGTAGCTAAGAATGCTATGTCGGACTCGTAGACAGGAGTGTATTGTGTTGTGGTGTGCGCTGTGTGTATGCGCTTTTTCTTTGGGTGTAGAACTTTGCTTAAAGACGAGTGCAGTACTGTACTCGTAAAATACAGTAAGATGCCCTACCTAACGCCTCTAACTAACAAGTCAAGGGCGCTGCTTTGTGGCTTGCTTTAGGCTCACTATTGTAGACTGGCTAGTGAGGCTACGGAGTATTAACTAACTCACTCCTTGCCTAAGGAGTAATAGCGAAAACCCCTTATTACGGGCATGACGTCGCTCAACCTCCTTGTACCCGTCTCTTTACTGTACAGTTAACTGCCCTGACAACCCCTTGTGGCCTCTCACCACTCCCTCACACCGTCCCTCGCCCTTCTCCTGCCTTTGTACAATCCTAATTTGCTCATTGTCTCGGCAGCTTATGTTTGGTACATCAGATCGCTCTCCCTGAGACTGTGCTACCACCGAGTCCGTGTTTTGTTGGCCCGTGTGATTTGTGCGCAGCCTTGTTTTCGCTGGCTTGCCGAAACTCCCCTCTTTGCTGACAGTTTTCTGCACCGCGCCAATCCTTCCACAGGGTATGCCACCAATCCTTCCTCTGTCCTTCTTTTCCTATGCCGTTTACTTCTCCTACGCTGTTCGACTAGAGTGCCATGGTGATTACTCTCTTGGCAGCGGCAGCAAACAACCCGGCTCCATCAGTAATTGACCCCTAGTCTAACAATCAACGAGAACCCAGTCAGCCACGAAAACAATCACCGCGACCCGTCGATGTTTCTAAAGAAAAGCTGATCACGGCGGTGGAAGATTAGAATACAAGCACAATGACTGAGAACCGCTACCGGCCCGCGTCACCTCGGCGAAACCCCTATCCCGACCCTCGAGCATCCACTGGTATGGTTTTTTCCTCTTCGTTCGATACTCGTTTCTCGTCCCAACCACGAACAGTCCTCGATCCTTATCAGAGCACACGCCACGGAAGTTATAGCACTCAAGGGGTTACAAGCAGGACTTTTCTCGACGATGCTCATCCAGGCAGAGGTCCTGTAGTCCGGACAGAGTACGCTGTGCGCCCGCGAAATAACTCATCTGTTGGCTCGGAATCACGACGCCCTGTGAGTGCATATATCGCGAGACCTGCTTCGCCTCCTCGGGTGCGCCCTGTCGTCAGTGTGGCCCGGGATGATCCGCGAAGCCCAATCTTACCTCCATCAAGAGAAGAGCGCTATCTGGTCCCCGCGTCTACACAGGCTGGGCGACACCATCACAGGCATTCTAGCGCTACTCGTGTAGAGCAGGATCGACTTGGGCATGCAAGGGTCAACAGACAGGCCGAGTATCATCGACGTGGCGGCTACAATGCGTACCCCTCGTACACTCGAGATAAACCATTACAGGAAGACGGGTTCTCCTACACGACACCCAAAGAACAATTTCTTCAAGAGTCCTCACTCCCACCTCAGAGGCGTGAGAGCTTTGGTCGGCGAGAACGGCCCATCAGTACCATCGGTGTACCAGAGTATAGACAGTCAATGAGACGAGATCTCGGGCCACCCCCATCTTCCTCTCGTGTTCTGGATAGGATCGACCGGAATGATAGTGTGAGACACTCAAGCTCTCGTGTAAATGAGTCCGATGATCGGGCGGGAGATATTCCTCGACGTCATTCTTCCATGCGGGCCCCAGTCTTACACCACTATCGGGATGATAACTACATCACGGGAAGAGAGGAACGCGATCCACGGGTAGTACCCAAGCCTAGATATGATCGGTACGAAGATGAGGATAGATCCCATAAGCACAAACACCGCGAAGAGAGGGAGAGAGATGTACCCCGCGATACTGATCCGCGTCGAGACAGAGACAGAGACCGCGATCGCGATCGCGACAGAGATAGGGAGAGAGATAGAGACCGAGATCGAGAACGTGACCGGGATGTGGATCGCGAACGAGTTCGAGAAGGCGAGAGAGCTGCAAGAGGTCCAGATGATCGTCGTCAACAGAGGAGCCGGGATACCAGTCCTGAACAGCAGTCTAGCGTCCGGAAGCACTTATCGAACGTTGCTGCTGCTGCTGTCGGAGCTGGAGTAGCAGGAGCGGCTGTCACAAAATCTCGCAGTCCTAACGAAGGTTCTGATAGCGAGGAACACAAAGATCGAAAGCATCGGAGGAAGCGACACCACCGCAATGGCGATGAACCCGGCCCAGATGAGGTTACCGATAGGGCTGAGCGTGATTTGAAATCAGCTGATGGCGGTCGTCGCGAGCGCCGCAAGGAAGATATCAAGACTGAGGATTCTACAGCAGATGCCCGAGACGAAAAACACGGACGCCGACATCATCGTCACAGACATAGAGACAAAGGAGCACAAGACAATGAGTCTGACACAACAGAAGACTCGGCTGGACCCGAATCTCGTCCGCAGCCCCGATCCGACAGAGATAAGGACGGAGAGTTGCGTGAGCCTTCTAGGCGTCGAGAACGTACCTCCTCCCGCGATGGTGATCGAGACGGCCAAGCACTGCAGCAGCGAACAGCGTCACCTGGTGAAGAAGAAGACAGACCGCGACGTGTCCAGCTCGTCGACCCTGTAGAAAAGAGAGAAGAATTCAAGCCTAAGGGCATTCTCAAGCCTCCTCGTGAGATCCCATTCCCGGAAGACCCCAATCCGGAGCGCGAAGGCGTGGCCCCTCTCAAGGATGCGAAGAAAGACGGAATTCCGGCCAACGCGCGATGGACCAAAATCAGTCGAGCTTTAGTCAACCCTGAGGCGCTAGAGAAGGAGCATGAGAGATTTGAAGAACGCGATGATTATGTTATTGTTCTGCGTGTAGTGACCCGGGAAGAGATCATGAAGTTTGCTGAAAGGACCAAGGAGATCAGAGGTAAGAATCGAAACACTCGTACTCGGCTGTCTCGCTAACGCCTACTCTAGAAGCACGCGAACGTCAGTGGCAAGCAGAACTGGAGGAGCGGCGGCGACGAAAGAAAGAGAAGGGTTACGAGAGCAGTGACGACTATTCGGACGATGAACGAAGAGAACCTCTAGCAATCGAGCAAGGCAAGCCTCTTCCAGGCGTACAGGGAGACCCTCGAGCATATCTGCATCCACAACAACTGCAGCAGCAGCAACAACAACAACAACAAAAACAACAAGTGCAGCAGCAGTATCCATACAGACATGACCATCAGCCTGTCGTAGCTGGAGTTCCGGGTACGGTGCACGCACAGCAAGCTCCTGCGCAGCCACCGTCCTTGCCGCCACAGGGACCGCCTGTCCCCGATATAAGAGTCGAGCCAATTGGAAACTACTCATCTAACGTATAGCTAATTATCGACGTTATGCCTCAATGAGCTGAAGGAAGCAATTGTGACTGCGGTCGACGGGGCATTTCGAGCGTTGCCTCTCATTTTGGAAATGACACGATCTACTGATGAATGAATACCCTCTGTCGATATAGCGAGACGTCATCGCAAGTGGGAGGGAGAATATTGCCCGAAGTTCCACTTGGATTTTCTAAATGGATGCCCTGACATATCAATGTGGTAGCGAAGCTAGCAATGACAGAATTCTGATACACATATCTCACAACTTCCTGGGTCTCCGAAACACTCTGGATGCCACATCAAATACTTGCAATATCGGCTCCCTGCCCGCCATGTTTGACGGTGGATAGTATCAACGAGGGGATGTGTCAAATACGCACCCCGTGAATCATCGACTCCCACGCTATTACAAATTACGAGGAAGTAATCTCCTGGCCTCCTCGATACGAGTGTGGCGTACACCGCCCCTTGAACGGTAACGAGACTGTGAGAAAGCTTTGGCCTCCATCCTGTTGACGTCTCCTACGGTTTTCATGGAGAGTTGAACTGTCAACGAAGCTGGGGACCAACACTTTCGGCACTTTCGTGGGCCTGTCTTCTCAAGTTCTCATATTGTATCTAGGTAGCTGGGGATTCACAACAAGGTTTTGTGGGTGGACCTTGTAATCGCTTCACCGCCTTGTTTTCAATCACCTGCTCTGAATTCACGCCCTGTTTGAGGTCTGTGCCGGCAGAGATCTTCGTGGTGTCTGCGGAGTGACGATGGGCAGTCATCCACTCCTACTCGTACAGTCCTCCTGCGCAGTCGAATAGCGTGAAAGGTAACCTGTCTATATATACCGAGGTACGTATCTAGAGAGTAAAGGTAATGATAGGCGAGGGTAGGGCAGCCCGGGAGGCGTCGATTTGGCCCTGTCAGACGCCATCATTATTCCTCGGTGGTCAAACATCGCACTCCCGCAGCCTCTGCCTCCAAAAGTCACTCCATGCTCACATCCTACCGAACATGGACATTCATGACTACGATAGAGGCAGATGGCCATGACTTTGTGCTATGCACAGCATGGGTTACAATTGCACTAGCAAGGTCGCGAGCTACGCTCGCACACGGCAACCCTCCACCCTCGATCATCCTCCACACCGCTCCGCTAAACATGGACTATCGCCTGCTAAAGCTAGTTCCTGATGATCCTGTCTCAACAACTGATGTACAACACGTTGCCACACACCACCAGCGCCTTGGTCTCGTGGCAAGATCGCGGTTGCGTGGGAGGACGATCAACACCACGTTGTTCACCACGAGGGCTTCCCGGTGTCATAGACCCAGCGGGGTCCGAGAAGCCTTGTCCACCATGTTGATCATCAACCGCTCCCAAGCTGACTTAGAAATCCAAAGGCGCACCAAACAGAGCGCGTGAGCAGTGTCGTGAGATAAGATTGCATCAAAAACCAAGTCGCAGCACGAGGCCTACCCAAACATATTTGGTTCTGCGGTTTGGAGGGTAAATCCTGGTTGCGGGAGATAAGCGAAGAGGAGATCCCAAACCTCAAGGTACTCGTACCCATTATTTTGCTGGAATCTGTGATCTATCGAAAGATGCAGCTACCCCTTCGTTCAACCAACAATTCAGTGTGTCAATCGTACAGACTAGCACCCTGGGATAGCAGGCAGATGCATGTGTCCGAATGGTTACTCCTTGATGCTCCATCAACTTGGCAACGGATACCACATCCCCTGTATGATCCAATTCTTCGGTGCCCACGGAGTACGGGGTGCGATTGCAGGTGGCACAGTGGCAACTTGAATAAGAAATCATTCCACTGAGACCTCTAGTTTCAAATGGGCTTTCCAGCTCGGCCGCGTTGACCTTCCGGGTCTCTGAAGGTTGTGGAATGTCACTGAATGCCCAAGGGAGAGGGCGGTACGGAGTACCAGCGATCGACTCTCTCCAATATCCTTACTCCATGTCTGGTGGCAAGTGGCTGGCCAAAGATCTACCCTGTCTTGGTCCCGCTTTCTATAGCTCATCACAGAGCCCTTGGATTGCCAGTCAACGAGCAGGCGATTTGCTCATCTTCCTTACCGCTGCAAATGCTGCAAAGGATTTGACCTGCATCGACTCCGTACAGACTTCGGAAGCTCCTGTGATGCGTACCGTGGCTAAAGAAGCTACAAACGAGCTCACCGCTGAACCTCTTACTCTTTTGAGAACATCGCGAGCAATCCGGATGATAATGGGCGCCTTTTTACCCAGCCGTGTCCTCTTGAGTCATGGCATTTTGATAAAGATGTGACACCAATGGCAACGGACAACCAGGTCGCTTTGATTCACCCGTATCGATTTTCTGCCGCTGGCAACCCCCCCTTTTAGAGTTGCCGGTGTCCCGCACCTTGACACCTTGTGGCTTCTCGGAGCCCCCAGTACCATGTAAGTTGCGCCTAGAGTGGACGCTATTGCACCATGCATCCCGCTAGCTACAAACATGCTATAGTAGCTACCTTTACGGTGGCATTCCCTAGGACGTTGATGAGGGTTGGCACCCAGCACAAGGGCCTCAGTAACCCTCCGATTTTCTTGCGGGGAACCGGATTTTTATCAGGTCTCCCATGGATATCGGATATGCATTTTTCAGGAGAAAATCTTCCCTCCACCTGCACTCGAATCTCGGAAGCCTGGATAAATAATCCGCCTGGGATCTCTTCACACGCAAGGATCCTCGCTGTAGGTCTCTAGTCAAACAGAATGCATCGCCGGAAGCAAGCGTCTGAGGGGACAACTTCGATCATATGGTGCCTGTGATGGTTGAAACAAGGGGTTTCCCGTACGAAGAACCGATTTTACACTCAGTGAGCCATTGCATGGGCATACTCGTCCACGTCTGAAGCACATGGGGAAACGGCCCAATAGCAAATCATGTTACAGGGCAGAATGCCTCCCTGCCTTATTTTGACGGGACGCCATTTACGAGTACTAGTGGAAACATTTACGCAAGAAGACTTCCTGGGTACTTGAGTGGTTGGAAGACAAACAATGCGTTGTCCTTCTGCGCGTTCCTAATCGGGCTACGAAGAGACAAAGCTATCACGACAATTAGGGCCATATCCTTGTCAACATCGTCAAATCCGCGTACAAAAGTGCACATGATTGCGGAAGAGGTAGAAGGCTCGATAACACCATCGCCAACAAGGACTCGACCTTGTCCTCATCAAGCTCGTACCGGAGACTATTGGGAATTCCCAGCAGCTGAGCAGATTGTGTTCTATAAGGCTGTCGATATCCACTCTGTGATCCTGCAATTATGGATTCACCCTGCGCTACAGGTGACTTGCAGCGCCTATGCCGAGATGTTGGCTGACGCATCCGAGATGATCGCCATCAGCTGAGAGCCCCCAATTGTGGCTCCCAGCTAGAGCAGTCTAATGAGGCACTTCACCTCTCCGGTCACCGTTATGAAAGCTCGGCAGGCTTGAGGTTGACTGCGGCACTTCCTGAGCAACGCTTTCCCCCCAGGAAGGCCGACCGCGTGCAAACACAGACACCGCCCTCTTGTGCGGTTTCATAATCCGTAATCACGGTAAACAAACAAACCTATGACAACGTCGGCGAACCTGCATAGTGATCGTAAGACTTACGGATTTGCTTCGCGTCAACGCCAGAGGCAGCTTTGAAATCAGACCTGCTGGAACTAGTGTTTCACGGTGGAAGCACATCCGCTGAATGGTGCCTGACGTGGCCAAGCTTCTGTATGTCCGAGTACGGGTACAGACTGAGGATGATGGAGACGTGACTCTGGCCACAAATCGACTCATCCTGCGCCGCCAACGGGAGTTGCCAAAGCCGACGCAGGCTGCAGGAGAAGTACGCTCGTACTCCGTATTATGCCCAATCCAACGATTACGCCCCAGCAACGCTGTCCTCTGGCCCCAAAGTGAGTGTCGACGCTAATAATCGTCAAGACTGGTTGCAGATGCAGAATTGTACCACGGACAGTGAAGGCCTCATGCTGCGTGCCTCTGAAGCGGGCGAACTAGCGTTTGGGCTCTATAATTATACATGCTTGTGCACATGTTTAGTAGGTCATTTCGGGTCTACAGGTTTGGCGCTTTGGAGTCCGATCTCAGGACTCTTGAGACGTGACACGCCGCCTGCAGGTGCGTCTTGAAGTCGGGTCGTTGTCTCTCCGACGACGATCATCACCAACAAGGCTGAGGCTAGATAATCTATAGTCGGCAGATCGACCAGTCGAGCGAGGTCGTTGGAAGAATTGCCCTCTCCAGTTCGCTTCGGCAAGAATGCCCTTCTGAACCGAAAATTAGTAGACCAACAAAGAACCGAGGATATTGTAGGACGAGGAGGATCAATCTGGGCATCCAAAGTTCTCTCAGGGCTTGCCAGACACTTTCGAACGATTCAATACGGGGAGTCGACCAACCCCGTCTCCTCCTCCTCCTCCTCCTCCTCCTCCTCCCGCCGGACTGTGAGCTTGGGCCCTTGGGGAGCGACAACCCTTTGCTATCTCCCAGGCACACCCCAGAAAGACGACGGCCGGCCTGACGCGGGTCAAAGGCCGGCGATTCGTTCTGGATTTACAGAAGGCGCTAATTCGTCACTGGGAGATCTCTATTGGTCGGGTAGGGTAGATATTTCCAGCCTTTCTGCTTGAAGTGGTGTAGCCTCACCAGCCTACGGTGTGCCAACAGTCTTGCAAGCATGTGAGACCAATAGTGAACGGGACGGAAAATGTGCAAATTAGCAACGGAGCGACACTGGTCTGAGAGGCTCTTGCGTCAAAGATGCATCACCGACGAAACCGCTTGTTCCTCACAGCCCATTCATCATTGACTGCCGCAAATTGTGGCTGCAGCCATTATTGTCATAGTAGAGACTCGAGGGAAGGGGGTGACACTTGGCCAAAAGAGGCTCAAGTGCTGATCGACGGCGCCAGCAACCACCTCAAGGACTCAACGCCGGGCCACACATGGCACCTCATCACCGTCACATTGCAGCCCGCCACTAGGGTGCATTGGGGGCTAGTTAGTAGTGCTTGGGCGAGCGCTTACCAGCCAACGGAGACAGAAAGGATGCATGGATCGAATCACGAGCCGCAACAACCTTGACAGACTGAACCAGGATCTGGGATGATTAATTGATTTCAACGGTGACCGGCGCGCGGGCTGGCCACAACGGCCCTGACGGCGAGAAACGACCATTCCGGCAGTGACACAGCCAATGAATGACACAGAATGACAGCGCAGGGATGACAAGTTGCAAGCATCGACCTGCAGACGCCGACACAAACAGGACCTTTTGGTAACCAATTGGCCCGGGTGATGGCTGTTATTGGATTCGAGGCTTCAGCACGAGGACGAGCTGTCGACCCAATCTCGCAGCCACAACGGACCAGTCCGATGGAACAGGATGTGAGGGGTCGAGCAGAATCAGCGCAAAACGACGCCCAAGTGGCGCATGGCCAGCACGCTGGTGGAGCGAGCTGCAGGATCTCTCAGCGATGCCTTGATTGACGGAGTGACAGGTGCAGCAGAGCAAACATGGCAGAATTGCGCCTTAGAAGCTAGGCGTGGTCAGCGAAGGGGCCCTCTTCGCGTCCATGTCTGATGATCGTCGACGCCGCTAGCTGGCCTCTCTAGCCGCGTTTCGAGTCCCCAGTCGCTGGAAATTGCAGGGATAAGCCCACGAGCCACACTAGCCCTGGCTGACGCATGGACATGGTTGAAGTGCGCGCTAACCATGACAGTACTGGGAGCGTGCTGCGGAGGGATCACCAGGTAATGCATGGCGGTAGAGCATCCATGGAGCTAGAGCGAAGTGGGAAACCTTCAGCACCTTCTCCTCTTGGAGTCTGTAGAGTTTGAGCTCGACTAAACCTAGACATCTAGATCTCTCCGATCCACCTCAAGTCAATCACCTTCGTCCTTTGTGGCCTACCGTGACTCTTGTGACTCTGGGCAAAGGAGCGCCGAGACAGCTCTGAGGGGGAGAAGCGTGCTAAGCGATACCAAGAGGCACAAAGGCGATGCCCGAAGCTTTTACGATCTCGTGGCTCCGACTGGGTGGGATTCCAGGCGTGGACTCGGACGTATAGGGTATAAGGTAGGGTGGGTATGGGATGTCAATTAATATTTTTTTGCTGGCCACGGGTCTTTGGTACCGAATAGTCATGGAGGAGGAGGTCCGGCAGTAGTATTTGGCTGATAGAAAAAATTCACAGAGCCAGACTAGGATTCTGTGAATCTGTGATAGAGTTGTGCCTAGCATGGAGCATGGGTGAGACTTGGGCTGCAAGATTTCATCCTGCGCATATGGATGTGGTTTAAGGTGTCTTGGGGAAACGAAGGCGAAACCCGAGCAATCTCTTGCGCTCTCATCAATCTAAATGTTGGAATTCGTCCCAGCCCAGTCCGGACGCCAGGCCCGGTATACAGATTTCCTCTCGATCTCGTTCACGCTGAGCGGGCGATTTGTGGCGTTTGACTTTGTGATGCTCGCAGGTGGACGACGCCAACTTCTGCGCCCGGTCCATCACCCCAAAGTCTACAGAGCCTCTTTTTTATCCTTCGACTCGTTCAGGTATCGACCGATCCATCCCGTCATCCCTACCACTTTCTTCCTCATCTCCACCCTCGACTGCATGCCAATGTCTTCCACCTCGATTCTCGTCTTCGCGCGAAAGAGCACGGGCACAGGCACCCTTTGTTTCGGCTGCGGTACGGAGTCCTTCTTGAAGCCGTGAAGCAGACACACCGGTCCCTGTATAGGCTTATAGCCTATCGCCCTACACACTCGCCAACGCCAACGACCTCTCGTCCGTACTCCATTATCCATACCAGGAGATCTCATAGCGTCCATCTCGAACCGACAGACTAATCCTTTCTATCCGACGAACCCAAGTTCTTCGGACTCGCCAGCCGCCATCTCTTGACCTAGGCTGAGACCTCGTCGACCGGCGAGCGTCTGCAAAATTTGGCTTTCTCGCAGATCCCTGTCTCCCGGCCACGCTATGCCGCCCACCCACAGTCAAAAGCACGCCGTCGCTTCGGAGAAATCATTCTACACCCCAGGACTGGTTGCTGCCAGCGATGGGAATGCACGACCAGCGCATGTCCCGCCGCAACAATACGATTCCTCTCCGCCCCCGACACATGCCCAAGCTCAAGCTCAAGCTCAAGCGCAGGCCCTGGTGCAGCCTCCTCCGTATCCGCAAAACATCCCTCCTCAACACCAGAATAATCACCATCTTCAGCCACATGATCTAGCTGCCCAGTTACCTGCTGCGCACGTCCTCGCCCCCAGCAGCGTGGCGTTTGGGCCTCATGGCCCTGGCGTCGGCCCCGGACCCGGAGCTGAAGCAAGACGAGGAGACCACAATCCTGCCAATGTAAGTCAACCACCCAGACCGTCACTGCGCTGCTCGTACGAGCCTTTGCGATTTGCGTTCCACATGGTACCCCTCCCGAGTCTTCCCACACCCTGTCTGGCACCTGGTCAGTGATCGACCCAAGCCACAAGCCCCTGGCCTGCCCGTTGAGGCTTTGGAGGATCGTCTGAAGGCCACGGCCCAATGCCGGCGTGCTGGCCCCTGCAATCATGGATGCGACCCTGGTCCTGGTCGGGGTGTCCTTAGTCTCGCTCCTGGGTCATCTCCCTTATCCCGTCATTCCCCTGGTCCGGCTTCGTGTACCCGAATTGCCTCCTCCTGGTCTGAAAGGCAATGGAACCCATGGCCTCCCTCTGGTGGCACGCTCGGACCACCCACGCCGTCCACGCTCGTCGCCATCGGTGGCCAATCCTTCCTCCCACCAACGCGGCCCACCAGCCGTTCTAAACCCTCAAGGTTCAGATGTCCCAGTCACTTAAGCTCCCGCAGCGTCGACCCACTTGGCTGCCAGACTGCCAGTTTCGAAAGGCTCGGATGGAGGGCATCCACATGCTGCACCTGTGGTCGTTGCGTCTCCATCGAACCCTCTCATTACACACTCTCAACACACAGCATCGCAGATGTAGCCTGCTCTCGGCTTTTCTGGATCATTTTCCACTGCTCTCCTCCTCTGTTGTTCGCCAAAACCTGTCCCCTTTCCTCTAATCCCTTCAAATATGCACCGCCACGTCTGACGCGCCGTCTACATTTGCCCTTTTTTGAATGCTCAGACGACTTCCTCCATACACTTCACATACCTGCTTCTACAAAGGCACCTCATCTTCCTTTCGACCCCAGTCCTTCCAATCCCACATCTCCCTCGCCATACCCTATCCCTGGTCACCGCCGTGCGGCTACTACGATTCTACAGTACATGGTATGCCGGTCCCTTCTCCCCTGCACCGCGACGTCCGTGTCCTGTGTGGCTCGCCTTTCTCCGTCATCCCATACCCGCACTGACCCCCTCCAACGCACCTCATTCATGCTTCTGAAACTTGCCAATATCCACCATGGGAATCTGGTCAACAACATTCGATCAAGTCTTTTAAAGCCTTGCGCCTTCGTCGCATCCCTGGGTTCGGCTTGCGCGACCGTTCACTCTTGTCGTCTCCCTCATTCCCGGCACTTGGGCCAATGAAACATCGCCTGTCACAGATTGCCGGAACGAAGCATTTGGTCGAGCAGCCTGGGTAGTTTCCACGACCCCGAGCTATTCACCCTGCTTGAAGCTTGTATGTCAATTACGCTTAGTCGTCATGTTGGATCTCCCCAGAGGCCGGTCGCATTGTCCTGGACGGAACCATCACCTACCCGAAAAGGCGCCCGCCAGTGGCCATGTTCACGACCCCCGGTCTTGCATTAACTACGGTCTTCCCTGCCTTCAAACGGCATTGTGACCTGCTTGTCTTGCTATCCTGGTCTTTGCCAACGCGCCACCGGTCTCCGTTACATTGTTGAACTTTTTGCTCATTCCTCTACTTTGGCCCAAGCTTGCGCTGACATATGGGTCTCCAATGCAGCATCGAACACCGCAATCCTACCAGAACATTGTTGCGCCGCCTCATGTCTCACAGTCACGAACACTGAGCAGCACCGTGACCTCTCAGCAGCCCTACACGTCCACCAACGTTTATGCACAGCAAGCAAATCTTCATTCGCCATTCCTGAACAGCCAGCATCAATTCCAAGCTCAGGCGCAAAACGACGCGCCCAATTATTTCCAGCCAAACCAGAGCCCAAGGAGTCAGAGCAGTGTTGCAGGGACGTACTATCCGACTGGTAAGTGGGAGGTCTCTGGGTCGAATGGTGGGCGCACGAGGCATTGACAAGGCGTTATCAGAAAAGCCCGATTCTATGGCAGCAACGGCGACAATGCAGCGGCCTTATCCCCCGATATACACGCCGCAGTCTAATTCTCCAGCCTCAGTGACCTCTCCCCAGTCGCATGATCATGGCAGACCAATGTATCCTCAACCAGGCCCGCAGTTGAGCCAACTTCCGTATGGCTATCCTCCATATCAGTCCATGAATCAGGTACACCAGCCTCCGTATGGCAATCATCATGGGCAGACGCAACAGCACCAGATCCAGTCACAACCGATGATGTCCTACCAGTCGACGACTCCCCAGCTTCCACAAGGGCCTCAGCACCATTCGACAATCTCAAGCAGCCCAAGATTGAAATCCGAGAATGCTCAACCATACCAACAGACGCCGCAAGCGCGACCCGGAATGCTCCCACACCAGCAGCAGCCGCAACACCCGAGTACCAACCCTGCTACGCCGGGACTAGGCGATTATAAACAACAGGGACTGGGCGACTATAAACAACCGGGATTGGGCGACTACAAACAAACTCTTCAACAGGCGCAGCAGCAGTCTGGACAGCAACAGCAACAACAGCAGCATTCTCCTTCGGGGATGCAGCCGAATTTGCCGCCAGGCGCAAACGCTGCTCCCGGGCCGATCCCCGCCACGACGCCCTTGGTAGTTCGACAGGACGGGAATGGCGTCCAGTGGATCGCTTTTGAATACTCGAGAGATCGCGTGAAGATGGAATACACCATTCGGTGCGACGTTGAATCAGTCGACGGGTCCGCCTTGACTCATGAGTTCAAGTCTGAAAATTGTGTATATCCTCGGGCTTGCGTGCCCAAGGATCAATACAAAGGCAATCGGTTGGCCTATGAGACTGACTGCAACCAAGTCGGTTGGGCTTTGGCAGAATTGAATCCATGCTTGCGAGGAAAACGAGGTTTGATTCAGCGAGCGGTCGACAGCTGGAGAAACAGCAATCAGGACCCTCGGTTGAGAAGTCGTCGGGTCAGGCGACAAGCTAAGATAAACCACAAGGGAAAGGTGACTCCATCGACCCCAAGTCAAGCTTCCGGGCCGGTTGGTTCCATCCCGACAGGGCTTCCTGGTCCAAACTCAATGCCCGCCTCAGGTGTCAGACCGCCAGGTGTTTTGCCCAGTGCGCAAAATCAAATCTTGCACAACCAGCAGGATGTCTCCCCCACCGCACATAGCAACGTCGGAGGTAAGTTTCAGAATTCGCAATCTTATAAAGCGGGATTGTGTCTGCCAGCCGCAATATATCAAGACGTGACTGACATGAGGACAGCGTCGTCTTACAACACTGCGCCCCAAGGGTATCGACAAGACGCTGCCAGCCAGCACATGTCGAGTCCGAACGACGTCCGCCAAAGTCACGTTTTCCCAGGATATCCAAGTTATCCACCGGCTCCCACATCAATGGCTCCTTCAATGCCACCACACATGCAAGGAGGATTACATCACCTCGGGCGTCCCGGCGGGACCGCCGCCATGACCTCGAGGGACCTGGAAGGTAAGAATGAGGATGACAGCGCGTTGTTCGGCGACTTACCGGAAAGTAAACGACGAAAATTCATTCTCGTGGAGGACACTCAGAAGAATGCACGAGTTCGAGTCAAAGTCACTTTAGATCAAATTGAGATGAGCGAAATCCCCGATTCCTACCGCAAGCAGAATTCTGTCTTCCCACGCGCCTACTTTCCTGTGCAGATGCAGACAGCCGATTCGACTCGAGGTGGCCGGCTTGCGGAGGAGGGAGAAGAGGTTGACGGTGGCGCCCCCACCATTGGCAAGACGTCTGTTTCGGTGCAAACCAGCAACGGCGAAGCAGAGGTCAGTGTGCCGCAAATCTCGAAAAGCAAGCGCAGCCGAGAGCAGAAGATCAATGAGCTAGGTTATCGAATGGCTTGGGGTCAAGGCCGAGTGTTCTCCGGCCGGCCAGTTTTTCTTGCTCGTGCCTGTAAGTTTCGGTGGTGGTCTTGAGGAGGTTGACATCCATGACTGACTGCATTCCTGCCAGTGGACGCATATCGAACCAAGCAGCGAAACGCCCTCCTAGCCGCAGGATCCGATGCATCGGCCATCCCCGCTCACCTCGAAAACAGACCAGGAAAGCGAAAGTGGCTTGAGAGGGCTCACGCAGTCGCTCATCCATTGACGCCTCCTACTACCACATCTGATTAATTCAAACTTGCGATTTCTCACCGGCTTGACGTGGAAACCCCACTGATAGCGCTGTGATATTGTTTCCATGCAATGATACCCCCCAGCAAGTACAGTCCCGACTTTGTCGAGTGTACATTATTCCAGCCTGAGCTGGTGTTTCAGTGCAGGCTGTACGACGAATCTATGATTGAAACCCAAAAAAAGTTGGAGTTGTTTTCTTCAGCGATACCCACACGTGTTCGGGCTTACCGAATTCGTCATACTTATATGTCTCGAAGAGGGTCGGCCGCGTTGGGGAGTTTTATTTTTGCTTTGCTTTTGTGCAAAGATGATGAGGAGCCGTGGGTCATGGGAAGGGAGACACCAGGAAGCCTCGAGACTTTACGTGGTGTTGTGATCGGTCTCTGCCAGTACAAAACATTTCATCTGGTTGTTTCTGTTTGCGACAGTCATCGGCAATTTTGAGCGAGTGTCTGGTCTCCGTATGGAACAATTCAGGGGTCCAATACGCACCATTTTCCTCCGACAAATTCACGACCTGATCATCTGCGATTTACTTCTCAAAAAGTAACATATGATTACCCATCTCCGGTATTCTTCTCAATCAGGGGAAGCTTCGGGTTCTGTTATGTCATCTCCTTTCTCCTACGGCGTCTTGGGTTGAATTTCAAGGCTCGACGGTTATTGAAACACGAGGAAACCCCGAATACTTCTCGAACCCTGATCGAATTAGGATCAGGTGCAGGGATATTCTTGGGGAACACGTGTCTGTCAATATCATTATCATTCTCAGTAGAGCAACACTTTACGGCATAAATACATGCTGCAAACGGCCGGCTTTCTACGTCCGTATCATCCTTTTGTCTCATTTCTATCAAGGGGGGCTTGGATTGCACTGGGAGTTGAGACTCCGCGTTGAGAAGGGGCCTCCGCTACGATCTACTTTTCTTTTTCTAGACGATGCAAGGCGAAAAGAGCTCGGGTGCACAGCAGCGAAGCTTGACGGAACAGCGAAACCCTGGTCACCAGCGAGGGTTGGGGATGATGTGAAAGTTTGCTACGACTCTTGTTTTTCTTATCTTTTGAAATTGAACCAAGGTTCATTCCGAGTTCTTTTGGGGGGGGATTCGATTCTTTTGATGGACCTTGGAAGTTGTGCTTGGAGGTACATTTTCTTCTCTCGAAGTGAGTCGGGTTTAGCTTTCGCCAGGTGGGAAGCGATCAGCTGCAAGAGTCGGTCTTGGGACGGGATTGTTTTGTGTGTTGAGCATGTGAAGCCTTGGTTGGATGTGGCTAAAGGGACTCGGGCCACCACATTGTTATAGTAGTATGATTTTGTACCCGGCGGCGACTGAAGGGTCTTCGGAGACCATCTCATTATCATCGGGGTATTTTGGAGTCTGGACAAAGTGACAGACAATGCACGAAGGGAAAAGAATTTTGGGCGATGATGTAGGGACAGAAGAGTGGGAATCAACTTGGATATCAGGGCCGGAATGGAAATTGGAAGCTTTGTCAATTTTGTATGGAAGATGGGATGTCAGAACAGACGGGATTTCACTTTTTGGAGGATAGAACAGGACGACAGGGAGGACTTTATGCCTTGGATAGGTCTGAGGCCAAGGGGTTTGGTACATACCTGCCTGATCTGTAGGTATCAATCAATCAATATCAAACCTGATGTCAGAGTAATTGGTGGAAACGACTGTGAAAGGGTTGTATGTAGTTTGATATAGGGAAGTGATGTGAGGGTGTGAGGTGAGTATGACTTTGGTTGGTGTTTGTTAGACCTTTGAGGGGTGTGTGTGTGTGCGTGTAAGGAAGTAAAGTCAGTACCCCTATGAAGAGCGAGAGACGAGGGTTCACAGAAGGAGTTACCTATGTATACAAATCTACCAGAGCATATATACTTACTTCTATGACTCTGGACGTGTATATTTTCATGTATACTCGTAGATTCCCCAGTTCAGCCTCGTCGGTTGATCTACGGAATCTTTTCGAATTTTTTCAGTTCCCTCAAGGTAAATAATACCTGATTCACTTCTCTAGCCTGTCTGCGGTTTGCGGTTTGCGGTTGTGGATCGGACGTTACCAACACACACACACACGTAAGGTAATTTCATTGATGATTTTGTTGTCGTGATACCTTCTTTACGGAATCCTCATTGCAAAGAAGTTACGCTCACAGTGGTTGAAACATCCTTCTTTCCCACATCCACCGTCAATCGGAGTCAAAAGTCGAAGTCAAAAGCGAAAGCGACTTGAATCACTCAGGTAATGACCACGTGTTGGCATGCGCAGTCGATGAGACCATCGATAAATGAATACCTCGGCGAGATTTGACGAATAAAGAGAGAGAGGAAGAAAGACGTGTGGTTCAAAGAACGTACTTCATTTACAAAGATCAGAACAATGTACACACACACACACATACGCGCACACGCACGCTCATACCTCCCTGATCCCATGCCCACACGACGTAATCCCTAACGTACCTACCTACCTACCTACCTACCTACTAACAAGCAAAGAAGCGGAATTGTCGGTCGCTTGATCGTGCGCTGCTCGACGACGGTTACCAACCTACGGAGTCTGCCCACCTGGCTGTCCGCCTACCTAGGTTACCATACCCTCTACCTATCTGGCCCCGCCTCCCCGGGCTCTTCCTTGCGCAAATCTTCGCGCAACGAGTCCGAGTACCCCTGGACACGACCACACGTTGCGAGCAGTGCCCTTGACGAAAGCGTACGTCGTACAAACTGGGGAATTCTCAGAAAGAGGAAGGAGAAGTAAAATCAGAAAAGAAAAATGCCTCACACGTCTCGAAAGAAAAAGAATCAGTCGCACAACAAGCGCAAGGAAGTCGTGGATGAAGATGGATGGGTTAGAGTTGTCGGGTCCGGTCCGGGTACAGGGACTGGTAACGGTACCCGTCCCCGTACTGGCGGCACCACCGTGAGCGCGAGGACAACAGATACCGGTACCGGCACTGGTAGAGACAATGATGTTGATAACGTACCCGATACATCAGGGGAGGAATCTGGGTCGCGGCCACGATCACAATCGCAACCGCAATCACAAATGGTCTTCAAGTGGCGCAAGGACGACACCGTGGTGACGAGAACGATAAACGCATCCCCTTCGGACCCGATGAGCGTGTCAAGCCATGTCACGGTCGACCATGTACGGAAACGGTATGAGATTATCGAACAGAGGTTTCGCAGTACACCGTTTTACGAGAGGGTGAGGGACGTCTTGACGGGTATTATGTCGACGTCAACATCTACATCGGCGCTGCAAGAAGACGACAAACAAGGAGACGACGAAGAAAGAAAAGAATCGGCGGCGACGGCGACGAAACCCAAAACCATCATAGTAAACACGTGTATCCTTTTCGGATCGGGAAGTCTCTCTGGCGACGCAGTACACTGGATCGACCGTCGAGATTCGGCCCTTTATCAGGTCTCTGCGTTCCTTGCGGCTGTCGACGTGATAACTGGGCTGCAGGGTGGAGTCAGACCGACATGCCTCGCGCAGGAACCGGGGTACAACACAGTGGATGTCGACGTGTTGAAAAGTCTCGGGGTGAGTGTCGTTGTGCACCCAGAGGCGTTTGAAGCACTTGCCGGTGGAAACGGAATGACAGCTACGAAGACGACGACGACGACGACGACGAAAGAAAAGAACGACACGAGCAATCCTGGGGGTGCTGATGTTGAGAATCCGAGTGGTGCGGATACCACGGCGGGAAACTCAAACAACGTCATGGTTTATTCACCTGCCGCAGAAATGGAAGTCGAATATCAGATTCTGAGTTCCCGACCTCGAATATGGTTGCACAGATCACTTGATCATTTACTTCTTACGCCGACGGGCGGTGATGGAAACAATGGCAGAGGAGGCTTCTTCACACCTGGTGAAAGAGAGGTGAATTCTCGGTTGACGCTGGATTTCAAACGTGGGCATGAATCTACGAAGTTGCCAGAGGTCGAAGTTAGGAATTTTCCCTTTCATGATTCGGTGATTTGGTGGAGAAGGGCATGAACTGTTACTGTTACGATGGATCGTCTTGCAATGACGAACTAAATGAGGGACAGACTGGGTCAAGAAAAACGAAAAATGAAAAGAAACCGTACCTGAGCATTTGTGTTTTTTTGTTTTTTTTTTGTTTTTTTTTTGTTTTTTTTTT